CCAAATCGTTCACTGATATCGGTCGATAGCAGGGCCTGGTTATCCTGAACCATGTCGAGGAGGGTACGCTGGGTCTCGACATCTTTGGAGGGAAGAGACGGATGTGTGCCCATCCAAAGCTATGAATCGTGAGCCCATTGCGTTCAATGATACTCTTCGGCTCTCACTTACTTCGGCATAGGGCTTGTCGGCCTCAATCGCAAAATCCGGGGCGGCTGTTGTGGCCGCATACTTTGCCGCTGCCGACTCTTGGCCGACCTTGCCTATGACGGGATATCAGTGCGGGGAACACAATGTCGCGAGTGGTACTAGCTTACCCCAATCGTAGCTGTTGACGCCTAAAGGAAAATATATTAGCCATGTTTCTTCTATTGAGCATCCCAAAACTTACCGCATTGCAGCCGAAGTAGTGGTACCTGCATCTTGAAATGGATGGTTGGGGAAAAAGCGGAGGGGCAACCAGCGACTTTGTATTAGAAATTCCCCGCCAAGCCTTCGGTGAGTGATGTCGGAGAGGGTCTTATATGATATCTATGACACACGTTCAAAGCTTTAAGGGGAAGATTGGTCTGGTTTCACTCAGTCCCATTCCCTGCTTTTTGTTTCTGGGATTTACGGAGTGTCCCAATCTGTCACGGATTCCTAGCGAGGTACTCCGTACTTCCGCAAGCATCCTACCAGTTATAGCCAGAATATGCAGCCGCATCGAGATAGCATAGTTTACATAGGTTTAATAAGGTTAAAGCCTCCTGGAGCTTATCCCAGATACACCCACAGAGAAAACCTAAAAAGTACATTATACAACTTTCAACGTCGATACAATCTACAATGCCATGTCCCAAAGTAGTTTAGCGTATGAACCCCGACCGCCCGGAGGACGGAGCCCTTATCACCGCATCTCCAACCTTCATATAAACATCTTATTGCTTCATACCTGGCGATCTCATTCCCCAGGGGTTCTGGTCAGCAGTAAGCTGTTCATACTCTTTCCACATTATTTACACTACCCTGTTGATAAAAGGTGCGAGGATGTCTCGCAACCGCCCCCGACCCAGAGACAACGGCTTTGGCAACAATGAGGAATTGGAGCTCTGGACCAAGATATGCCAGGATATTCGAAAATCCAAGGAGAAGTTCGATCAGCAGAATTCATTATCCGCGCAGATTAAGACTTTGGTGGACAAGATCGCGCATGATGGCAACCGTGAGTACCCCCGCACTAGATCCGTCGGTTCTATACCCGTCACCACAAAGCTCCAATATGCGCTTCGCGTCTAATTAATCCGAACAACTTCCTTATTAATCGCATATACTAACATTCTGCTCCCAAGCAGAACCAACCATGGCCGAGCACGACCAACTTGACAGCTGGCTCCGCCTGAGCCAGAAACTCAGCGAAGACGAGCGCTCGATCATGCAGGACGAGCCATGCGATGTAATCAAAAATCTAGAACTGCTCACTGCTTTGCGCAAAGCATCTGAAGCCGAAGCGCCTCCAAATCGGTCCACATCGTTCAACAAGTCTCGCAAGAAAAGAAATGAAGTCGAAGGTTCGGTGACCGACTCCCCCAGTGCCTCGGGGGCTGACAAGACCGCACGCTCAAAGGGGACCGTCCCACGCAGCGCAAGCGTCTCGTCGAGCACGCAACCCCGCGAAGGGGGCCGCCAGGATAACATCATGGTCAAGGTCGAGGAAGGGCCGTCAGAGGGGACCAAGGGCACTGTCGCAGAACGGAGTGGCTTGCTGGTGGTTGGGGCTCAGGTTGTGTTCAAACACAACAAGAATAAACAAGGTGTCGAGGGCGAGGGGATCCAATGCATAATCAAGGCTGTTAGTGGCGACGGACCGAAGAAGCGGTAAGTGATGTTGCGTCGTTTGCGTTTCGTCTCGATTTACATTGACTGACGCGTCATGTCTGATTCAGATATGATGTGCAGGACCCCGAGCCGAATGAGAATGGTGAGCAGGGGGCGGTTTACAAGACTACCGCTGCCTCTCTCATTCCCATTCCTCAGCTTAGCGCCCACTTGTCTACGTACCCGGCGGGCAAACAGGTCCTCGCGCGATACCCGGACACCACCACCTTCTATCGTGCGGAGGTGATGGGCGCCAGGAAGGACGTCTATCGTCTCAAGTTTGAGGGCGAAGAGGACGATAAGGAGATGGAGGTTGACCGGCGGTTTGTGCTGGATATTCTGGGCAAGTAATCTCAAACTGTTTCTACGATCTGATGTGATGATGATACCATTTAAGCGCGGCGCTATCTGGAGTTCGAAAGCCTACCATGGATATGGGGTGCTTTCATATTGACTAGATACTTTAGTTAGAAAGAACAAACTCTTTTTTTGAAACTATGATAATTTCTGTTCTTGGCGTAGTGGCCCGGGGGATCTACGTGGAGAAAGCCGGGGTTGAACAGAGCAGTTCCAGATGTCTGGAATAAAACTTTTCCTATAACTGGCGAAACCTATATCCCGACAAACAATGCGCTAGCCTGCCCTCCTGACGAGGGCGAGACGATCGATGCGCATGGCTCCGAAAACGCAGGAACCTACTACGTTGTGTACAAAGTAGACGGCAACATTCAACGATGATACAAGCCACGCCACTCCTGTCATGCTGCAGAAGCTCAACTCTTACGCTGTGGCCTTCAAATGCGATGCAATCCGACTTCTGGGCCGGTCTAGCGAAGATTGAAAGCAAGTACTACATTTCACTCTCGACGAACATGTACGACAGCGACAAGTATGATCTGAGATATGGTTTCTCTGCCTTTGAAAATGTTTAAAGAATTGATGATGGACGTGCCTATGTCGCTGATATCCATGCCTCTTTAAATACTGGTGGCGTGATCAATTGCCGCGATTGTTTATCTTTTTCTTCCCCGATGTCGGCTTCAAGTTGTTAGATTGATATAAGCACAGTGAGAGTGATATTCAATGGGTTGACTCTGGGCCACTAAAAATCCATGCACTTCATGGAATATTATAATAGCTCTAGATCAGACAAGGCTTAAAAATGTTATAAATCCTTGGCTAACAATTTTGAGTGGGCCAAGGGCCGAGAGAATGTGCTAGAGTAAGCGGTGACATAGAGATGACTCAGCCTTCTTCTCCTCATGCCGAGGGACCATAGCCGGAGATAGTTTACTTCGCAATTAAAACTTCGCATTGAACAGACTTTGTTTTGAATTTCCGTCACATTGATGCATCTGCGCCATTCAATCCCTACCCCTGCACACTAGAGCTTCTGCAGCGAGCCTCACGCGTCACACCTTCCGACTACCCCGCCTCTCCGCAGTCGCAATGACCGACCTACCAGCCCACGCCTCACCAAAACTCCCCCCGCGTTCGCTCCCGGGCAGATTAGATGAACAATCGGATGATTCGAGTCAGGGGAGCATCGCAGGAGGCGAAAACACCCCGGCCCTACCAGACTCATTCCTGTCGCCCGCATTCACCCCACCCGCAACCCCCGGTGGTACATTGAACTTGGATTTAAATCCCACCGCAGTCCTTCACCAAAACCAAGCAGCAGATATCCACCATAAAAGCCAGGACGCCAAAGGTCCTAAATTACTTCCGCAGCTCCCAGCAGTGGAATGTATTGTGCGGGCGCGAATCCCGACAACCAACGGAGCGGAAATGTTCCTACACCTCTACCACAATGACTTAGATGGAAAGGAGCATTTGGCCATTGTATTTGGAAACAATATTCGCAGCCGGAGTTTGGACAGCGTCCGGCCCGGGGAGACCGAGATGGACCGAATGATCCGCGGCGCGTACGTTGGGAAATTGCACCCGGGTCGAGTCAGCAGCAGGTATGATGAGGATTTGGCCGGGTCAGCCTCGACGCCAAAGCAGGTCGAGCCGCCGCTGGTGCGAATCCACTCGGAGTGTTATACAGGAGAAACGGCGTGGTCGGCGCGGTGCGATTGCGGCGAGCAGCTGGATGAGGCGGCGCGCTTGATGTCTTTCCCCATTCAGGATCTTGCTGCTGATGCGCCGCCAGAGGTCCAGTCCCTCTCGTCACATTCGACAGGCGGTGTGATTGTCTATCTACGACAGGAGGGTCGCGGAATCGGTCTTGGCGAGAAGTTGAAGGCATACAATCTCCAGGATCTCGGGTCGGATACCGTGGAAGCAAACCTTTTACTTCGCCATCCGGCTGACGCCCGAAGCTATGGACTGGCTACGGCGATATTGGAAGACCTTGGTTGTGGTGTGGATGCCATCCCAGAAGGAATTCGTCTACTCACCAATAACCCCGATAAAGTCCGCGCCATCGAAGGCCCTAACCGGGAAGTTCTTGTAAAAGAGAGGGTGCCGATGATCCCATTGGCTTGGCGGACTGGGGGTCAGAGAGGAATTAAGAGCTCTGAAATTGAAGGCTATCTTCAGACTAAGGTATGTTTACAAACCATTATCCAGTTTTGGGTTGGTACTAATACGCCGGCTTTGATAGATCTCGAAAATGGGCCATATGATCCAATAATCTTTGAGCTTGTCGTTTTGAACTTTTGCCATCATCATTCCCCTTCTCGTCTGACTTATGCTTTCTTGCATTGGAACTTACAACAGCCTTTGTATATGATCGACTCGACCGAATATTTTTCTTTGTGCATAATCTTGATCCTTTGGGCTTGTTCCAAGGTTGTATATGGCGTTGGTACTCTGTACATTCATTTTTGTGTGGCTGTGCTACTCAATGCTTCACGTTTGTTATCAGATTCTCCTAGAAATTGGAGATTTTGTCCCTAGATATATTATATCTGGAACAAATATAGCCAGTTTATTCCCAAGAGTGAATAGAGTGAAGATAGTGAAACCGATATCCGATAAACCATGTCCCGCATGAAAGTTTAAACGTTCTGGACTTCGAACATCCTAGACCCACATCGCACCATACTCACACGTCTTACTCCAGAGCTGCTCCTGGACTTCCATTCCACGTTTCCCTAACCTGAATGGGCAATCTTAACTAGCGCGTGTGCAAGGCCATGGCCACCCGCGCTACAAACGCCAATGGGCATGTGGCGCCTTCGCCCGACTTGTCCGATTTGCCTAAACGTTCGCAAACTATCCCCCTCGGCAGACCGGAAGACTTGCCAATTCCTTATCGTGCGACCTCAATAGATGGGGCGGGAGTCTTGGATAATGGCGATAATGGCACGACATCTGGACGCAAGCGCAAGCTGAACAGCATGTCATCAAGAGGTGTTGCCAATCTCACCCCCGATCAGTTAGCGAAAAAGCGGGCCAACGACCGCCAAGCGCAGCGCGCAATTCGTGAAAGGACCAAGGGCCACATAGAAGCTCTGGAGCAACAGGTCCGAGACCTGTCGTCACAAAAGCCCTACCTCGATCTTCAAGCAGCGCTATGCGAGAATGAAACGATTCGGTCGGAGAACGCGGAGCTCCGCCAAGGGCTTAAAGCAGCAATGGACATTCTCCAACCATTGATGGCTAAGCCAGAACTACCAGGTGAGTTACGCATCCCATTAGAATTCAAGTCTGAAGCTGATAAAAACAGATCCATCTCCTTCTCTAGCTACACCAAACCTCGCCCCGCCCCCTTCACATACACCCCCATTCCCCGACACCGATCACCTCACGCCCATTCCAGGCGAGAAATCCTACGCCGAGTCTCTTGCCAGCCTCGACACGCCTTCTCCGACTCATTCTGCACCCACTCTCGGGAGTCGCCGCAACAGTACCACCGGAGGCCCTCCGTCGGCCTCTCTCCGTGTCGGATGGGACTCGCAACGCCATAATACAACACACGGCCTGGACCTCGGCTCCGAGGAGCGTCTAGGGTTTAATTTCCTTCTCGATCCTTCGCATAGTGTTCCCAAAGTCGACCGGCTTCAGCGCAGCGACTCGGAAAACCTCCACTGTCAGCAGCTGAACTCTTCGTCTTCAACATACCCACATCCCTTGACCACTACCTCTGAACCTGGGCCACCTGCGTTCGCCGCTCCGATCCAAAACGTACTAGCGACATGTCCTTTGGATAACATTCTTTTGGAATTTCTTCAAAGCCGGCAACGCGAGGCTGCTCAAGGAATCTCCAGACAAAAATTAGCCGGGCCACCGTACCCGAGTGTCTCCTCATTACTGAACCCAGAGAGGAGTGTCTACTCCCACCCAGTCTCAAAGGTTTTCACAGATATTATACGCACCTTTCCCGACATCTCATCTCTACCGGTGCAGGTTGCCGTGCTCTACACCATGTTCCTCCTCATGCGCTGGCAGATTTCCCCTACGCAAGAGAACTATGAGCGACTCCCAGAGTGGTTAACTCCGCGCCCAACACAGATTCTCCATCCACACCCTGCTTGGATGGATTACGTTCCCTGGCCGGGAATGCGTGACAGGATCATTACAAATTATCAGAACTACCCGTTTGAGAATTGGTTCATCCCATTTACACGTGATATGAACGTCAATTGGCCGTACGAGGATACGGACTGTTTGTTGTCAGCCGGCGACTCCGAAGAGCTGGTCATCAACCCGGTCTTCGAACGGCATATGAGGAATTTGTCCAATTGGTCGTTGGGGCCCTTATTTGCAGAAAGTTATCCCTCTTTGGCAGACACCGCACGAATCAGGTCGAGAACACCGCTCAACACCTCATCCGGAACAGACTCACCAAGTGGCCACACGGCCACTTAAGCGGGCTTCATTTCAACCACTGTTCCACCTCTACCAAGTTGATCTTGGTTAATATTTTTCAATTCCGTTACTTATTTCGGGGAAAGGAAATCCTGGCTTTTATTTTTAGCAAGTCAAATTGTTTACTTTTTTTTTTGGGCGAGTGTATGATTTTTCTTGAACGGAGTCCCAATTCAAGGGCAGAAGCATGCTGTGAGAAGGGGCGCAGGTCACCTCGCCTGGTGGTCATCTACGTGTTGTCAATAGATGATATTTGGAGCGATCATTTCGGTCTGGACATTTAAATAAATACAAATCTTCATATCAATAATTACTCTGTATCTTATGGTTCCCATGATTTTGACTTTACTCTCTCCTGCTCTTCTCATTCCAAAACTCCAAACCAGCCTTCTGGCGCAGAGTTCCGTACATCGCACTACTGTCCAGACACTCTCCGCCATATTCTCTTGCGGCCTCCATGTTAGCCCGAGCAAGCTCAAGGCCAGGAAGCTCAACACCCTGCTCCTGGGCCATCGACATAGCATGTCTAGCATCCTTAATAGCAAGAGAAACCCCAAAGCCAGGACGGGAGTCCAGAGGCGGCGCATAGGCCCCCGTAGTCAATCTGGAAACAAAGATAAGTATGAAGAGCCGCGATGCAAGCACCGAAACAATATTGTAACATACCTCTTAGAATACCCTCCAGCAACAGGACCAAACGCCTCACCAATGAGCTCCTCCATAGGACCAGTTCCAAGCCCGGTCTTCTCAGCAAAGACCTGAGCCTCACCAACAGCCTCCATCATATTAACAGTAACAATGTTACCCGCGATTTTCAGAAGCGAGGACTTTGTAGCATCCTCACCACAATCAATCACGCGTCGACCCATCACATCCTGGATCAGAGGTTTCACGGCCTCAGTCGCACTCTTGGGACCACCAATGGCAAAAACAAGCTTGCCATCCACGGCAATCGGGTTCCCACCGAAGACCGGCGCCGCTACGTACGATGCATCCTTGCTTTTCAGCTGCGATACAGCCGATCTCACAGTATCGGGATGCACTGTTGAGCAGTCGACGAAGATCTTGTCCTTCAGGGACTGGTTTGAACCCATGGCGGTGGATAGCAGGCTTTGGAGCACTGAGTCATTCGAGACCTAGGAGAGGCGTTAAATTTCCATTGCTATGTATTTTCTCGGTGGAACCGGCTTACCATGGTGAAAATGATTCCACATTGAGACACCAGCTTCTCGAAATTGGGCTCTGGGATCGCTCCCAGCGTTCGCAGGGGTGATCCGCGCGACATCGTGCGGTTCGAGTAGATCAGGCTCAAGGCCTTCTTCGTGGCTAGATGCCGTTGCAGGTTGGATGCCATTGCTAGGCCCATGGACCCGAGTCCATACTGTGTGCACTGTTAGTTCTTTTGGTCAAAATCGTAGATGCTCGAGGGGTTACTTACCCAGCCGATTTGTGGCATCGTTGCTCGTTGTTTTCCTCGGGTGCGGATTCAAATGGGCGAGGATGATATTCATAGACAAGGACAACAAGTCAAGATCGGTTCAAAAGATTCAAGCGAGATTTGGCAATGCGGAGTCTACCTGAGTATGGCAATGCGATCCTTGTATGAATCTGTTATAGGGACGATAGGGATGGTGGAGCGCGTGTTTCCCGAGGATATCGGAGTCGGCCGACAGGAAGCTCTTCAACGCCATCAACGGGTTCTGCATGTCTTCAGGTTAGAGTGGGCTTGGACTTTATTATTGTGGATATATCATTCGTCTCTTTACTCATCTTCTATGCTTGGTGTGCCCTTGTAGTCAAGCCCACGTGTATACCCCTTAACTAACTAATGTGAGGCGTTCCACATGTACTATAGCCTGCGCATATATTGATTTCAGCATTATCCCACTACTTGTCAAGACCTCAAAAGCATTATTTACGCCTTAATCCATCATCTCTGAGCTTGTCTGGTCCAAGAATGCGTTGATGCGGTCACATACCGTCATGGCTGCGGCTCGCCTCCAGCTGTGGGGTGAATATCAGGTACGGTACGGTCACGTAAGTTATGATGCTCCGTCCGCCGTGGGCTCGACTTCAGACATCCCCAACACCTCCGCTCTCCCCTGAACCCTCCTAGTTCCGCTCATCTTGGGAGTTTCCAAATAAAACCTCAGTGTCGGACGGTACCTCTACTCCCAACCGTCGAATCCAATTCCTCCAAGATGGCGGAAATGCCCATTGGTACACACCGATCCCCCCAGGCTACCGTGTCCCAGCTCCAAGCTAACAAACTACTCCGCAGTCCTCGATGGAGGAACCGGCTTCCTCAAGGTCGGCTATGCCGCCCAGGTATGTCGCACGACCACTACACTTCCTCTTTGCTCTTCTCTAATTTATATTCCCTCGCCAGAACTTCCCAGAGCACCAGTTTCCCTCGATAGTGGGGCGGCCCATCTTGCGAACGGAGGAGCAGGGCGGCGACATCGTGGTCAAGGATATCATGTGTGGTGATGAAGCCGCTGCTGCACGATCAATGCTCCAAATCAGCTATCCTGTATGTTTATGTCGGGTTCTTGTTCTCGCCTGGTCACTCTACCCCGCCCTCTCCGCAAACCAAGCGTGTGTCTTGTCAATGCCTAACCCGTGCTGCTTTAGATGGAGAATGGAATTGTCAAGAAATGGGACGACATGCAACATCTCTGGAACTACACCTTTTACGAGAAGATGAAGATCGACCCCACGGATCGCAAGATTCTCCTCACGGAGCCGCCGATGAACCCGCTCAAGAACCGCGAGCAGATGGCCGAGGTGATGCTAGAAGGATACGGGTTCGGTGGTGTCTATGTGGCGATCCAGGCGGTGCTGGCACTGTATGCCCAGGGTATGTGATACAAGACAAGAGCGTGGGTTCGGGATCAATACTGATGTCATGTTCTAGGTCTGAGCAGCGGCGTGGTTGTGGATTCCGGTGACGGTGTGACACACATTATCCCCGTGTACGAGTCGACCGTACTCAACCACCACATTCGCCGCCTGGACGTCGCCGGCCGCGACGTCACTCGCAACCTGATTGCCCTCCTCCTGCGCCGCGGCTATGCGCTGAACAGAACCGCCGACTTCGAGACCGTGCGCCAGATCAAGGAGAAGCTCGCTTACGTCTCTTACGACCTCGAGTTGGACAAAAAGCTTTCCGAAGACACCACCGTTCTCGTCGAATCGTACACCCTGCCCGACGGCCGTGTCATCCGCGTCGGCAGCGAGCGCTTCGAGGCACCCGAGTGCCTTTTCCAGCCCCACTTGGTTGACGTTGACCAGCCCGGTATGGCTGAAATGCTCTTCAACTGTATCCAGGGTGCCGATGTCGATGTTCGCTCCAGTCTATACAAGGCCATCGTGCTCAGTGGTGGTAGCAGCATGTACCCCGGTTTGCCCTCTCGTTTGGAGAAGGAGTTGAAGCAGCTCTGGCTCACCCGAGTACTGGGCGGCGACCCAGAGCGCCTGAACGTATGTCGAAGAACCCCAGGCAAAAAATACCAAGATGACTTGGCTAATTATTTTCCAGAAATTCAAGGTCCGCATCGAAGATCCCCCGCGCCGGAGACACATGGTGTTCCTGGGTGGTGCCGTGCTCGCCAACTTGGTTAGTCTCTCATTTTTCATTTGACTTCAGCCCTTACTAACACGATTTTCTTCAGATCGCCGACAAGGACGACATGTGGGTGAGCAAGCAGGAGTGGCAGGAACAGGGTGCACGCGCCCTGGATAAGCTTGGCCCGCGATGAGCGAGTTGTATTTAGGCGGTTCTTGGTCTGCTCCTTTATTTTCTCTGATTTCCTGCTTCGCATTGTTTGCAAGCCATGTTGCCCGGGTCTTTTCTCCCTATCCTCTTTTCCTTCTATGCCTCTACCTTCCCCCATCATTGTCGATACACTCCCGTCCATCTTGTAGTTTCCCCTGTCTCTTCGCCTGCTTCCTACATTGTGCCTAGACTGGTCTGGCGCGGGTGGATTCGGGGCGTTCATGACAGACAGAAAAGAACGAAATATTTCTATCGGCTTTTGGTTGTATGCCAGCTTTGTAGGTTATCTACGTATGAACGAACTACATATACACCGGATTTTAGGCCGCGCGACATGGCTTTCCCTTTCCGTTTTAGTGCTCACCCCTTGCCGCTTTTTGCTCACTGAGTAAAACTGAGCACGCGCTAGATTAATTTGGTACTAATTACTATTTCAGATATCTATGGCAGCACTGAATCTACACGCGTTGATAGCACTGGTGTTTCTGCGCTTCTCACTTGGGATAGCAAGGTTACCAGTGTGAATGCGATTTTGGGGGGAGTGACTGATCTTGTTCGTCAAAAGATGAAGGCGGATGGTGTTTACACTGGGTTTGTGGATATTATCGAGGTTTGTTTCCCTGCTCTCTTGGAGTGGTCAAGTATGGGCAATATCACTAACTAGTGGCACATAGGCTGAGTACTCTCGGTTCTTCACGCATCTCAAAGGAGAAAATGTCGAGTTGTGTCTTCCAACAGAGACTGTACCTGATACAGCGTTGGTGGATTTCACAACTTGTAACTAGTGTGATTATTTGCAGGACATGATCCATGGATAGTCATACCTAGCCAGGACCTCGGGAGCTCATGGCCTTGATCTATGTTACCTAGGTACTGAGTATATCTAAGGGCCTTCTTTTCAAGCTGTTTGGCTACCAGAATAGATATTCAGTATATCTTAACTACATGATGTTCATTCTAAGGTTGCGTGATACTGTTCAGTAAGGAGTGATCGCTATAGATCTAGTGATCTATCATCAATCATTACCTACCTAGGTAGGTACCTACTTATAGATCAGTTGATACCTAGATAATCCATAATAGGATAAACCAACGAAAATGATGCTAGTGCGGATACTAGGGCAAATTTGCAGAGCGGATGGCGAAGTTCCCTCCGCATTTATGGATATGCCGCAGCCTAATTGAGATAATGAGGATGTGATAGTGGTTCAGATGCTACGATATGTATATTTCAGTAGGTCAAGAAGGTTCGAAAATAGATACCTGGGTATCAAATTTATTGATCCGATTCCAAGACACTTTGGAACGCGACACAAATCTTCTCTGCTTCCTCTATGAATCCTATGATAATTTCAGCTGTTTGCCTTGCGCCTTTAGCACCCACAAAGAAAAAATGGTTGCCTTCTATGCCAGTGATCATCTGATCGGGAATTTTGTAAATGAGGGCCCGTAAGCTCTCTAAAATTCTCAATTCCTGTCCATGTTTCTCTTCGAAACCGTCGACTCGGGGCTTGCGCGTTCGATTTAATTTTTCGACATCGGCTATGAACTTGTGGATGATCAAGTAGCTCCAGTTGATTTTGTCAGAGATGGAGTGCCCCCAGTCAAGTGGGCTATTCGGATAGATTGCTGCCATGGCTGGCAGCTTTCCGTAGTTGTCAACTCGGCCCTCTTCCAATAGTGCCCACTTGTTCTCAGCCAGCATCTTTTCTTCTCTGTTGTATCTGAATCCCCAGCCACCCAACGCTACAGGTGTTGAACCAAAGTACTCGCGTTTGTAGAGGGCTTCGTCGATAATTATCCGTCCATCATTGATCCGATTCTGCTCCAGCAGCTGTGGCAGGAAGAGGTCATACAAAAATGAGCAGTTCCAGTATCCTGCCGGACTGAAAGTGATACGAGATGGTGATATATTCTTTCGTAATCCCCAGAGGGCGGGGGTGGCTGATAGTGAAATGTACAGGCTCACAGTAAGTCCTAGAGCTGCCGCTTCCGTGGCAACGGGCTCCAATGTCCTGCCAGCCATACTCCAGGCCAATATAACGACTTTGGAAGACAGACCATGCTCTTCCACGACATTCTTCATCGCAGTGGCTGCTTGCACGCCCCAATCGCGCAATGAGAGGTCGCTGCCGGTACGAGGCATAATCTCCGGGTTGGTATCCAACGGGTACGAGATCCCCAGAAATCCAAATCCGTGTTTATGAAACCAATGTGCCAGAAAGTCCTCACTCTGGCTTCCGTCGTGTCCGCCGTATGAGATACGCGCGTTGTGAGCCAAACCAGGAATGAACGCCACCAACGGTTTTGATTTATCACCATCGCCAGGAACGAATTTGATCAATGCCGGATAACCGGCCAAGAGCACCTTCTTCTCGCCGTAGCCTAGGCTAGTTGTTGCCATGGGTGAATGCTCCTGGGTGCTTGCCATATTTGTAAAAAGATGGTTCAGTAAATCTTGCGTCACGTCCGATTCCACGTAGGTTGGACAGTCAAGTATATAAAAGTCCTTCCAAGGTTTCTCTCGATGGAATTATATTCAAAGAGTGGAGCCTTCGGGCGCGGGGGTCAAGTTTGCAAATTTCCTATTTCAACAGATTGCTGAAAACTTTTCCTTCTGGAGCCCGGCCCGAATGAGGCCAGTACATTCCTCATACATACTGCCACGGTTCTCGGCCCGCCGTCGGCGGCCAATCTACCTACTATATAAGTTGTACATGTAGGTACTGATGTAAGTAGTACCTAGGTAATAGCCTTTAATTGGTTAGCATCAGGTGCAATAGAACCTGGGCCCGAGAGTCAGCAGCTCTACTGCTATGTCGCACCGTCTTCAGTTCAGGCTTATTAGTGTTGCGTGGGCGGGAAGAACAGTTCGGGCCGTTGACGGCCTCTCCTGCTGAACAGACCTTAATCCACGTCAACATTTAATCAATTGTAGGTACACGATAAAATTAACATAGACTGCATGTGTCACCTCCGATTGATTATTGGATTCAGGCAAAGTTTTGTATTTTTATGTTTGTCAAGCAAAATCTTTTTGTCTGTCGCTCGTCACATTCAAAGGCGATCAGTGATGAGCTTCACATATATTTGGCTTTTTGCTGCTTGCATGTGGCAAAGCCAAGTTTAGATCTGGTCGCCGAGAAGTCTCCTGGAGCTAGTCTATTGACCAACGACATTCATCAATGCCTCCGTGAGCGGCCCGGAAGAGCTACAGCCCACAGTACCCCAGATTCACAAGCTGTCGCCGCACTTTTGTGTTCGAGCCTCTTCGTATCCTGCCAGCCATATTTGATTATAAGTATCTCTGAGACTTTTTGGGTGGCCCAGTAGATTTGTTGTATTTCAAACTATTCTAGTTACCTATTGTCCTGATCCTCCACCCAGAATGACCGACAAAGAACTCTCACATGGAATTGAACTTGAGCAGGCGGAAGATATACAGACGGTAGACCCGACAAAGCCTCCCTCGCATGCATATGCAGCCGATGATACTGGTGGTTCCCATCACAAAACTTCCGCCGAGCGTTCACTCGTCTTAAAGTCCGACCTCTCAATCATCCCTCTCGTTTCCTTGATCTATTTTGCAGCCTACTTGGTGAGTATGGCTATTCTGAATGCTAAAACTTCCAATTGACCAATCCGCACAGGATCGAAACAACCTAGGCAATGCACGTCTTATGGGCCTTCAAGAAAGTCTGCAGATGTCAAATCACCAGTATGACAACTGCCTTATGATGTTTTGTAGGTAAAATCCTTCTAGTCAACATCTTTGTCCTCTTACCTTGGGCTTTTTTGGGGAGTGTTCCAGGATTCTTCTCCGCCGTCAACATGAACAAGTCCTGCTTTTCACAACCACTGTGCTAATTGTATTTCACAGATGTCGGTTACATTATATTTATGATACCTGCAAATATATTCCTGCGGGCCATCGGACCGCATCGACAGCTGGGGACCGCTGTAACTGCCTTCGGTGTTATGATCTGCTGTTTGTCTGCAGCGAAAAGCTCGGGCACGGTGCTGGGCATTCGTATTCTCGTCGGTTGCTTTCAGGCATTCATACAAGGTGTCGGAGTGTATCAGTCCTTTTGGTATAAACGGAATGAGGTAGCCACTCGTGCTGGTAAGTTGTTTAACACCATCAAAATGCTTCCTTCCTTTCCCTGTTGATTAACAGCATGTTATTAACCAAACGTTGATTAGCCGCCTACTATTCGGCTGCCACGATTTCAGGCGCCTTTAGCGGCCTGATCGCGTACTCTGTCAACAAAAACCTGTCGGGCGTGGCAGGGAAAGCTGGCTGGCAATGGCTCTTTATCATAGAGGGATCCATTGCCATTGCTGTTGGCATTGCTACTTGGCTTTTTCTTCCTCCATTTCCGGATCAGATTAAAGACGGCAAACGCTGGCCCTTCACTGCGCCAAATATCCAGCTGGCAAAAACGAGAGCAGCTTGTATGTCCCCTACTTTGTCCCTACATTTCCATTACTTACTTAAAACAGCATACAATACCCTTGATGCAAGGATTGAATTGAAGCAGATTCTCGAAGCTCTCAAAGATCCTAAAACCTACTTTTTTGCTTTCATGAATGGTAAGTTGTCTATTTCTCTTCACTTATGGGGATCCATCTTGGTCCAAGGTAAAAGCTAAAAGAATCAGGCGGTGTTGCGCTTGGAATTGCATCGGTTGGTGTCTTTCTTCCAACATTCATTCGAGCATTTGGCTACTCAAATGGTTCGTCTCAGTTGTGCCTCCAGTGTAAAAAATTTACAATTCACTATATCAATGCTAACGAAGAAAGCAGAGATGTCTCAGTTATTTTCCGTGATTCCATACGGCTGTGCAACTTTGTGCATGTTGGGTTTAGTGATAATTTCTGACCACCTGAAGCTCAAGGGTGTGATGCTTCTCTTTTGCATCTCCCTCTCATGTGTCGGCTATATAATCCTCATTGTCGTGAGCTCGATCCCAGTCAAGATTTTTGCCACATGCCTCGTCGTTTCTGGACTATATCCGTCTGTTATTCTCGGTGCCACCTGGCTTGGTATCAACACCTGTGGATACACCAAGCGAGGAACCGTGTGGGGAATCACCGAAATATTTGGGCAGTGCTTCTCAATCATGGGTACGCATATCTACACCAATCCACCGAGATATATCAAAGGGCACGGCATTCTTTTGGGATTCTTACTTTTCAGTATCCTGAACGTTGTGATGGCATACTTCTGGATGAAACGCTTGAACTTGCAGAAAGAAAAGACCATACGGGAATATCGTGATCGTGGAGAGACTCATCCGGATACATTGAAATCCCTTGAAGAAGTTTACGATCATCATATTCACTTCCGCTATACACTTTAGTGTTCCTTTATACGGTGATATAAACGGCTTGACTCTCTCTACTGCCACGACTTTTAACCCTGCTTTCTCGGTGGAAAGTTAATAAATTGTGATCTGAGATTTCATCTTCACCTATCGATATGATATATAACTTGAATATCAAGAATTTGAAAAATTTGAGCGTTCGATATATATCTCTTGATTCTAAAAGAATGATCTATCTCGTGGGGGCACCTAGGCGCCTTGAGCCTGGAGGACTTATGAAATAGGAAAGTGTAAACCGACCGAGACCAACATGAAGAAAATAGTTCAGATCGAAGCTTAAGGCTCTGATGCATCCTCTATTCTGGGGAGGAAGGGCATACCTAGGTATTTTGTGTTCACATTTTTACATCTTGTTAGGTAGGTAGGATGTTAGGTGCCTGCTGCCTATTCAGGAATAGTCTCCTATGTATGTCTAGATAGTCGATTAGCGCTCTCTCGCTCTCGCTCTCTTCTTCTTTCCCCCGTCTATAATACAATCTTCATGTCTTCATATTGCTTTATCATTGTATCGTAGTCTCAAGACATCTTGAAATTTTTATTACTTGACAACCATGGAATGATACCCACCCAAGCGAGTTCCAAGGATGTTTCCTATCAAACACCCTTTGAATAGTTTTTTCCCCCAGCCGCCATGTCAAATTGTGTACACTCTTTCAGTCCACATACATTAAAGATGTCTTGAGGGCTGCCGTTATTTGTGGATTCAAACGCCATATCGCCCGTCTCCTTGAGCTCCTTGGCCGCTGCAGCCACCCCAGTATACACCGCTTTAAGAGCGAAACCCGGGAAAATAATAATTTTGAATCCCATCTCCTTGGCTTCTGCAGCAGAGAGTTTGGGCGTAACACCCCCATGAACCATATTTAACAACACTGGAGTAGGGGCAAGATCCGAACAGACACGCATGGCCTGGTCTTTGGACTTGATGCCTTCAAGGAAGGCAACATCCGCCCCCAAGGCGATAGCACGCTTCAATCTGGCGACTGATGACTTGTAGCCTAAAGACTCCAATCCATCAGACCGTGCGATCAGAACGATGTCCCCAGGTGTCTGCTCCCGTGCCATGACGGCTGCACGGATACGAGAAAGGTATTCCTCCTCGTCTACCAATTCTTTGTTTTTCAAATGACCGCATCGCTTGTTCACAACCTGGTCCTCGAGATGTAAACTAGCAACACCGGCTGCCATGTACTGGGTAACGGTTCGACCGACCATCAAGGGACCTGATTTGGCACGTCAGAATGGTAGATTTTACTTTGACAGCTGCAAAGCTTAGGCGCATCTCTGGCTGTTATTGGCGGATTGCACGTACCTCCAAACCCAGTGTCGGCATCAGCAATAAGCGGGACTTTCTGATCAAGACCAGCAATCATGGCGGCATTTTCCCTCATATCGTTCAGTGTCGCAACGCCTAGATCCGGCATTCCAAGTCTCGACATTGTAGTGCCTGCACCAGTCTTCCCAAACAAGTTGATTAGTATTAGGGCCCCAAAATTATGTCAAGACATAGAAACCGTGTAGTTTCAGTCATGCATACCATGTACAAGCAATCAAACCCAGCCTGTAGGGCAATCCTAGCCGTGAGTCCATCATAAACCCCAGGACAGACCAAAATGCTATCTTTCTTGGCAATAAGCTCACGGAGCGTCGCTGCAGCCGTTAGAGGCGGCTTGATAGTTTTGTTCTCTTGAACGTCTTCCTTCACCTGGTCAATAGTAGATCGTGTGATTTCCATATTGATCGATATCTTTTAAAGAGGAGTGCTCGGGGTAGCAGATATAACTGGACACAATTTGGTGGTGAATACTTGCAGTTAAGAATTATTGGAAGATACAGTGTTTATAGTTATGTAGTAGAGTCTCCACTAGGATTTTATTGCTTGCCATAATGACCAATCAAAAGCTATTCCTCATCGGAGGCCGACTGCGGGCCGAGAAACCGAAGCCTAAACTGGAGAATGTTTGCAGCGGAGCGTTGACGGCGTAAGTTCAATTATGGAACTAGTAATCACGAGTGAGCCCTTTGCCAAAATAAAATCCGGTTCGTATCTCCCATCTTCAATTACCTTTATTCAATAGTCTTCATCATCAATCCTCTTGCATAAAGGAAAATCCTCGTTCATCCAAACCAACACCTGATAGCCAACCATGACTCCGGAATCTAGTCCAAAGAAAGATGCCGATGATGGTGTGACAAAGCAGCTGTGCGCATGGGTGAATCAACTTTCTTTGGGGGATATCCCTGAGGATGTCCAGACCCGAGCAAAGTATCTCATCCTTGATGGTTTTGGCTGTGCAATTGTGGGAGCCCACCTTCCCTGGACCGAGAAAGCGGCCAAGGCAGTTTTCGAGATGGAATCTCCGGGGAATTGTGTTGTGTGGGGATATGACAAGGTAAATTAAATTACTCAATCAAATGCCGTGTTATTAAATGAACACTACTAATAAGAGAATATATGAACAATAACAGAAACTTGGGCCACTACCCGCAGCTTTATTGAATAGCACAGAAGTCCAGGCTTTTGAACTGGACGATTGGCATTCGTTGGCTCCCTTGCACTCAAATTCAATCCTACTGCCTGCCCTTCTAGCAGCCACCAGCCACGAGAGAGCTAACGGTGCACGGACCTTCAATGGCGCGTCCTTGTTGCTTTCAACTATCGTTGGCTATGAGACGGGACCCCGAGTTGGTTTGTGTCTACATGGGAGTCACATGCTGACGAGGGGTTGGCACTCGGGTGTCGTCTTTGGCCATGCTGCTGCCGCAGCTGCTGTTAGCAAGGTGCTTGGGCTCCCTCCCAATGCTATTGAGGATGCCCTCGGTATTGCCTGTACTCAGGCTTGTGGTCTGATGTCTGCCCAATTCGGTAGCGACGTCAAACGTATGCAGCATGGGTTCGCAGCACGAAACGGACTGTTTGCTGCTCTCCTAGCAAAGGGCGGATATGCCGGTATTAAACAAGTTTTCGAAGAGCCATACGGTGGATTCCTAGCTACTTTTGGACAGGGTTCTGGGAAAGAGCCTCCGTACTTGATTGATGAACTAGTCAAGGAACTGGGCCAGACATGGCAGTTGGATTCTATTCGGGTTAAGCCTCATGCTTCTATGGCAGGAACACACTGCACCATTGATACAGTTGAAGCACTACAAAAGGAGTATCCGTCAAAGTTAATCGATTTGGCCAACATCAAGAGCATCAAGATCGAGATGTCTGAGCCAGCTTTTAAACACGGCGGATGGAAGGCACGCCGACCCCTGACAGTGACGGGAGCACAGATGAGTTGTTCCTATGCTGCAGCGGTCCAGCTTGTCGATACCCAGGTATCACCACGGGAGTTTCACCATGACATGATTGATCGGGATTCTATCTGGGATTTAGTCGACAAGACGGAGTGTGTACACTCACCAGGGCTGGGCGGGAGGTTCGAGCAAAAGATCACAATAACTTTTATGGATGGAGATACCATTTCGCAGGTTGTGCATGTACCAAAGGGTGTCAGTCCTCCTTTGTCTAACACAGAAATCTTGGAGAAGTTTAGGAGGTTCACGAAGGGCTTGATTGATGACGAAAGGCGGGAGAAGATTGAGAAGTTGGTTCTGGACATGGAGAATCTGGAGGATATCTCTGTCTTAGATGAATTGCTTGCTAAGCTAGTTTAGATTCCAATATTAGCTTCACAGTACTCGCCCGTCCTTTTTTGCTTTCTTTCTTTTTCTGTTTTTTTTTAATAAGCGGATAACCACCCTACCGTTGGTCCACATATCCTTGCTACAGTATGGATGAATGGATGAATAATTTAATTTACGCTGACCTATTGCTGAGTTGAAACCCTAGATTGAGGTACAGATGTGATAATCATATTCAATTCATTGTTTCAACTGGTTATGAGCCTCTCTGTTTTTTCAGCAACCCGACTTTGAATTGATACGGGTGATCAGTGATCCAGACCTCAGACCACCAAGACCTCGGACATTTTGAGTAATGTATGCAATATTTTGGTTGGGAGTGGAAACCCCCAAACCTACATGTATTGACATGTCGATGGACCAATTAAACGCTATTCTGTTGCGACCACCGACTACGGGCCGAGATCCATGACAGTACTTGCGTCTGTCATTCGGGCCACATATGTACTTAACTATTAATACAATGAGACCTTCTATATCTTTCTTTCTATTGAAGAGCTACCAACTGCTTTTGACACGTAAGTTGTGTGATACTTTTTAGGTCACTTTTTTTTTTTCCCAAGTGGAGGGGACAGAATACTTACCACACCATCGTTTTATACATACACCCAACGTGACCTTAGACTATCCGATGCGGAATTGCAGGAGATTTTGGTCGGTCATCCGGTATTGAGCAAATCCATTCCCGGTGATGGTTTAAAAAGGTGATAAATCAAAATAAGTGGCAAGAGATATCCGGACTTCAAAGATTTGGGTCACGTTATACCGTCACTTCTGGATCGGCCTCGACATGCAAACTCCGCTCCGCATACGGCCGAGGAATTCGTTAAGCAGCCCGTAATACGTCGTATAAAATCGCCCCAGTTCCTTCCTCTTGTGAAAACTCACAACCCAAATTCACCCTAAAAATGTCAAATCTAATCGAACGAAGCGTCGCATGGCTGCTCCAGAACCGCAAGGGTCACGATGCCGGCCTCATCCACAAATCCAAACCCTTCTCCGGGCTCCCCAACCCAACCATCCCTCTGGAATGCAACCTAGGCCCAACGGGCTCTGACATCCCACCCGAATACAGCTTCTTCCACCAGGGCCTTTTTCCAACCCTGCAATGGCCGGCACAGGATGGGGCGGTGGAATATTTGCTTGTTGTTGAAGACCCCGACGCACCCTTCGCTGACCCCATTGTGCATGGCCTGTACTATGGCATCCCGGCCACAACAACGCGACTGACGAACGAAGACTTTGAAGTGATCGGAGAAGACTCTGCGTTTACACTTCGCGGTGACTTCAAATATGGTTTGAATCGCCGCAAAAGTGTTTATATTGCTCCCAGGGGCTTACTGGGGCATGGTCCTCATCGGTACTTTTATCAGCTTGTTGCTCTGCGAGAAAGAAGTGATAAGAGCAAGTTAACTGCTCCGGTTTCTAAGGAGGATATCATTCGGCAGGTTGATGGGAAGGTTATCTGTTGGGGAGTTTGGCAGGGGATATGGGAGCGGACAGAGTGAAGCCTTGGAATGCCAGCAAGATCTATTATTATGTCCAGATGTATATAATCAAAATGTGGTCCAAGCTGATAGTAAATCAACTCAGTGCAAATACTCTGGACCATTGTAGGCATGGAGAAAAAGCGTAGAGTCAAACCAGTGGCACTAAAACTTCGTCAGTGTGCACATCCGTTTTACTATTACAGTAAGAATCTTGGCTACTAACATAATATGTTTTAGGGCTCAAAGACGATTATGTTTGAAGCCTAGCTTATCGAGGGGCCTAGAGGGATGGTTTTGATACGATTGATTGGATGTATGTATCGAACGCAGATGACATTTCGTGATCCTAATGTAGGGAAAAATAAGATTGCTCCCCCTCTCCGCCAACTACAATTTTAGAAAAAGCATCAGACTCGCTAGAAGCTGATAGAATCACCATTCCAGCGAAATCTGGGCTCCATTTACTGCATCCCCTTCGACATCCAGTTTGTTTGTATGTCCCGGCATAGGCTTTGCGGCGCACATGACATCAAACAAGTTCTTCCCAAATCGTTGAAAGGCTGCTGTAATTCCACCGCTTGAAATGAGCTCCTCCTCCATCTGACTCAGCGTAAAGGAATAGTAATATCCTCCCACACCAATGACTCGCGAATCAAGATCTATAGTGATCTCGGCGCCGTCCACGGCAGCATCATAGAATAAATCATCTTGCATAGTAATCCCCAGTAGCCCAAGGTTAGGCTGATTTCGTGCGTAAATAAAGGCGAAGGATTTAGCAATCACGCAGGTCACTCCGCAGCCCATGAGGGCTAACACTGCTTGTTCTCTTGAAGACCCGCAGCCAAATGCTTCACCTGCAACCACAACATTATACCCTTCTTTCACTCGATCTCGAAACTTGGGGTTGGTAAATTCAAGGCAATGCGATCCTATGGCCTCGGGCGTCCTCGAGGAAACCAGAAACTCTGCCGGGGCAAGCTATGAGTCATCTCCATTAGCTTTTTGATTCGAGTATTGATGGAATGAGCATAGTGGAAGCATCGTCCTTGGGGGCTTACAGCATCGGTATCAACGAAGTCCCCCAGCCGCTGGATTTTACCTCTCCTTATTTCATTTGCCGGGGACTTGGCTGAGGAATCCTCGCCGTTCGCATTTCGCTCGGTCTTCTGCTCCATTTCCTGTCCACTTGGAGGCTCACACAGACCACCAGGCTCAACATAGGACAGATCATCACCAATTTCTTCGGACTTTTTTGAATGTCCCATAATCTCACCGAGTCTGCCAAGCTCGATGGAATTGAGAAGAGGCCTTGGATCGGTGACTTTCATTTCAAAGGATGAAGCTGCCACCGTGATTGCTGAAGCGAGGTTTCCGAAGGATCCTATGCAGCGTATTAATTTCAAATAGAAATAAAACTCTCCTCCAAGGATGGACTCACCTTTACCCATACGGTTCTCAAAGTTTCGATTTTGGGAGGAAAGCCAAGTTTCCCCAGGGCCAGCACGATCCGCCGACATACCTACACAGTAGCTACATCCCGGTATTCCAATCTCAAACCCTGCGGCTTCATATATGTCGACCATGCCGGTTTTTCGGAGGTTGTTGAGAATAGGCATACTCCCTGGAACAATCTTTCGTTTTCCTGACTTCACCGGCTTCATGCCACGTTTGAGACCTTGTTCGAGTATTAAAGCCCCCAAAAACAGGTCTTCCTCGGCAGTAGTGCATGCACCGATAAAGCAACCGTCCAGCTGCTTTCCCGCGATTTGGCTCACTGGAACAACATCATCTGGACAAGGGTAAAGTGCGACAAAGGGTTCAACCTTGGCCAAATCAATCTCGTAAGTTCCTGAATATACTGCGTCTTCATCAGGGCGGTAATATTTTGAAGACTTCTTGTGCCGTGGAGACTTCCGTCGATTGACAAAGTCCGAGGTGACTTGATCTGGAACAAAGACACCCGTAATGCCCCCAAATTCCTGCAAATGATTCATCAGCATCTCTCCCAATATGAAGTCAAATCTCTCGAAATTACCGTCGTCATGTTGGCGATCGCAAAACGAGAATCACAAGATAATTGTTGAACTCCTGGACCAGTAAACTCCACGATCTTCTCAGCTGCAACAGTATTCCGCTTCAGTTCTTTTAGAATATAAAGAATGGTGTCCTTCCCTCCAATTCCGTTACGTGGACAGTTGATCAAACGGATGTTCACGCTTTCGGGAACTTTGAACCACGTCTCGCCAGTCACCAGAGGCATTGTCACATCAGCAGCCCCCAATCCGATGGCGAGGCAGCCAAGCGCACCAGAGGAACAGGTATGGGAATCCGAGCCAATGATTAACATGCCTGGCTGCGCCCGCTGCCGGAAAAATTCCGTGTGCATGATTGTATACTGGTGCAGGAAATGCGGTTAGATTTAATGGTTGAAAGCCAAATTCAGTCACCATTACTTACGTTCATCCCTTGGTAATCTGTCATTTTGAAAACATGCTTAGCTCTCTCACTGGCGTCAATCAGGTGTTTGACTTTCGGCACTGTATTGACTCGCGGGTCAACAACATGATCCCCAGCAAGCCAAAATCGATCATTCCGAAAAATCCCAGGGTTTCCGAGCTTCTCGTATGTTCGTTCCATACCCTACTTGATGTGTTAGCAGCAACGAATTAGATCAATCGGCACACTCCTAGCAAGGAGTTCAGAGGTCCACGCACAGCCCAAGACGCTTCAGACGCCATCACCCAATCAACATCAACCCTGATCAAGTCACCGGCCTTCACAAAGCCCCTTTGTTGAATATCATGGTCCGCAAAGATTTTTTCGCTCAGGGTCATCGCCCTCCTACCCTCTGGTCGAGATGACAGTTGTGGTCGGGGGGATTTGGCCCTATCTGCTGAGTTGAGAGATTCCATCCAGGCTGCAACAAGAAACAGGATTTCTGTCTCATCTTTTGCTGTCAGCGCCATCTCCGGGGTGAGACCCAGTCCACCAAAGTCCGTTTCAAGAGTGCATAATGCTATGACCTCTGTGAGTGTGTCGGCCTCGCGGGTATTGCCTGTATCGGAAAGAATCGCTGATAGAGACCGAATTTGCTGCAGCAACCCAGTGGCTGTTATAGAATGAGCTGCTTGTGGAAATTCTGACGACGGTTAGATGAAGCGGTATTAGCCAAAAATAAGTCTTAGCTGGGAGAGACCATGGCTAAACTTACCGGAATCATTCGTGGAGGCGTAAACTTGAACATTTCTAGCAGTCCGGAGATTACTCAAAAGCTTTGTTAACCCCGAAAATAGATCTTCAGAACATCCAACGGGGAGCTGGATATTGATTTTGGGCCCTAGAGACTGAGTGGTCATGGCTGTTGAAGTGGCAGATAATGATGTGAGTGATATAATAAGTACTCCTCGGTGCAACGATGTCAAAAAGTTCTTTTATCCCGACTGTACAGCTGTACAGAGTGACATGCAGACGTCCTTTAAGTATTCCATATATTTCATGTTATATAAACTCGCTTAAAACTAAATAAATAGTTAAATATCATACTCTATTTGCATTTGGATACCTCGGCCCGCATTCGGAGAGGCGGCGAGCGCTGCGGAATTGCTTTTAATTGGCCAAAAGGAGCAGCCACACAGCTTCTCCCATTGTTACCAAGTCGGAACAGGGATTCCCCGGTTTCTGGGGTTTCCAACGCGTTCCAGCACCTCGAAATCCACAACGCCAGAAGCATACTAGCACCACTCCTAGGCTCTCATCAGAGCGCTGCACTCGCTCTACCGATAAATTTTGAAATGATTATTATTCATCATGAAATCGAACTATCCAGCATCGCCGTCTACAACGGGGCAAAGAGAGCCAAGGTTGCAGACTCTCGCGCCATCTCGGCAAGTGCAAAGTAATGAGGGAGCAGGCGTTGGGCGCAAAGAGAGAAACATGTCGCCTGCAAACCATGCCGACAGGCCAAGGTAGCCAAACAAACTCCCGGATGGAGGTCGAATTTGACAACCTCTGACAGTGTTTTGTATTCTCTTAACAGTTACGCTGCGATGGTACGAAATCAGGGCCTTGCTCAAGGTGCCGTCGGATGAGACAGGAGTGCCATGTAGATACCCGATTTAAGAGAGTGAACAAGGGGCGGTATGATGACTACCTTATTCCCAGCAATGTCTCCCTAGATGGAAGAATTGGATGCATAGAGGGCTGATAATGTTTGCAGTAAATTCGAGGAATTGGAAAAGCAGTTAGAACAACTCCGCGCTTCTATCGCTCAGGCTGAGCAGACCCAGCCTGATTCGCCTGAAGTGGCAGATGGGCCAGCCCAGCTGAATAAATCACTGAGCCAGAATACTGAAGCTATTTCCACGGGTAATCAAATTCCTGTCCCTCCGGACGTGAGCGGTATATCTTGGGATCCCCGTTCAGAGGAACCATCAAGGCTCCCACCAATCTTGGGGGAACCACCATCAGCAGATGATAGAAGAGAACCCCTGCGACCCATTTCAGCTTCTCCTGTTTTCACACCAGCAACCAGTGACAGAACCCTTGATTTGATTACAGTTAAACAACAACAAATCGATGAGTTGTTTTCAATGTGAATTGTGGAACTCCAACAAAGCACAACTTGACTGATTGACAGACAGATTCTTCGAACATTACCACCCATACCTTCAACTCCTAGATGCAAATCTCTCTCCCGACGAATGTTACCTACGCAGCCCCACGTTATTTTGGGCTATTATCAGCGTAGCATCTCGTCGATTTGAAAACGAACCAAGTCTGATTATTAGTCTATCTTCACCGGTCCTCAAGCTCCTCTGGAGTTCAATCTCTGCTTCCGCCCAGTCTTGTCATACAATCCAAGCGATTCTTGTCATATCTATGTGGCCATTTCCCACATCTTCTATGTGGACTGATGTTTCCTATAAGTTGGTGACTATGGCACAAACTGCCGCTTCACAGCTTGGTCTGCATCGTCCAGAAGTGATACAGGATTTCTCACGCAACAAATGGAAACTAAATCCCAGTGGGATTCAGGAAGCTGTGAGAACCTGGTCCGTTTGCTATATCGCCGCAAAAAGGTAGGTCGCTCAACAAGCCAGAAACTGGAAGGATTTTTGAGATCTGAACAATAGTATTCATCAGTATCTCTTTGGCGGTCGGTCAACCTCTAACTGTTCCTTTCGACTGGACTATTGACCGTGTCTGCGATGCCAAAAGTCCATACTCGATGCCAGATGATTTAAGGCATCAGGTGATAATTTATCGTTTTGCGGCTCGCGTGAGTACCGCCATGTCTGGGAATCGACAGTCTCCAACTGGACTTCCAGCTCCCGGTGAAGGCACCTCTTTGCTGGTTTTACTGGAACAGGATTACAACGGTTTGGCTCGTGAGATGGAACAGAAGCTTTCCCGTGAGTGGTTCATTTCCAACTACCTTTGATGGTCGGATAGTTGCCTGACGAGGTCCCAGCTGTCAATCGAATACTTCTCGATGGGGTCGGCCTAGAGCTTCGAACATTCTACTTTCTTGATATCTGCTCCCTAGAGATACGCCGAGCAGGTCTATTGAGGGCATATAATACATCTGAGGCCTTGATCTCCAAAGTTCGAGAGGCCGATAAGGCAACAAATTTGATGAAGTACTCTCCGGCCGCCTTCTATCGCCTAACGATATTGTCTGCTCTTGTGATGCTCAAGGTTATAAATTCAAGCTACTCCAATCTTGTGGACATCGAAAGTGGCAAAAGAACTTTCAATTCCGCACTATCTTTGATTCGCCATTCGTCCGTGGAAGATAACGATCTCCCTGGGAGGTCCTCAAAGATTTTGGCTCAGCTCTGGAGCATTCAGAGTCAGCGTTATCGAAGACCGGAAGAAGAGCCCCGAATTAGCCTCACAACCAGGTCTTCAGCAAGTATTCTGCATGATTCTTTGTGGCTGTGGAGAGAAAGGTTTGGAAGCCAAGACTGTGGTATAAACACACCCACCGGTAGGTTCTTCTAGTTGCCCGCCTGGTGAGAACTCTAACAAGCTAAGTTGATAATTCAACGAAACCAGGAACATCCGCTCAAAGATGGGAAACAAATGATCCCCAACTTGTTGATGAAAATAATGATGTGGACCCCGGCATGAATATGGATTGGATATGGGATCTTGGAATGCCTGGTTTGGTATCATGGGAATTCGAGAGCAATCCTGGCTATTTCCCCTTGTCTTGAACAAACACGATGAGCAATAATTTGTACCTTTTTCCTCTTATCTTGAACAAGAGGTTCTTCGAGCATTCCCCCTTTTCTACCGAGTAGAAAATATAATTACTTGACACAATAAGCTAGATTAGGATAATTGCCACGGTCCATCGCTCCAAGGTTGCAGCTACTCTATCCCACGGGGATGGAAGGTTGCTTTGGCCTGAAGGCTATACCACTCTCTCATAACGCCGAGCACCGGGCTAATAACTAACTTGGAGCCTTGGAATCATTATATCCAGAATGGGGACAATAAACATAATAGGGATCAAAATGCTGATCATGGTATATGGCAGTAAAAACGAAGTGAAGATTGAAATAAGGTGCAAATGAGCAACAGCAGATTTTCCCGCTAAGCCATTGCATCGTCCATCTCAATATGACCAATGTGCAGTGCAATAAATAGAAGGACTGGTACAGGAACAAAAGATCCATACCAACGGGTATATAATGGTCTTGGTGTGAAATCTAGAAAAACATGTCATCGTCTAACGGCGTTCCCGCTTTACTGAAAATCAGATAACGGGCTTGCCAGCACCGCCACAGAATTCAAGAATCAGTCGTTCAAGGTCTAAAAGTTTGTAGGGTTTCGTTATGTAGCCTTTGATTCCAACCCTGGAAGCACGGTTCAGTGCTTCGTCCGTGACGTCTGTACTGACGGCGATGACCGTTAGGGGTGGTAGCGCATAGTAGGTATTAGGGATTGAATCCATTTCCATGCAGTCGGGGCTGTGACGGTTGGGGTCAAAGGCAGCGTGTTGATCACGATTACTGTTAACCATTTGGAGAATACGTGAAGTGGCTTCATATCCATCCATTTCAGGCATCTACAGATCCATCAACACAACATCGATCGCTTTCATTTTCGGTGCTAGGGGTGCCTCGTTGGTGACACCTTGCATTTTGTTCGAGGGGTCGGAGTTGGTAAGGCCCTCATGAAAATAATCCTGGCCATAGCTGGAATTGGGCAAAAGGCTCAAGCCATATAATTTCACACGTCATTATCTCTCGGGGGTCATATGAGGAAAAAATCTTTCTGGGGCAGGGGCAATCAACAAAAACGATGGTTAATGTTAGATGGATTTTTAGTTGCTGGCGCTAGCATGCACAGAATAGATGGCTGATAAGTGATCCACATGTCATGTGGATAAACTCTTCTATCTCTCTCTGCCTTGAATTTCAGGCGAGAAAGTGAGCATGTCCGTGCGTTCAGTGAGCACGACCTGAGTGCTGACTGTGCACACCCTGAGCACCCTCATAAAGCGGCGGCACCCCGATCGGGAAAATCGCGACCGCGGCCTAAAATCCAGTATATACTGCTACATATGTAGGTATGGTTGAACTCATGATCATGATTGCGTACAATCTATCGTCAGCAACAGTATACCGAGACAAAAAAAAGCATACCCATATGTACCTGCACCTCCCTCTCTTCGCAAACCCATATTTTCCTGGGCAGAAACGTATGTATAAATTCAAGAAATCCGAAAATGCAAAAATGCCCCGCGCAAAACGCAACGAAACAAATGAGGACTATCACAACAGAAAGCGTAACGTAAAGAGCACAAAGGAGAGAAAAGAAAAGACTAGTCGGCAAGCAATCCCCAAACTAAGTCTCAATAGCCCCCGGCGAAACCGCCAATATAACCGCAAGAGTAGCAATAATCAGCGAAGCAGCCACTAACGCCGTAAGTGCCACACTGCCCCGACTAGCAGGGAACTTCCCCCGAATAATCCAATACTGGCTCTGGAAGTAGCGGTGGAAGCCAACAACAAGGATAAGGATTGACACGCCGATGAAAGTCGAGCCGAGAGGCTTGCCCACGCTACGGAGACGGTTGGACGCAGAGGAGGCGTGAAACTCGGCTGAATCGTAGCCAGACGAGGCGAGGTGTGGTGGGAGGATGCCCGGTTGTGAGCCGGATGTTGGGTCGAAGAAGTTTGCGTGTGTGTTTGAGGAGGCGGTGTTCAGGCGGAAGAGTTGCGTTACTGCGATGCCGATTGAGGCGAAGGCTAGGGAGGTGCGCATCCAGGCTAGGAAGGTTCGTTCTGTTCGAAAGGGAGTGAATGTCAGAGGGGTCTATACGGGGGTTTTCAAGGTAGATTGCGCATAGCGTACCTAATGCGAGGTGGTCGCGGGCTACACTGCCTTTGTTCTCTAGCTCGAGACTGCCGTATCGATCTGCGAATCGGGCATACCAGGACTGCTGGGGCTTGGAAGTCGATTCTTGTGTTGTTGGTTGGTTGCCATTGTCGTGGTTCGCGTTGTTTGGTTGGAGGTCCTTTGGCTGGGAGGCGGCTGCTTGCTCTGTGGACTGATAGTTGCGCCCCGCGGGACCGGCTGTGTTGATTGGGGTGAACTCGGTGGATGGGGATGAGGTCAAGACTGGGTTCTGGTTACGTGCATTGTTTTGGGACGAGGAGCTTGAGTGGGACCGGGTGCTGCCGAAGGACGATGACAGGGCTGAATCTGTAGGCGAGCGTGACGATGAGTGGTTGTTTTTGGCTCCTCCAGAGGCCCTGGGACCTGTCGGGGGCGGTGCCGATGAGTCGAATGTGCTCATTATGGCGTGCTCGTCCGCTGATCTGTCACTGGGGAATATTATCCAATACGAGGTCGCCAGGGACCAAGTTTATGCAGGTCTGAAGCGCCGAGTTCTTCTAGGTCAACAGAGGATGAAAAGTAGCTGTTTGAGACAAGATGTTCACGGTAATGGAAAGCAATGGCTGTGTATGTTATGTTAAAGCCTTGCTATCTGAATTTCCTTTGTCTGCTCCTCTTCTCAGGGTGCTGTGGCCATCATGTGGCATATAATGTGACCTCGAGCAAAAGCGTGTAATAATGTGATGATCTCCCAGTCACCTGACCAATCCGGGGAAACGATCACATGCTCCACTCTAACCCACTTGGGCCAAGCCTTTGTCCGATGTGCAGTGCAACTTATAAAGCTTTGACATCTTGATATGGATGTCCAATGTAGTTAGTTAATTCTGGTCAGGGATCTGCTTTGATTTTCACATATGATTTTATAAACTAATACCTCATTATCCCCCCCCCCCCCCCCCCAACTGGCGAATTATGTCATTTTCTGTTTAAGGCAGGCGGTCAGTGCAGCTTTATGCTCTTTATCGACTTATCGCCGACTTATCGATTCCATCCTTCCCCCTCACTCAACCAACAGAATGGCATCACAGGCATCTTTACCATCTCCTACGGGGAAGGTCGATCTCTCCAAAAAGCTCTCTGAGTTACGGTCAAATACCCGCAGGGGAAACCCCAATCCCCGAGACCTAACTCCAACAACCCCTCCTCTCCCTTCGCCCCCAGACCTCTCCGCCCACCAGTACCGGCAACCAATCCGCCGCATCCTATCCCCTAAAGACCATGAACTCTTCCTTTCATCACCGACCCACAAACTTGTCCTCGCCTTTGTCTTCGGGCTAACTGATTCTGTGCGGGGGCATTCTATCACCGACCTCCAGAAAAAACCTCAATCCGAATCCATCTCCAAGGTCCTCTCAATCGTCACTCAGATACGCTCCCTCCTAGCCAAAAACCCACCAATCGATCAGGGTGGATCCCGATTCGGCAACCCCACCTTCCGAGCATTGTGCGACGACGTAAGCGCCCAGAGCACATCATGGCACACCAACATTCTCGGGCTGAAAGACGCTGGCGCAACCGAAGAAGCTTCGACATATCTAATCAACTGCCTGGGCTCACGAGAGCGTATTGACTACGGCTCCGGCCACGAACTCAACTTCATGATGTGGCTGCTATGCCTGTACCAGCTTGGTCTTCTTCCCGCCAGCGACTTCCCCGCCGTCGTGATCAAGGTCTATGTCGAGTACATGCATCTCATGCGCGAGATCCAGTCAGCCTACTACCTTGAGCCTGCTGGATCGCACGGTGTCTGGGGTCTGGATGACTACCATTTCCTGCCGTTCTTGTTCGGAGCTAGTCAGCTTGTCGGGCACCCGTATATCACTCCGCTCAGTATTCACAACACGGCTACTTTGGACGAGGAGGGCGATAATTATCTCTATCTGGATCAGGTCCGGTGGGTCGAAAGTGTCAAGACTGTGAAGGGGCTGCGGTGGCATAGCCCTATGCTGGATGATATCTCTGGTTCCAAGAATTGGACCAAGGTTGAGAGTGGCATGAAGAAGATGTTTGTTAAGGAAGTGCTGGGAAAGCTTCCTATTATGCAACATTTCTTGTTCGGAAGTCTTCTGCCTGCTTCGGAAGGCATGACCGATCCTTCTGAGGGAGGTGCCGAGAATGACGGTCATGACCATGCCCATGGCCACGACCATCCTCATGAGAGCGCAGACTGGTTCGGTGATTGCTGCGGCATCAAGGTACCCAGTACCGTGGCTGCAGGTGCTGAGATGCGTAAGCGTATGGGCGGATCGAACCTGCGCCCAATTCCTTTCGATTAACGTCGCAGATGGGAATTTAGGCATGCCAACAAAATAATGAATCAACATGAATACCATATTAGAAAATGACAAAACTGATAGTGATTTCTTTCTACTCCTACTACTTACTGCCTTAGTATATACCTGTCAGTATCCTCAGTATACAATAGCTGTTCGCTAGTCATAGTCACGATATCAATCTCATTCTGGTAGGTACAGCCAAATTGATCAAGTCCTGTCGATTTCAATCTTTAATACCATTATGTACATATTCGGCACAACAGGCTACCAAACCACCTAATCTCTCTTTCCATGGTGTTGCATCTACCGCCACGTTGCACTTGCAGTGCCTGTAATTCCAGAGCAGCCAGTTGGTACAGTATAGCTCCTGTTAGGATCACTTTCCCAGGTAATGCTACCGTCCGACCCTTTCTTGAAGAACTTGTACTCAAAAGTGGTACCAGCGGGGAGATCAATACTGGCAGTCCACAATGGGTTAGACGTTGTGTATGAGCCTGCAGATAGAGCAATCGCCGACGAGGTAGACCAAGAGCCCAACTGGCTGATTGACCCGGTAACGAAGACATTCTGACCATACGTCGTGGTCACTAGCTCCTTGAAAGTGACCGGGACGGTGGTGGCAGTAGTCGCACATGCTGTGGTAGTTGTTGTGGAAGTTGTGGCGGTGCTGGTCTTGCTCGTCGTAGAGCTGGTGGTTGAAGTCGATCCTGACCCCGTACCCCCAATGGCAATATCAGCACAGTGAAGATAAGCCTGGGCTGTCTGGAAGGAGTTCCACCGGAAGCGTAGTAGAGTGTGGGCCGAGTCGTATTCTGGGATTTTGATTTTCTTCGTAACGGTGTAACCACCAGCGATAGTTGTCTTGCAGGAGTTTAATGGAGCGCCATCCACGCCCTGACAGCCGCGGTTGCTGTCGGCATTGAATGCATTGCAAGTGAACCAGTCATTGCGCCAGCATGGTTGGTCAGAGGTGCAGTCAGGGCTGTAGCCACAGGTCTGTCCAGGAACATCTGTACATTTCAATTCACCCTCTAGGAAACAGTCTTCGGCAGCTTGTTTCTCGGCATTGGTGGGAAGATAGTTTGGGTCCAGGAACAAGTCGACTAGAGTCTGATTCTGGCAGATACCGTAGGTAAACATGCCACCATGGTCGCCATTGTGGTCGACACACCATTGCACTTCGACGATCTGGTTTGCAGTATATGTGGCAACGACAGAGTTGCCCCAGTGAGCGCCAGGCTGGTTGTAGTCAACACTAACTCGGGCATTGTAACCACATGGTCCACTTCGGCCAACTTGGGGTCCTTCCAGGTCAGGCCATGCAGTGACTGGTTCAAGGATGGAGCATTCAGGGCAGGTATCAATGCCAGCCTAATAAGATCAGTCTAGTACATTACATCCATGAATTCATCATCTGACATCTTACCTCGAATCCAAGCCGAGTACGACTTGAAGGAATGGTCAGGTATCCATGAGCATTGACTGACGACAGCAGACCTGCCAGGGTCAGAATAGAGACTGCCTTCATCTTGGGTGTACTTTCTCAACAGTCTAGAGACTAAATATAAGCTGCTCGGCTCTTAGAATCGAGGGAAACATATCCCTTTTATACATGTATTTCCCCATGATTTCAGGTCGATTGTATCAACCATTCATGTCAGGATTGTTGTCGGCTTGAAAGTCTGAACGTTTATGGGCGTTGCCTTGGCATTGTCAGTATATATCTTCGTAGTCGTATTTCATTTTGTGGCGTCTAATCCGATAATTGTCCGACGGCCGCTAGGGTAAAGGGATGCAAGCGTCAGATTTTTAGTCGAATTCCTTCAAAGCTCAGTGACAAGAAAGCCTTGGAAGCCGATAAATCCCCGCTTCCCTCATATACTAATTGGGTAACTGGCAGAGGTAAGCGGCGGCGGCGTTCGGCATTCCCGTTTCTTCAGGACATTCGCGTTTTCCAGACTCTGATATATTCTAATTACAATCAAAAATTGTACTTGGACATGTTGAATGATCTAGAGCCAACTGTTATTATCCAGGTATGTCTGCTTACTGACCTTGAATGCCCCATCATTTCTCAGGTACCATTCCCCACGTCTTACTCCGCCACCACAATATATTTCGCTTACTGAGTGAGATCTATAAGAGGCCGACTGCTAAAGAGACTACCTTGATAAAATGCAGCACCCTATCCACGTGAAACCTGGTGTAATCAAAATGACTGTTTAATTCTATGATTGTGCATTATTTAGAACGCAAAACAAATGACGGGGGCCCTAAACTCCTTAACCCATTACATTCTTACTAGGTAGTATACTCCTAGCAATACTTATCTATAGTCATACATTCTCTCACTAACCTCTTATAAAGTAACATTTACTAAATATCCTAGCAAATAACCCTCTTGAGCCCCACAGCATTTTGGAAATACGAGGAGACCGACTTCTTTTTTTTCTATAGGTTTCTTTCTGTTTATACAGAGCTGACCCGAAGTTGTTCGAATCTTTTCTTTGAATAGCTCGAATACTTCGGTAGCTACAAAGGGACCACAGATTCGAACCGTTTTTGGATATGACTCGGTCTTGGAGCTTTTGATCTGTGACTGTTATTCAATTTGCATGCCTAGAGAGTCTAGTGTTGACCGAGAGTAGTTGTAAAATACGAGAGATAGTGAATTATTGAAAACTTCCAAAACACCCCAAAAGATGTCCAATCACAACCCAGCCTCGCCCACGGTTAACTGTCCGAGTCACCATCAATTATATGGGACATATTCCAACCCTGTTCATGAGGTTGCGCGTGGGGCAATGGAGTCAGCATCAGTGGTTAAGGGTATCCTGTAGCTCTGTTGGCTGCCTAAATGTATCCTGTGGGTTTGGCGCCTGAAGAACACAATGCGGCTGCTGCGGTTGCTGAGGATACAAGCTACCGAGAGATCTAAGTCTTTATTTGATTCTATAATTTTTATCGTCGGTTTATACCACGATTCTCACTTAATTGTCCAGAGCTTTCTATAGCAACATTTCTTTCGGTGTCTTCCCGATATCGCCCTAGCTCTGTAAATGGGAGAGAGCACGGTGATAAGCCCCCGCGCTTTCAAGACACACAACACGCTACCCTGCTGAGCCCGCCACCTTTGCAGACTTGGATTCTGAAGAAAGAAATCGCCCCCCCCCCCCCCCACCGGAGATTTATCACGCTAGCTAGTCCTGGACCGGGAAAAGTATTTCGAGCCGATAAGTGACATGAGACACTTGCGGTGATCTTCTCGGAGAGATCCCGAGACAACAGTATTTGGTTGCCCTAACAAAGGTACTTCACCGTACAGTCCCAGGAACGCACATTTATCCTCGGCATAATCCGGCTCAACTCACAAACGATCGGCATTGGACCTGCGGTTTGTTTAATGCCGTGCAGTTGAAATTGGGCTCAGGCACGACCGGGATAGCCGGGCCGCCAACAGCAATGTATTTCGCATCGGACTTGACAAGAGGTGGGTAGAACTAGATCATATGATTAGATTCCATCAATCGTCAAGTCTAAGCTTTTTTGAGCCACACCCAAGTATGCTCGGCATAAATATCGATCTCTTGCCTTCATTAAATGGTATAAATACCCCTCGTCCGGGGCCCCGCATCTTCAGGGCACTAAACTAAACTTCAGTGGACTACTTGGACGCCACAATCCTACGCTAGCTAGGCTTGTCTGTTTGCAGGTAAATCACAAGCCATATTTATTCAATTCAGTTCGGTTAATTGCGCCATGAGGAAAGGGGAAAATCCCGGTGGCACAAGCTTAATGCTACTATGATGCGGGGTGCACTCAAAACAACTTCCAGGGGCTATACTCGTGACATTTGTAGGGCTTCTCACTAGCATCAGGGGCGGAACAATACCTTCCGTCCCACTAAGTAACAAGCTAGAAATTACGCCATTCAATTCACCTATTGGTAGGTCTATGGGTAGCGTCGCTTAAATCTGCTATTGGTATTAACCGGGTTTGTGAAGAGCACCATTCATCTATACTATCAAGTAAACAATGCGTCTCCACTAGAATTATTGGAGGAGAATTACCGCCACTTTAGTACCCCCTGCTACTGATCTAGAAAATGGCTTCTTGACTGATGAATTGAATAATATAAATATGAAGGCCGGACACTGCACGGCGTAAGGCCCTACTTTTTTCTCCTCAATGCCCATTGAAGCATCTCCTCCTTGGTTAACTGAACTACTGTTCCAAGGGTGATCAAACATGTTCTCACGACGAAGCTTCGAACGCTTCTGCGTACTGGTTCTAAGCCTTGCTGCCACTGGTACGCTTGTTGAAGCTGGGCCCTGTGATATATACGCCTCCGGCAACACGCCCTGCATCGCCGCGCACAGCACCACTCGGGCCCTGTACAATGCCTACACCGGCGCACTCTACCAGGTCAAACGTGGCTCCGATGGTACCACGACCGATATCTCGCCGCTTTCCGCTGGTGGGGTTGCGAATGCCGCAGCCCAGGACACATTCTGTTCAAGCACAACCTGCTTAATCACGATCATTTATGACCAGTCTGGCCGCGGTAATCACCTCAAGCAGGCTCCACCGGGCGGCTTCAAAGGCCCTGAAGCTAATGGCTACGATAACCTGGCCAGCGCGATTGGCGCACCAGTCACGCTGAACGGCCAGAAGGCATACGGCGTGTTCATGTCTCCCGGCACCGGCTACAGCAACAATGCCGCCAGCGGCACGGCGATAGGGGATGCAGCGGAGGGAATGTATGCAGTGCTTGATGGAACCCACTACAACGGTGCCTGCTGCTTCGACTATGGCAATGCTGAGGTCAGCAGTACCGATACGGGCAACGGCCACATGGAGGCCATCTACTATGGTGACAACACCGGCTGGGGCTCCGGCGCTGGGAGTGGTCCTTGGATCATGGCTGACCTTGAGAACGGCCTGTTCTCTGGCTCTTCCCCGCCAACAACGCCGGCGACCCGTCGTTGTCCTACCGTTTTGTCAATGCGGTTCTCAAGGGAGGGCCAAACAAATGGGCCATTCGCGGTGGAAATGCTGCGTCCGGTTCCCTATCAACATACTACAGCGGCGCGCGTCCAAGCGTATCTGGATACAACCCGATGAGCAAAGAGGGTGCCATCATCCTTGGCATCGGCGGCGACAACAGCAACGGCGCCCAGGGCACGTTCTACGAGGGCGTGATGACTTCCGGCTACCCGACCGATGCCACCGAGAACTCTGTGCAGGCTAATATCGTAGCGGCGAAGTATGCTACCACGTCGCTGACTAGCGGAACCGCGCTCACTGTCGGTTCATCAATCTCGCTGCGGGCTACCACGTCCGGCTACACGACGCGCTACATCGCACACACCGGCACGACCATCAATACTCAGGTTGTCTCGTCATCCAGCACCACCGCCCTCAAGCAGCAGGCTAGCTGGACGGTTCGCGCAGGTCTTGCCAATAGCGCTTGCTTCTCGTTCGAGTCCGTCGATACCCCTGGGAGCTTCATCAGGCACTATAACTTCGCGCTCTTACTTGCCGCCAACGACGGCACGAAGTCACTCTACGAAGATGCCACATTCTGCCCGCAGACCGGCCTAAATGGCCAGGGCAGCTCGATTAGATCCTGGAGCTATCCCACTCGCTACTTCCGCCACTACGAGAACGTGCTTTATATTGCGAGCAACGGCGGTGTCCACACGTTCGACTCCGCCACTTCTTTCAACGATGACGTGAGCTGGGTGATCAGCACTGGCTTTGCTTGAGATACCTTGCATATTTCATAGGCAAGGGGGAGATATCTGCTGGAACAGAGATTTATATCCAGTATTATTGACGTCAATAATCCTGCCATTGACAAGTCGAAAGTTTAGAGGATGTAAGAGAGCACAATGGTTTTTCTATCTGTGTTGCCATCTGATTGAATAGAGTCCGTTGGAGGTCTGCTTGCTGAGAGGTTGCAGAGTGAGAAGACAATATCAAATGTTTCGCGCTTTGCAGGAAAAGTGATGTCCCCGTATCTAATTTTAGAAGTGAAGACCTTGAAGGGTGTCAAACAAGAAATAGATCAGATATGGCCCCACTAGGCCCTCGCCCTAAACAGGAACCTTGGTTTTTGTTATGGTCTAGTGGTAAAATACGCCGTATTTTGTTTCGCAAAGGGTACTACTTTTTCTGTGGTAATTTATTATTTGCTTTTGCAGGTATGCTGCAGTCTAGGCCGCTGAGATTTAGGTACGTTGCGTAAGAAAGTAAGCCGAAGCTCAGAACTCTTGGTACTTAACCATGACCATTCCTCTACCACACTGATTATGATAAAGAGCTAAAACACCACCCACCATTTTTCAAGAGGCAAAGTAGCGGGATCGGCTCGAAGAGGAGCCACGCCTGCCCTACCGGAATTACTCTTCCCTCCAAAATAGGCGATTTCGAAAGCAAAACAAGGAACAAGCAAGAAATCGTACCCTGACCTCGCCCGATACGCCGAACAGAGTGGACTACAATGAAGTCACAACATGACGACGCTGTTGCTGCTGCGATAAAAACCGAAATCAACCATTTTATGTCAATTGCCTGGTGTCGCCCTCACCTATGCGATCCAAGCTTTCTGCCTGTTGACAAACCCCGAGAAGCTACGCCAGACCACGGACACACGCTACTCGGCAAGACATGGTTCACTAAGGACACGCTTCCGCATGTGCTCACTTTGTATCGACAACATTCTGCCACAGAAGGCTGCAGGGGCGAGATCCGCAGATTTCATACGTTAGGCACGGGGCTAAACGAACATCCGAATATCTTTCACGGTGGAGCCATTGCCACCGTGTTAGATAGTGCACTGGGTGCTCTCGTCAGGAGTGCGATGCCTGATGGGAGGCCAGGATATACGGTTGCGCTGAACATTACATATAAGAAAGCTATTAAAACACCGGAGACGATTATGGCACGTTCCTGGATCACAAAGATGGAGGGGAGGAAAGTTTGGGGTCGTTCGCAGATCGAAAGCAGCACCGGCGAGATCCACGCGACTGCAGATGGGATTTTTGTCAAGGGGAGTGCAAAAATCTAGTGAAATTCTACAAGATGAATAGATCCCCAAGGGTTGACTGGCCGTGCCAAAACGATTTATTTGGAGAATCAATCTACGTATTATCGATCATGGCCAAACGATACCTATTCATAGCGGATTTATAACCAACGTCTTTTCTTGTGTTAGGGATCATTGGCCAGAGAGTTTGTGATATATCAGATACATACTAGATCCCTGCGGCTTAAAAGGCGAGGTAAAATATAACATTTTGCTAGTAAACACGATATATATATACAGCCAACTACATTAAAAAGAGAAGGCAGAAATCAAGACGTTTGGTGTCTACCTCGGTTAGAATCAACAAGTCTATACCTTGCTCCCAGCACGGACACATGGTCATTAAGTCTTTTCGTTACCTAACTTGCAAGCCATCATGATTATTATTTCTACCTTGGGACGCTTAGCAACCCCCCAGGCTGGGCGATCCCGAAGGGGCGTGGTCAAGAAGCAGCTTCCCCGCACGGAGATGCTTGTGGACTTGCTACTAACTGCTGGTCTCGGCGATTTTGCGGGGCTTAATCAACAGGTATGGTCGACATCCATCAACCAAGTTCCTCGGTGATTTTGCGGTCCAGTCAAGAACTATGACAGGGAACAACCAACTGCTCGGTTATTCAATCAAAGACCGCGGTTGATGACAACAAACAGCTATATAAATCCATCGATATCTGTCCACGTTTTAAATATTTCTCGAACGCCTCTTGCATTTATCTACATTAGAAACATGGCTACCCAGTCTCGAGTTCCTGCAGCCGCAGAGTCCGGAACATTCACCCAGCTTGGGACGTTGCCGAATAGCTACACTTCCGATATCAGCTTACAACGAATGCTAGGATGTAAGTTCAGTGCATCTACCACCTTTTATTCAATCTAACCCGAAGACAATAGGGTACCTTCCAGCAGAGACCCTCAAGTTGGTTGAACCCCACCTCGCTCAATTTGGCGAGGAGGCTGTTTCGCCCCAAGTCTTTGCATGGAACTCCGACGCAGAGGCTAACCTCCCATATGTGAAGAAGTACAATGTCTGGGGCCAGCGGTATGGGTACGACAAACTGATTACGGCTGATGGCTGGAAGCAGTTAGGAAAGTGGGGGGCTAAGCATGGGTTAGTCGTTCGTCTAGTTCTTGATATGCATTTGACACTGATACCGAATGTTTTAGGGTTGTTTCGCTGGGATACGACCACACATACGGCGTTCATAGACGCACTGTTCAATATGCTGCGTACGTTACAGTTCCTTGTCTTGTTTCATGAGAGTGAGTACTAACTACCGGACCCAAAGTGTGTATCTATACGCCCCCTCGTCGTCCATGTACAGATGTCCGATGAGCATGTCCGATGGAGCGGCATTTGTATTGTCACAGCGCCTCAAGGATCTGCCGAATGACCATATTTTGCACACTGTGTTTCGGAAACTGACCTCCAGAGGAGACGACTACTGGACATCCGGCCAATGGATGACGGAAAGAGCAGGCGGGAGCGACGTTCAAAACACAGAAACATGGGCCACCTTCGCACCCTTGCCACAAGGGTCGAAAACATCTGACGTCCTTTCCGAAGGCGACTACCTGATCAGCGGATTCAAGTTCTTTTCCTCCGCGACAGACGCCAATGTCGCATTTCTCTTAGCTAAGACAGAATCCGGCAAACTGAGCACATTTATTGCGCCCTTACGGAAGATGTCTATCGGAGCTGATGGAAAGCCAGAAGAAGTATCCAATGGCGTGCGCATCCACCGCCTGAAGAACAAGCTTGGTACCAAGGAATTACCCACAGCTGAACTGGAACTGAAGGGCATGCGCGCTCACCTCGTCGGTGAGATCGATCAGGGCATTCAGACTATTGCTCCACTATTGAATACCACCCGCATTCAGACGCTTCTTGGAACATTATCAACCTGGCGTCGTGCTATTAGCATTACGAAGAATTTCGCCAAGTCACGGACTACTGTCGGCGAGCCATTATGGTTGATTCCGATGCATCTGCGCCTCCTTGCTGATGTGGAGGTCAAGCATCGCGGCGCTATAAATCTGGCCTTTCTCACAATTGCAGTGATGGGATTGATTGAAAATCCGTCTAGCTCCGCGAGACATGCACACATGCCCAAGGATCTTGCCGAAGCAAAAGTCGTCTTCCGGGTCCTAACCGCCACATGCAAGGGTGTCGTTAGCAAGATGTCGATGGTAGGTGTCCAAGAATGCCAGGAAGCGATGGGTGGAGTCGGATACATTGATGAACCGGATGAGCCTGAGTTCAACATTTCGCGTCTCCTCCGTAGTGCAGCCGTCTATCCGATCTGGGAGGGTACTACGAATGTCCTGGCTAGTGAACTCGTCCGCTTCCTCATGAAAAAGGATAACCTGTCTGTTTTGGCAGGTTGGCTCGGTCGTGTTGTGTCTTTGATCCGCACACCGTCTCTCACGGGTGCATTGAAACAGGCTCTGACTTCCTTCCTTTCTCGTGTGACATCTACTCGTCCACAGGCTGCGTTGCTGGCTGATGCCCGGAGAATTATGTTTACCTTTGCCTGGATTCTTGCTGGGGCTCTCCTGACTTTGGATGGGGAGCGTGATGGGGATGAGGCCCCAATGGAAACGGCTCGTAGATGGATTCTGTTAGGTGAGGGTGGTGTGGGTGAGTTTGTCTACCGGGATATTGTCAAGCCGTATCAGGCCTTCGATTCGACTTCGGGGAGTGATGAACATACACGGTTGGATTGCAAGATCGCTTGGGGTGTTGAATTGCCGGCGAAGGTGGTATTTGGGCATCGGTCTTTGAGCGAGTCCTCGAAACTCTAGATTGAACCGGTTTGATGAAATGCTTAGATCCAACATCGAAGCAGGTAGGTCAGATTGTTTAGCATATTGTAAATACGCTTTGAAATTTCCATTGATCTCGTCAACACCTAGTTGGAGCGTTGCAGAGAGTCGTCATAACAAAACGACCATTGTAACACTCACTGAAGTGCATATCATAAAACTGCCTTATCCGCTTCCACATGTCAATGACATGTTTCCTCTCAACAATCTCTCCTCTCTTGTTGGGGGTATTTAAATGTCATTGGGTTGCTATTAGAGTACGGGGATACTGGGCAACCGACGAGAGATGGGCTATCAATTCAAGGATGTGCTGCGCAGAAGGGTCACCATGGGTAAGTAGAGTTCTTGCGGAAGTTGAGGTATTCTTAATTAATGCCTGAAGGGGACTAACCTATTGATTTTAATGATGCCTTGGAAAATTTTCTGGTTTCTGCTTGGAGTCGCTGTGCATGATCAAATTCAATTTTTTTCGCGTACTTATATACTGCGTGGTTCGTCTGTTGTTGGGAAGAAGTATCGAGTCGGGGAGTTACGGAACTATATGTATGAATTACGGTAGAAAGAATACTATGTTACTTAAATATTTTTGGGTTTTTTTTTTCTCAACTACTTATATCTTAGAAGACCAATTAGTGATTTCTAAAGCCAGCTCCTTTATTCCCCCAGAAGTAGTATGATATGGAAGGTGTACTCCGTACACCTGGGCAGTATAGAGTGAACCGTTCAACCCGCCACCGCCTCTGATTGGCCCAAATCCAACCTCAAACTGCGACAAGAGAACCACCCTCCGTTTCCGATCAACACCACAACAACACACACAAAGCCAAATATTACTAATTGTGACTAAGCACTCACCTACACCCTTTCCCGGTGTAGGTGAGCCCACACCTATTAACAAACCCATACCTGTTAACAAAAAAATCAACATTTCAATTTTAAACCTATTTTTTACCATCAAAACCATGCCGAATTCCTCCGAAAAAGAAGAGATTCTTCTCTCAAATGCCCTCGAATCCTATAAATCAGGCCAATTTACTAGTATTCAGGCCGCAGCCTCTCATTTTGGCGTCTCAAAGTGGAAGCTTCGAAACCGAAAGGACGGTAGAACAAATGGAAAAGGCCGTGCAGCTACCAAAAAGGCCCTAAATTCCTCACAAGAGGCCTCTCTTATTCGCTGGATTGAGCACCTTAATTCAGTATATACACCGCCAACTGCTATCGATATTGAGGGTGCTGCGAATCGTCTTTTACAACATTGTGGTTCCGACCGGCAGGTTGGCAAAATGTACGGCTATCAATTCATTCAACGCCTACCACCCCATATTACTCTACGCACACAAAAACCAATGGAAAAAGCAAGGATTGAAGCTGAATTACACAGTGATTTAGTTCATTGGTACCAGGTTTTTGGCCAGTTTCTTAAAAAGAATAAAATCCAGGCCCATGAACTATACAACTGGGATGAGACTGGCTTTCAGCTTGGTATTGGAACCAAGGAAAATGTTGCTTCCACCCGTAAATATGAGACTATTGCGACCGGTGGAATAGGCCAGAATATTACCGGCATTGAATGCATCTCTGCCGATGGCTGGGTTATGCATCCATGGTTTTTAATGCGTGGTTCCGAACAAATGGAAGATTGGTTCGATGGCGATGATGATCCTACCAACTATAGGGTTATTAAACCAACTGCTAAAGGCTGGACGGATGATAAAACTGCTATTCAATGGCTATTAGATTTCCATTATGCCACTAAAAAGCGAGTCGCTAAAGGCAGACCTAGGATTTTGGTTATGGATAATCATGGGTCTCATGGAACCCCGGAATTCGAACATATTTGCCAAAGCTTCAACATTATACCTTGGTGGTTTATACCAAAGTTAACACATCGATGCCAGCCTCTTGATGGCAAGCCATTCTCAGTTCTTAAACAAAAATTCCGAAAAAAGAACAATGAGATTGTACGATGGGGTGGAGATGTTGATGATAAACGACATTTTCTTCGAATGATCAAAACAGTTCGCAAAGACACCTTTAAGGCACAGACTATTAAATCATCATTTCGAGATACAGGTCTTTGGCCTTATGATTTACATATTGTTTGTGATCAAATTGATCCTGGCTGGGAAGATGAACCAGTCCTTGAGATATATGGTCATACGCCGTCACCAGACCGTGAATTTCCCAGTTCGGCAACGAATTCGCCGCCTAATTCAGATCAAAGATTCTCAAAGGTTGAGAATAAGGTTCAATTGATACTCGAGAACGATGAACCAGACCTTCCAAAGCTTCAAAAGCATATAGACCGTGCAATTCGTGGTGGTAAGCAGGCTATCCAAGACCTAGCACTTGCAAAACAAACGATAAAAAGGATGCAAAGCCACAAAATTCCTATCAAAAAATCTAAGCGCATGGTAAAAGGTGCTGCTAAGAGTCCATTATCATCAATTGCAGGCAATTCGAAGGTGTATCGGCGATGTACGAAGGAATCTAAATTGGATATTCGGCATGAGGCTGGGAACGCAAGGATTCGAGACTACTGGCATCGCGCGAATCAGGCTCTCAAAGAAAAAGAAGAGGCATCAGGGGATAGAGATTATCTTGATGTTAATAGTGAGCTATTTAGATATGTAGATCCAGATGGTATGGTGGCTGAAAAATAGGTTTAAAATTGAAATGTTGATTTTTTTGTTAACAGGTATGGGTTTGTTAATAGGTGTGGGCTCACCTACACCGGGAAAGGGTGTAGGTGAGTGCTTAGTCACAATTATCCACTCAGTCGTGCGTCGCGCTCCAAATCCGAAAAGGGTAACGAAACCACCACATCCCCGCCGACACACAAGGCCGATCGACCAATCCCCTCTTACTCCGCACGCCGCGCACGTCGCACACGCCTATCATCTCCCCTGGGCCCAATATCTCTACGAGTGACACGCCACCCACCAAAAGAGAAGACTGAAAATAGTCTCGACCTACCGCAACCCCCAAACCAGCGCCGCAATCATGGCGGGCGACGAGTACTCCGTCGGCGGCGGCAAGCTCAAGCTGAAGGGCAGTAAAGTCAGCGGAGGGCGGATAGAGAAGAAAAAGAAGAAGAGCACGAAGAAGAAGGAGGGAGAAGCACAGCCAAAGCCGGAGACAACGCCGGATACGCAGCGGCCAGAAAATGAAAGGGAAGAGGGTGTGAGGTCTGAGGAAGACAGAGAGAAGGAGTGGGATGCATCTGGGAAGACTGAGGCCGAAAGGAGAGCCGAGGAGATTCGGCGAAAACGGGTATGTTCTTTCTTTCTTTCTTTCTTTCTTTCTTAGCCTTATCTTTTTGTCGGGCTTGGGCTCTTTCTACTTCGGCTTTGTTGTACAGAGAAACTGACTTTTCGGGACAGTTGCATGAGCGGCTCCAGCGCGAAGGTGTCAAAACTCATAAGGAGCGTGTGGAGGAGTTGAATAAGTATCTCAGTCGACTGAGTGAGCATCATGATATGTATGTCTTACTTTTTCTTTATACCTTTGTTCGGTTTCTTTGGGCATTGGAGGACTATAAGCTGACTTGTTACATAGGCCGAAGATTGGACCGGGCTAAATGGGTTCTACGGTGTTTCAAATGGGTTTCAGCGCGATCACACAATTTTAGTTCAAGAATACCACACCTGTACTTGTACTTAATGCTTTCTGTCCAACTGTACTAATGGCTGTCAAGAATCTGCCGTGTTTCAGAGATGATCCATGGACTACCCAAGGTACTCCACCAGAAGGATATGTCCGATAAGAAAGGGGCTCAAGATTTCGAAAAATATGTATAGTTCATTGCTAAAAATGAGAAGAGCTCTATTTAGCGGTCCGAAAAGAGAAGAGGCATGCCTAAAATGCGAGAAATGGCAGGAATAGATAAGCGACCAAAATATCAAAAGATCAAAGAATAGATGTCAATAATATGTCAACACCGAGAAGAACGCCATGCAAATGAATCCCGCAAAGACTCAACCCAAAAAAAAGCCGTAGCCGAAAACCGAATCCGATCTAGATATAGATCACGAACAACCAGACAAAAAGACGAAATCCCAATCCCCGGAAATCAGAGCAGAGGAAGAGTAATAAAACGAAACACCGCGCTAAATCCAAGATCACCGCAGAGGCACGCAAGAAAGGGAAGAACCGGGTCGAATCGAACCGAATCGAAGCCAAGCCTAGCAGGGATGGCACTTGATCGGCCGAGGCGGGCAGATAAGATAGGGGGAAGGGAGGCGAGATGGTCCGAGCCTACGAAGACTAGGCAGGCCATCCTTAGGGGATGGCGCCATCCGTCCCCCTTTGTTCAGTCGAGAGAAAAGCGAAAGAAACAGGGTATTTCTCATCCTGATTGTAGTTGTCCTTTCTCATACGCCCTTGACAACGACGGTGCGTTCGCTGTTCAGCTTATCGGCATTTCGGGCGTGTGATTCTTTCTTGCAGTCTTCCAGTCCGGTGCAGGAGTGGGCTTCCAGCATGCGGTGCTTGGAGCAGAAGTGGCCGGCGCAAAAGCTGCAGTCACCGACGATGCGCTGGGCGGCTTCCTTGCACTCCTTGAAGTTGCAACGGGGCTTGCGGGGAGGCATTGTGGTTGGGTTGTTGGGTGGAGGGAGGCGGTTTGGAGAGAGGGGATGATATAGAGGTACTTCTGCGGAAGAGATAAAGAGAAATAGGGAGTAGAAGTAGTTCAGGCGAGACGCTGAGGAGAGTGAGCTAAGCGCCTTAAGTGCGGAGGCGGGGAAAGAGATAATGCGATAGAAAGTAGTAAAAGGGGGAGGAAGGGAAAGATGCCAGCACGACCAGCCTATATATAGGGTAATCGGATCGGAAGACACGGGAGAAAGCCAAAGAAACAGACTTCTAACCAAGAGACGGGGCTGACTCAGTGAGGCGACAGTGACGGAATCAAGAAGTGGAGTTACCAGAAAGTTATGCTGTTGGGGCTAGGCGATTTGGGATTTAAGTGGATTTTTAGGCATTTAATGAAATTAATAGAATTAATTGGGTCTTATATTGGAGATTATTATAGATTATTATAGATGATTATAGATTATTTACAAATATTCGACCCTGTTAGGTGATCTTAAAAGAAACTAGTATACCCTTGGAAGGCCAATAGGACCCCCTATCTCTCAACTGGACCGGTATACAACATACTCTATATTAGATAAACATTTTTTAAAAGAGTTTTTTTTTCACTTTCTTTCTGATTCTTTCAAATTTTTCTCTTTTAACTTTACCGGATTTCTCTGCATACCCACGCGGACGTATCACCCAGGCATCTGGTCTCGGGCCCAATGATCGGAATGTTGAATTGCCCGTGCATTCAAGGGCGTATTTTCACGTGATGATTCAGGAGTCAGGTGTACAGATGAAAAAGTCTCTCAACTAACTAGACTACCCCGTACTAATAACTAACTAACTACTACCACTAACCAGAGTTGAATTAGACTTGGAAAAGAACCCAAATATCGGTCTTCCGAGTTACCGCGCCACCAAAGTGGCAAGATGTTCACCCGGATTTCTCCTATTGTGGTACTCCAGGCACTTCATTTTACTATATCATACAGAATACGGAGTAGATAGCGCCCAATGATACCACTCAATCCAATGCAGAAGAGAGAGAGAGAAAAGCCATGCAAGTGGACGAAAAGAGCTATGACCTCTGCAGCGAGGGAACTGTCTGCAATACAAATCGACGAGTCGCCTGAGCCAAGGCCGCCTAGGCACGACGGATGATCCGCGTGGAGCTATTGCATCGGTAACAGCATATGCAGGACTGTATACTCCTACTGCGTACGGAGTAGGGTATGATGCCCTTGTATACATTTCCCGGGTTAGGCCTTAAGTGAGGGCCGATCCCGCTACCCAATTTCACCGTCTTCTCTCCACATATCCACACCATCGCCCTACGTAGTAGTACACTACTCCGTATCTGCTCACGGATCCCTCGCAGAGACACGCTAAACGGTACAAATCACAATCATACCACGTTTACGCGGTCTACACGGGCTACGTGTTCGTGGGCAATTTTAAATAGCGACTAGCGTGGATTGGTTTCATGATATGTCCACTGGTAAGATTTGAGGACGGGGAGAGACAAAAGAACAAAAAAAAGAAAGGAAAATGTAAATGTGAATAAAAACCCATGGACGCCGGCGCAGACACCGATGATGCGCTCAAACCCCCTTGCCCTGCCCAAATAGCAAAAAGGAAAAAGAAAAGAAAAGGGTTAGAAATAAAATCTCCGCATCTCATATCATACTCCAAGCTCGTTTGCCTTGCCTGCATCGGGGTCCAGGTAATCCTCCCGTTCGGCTGCCTCGTACTCGCCGATCAGATCCATCACAACGGCCCGTGCCTCGTCAAATTCGCCAAGTCCGTCAGCAAATGGCGCCTCCTTCTTATATGAATCCAAGAAGGCATTGCGCTTGCGGAGCATGTCGTAGTGCTTCACGATTCGCTTGAAGAGCGTAGCGACGGATGTATGGTTGGCCAACATCAGCCCGCTGACACGGTGCCCGGTTTCCTCAATATACGGGGATTTCTTCGTGAGAGCCACCTGGATGCTGGCAGGGCCCCAGGGAATGAAAGAAGCGAGGCGGCGTTCCCGGATGCGCAGCAGTGACTTGTGCACGTCGGTCGGGTCGGCTTCGCCCTGGATGATGTTGAGGATACTGATGTAGCAGCTGGACTTGCTGGGGTTAACGGAGACCATGCGGTTCTTGGGCTGTAGAAGGCGACGCATAACGTCTAGCACTGTTGTCTTTCGCACTGTCCTGGCTTGCTCGATGTTGGCGCCTGTGAAGGGTGTGTATGATGTGAGAAGGAAGTGGCTGCGTGGCGTGGGGATGAGCGAGGCGATGATTCCGGCGAGATCGTTGTGCATGTATCCGGGGTATCGTAGTGTGGTTGTAGATGCAGACATCACCGTTGAAACGAGCTGGTTGGTTTGGTGGAACGATGGCTCTTGAACGTGGAGGCGATCAGCGACAATTCGTGATAGAGCACCATTGTCGAGGACGACCACAGAGTCGGCATCTTGAGTCAATCGTCGCATGGCAAGCAAGCTGTTATAAGGGTTGACGACGACATCGGACTGCGTATCCGGGAAGACAGAGTAGGTTTGAATGAGTTTCTTCGGGAATCGATCGTTCATACGTTCTAGGATGAAACTTCCCAGTCCAGAGCCTGTTCCTCCTGCGATCGAATGTAGAAGCATAAATCCCTCTAGTGAATCACTTCCGTCTGCTTCGCGGTCGATCATATCGAAAATCTCCTCTTGCACGCCCTCGCCTGCAGCGTATCCGGTACCCCAATTGTTTCCAGCTCCGATACCTTGTTGTCCGACGAAGAAGTTCTCCGGGTTGTAAATATTCTTGTAGGGGCCAGTCTGGATGGCGTTGAGGACCTGAAAACAAGCTGTGCGTTAACCATCGTCTGTCGATATAATATATCGGTGGAGGATAGCATACCCTGGGTTCTAAGTCGAGGAGAATCGCTCGAGGGATGTATCTGGTGTCGTCACTCTGCCCACGTCTGTTAGCCAGTGTTCTTGCTATGCCACGAAGCCAATAATGTGCTCTCCCAAGCTTCCCATACACACCTGGTAGAAGAAGACATCCTTGCGATCACCGGCCGCCCCGTCAGTCGCATGCTCCTCCAGGTTTCCATCTGCGCTGATCCCGTGCTCCTGGCACAGCTGCTGCCAAAACTGACTGCCAACTAGACAGAGCAAATGTTAATGGCATGGACTATATTTTCTCTTGCTCCGTTCAAAGGAATAGGATCAAGAGTCTCGTGGGAATGGGTCGCGGACTTGAGCCACATACCGTTGTTGCCGCACTGGCCGGCTTGGATTGTGATGATTTCTCTGCAATTGCCACCAATATTAGCATCTGTATTCAAGCTGGATAGAGAGCTCTCAAATATGATTGAGTCGAAAGAATGAACAAACCTTGGCATCTTTTCTTCGCAGAAGCCGTCGAGTGTTGCTGCTCGTTAACGCGTATCGCGTTCACGCGGGGAACTTTTTGGCCGATATTGTTGCCTCAGGCAGAAGCTCTTACTACCTCATGTGTCGGACATCAACAACATTAGAACGGCCAGTAACATAAATTTGTGAAGAATGAAAGTTGATTAATCTGAGGTTTAGATGCTTTTAGATCCGCCCAGCTACGCTAAAATTTTGATATATCGTCTTCCCCAAGTGATCTAATTGGCTATTCGTCGCCCTGGACCGCTATATCACTCAGAATCCTGCCTTCAAGGCTGTGATCAGGTTTCCAGCACCGGCAACCACCCCGTCAACAATGCGTACACGTTGGCCTTCTGGATGTCCATATTCCTGAGTACAGCCCTCCCGTACCGCCTCCTCCATGCCAGCCATACCTGCGCATCCCAGACAGATAACCTTAACACGAGATTCCGAGTTGCGAAGCAGGTTACGGGTAGCGTCGATGATCCTGCGTCGCACTTCCTCTGGTTCCGTGGTGTGCAATTCAACTGCTGTCAGGCCGGTGGTCTCGACGCCCGCAAAGTGGATGGAGCTCCCGTCCTCATAGTCGTAGCCCAGCGCTCCCTGGACCGCATTGGTGAGCTCCTCCTTCCACGCGGAGCCTGTGGTCACAATGCCAAAGCTGCCCTTCTCTTGGTACTTGTGTAGCTTCTCTGCTGGATTGATTGGATCTTTCAATGCGAAACCACTAACTAAGGAGAGCGAAGCAGCGATGGATGCTTCAAAGATTCCAGTGACATATTTGTTTCTCGTCGAGCTGGCTTCTTCGCTTGCCGTAATGTCCTCCCTGAGCCTGCCAACGAATGGATGCGCGGAGTAGCACGCTACAAGAAACGCGTCATAATGGCCGATAAACTCCCGTACGGGCCAGCAATTCAATGCTGACTTGCACGATTCTTCGGCGTTATTGATGCTGGCGATTGGGTCAATCTCGACCCCATCGATCTCCACGGTGGAGTCTGGAGCAGTGAAGTACTCGAAGTGCACATCTTGGTAGTTCATGCTTGCCAATATGGGCTTAAGGGCTTCGGTCATATGCGTTGAGGTATTGGGGTTGATGATCAATATGCTATATTCCCGTTCGCCTTTCCTCGGATCCAGCTGGATGATTTCATTTGTGTCATATCGCGGCTCAAGAGTGGGGGTCATTTTTGGAAGAATAAGGTGATTTGAATAGACTAACAGGGGGGACAGCTCTTTGCGCTTCGGGAAGAAATGACGGAGACTGCGATGAGCTCCGTTATCCGTTATCGGGATCCTCCGCAACCCCACCATCCTCCTAGGAGCTTAGCGGGCTACTTCTTGAAAAGGTCAACTGGCTATGATGCAATACGCTTCATGGCTTCGGATATTACTTAGCGAAGGAGATAAAGTTCCTTGTATCTTGATTTACCCTTGCGTTATTCGTTCCAAGGTTATCAATCGACTATGGCTTACAAATTCATTATAGCCCTCTGGCTCTCGTATAAACCACTCCACCCAGGAGCCCCGCACGCCATCTTACCTTCAACACCCTTCACCACGCGACACGAATTCCAATTCCCATCATGCCTCTGATCGCACAGAACCCTCTGCCGAGAGTGATTCTCGGGTTGATGACCTTTGGCCCAACCGAGGCCAAGGGTGCTCGGATCACGTCACTGGATGAGTTCAACAAATGCCTTGATTACTTCCAGCAACAAGGTTTCAATGAAGTTGATACCGCCCGTGTCTACATCGATGGTGAACAGGAAGCATTTACAGCCAAGGCGAACTGGCAATCGCGTGGACTGACTCTGGCCACGAAATGGTACCCAGCTCAGCCCGGCTTCCACAAGCCGGAGGTCGTCCGTGAGAAATTGGAGCTTTCTCTGAAGGAGTTGCAGACCGACACGGTCGATATCTTCTATCTGCATGCAGCAGATCGGGCCACTCCATTCGCTGAAACTCTCGAGGCTGTTAACCAGCTGCACAAGGAGGGCAAGTTCGTACAGCTTGGTCTGAGCAACTTTACAGCCTTTGAGGTGGCCGAGATCTCCATCCTGTGTGCTGAGAGGGGATGGGTCCGTCCCACCATTTACCAGGCCATGTATAACGCCATTAGTAGGTATTGCCCTTTCTCTTGTCATGGCAACTCAGCTGACACGATTGATAGCACGCAACATTGAGACTGAACTGATTCCCGCCTGCCACCGGTACGGTCTCGATATCGTTATCTATAACCCGCTGGCTGGTGGTCTTTTCTCCGGAAAATACAAGTCGAAGGATATCCCTGCAGAAGGCAGATACAGCGATTCGAGCTCTACCGGACTCAACTATCGCAACCGTTACTTCAGAGATGCCACCTTCGAAGCTCTGAGTATCATTGAGCCTGTCGTAGAGAAACACGGTCTCACATTGTTGGAGACGGCTCTGCGCTGGGTCCGCCATCACTCGGCTCTGAGAATGGATAATGGCGGTCGTGATGGGGTCTTGGTGGGAGTCAGCAGCTTCGGCCAGCTTGAGACTAACCTTGCCGATCTCCAGAAGGGTCCGCTCCCAGAAGAGGTTGTGCAGGCTTTGGACCAGGCTTGGCTGGTTGCCAAGGCCAATTCTCCTAATTACTGGCATCTGGATCTGAAGTATACTTATGATACTCAGAAGGCGTTGTTTGGGCCTAAGGAGTAAAGTAAAGGGGTATATTAAGGATTGTCTATACAATCATTGTACATGAATGGTACATATGTAGCTAGTGAAACCAATGAAAATTGGAGGAAATTTGACGCTATCCAGTACGGTCCAGCATTTCTATCATGCTTTAGAGACCACGTCTTCTGATCTAATTTCAGTCCTGCGGGGGGCATTTCCTGCCTGCAAGTCCTAAAATCGCTGAATGACATACATAGTTGTATACGCTAACTCTAATCCGGCATAGCAGGCGCCCGATCAGTCACGTGATGTCACAGGGGTCCACAAGTGGATGATGACACCTGAAGGCGGTGATTTTGTTCCGCCTTATTGGATTTCTCTCTTCAACCTGAGTGTTTTTATTCGATACAATCTGCACCTTGATTCACGTCCGATATAATAATCGTTACTCGGCGGATTGAACCTACCATTTGAGCTACGACTATTCCCGATCGGTGCCGAGTCGCATATATCCCGTGGACGGCTGTGCAGCATCTATTGAACACGTGGGAATAGGCTTCATGGGTAACCTTTTCCGGCAACATAAATTCTAGCCACGTTATCTGCATCACCTGGATGGGCGGCCTTTCGATAGTCCACGCCTCGGCTCTTTATCCCTATCATTCGCCGCAAGCGCATTAAATCGGACAAGAACACCCCTGACGGCGGTATTCATGTCGAGGTAGTTAAGCCGACCAACACCCTCCCTCACCATCGCAGTTGTGGCTTCGGATAGCTTTGAGCTCTCAGAGCCGCGGGTGACCCCAAACCCGGACGCAGTCCACGACTTCGACTCTGACGACGAGATGGTTGTCAATCGCCCCTCATTACACCGACCAACAAACGGCCGCTCGGAACAACCCCTCCTCAAAGATGAGCGCCATCACCGGTCCCGCTCCCGCTCGAGCTTCGAGAATGGCGACACAGAAGGCCAGCCCATGCTGCATGAAGCCAGATGGCCGACAATCCGGAGTAAAAGTCCGGAGCACGACGCCACCAGAGCGACCCGCAAGAAATACCTTGTTGCATCGGGATTCCTCCTGCTCAGTTTGGTCAGCTTCGTGGTCCAAACGGAAACTGCTTCATACATTCAAAATGAGTTACACTGGAAGAAGCCGTATTGCATGCTGTAAGTCCGAGCGCCAAGATGCCAGCGACAAGCCCATGCGCAACCTGTTTCCCGGAATGTAAATGCTTACCATCTCCTTTCCCTACGCAGCTATATGACCCACGGGTCATGGTCCTTTCTCTGGCTGGTCCAGCTAGGTATCCTGAGATTACAGAAACGGAAGCTCACTTGGGATGCTTTCTGGCGGCGTCACATCCTTTTCATTCGCACCACTGCGCAGATGGTAGAATCCCAGGAAGTACATCTGAGCTCTCGCGCGTCCAATCGATCCCCAATCCGCTATATGCTGAAGACCACCGCCTTTGTAACTACTGCTCTCACTGTCGCCGGAGGATCATGGTACGTGGCAGTCAACATGACCACTCCCAGCGATCTCACAGCAATCTACAACTGCTCGGCCTTCTTCGCATATGCCTTTTCGATTCCGCTGTTAAACGAGAAACTGCGGGTCGACAAGGTCTTTTCCGTGGCTGTGGCTACCATCGGCGTTATGGTCGTTGCCTATGGGGATGGGCCACATAAGAAGGTCTCGAAAGGAGGCACGGATGAGAACGGGGCGCAGAATAGATTGCTCGGAAACCTCGTTATCGGCGTTGGAAGTATTCTCTATGGGCTTTACGAGGTGCTCTATAAACGTTTTGCCTGTCCCCCGGAGGGTACCAGTCCTGGCCGGGGTACGATCTTTGCCAATACTTTTGGCAGTCTAATCGGGGTTTTCACCCTGTTAGTACTCTGGATCCCATTGCCATTTTTACATTGGACCGGATGGGAGACATTTGAATGGCCCACTGGAGAGGCAGCATGGATGCTGCTCATCTCCGTGACTGCCAATGCTAGTAAGTACCCAAATCAGCGTTTCAACATCTACACAGAGGCTAACACGATGATAGCATTCTCGGGTTCTTTTCTTGTTCTCATCTCCCTCACGTCGCCCGTTCTATCATCAGTGGCCGCTCTTCTTACTATTTTCCTCGTCGCTCTGGTGGACTGGTTCCGAACCGGAAACTCCCTTTCTATGGCCTCTATCATTGGAGGCGTTTTGATTACGCTGGCATTTTTTATGTTGAGCTACAGCACGTATAGAGAGATGAATGAGGAGCGGAAGAAGCGTCTAGAGAACGATGAGCTCGAGTCTGACAGTGATACATAGATCATTGGTGTGTTTCGGGTGTTTTTACATACAGCATTTGGATTAGTGTCCAGCATTTCTATAAAACTTCCTTTTTTTCACGCTACATTTGTTCAAGACGATATAGTAAGATCTTTGTACAAAAAAGAAGACAATATCTGAAGAAGAAATCTGTAGATGTGTAAATGTGAGTGGAGAAACTTCGGCTCGATTTACATAGGTAGGTTGCCCCAGATTATGTGAATCAGATTATGTGAATTCCCTGGTTCAGCCTTCGATTTATCGTAGATGAACGGGTCCATCTCGACAAAAATCTGACTGTGACATCATGAAATTTATTCCAACTCGGGTATGTCCGAGTGAGCTTTTTTTTTTTTACATGGAGCCTTGGAAGGCAGATGGATTTCCCGTGAAAATCGGCATCCCGCATATCCGGAGTTTAGAGATTAATACAACGTTGTACTTGGATGTACTCCGTACATTGTACGATATTAATTTCCTTTTGACTTGGCAATTGCATTATGGCGAATCGGATCCACTGCGCAAATTAATCTTCAACGATCATTATCCCAGTGCATTGTACGGTATACTTATAGGGTAGTTTGGAGTTCTCTGGTGTAAATTAATGTAGTGAAGTGAAGTAGAGAAGAACGGTGAGAAACAAGCGCGAACTACTCGACAAGTCAACTTTTAAAGGCGTGGTACAGATGCATATGCAGGCCATTTCCAGATTCAAAGCCAGGATCTGCCGTTACCGCCCCAATTGATTTCATGACGATCAGCCCCCACGACCCCCCCCGTCAAAGCCGCCATTGTTATTGGGTTAAACAAAGAAAGTGGTCCACCGAACGCTAGGGGGGAAATAATGTTTCACAGCGTCCGTTTGTATCTTTCACCCCCTGCCAAATGGCGCTAAGATATGTCTCGCGCCACTATTTATATCCGATCTGACTCCGCATCCAAGACAAGCAATGGAGAAGTGAAAGTTCAGTTTCAACTCTGACAATCCCCCGGCATCCACATAGGAAATGTGAGTTCGGCAGTCAATGCCTAAGAATTGATACTTTACACATTCTTTCAAGGCCCAGCCCTCGGTAATGAACACCTCTTACCGACATGGATGTAATCCCCTTGTCTTGCAGCGCCCCCAGCGTGGCGCATTATCCCTCCGGGACCCACCAGGTCAAGCGAGATTTGGATGGTCGTTCAGACCAACTGATTGGCAGTGACAATACCCGCTTTTTTCTCCGGATGCGACTCCCTGTTGATTGGTGCCTTGAGGACCCCCGGATTGAAATAGGTGCCCTTTTTACAGGCACGTACAAAGTACAGTGGATGCCAGTATGAACCACTTTTTACGGGAGGAACGCTAACCTTGGAATACAGGTTCGGATTATGGTGGCAATCCAAGTCATGACGTCCTCTACTTGAATCGAGTAAGAAGTATGATTATTCAACAGTGAAGATAGTCTAGAGTATAATGGACAATGGGGATGAAATAGTCACATTCCGTAGAGAAAACCTTCTTTTTCCTGTTCTTTTGGTTTTTTGACAGGCAGATGTCACTCAATCTGGCATCTTTCCCGAAATGTCATGTGTACCTGGAATACTGTATTGTGTATTACAATCTAAAGATTTCCTTCAGGGGAGAGAACTAAAGTACGAAGTACAAGGGATTTATTGCCTTGTCTTCTTCCTATGTATAGAGTAGTTAAGAGAGGAATAGGTAACTCCTATCTACAATTATAGACTTTTGAAGCCCTGGCGTAGTATCTAATTTCGTTCATCCCAACCCTAATAATTGACTTTTGATTGGTTTCCCTCCCCGTCGGATGGCAACGGGTGAGACCGTGTATGGTAATTTAGATACAGCCCCATCCCAGGTTCCCATCCTTCCCCTCCTGGATTTGTTGTTCTCTTTGGCTTCTTTCTCTTCAACCTCTCTACGACCAACTTTTCCACCCTCCCCTCTTTGGCCTTCGTCGTGGCCGTCCGTTCATTTTCCATACTTTTGGATGCTGGTGGTCTCTTCGATTTGATTTCACTCATTCCTTTTCTGCCTGGCGCGGATTCAATGACCCTCGCCCAAGGTGCTTTAACTTGACCTCCAGATTCCTAGGCTTTCTCGCTGGGAAGTCGGTCTGGAGGTCTTTGCCCATCTGGATCTTATCGGGCATTCGCCGTCACTCCGCTAAATTTCGTTATTACATCCTTTTGTTTCTTTTTTCTTGCCTTCAACCATGGCTTCGATTTCACTTCCTTCGCAGTCCCAGGCGGGCTTCCCGCCACACTTCGATACCTCGAATCAGTCCAACGCCAGCCCCGATAATCGCCAACATATGCACGCACCATTGCCTAATCCCCCATTTGTCTTTCCAGCACGGGACCCTGATACACCCAACACCCAACCGGAGACCCCTGAGCGCCGGGAACGAGCCGCATTGCCCGCATTCTCTTTTAATCCCGGATCGGAACAGCAGTCCTCACACCTCTCAGCGCCGTCTTTGTCAAATCCTCGTGCGGGCGGACACCGTCGGCGACCCAGTGAATTTGTTGGAACCGACCACTTGGTAACACCGGAAACAGTTGGGCCAGGTCACAGGCGGGCAGCTTCTATGGCAGATCAACCTCTTCCGCCTCCAGGGCCTGGTGTTGGTAGGGTTCCCGGACGACGGAACCATGCCCACCGCCGTTCGGCTGCGATCTCTAATGTCGACTTGAATGCCATCACCAAGGCACTTGGTCCTAATTCTGGTTCTAATTATGGGATGGGAAGTGCGCCTTGTACACCCGCCGACCCTAACCACAAACCTGCATCTGATATTCCTTCGCGACCACTCTCTCAATCGGGCATTAGCCTCGGCCGCCCTACGCCCCCTGCTTCTCCTCAATTCCCTCCTGTGCCTCCCATTCCTGCCGCCATTCAGGCGGAAATGGCCTTGAACCAGCCCTCGAATACCGAACGACCAGTCTCTGCTATTTTCCACGGTACCTCGGATAGTACGGCCACAATCAAGGTGCAGCAACAAGTGGAGAAGCCTACTTTCTTGGATCGGGTAACGCCAAGACCTGACTACAACCCAAAACCTCGACCAAAAACTGCCGATGCCTCTTTGGTGATGGATTTCATGCAGATGGATGACGACTCGGGATCCTCTATCAAACGTTCGCACTCAGCCGCTGGACACTCGCGCTCTCGAAAGAGCAAATCAACACCGCATCTGGATTCTACTCTCTCGCCCGATGATATCCAGTCGACAGACAACTACAGGCCTTCATTTTCAGACAATGGTTCTGATACATCTGGCGATGAAGCGACAGAGCACTCGTCTGACAACAAATCCCCTATCAAGTCGAAAAAGAAGAAGCAGAAGCGTGTTCGCTCTTGGGCCGGTCATATTTTAACTCGAACCAAAAGCAAGGGTAAGGGTAAGCGCCATGCGAAGGATGCGAAGGCTGACACTGTGGAGGAGCCGGCTGTACCTCGCGCTCCTGCACCTCGACCCCCTGCTCTTACTCGGACCAACTCGGGGACCGGATCGGTTTTGGATGTTGATTTTGATAATGACGATGTCGTTGTCATCCGGACTCCGACCAATCCGACGATGCCTTCTTCTGCCCTTGAGCCCATTCAAAATAATCGTCAAACCGATGTTGGTTGTTCTTTGCCTGCGCAATCTCTAGAGACCTCGTGGAAACCGAGAAGTTTCTATGAACAGGGTGTTGGCCCGCACGACAATGTACTAAGTAGCCCGATCATCGACCTCGATGCTGCGCTTGGTCCTTTCAACACTCCAGATATGCGACCAGTGACTCAGGGTACGCCCAACAACAACTTTTCAGTTGCAACTCAGCGGATGTACAGCGGCGGAAGACGGGGTGAATTTGTTGGCCCAGAGATGCGGTACCATCGGCGCACGGAAAGTGCTCCGGCCATGCAACCATTCGACCGCACTGCTCTCGGCGCATTCCGTTTGGGTCCGACCTCGGCAGTCGAAACGCCCGATGTGTTTGACGAGGAGGAAGAGGATGCTTTCTTGGCTGCTTCCCAGTCACCCAAGGGTGAACGGCTTCCGGTGAACACGACACCGATTGATAACGCAGCTTTCTCGTCATCGGAGGACGATCTGAAATCTCTTCACAGCAACGATACCTCTGGCACTAGTGATACTTTAACTCGTGCCCCCACCGGTAGCATCTCCTCTCAGAATGCTGGCTTAGGTATTCGACAAGGCGATAAACATCTGAACCAGGAACAGCCGGAGGAAAGAAGTGCCATTGAGCAGGTACATAATGCCAGCAATCCTTTCACCCGCAAGCCTCGAACCCCGGTGGAAATTTTGAAGACCGAAGAGCCTGGACACAAAGTGATTGGACCCCCCAGTCCCGACATTTCTCCTCGATTCTTAGCTGTCGACAAGCGACCAGCGACCTCACCCATTGAGCTTCTGCCTAATATTCCACCATTCACATTGCAACCAGGGGTTTCGCCGTCTGACTCGTCTTTCCCGTCTCCGGATGCTCCGCGGTCAATTGCGGCATCATCGATGACCGACCGGAACTTTTCCAGTCACTCGTATCATCACCTTCCTTCGGCGGAATATCCTTACGCATCGGTTGAAGATGTTCCATCTTTGACCAGCAGTGCATCGACCATGACCAACACTCTGAATCGTTTCTCGGCGGCTTCTTTCTTTCCACGTGGACGGCTTTCTGCCGAACGCGCGGCGTCCTTCTCTGCTGCTGGTACCAGACGCACAAGCCAGGCTAACGCCTCCAAACGCTCTAGTCTAGCGAGCCTTTCCAAGTTGGTCGGTGGCCCCCATTCTGAGCGGAGCAAGCTCAACCAGGAGGAGAAACCCCCTAGCACCGCATCCGACAAAACGAAGAAGAAGGGCCGCCGTCTCAGTCGAATGATGCACTTCTGGAAACCCAAAGACAAAGAAAAGTCATCTAATGAGGCGGCACCAGCAAGCGAACGGCCGCAGTCATAGGCGCGCGGTGCGCGTTGGTTCTGTTATTTTTTTACTTCGATTTACGGCGCAACCTCGGCATAGCGACATCCTGGCAATTATTTTGAGGCATCACATTACTCCCCCTGCTTTTTTCTTCCCCACTTTCGACAGCGTGGGCGTTTACTTTCACCCGATTTGTACATATTGTGTTCCGTTCAGCTTTCCTGTGGATTCTTTTCTCCATCTTCATCGGCGGTTCTATTTCTGCGTCTTCCACCAAGACGCTCATTACGAATTTCTTTACCTCTCAAGGCGTAATTGTCCTGAGTATGATCTATCCATTTTCTTGTCAATCCTTATGTTCCGGTGTGAGTGACGCACGGGTTTATTGACTCTCTACGATCGTTGCTCATCTACGGTCTTTTTTCTTACCATTTTTGTTTCGATTTTGCTCAAGGCTCTTGGCCTGGAATATCATTCGTCCCCATTGGATCATCCATTGGGTCCCCCTTCTTTCATATCTGGGACATGGTCTGTGTATCTATTGTGTGACTTGTGTGTCTGCACTGCTCAGGTGGTGTGTGGCATTCGTCAAGAATTTGTCTCTGTCCGATTACACAAATAGCGGATAATGAAACCACTCTCTTCAATTACACATCATAGTTCTCGTAAGATTTGTGTAGATTTAATTTCCAGGTTTAATTCTAGGCTCGGTTTCTCTTTTGAAGAAATAGCGAACAACTGCGGACCAAGGCTTATATATACTGCCTCTTTCGGAGCCCTTATGTTATAGCATCATACCCGTAGAACTGAAACAAAAGACATAAATACAGAGTCCAAAGCTACAAAAGAAAAATCACCACATCATCGGCCGACCAAACTCCCACCCCGCCATAAGCTCCAATTGCGCAAGGTGAATCTTCTGATCCTCGGGGTCCTCAAAGAACGCCTGGACAGTCATCCACCCATGCTCAACGGGTTTACCAAAATAAGCAGAATCAACCTTGCACTGCGTATACGCATCAGGAAGCTTCCCCTCATGTAAGAACGCACGCAAATGCTTCGCAACACAAACCGAAGCCACAGCCACAGAACAATGTCCATACCCCTCGACCTCCACAACACGGGATCCAGCAAACGCCTCATTAGCCGCGTGTGCCGAGACAAGCGGACAAACAGGGTCGTAGGTCGTCGACAGGATCAACAGCGGATGCGCAGTCTCTACCCCTCGCCGCGGCATATACGAATGCGTCCTCGGCACCGTCCACTGCTGTTTCTGGTAGTATGTCGCGAGAAGCACGGTACTGAAGAGACTCTCATTGAGCCAGGGTGTGATCTGTGCGAGCAGGGCGTCTTTACCCTGGGGCCAGTGGGGTGGCCCTGTGCGGCCGTCGTTCAGCTCGATGAATTCGCGGGACTCGTCATTCTCTTCTCCGGCGCTGTTGTAGGCTAGGAAGGCCGGTGTTGCGTTTCCTTGGATTAGGCTGTGGAGATTATCCGCGAGGGACGACCACAGTGGAGGTTTGTATAATGCTGCGAAGACGCCGTTGTACCAGACTTTTTCATAGGTTAGGATTCCGTAGACAGTGTTGTTGATGTATACATCGAGCGGTTGGTTACGGAGCTGATCCATAAACGAGAGGACTGTTTCGCGCAGCTCTTCTTTTGACGTTGCCAGTGAGGCGAGCGCGCAGCTGCCAGCATCTGCTTTCATACATTCGTCAAAGAAGCCATCGAGCACTTTATCCGTGTCGATGGCCTCGTCGGATTTATTCACGCCCTCGTACCACTGGAACTGGTTCACGACTCCGTCGATAACGACGCGCTTTGATCGTTCGGGGAAGATTCCCGCATACGTCTGTCCCAGAAGAGTACCGTAGCTGAACCCCCAGTAGATCATATCTTTCTGCCCCACTGCATCGAGGATACTATTCATATCCGCTGCGGTCTGCGGTGTGTTGATGTACGGCGCATAGTCGCCCATTGTCTCGGGACATGCTTTGGCGAAGTTCTGTGCCCATGCATAGATCTCGGGGCTATCGGCTGCGGCATTCCACGCTCGAATATGCGACTGCTCTTGTCGCGTCTTGGCGTCTGGGTAACACGATGCTGCGGGTGTTGAGCTGTTCACGCCGCGTGGATCGAATGTCAGCAGGTGGAAGCCTTCGCCTAGTATGCTCTTGAGCTGCTCGCCTCGGCGGTATAGGAACTCGAAGCCGCTGGCTCCTGGGCCGCCGGGGTTTAGGAGGAGGTTCTGTGTTGCATTTTCGCTGCGTAGCCGGATGAGTGGGATTTTGAAGCCCTTTGGGTTTGTTGCTGGGTTTGGTTTCTCTGTTGCGAATTGGTCTAGGGGGACTTCGATGCTGCTGCATTCGAGTGGTTTGTTGTGCAGGTCGCCGCATGGTTCCCAGGTTATGTGCTCGCCTGTGTATTTGAGAGGCTTTGAGCTGCTCCAGGGATTTAATATGGGGTATATGTTGTAATGATTGCAGAGAACGAGCAATGCGAAGAGTGTCCATATTGATGGGACGGTCCAGGTCTTAAGGCGTGGATATTGTCTCTCCCGCTTTCTGATACCAGCGCCCGGTAGAAGCTTTTCCTCCATGATTGACTTTTAAATTCAGTTTACCTATTGAGTGCACCAGCACATGAGAACGTCTTTGAATGTGTTCTCCAGTTCTGAGGCTGTGTTCTTATATGAATGCGGGGGCTCGGAGCTCGGCTCGGAGTCCGGGTTTCACAGAGGCAAGGCCATGCACTACCTAGGTAGCTTGTTTCCCTCTGACACTCTTTATTGGGCTTCCATTGATGTGGTAACACAAGGTACTATCCTACCTAGGTACTGAAAGTTGTATGGTTTTGAATAAGTGGATTAATCACGAGGGCGAACATTTTCGAGTGTTGAGTGATTTCAAGGATAATTATCTGCATGTACAGCATTGACAGTCACTATAAGTCGAGTGCTGCCTAAAATACAGAAGAATACCACATTGCACTACACTTTATATGAGAAGATGGAAGAATTATAAAGATTGATAATCTACAAAAACATGAAACAAAATATCGAAGGGATACGTTGACAATATATATATAGAGGACCCTAGAGCTGATGCCGTTCTTTCATCTATATTGTACCCCTATATCCATGTGTATCCCTCCAAGTAATGATCTAAACCCCTTTAAAGGACAGTTTATGCACAATAAATCAAAGGAAAACACAGGTTAACCCATTTCCGGCCAGACAACCACATTGTCGTGCCAGTCGTAAAAGATCGGAAAGATATCGCAGACAACTTGAAGCATGACCGAAATGTCGCTAAGAGGAGTCCATAAGCTTGAATATAGGGCCGGTGACTTGATCAAAAAGCCAGAAGACCTATGACAGAGCTTTGGGCTATAGCCAGAGTTCCTAGGAAAGGGTGAACGAGCTATCACCGTTCATTCACGGACCATCCCACTCGATAAGATCTTCCTCTGTCAACTTTGTAACGTTCTGCGTGATCATACGAATTCGCTGAGAGGTCATTGGCGAGCTTGGAATGTCATGTTTGCCAGGACCGGAATGAAGCTATTCGCACTTTAAAACCTTAAAGGACGTTTCTCCCCCATTGTTTTGTCAACCTCTATGACTTAGTAGTTCGAACAAAGGATTAGCAACTCGAAGTCTCAAATTTGAAGCAGAAGCCATGGCAGAGAGATGGCAGAGAGGTAATAAATATATGAAGGAAGTGCCCATGTCCAGCCCTGGTGGAGCTCGGGAAATCCACTGTCTTACCTAATCTCAACGCGCGGGAGAGCTCCGCGGGTGGACCTGAGCTCTCCCTCCATAGAGATGTTGGATCTGCAACCATCTTGCAGCCATTTGCGCCATTGAAGTTATTGAAGTTATTCAACGCCTACTTTCGGATACCGCCCTTTGACTGCAAACTGTGCCCTTAAAAAGTCTTTCAGCGATTCTGCTAGGGTTGTTCAACTTGACACATTCATTCCCTGCGTCTCCACTACCAGTGTCTCGTGCACTCTCAGTGACGTCGATTGAATTTATGCCTTCTTTCTTTCTGCTTGAAGTGACAACGTATTCGATTTCCGCAACAATAAGTCAATACAGCAGCACTTGATACTTCTTACGGTCCACGTGTATCATAGTGAAAAACTCCCGTAAAGCACAATGTCTAACGGCAATTCACGGAGAGAAGTGCCCATGTCCCTTGATGATCAGTCCCATTATGTTCGCACACAAGAGTATGCAGCTACGCCGCGAATTCCAACCTCGCGCGGATCTCTCGGGGCAGCTTATTACGGGTTGTCTGGCATAGGCAACGATGACACTGTAATCGTCGACCAGAAAATTTTCAACCGCGATTCCCACGACTTTGCGGAGGGAGAGTTTGTTTGTCCCGGATTTTTCAACCGCGTCGATCTAGGCGGGTTCACCCGCCGCTTCAGCCCTTCGCAATGGAATTACGATATGCGTCGCCAGGCCCAGTCGGTCCTTCCATTCTTATCTCTTGGGCCTTCATCATGTCTACGTGATGCCGATTACCTCCGCAGTCAAGGATTCACACTACTTCTCGCTATTCGAAGTCGGCACTCGGCCCAGGCACGTCTCGTCTCGGGCGAAAAGGCTGCGGCCGAGGTTGGTATCATGGCCGACACGGTTGATGTCCTTGATAACCAAGAGCTCATTTCTGCATTTCCACGCGCTATCCGCCGCATAAATGATCACCTGGCTGGTGTGGATGTGGGACCCGACGGAATGGTGTCAGACAGTCAACAACAGAAAAGGAAAGTCCTTGTCTTCTGTGAATCCGGGAATGAACGCTCCGCTGGTGTCGTCATTGCCTACATAATGGTCATGCTCAATATTCAGTCTGTTGAAGCCACGCACATGATTCAGCAGCGTCGCTTCTGTGTTTCAATCGAGGACACCATGAAATACATCCTCACAGCTTTCGAGTCCATTCTTTCTGCTAAGCGTGATGTTGAGCGTGCTAAACGAGTTACTGGTCGTGGGGCTGCGACTCTTGCGCCCCCATCTCAACCACCAACGATTACGAAGAAGCGAAGTTTCCACGATCATAGGGATGATGCTCTTGCTACGGGGGAGGGCGAAATGGACATGGATGAGGATGAGGACCCCTACTATGAGCGAAAGCCGAATGCTCCCTTCCAAGACCGCGTGGTCTAGAGGGAACCGAGGTCGTTTGCTGCGAGTACCTTTTGATTGAATTGTGAATGGCACTGTCATTCATGGGGATGGGGAGAGAGACAGATACGTTGGAGGATGAAAGGGAATGAAGGGAATCTTTGCGAATCTTCACATTGTTTAGGATAGGGTGGCTGTCTGATTTTCTTTTATGTCTGCTTTATTTCCCTGCTTTATTGCTTCATGGTTCTTGTATGCAAATACCCAGCTGCATTTGCTCATTTCTACTATCTTTCCGATATCCAGGCCATCCACTAGCCATTACACCCTTATATCTTCATATCTGTAACATCATGAACATGGCAAAGTTCCAATATAGAATGTGCCTACAATTTGAGTAGAAAAATCAATGATGGGGTCAATATCAGAATTTGGCAAGTCTCAAGACGCGAATAAGTTGGCCGATGCCCTCAGGCATCTGACCCAGCGTTTGAACCCACCTTGTCGACTCTCGACTCAATCTGCCCCTGCCTTGTGGTTTCATTCTCGATCTGAGAGCTCGAGTCTTGCGCTGACTTTGCGCGACTTCAAAGCCACCCCAATCCTCCCTTCTCCTATCTTCTTTCATCTCGCGCGACAACATTTCCATCTCGCGACCACCCCACCGCGATCACCTATCGCACCCTACAATGAAGCGCATGTTTCCCATTGACCTTTAACACGTACCTACGATCGATAAACCCACACCAACAATTGAGCGCATCACACCTCGTCCCACACCTCACGCCTCACCTCCACGCCGCCAAAATGAGCGGTATGAGACTGCGCGACAGCATCCGCGCGCCGCTGCGATATGGCGAAGACGAATACGAAACACCATCACGGATCTCGCTGCGCCACGGATACGATGACTCCTTTGACGACTCCATAGAGCTTGGGGAATCAGGCAGACCACGCCCACAAAAGAGGCGCAGGCCAAACACTGTGCCATTCAACCCCAACCTACCACCAGCTGCGTTTCCCAGTTTGAGCAGACCACAGCCAGGTCGTGACCGCACCACCTCCGTGCAGAATCGCGGCATTGGCGACAGTCAACAGAACACACCGGCAAGCGAAGTGGCACATCCTCTCCGCAATGCTTGGTCAACGTCAACCGTTCCGTCGTCTCAATCTGGGATAGAACAAGTCCCGATCGACCAGCTCGATAATCATGTCGCCAGTAACAACATGGACAATCCGGTGTATGCGAGGAACGTAAACATGGCGCGTATGACTCGTGTTGATGTTCCCCCAGGTTCCGAGGACATGGTCACCTCTCCGGATAGTGATGATGGCGCACTGCCAGATGCGACTCAGGTGCTCCTTGATACGGTAAGTACATCGTGACTTTTGCTGTGTTAGTACAATTGAACAAGTCTGATGTGAGTCGTCGTTTTAGATCCCCAACCCCAAATGGAGTGATCTGCACAAGGCTATGCAAGTGGAGATCATCGAAAACACAATGAAACACCATAGCTGGAGACGTATTTGCGACCTTCTTGGTCTTGGGCCAGACGAGCGACAACAGCTCATGCAGGTCATAAGCATTCGCAATAAACAGATCCAACGGGAGAACAACAGACTGGAGCAAATGCGGCACAAACAGCGCGAGGTACTCATGAGACTTGACAACAGCGACTTGAAGCGTTTCAGGCCGCCGCCTCAACTGGTGCTGCAAAAGATCGCTCGAGATACCAATCGGAACCTGTTGGTCACCGAGTACACGGACCTATTGATGTGCCAAGCTCACGAGGTCCTGAAAGCCAGACAGTTCTTGCACCAGCACGGGCTACCTCGAAGATATGCTGGCGATTGGGGAGACAGCCTGGTGGTGCTGCAGGAATCCGAGGAAAGCTCCCATGAACCCGACAAGTTCGAATGGAAAGACAACCTGAGATTCACCCCGCCTCCTAGTGAGATTGAGACGCCAATCAATCCCTTTCTGGACCCAACCAGTAGTGCCAAGAGTACATTCATTCAAAGCATTGGTACGAACGGCACAATAAATCCCAAGGATTTAGTTCAACACAACACTGACCCGAGTCCCATGATGGACTGGGGAAAGTATTATGAACGGAATCCAGACTTGTCGTGGAACACCACAAGGCCCCGACTCGGTGGAATGGTCAAGGTGAATATCGGTCCACACAACGCCGCGCGGATCCAACAATACAAGCAAGCCGGTGTCAACCCCCAGATATTGTCCTCTCAGAGACAAGTGCCCGCCATGCCAGAGTCACCTCCGCCGGAGTTCCCACCAGAAACACCGTCCAAGGGCCCACGGAATGGGAGTCTCGCCCAGCCCATTTTCAAGAAACCTGCTAGACCATTTAGCAGAGTCCTCACTGGAAACCGGCCTTCAGGAGGTTTCAACCCAACGGAGAGTCAGCTCAAGTATCAACGAAGCATACAGCAAGCCAAGCTGGAGAAAATAGAGGCTGAGGCAGAGGCGCTGCGCCGTCGGTACAACTACCAGCCAGCTCTCCAGGTTAATGGCGTTGGTGTTGGAATCAGTCCCGCACGTGGAAACCTTCAGACGCTTCCCCTGACCCAGCCAGTTGAAGAAAACATGCCTTCGAATTTTTTCGCCCGGGCGTACCGTGGAATGACAACGATGAACGTTGACCGCCTCATGGATGAATTTGTCTGTTTTGAGCCTATTGTGATGCCCGAAGAAAGTGAGCCCGAGCTGCCCGAGGAAGAACCACCTGATGAGCAACCAAGTTCCACTGATATCAGCTCGATCACTGAGGTGTCCATGGATGATGTGATGCTGGTGCCGACGGATGGCTGTTCCTCTTCGCAGTAGAGGGATACAACCAAGAAATACCGAGACAATCAAGAATTCAAGGATATGAGACCATCTTCTTCATCTCGAACTTGTTGCGTGATTCATTTGTACGATAATATTAATGTATGATAGTCTTCAATGATGTTGAAGTCAAGTCCGAGCCTGTGTAGTTCCAGGGGTGTCTAATCTAAGCCTGGTCCGTGCGTCCGTGCGTCGAACGCGAAAATGCCGCGTCGAGAACGCGCTCTTACTCCGATCTTCGATATATCACAAACCAACGTCCAATCGTGCACATTGTTCGTCTAAGCTACGAGTATCCATTTGTCGGAAACTCGTGTGCCCCCGATCTGTGCTATTACATTCGTTTACCCTCGCCCCCCCGCGCAACTTGACGTTGCGAAAATCTCGTCACCCCTGCTCATGACGTACCATCTCCATCCATCTAGCCCTCGCTTTAGATCATTCATTCCTTTTACTCGATTACTTAATACTATTAGACAAAATGTCCGCTGAAGACACAGCTACTCCCACGGATTCCCGTGCGGGGACTATGGCACCCGAGTCGGTGATTCCTTCGTCGCCACTCACGGACCCGACTGAGGCTGAAGGCTCGAAGTCTTCTCATGATACAGATGACAAACCCAAGGAAGATTTGACCGATTCAGAAGACGTCGAGGGGATGGACAGCAAGGCCAAGGCCTTGATGCACTTGTTGAAAACTAGCTCAGTACGTGTCCAGTTCTCCTCGTCTTATCTGATCACAGTAGTCTGATATCTTCTCGTACCTGCAGGTCTTTGTTGCTATCATGTCAGATAAAATGAAGAAGCAGCAAGAAGACGCACGCTTGGCGGCGATCAAGCGCCACGAACAAGCTGCGGCGAGTCAGAAGAAAACGAAGTCTCCTCCCGAACCTGCTCGCCGCGCCACTCGAACTCGGCCGAACCAAGATGCGACGGAGGAGAGCACAGCCGCCGGCGGAAAGGACGCCAACGAAAAGACCGCAGGATCGACCAGAGGTCGGCCTAAGCGGGAGCCGCCGCCAAAGGCAGCTCTATTTCCAGTTACTTCAAGAAGGCCGACGTGGAAGTGACTGAAGACAATCCCTCTGTGCAGCAAGCCCTTGAGCAGGCTGCAGATGACTACGAAGCAAACCCAACAGCCCTTGGTGAGCAGGACTTGGTCGCGACCCAGCAGCCAACACTTGTCAGTGGTGGCAAAATGAGAACATACCAGCTGGAGGGCCTCGAATGGCTCAAGACTTTATGGATGAATGGCCTTTGTGGCATTCTTGCCGATGAGATGGGCCTTGGAAAGACTATTCAAGCAATCTCAATGATTGCTTTCCTGAAAGAGAAGAAAGTCTCAGGTCCATTTTTGATTGCAGCACCGCTGAGTACTGTGAGCAATTGGGTGGATGAGTTCGCCCGATGGACCCCAGGTATTAAAACGGTTTTGTATCACGGCTCGAAAGATGAGCGAGCTGCCATGCGCAGCAAGTTTATGAAAATGAAAAATCAGGGCGACATGGACTTCCCGGTAGTGTGCACATCTTACGAGATCTGCATGAACGATCGGAAGTTCCTAGCTCAATATCAATGGCGTTACATTGTCGTTGTACGTTTGCTTCAGTTCTTTTTCATTTACAAGACGCTAATCGATCTATAGGATGAGGGCCATCGCCTCAAGAACATGAACTGCAAGCTGATTAAAGAGCTTTTGACCTATAACTCGGCCAATCGTCTGTTAATCACTGGAACGCCGCTACAGAACAACATTTCAGAATTGTGGTCACTTTTACATTTCCTGCTTCCTGAAGTCTTCAACGACCTCAACTCGTTTGAAGGTTGGTTTGATTTTTCTTCCGTCCTGGACAACAAGGGCCAGGCAGACCTTGTTGAAAAACGGAAGCGCAACTTGGTTACCAGTATGCACGCCATCCTGAAACCCTTCCTTCTCCGGCGTCTTAAAACAGATGTGGAAACGTCCCTCCCCAAGAAGCGTGAGTACATTTTGTACGCCCTGCTGACCCCAGAACAAAAAGATCTCTATCGAGAGATCATCAATGGCACAGGGCGCCAATACCTTGAGGGAAAGGCTCTGGAGCGTCTGGAGAGTAGGAGTGGCAGCTCTACGCGATCGCACAGTATGAAGCGCAAACGGCATGACAGTGATGATGCAACGCCGGTCAAGAGCGCCAAATCCAGCGGGATATCCACGCCGGCTAGCGATGGAAATAATTCTAGCCGCCGTCGCCGACGCAGTACACGTCAGAGTTACAATGACCTAAGTGAAGGAGAGTTTGATGAGCACCTGCGCAAACTCGAGCTGGGAATTGAAGAAGAGGAAAAGAAGGTCGAGCCCAGCGATACTGAGCTTGAAGAGATGCAGCGGGCTGAGAATCTGAAGCTTGCCAGTACGTCACTTTCAAATAATTTCGTAGTCTTTTGCTAATATTGCCTTGCAGAGAAAGAGATTGGCCAAAAGAAGATGCAAAACCCGGTCCTACAGGCTCGCCTTGCCTGCAACTCTCCTCACAACTTCTACTGGCCATGGATGGACGAGTCCTCCACTGTGGATGAAACACTCGTCTCGGCCTCTGGAAAGATGCTTTTGTTGGACCGCTTGGTCTCGTGTTTACTTGAGAAGGGCCACAAGATTTTGATTTTCTCTCAATTCAAAACTCAACTTGATATCATCGAAGAGTGGGCAAGGACACTTCGCTCCTGGGATTGTTGCCGAATCGACGGCGCTATTGCACAGTCAGAGCGCCAGGCTCAGATTAAAGACTTCAATACCAAAAAGAGTCACAAGCTGTTCCTCCTGAGCACCCGAGCTGGTGGCCAAGGAATCAACCTCACCGCCGCCGATACTGTCATAATCTTCGATTCTGACTGGAACCCCCAGCAGGATCTTCAAGCCCAGGACCGAGCCCACCGCATTGGCCAGACCAAGCCAGTGATTATCTACAGATTGGCGACGAAGGGTACCGTTGAGCAGACACTCCTCGAGAAAGCGGATTCCAAGCGCCGGCTGGAACGTCTGGTGATCCAGAAAGGCAAATTCCGCTCCTTGCTCGACCCCAGTGTGAATTCCCAGGATATCGACGAACTGCGCAGGGTTCTTGGCGAGAACGAGTTCGAGCGGTTTGAGGTTGGCGCTGACCCTGCGTCGATTTTGTCGAATGAAGATCTTGACATCTTGACCGATCGTTCGGAAGAAGCGTATCTCCGTGCTGAGAAGGGTTTGGATACGAAAGGCGCTGCGTTTGTTGCAGTTGAAACGAAGCGTGATTCTGGTGAGAGCATTCTCTCTTGAGGTGTTCAGTGGCTGTCTACTTTGTGTCTTTTCTTCCATCCAAGCTACAAGCTGGATGATGTCTAGTTGTTACTGGATTGTAACAATATCTATGTGGGCTGGCTGGTTTTGTTGGTGGGATGGATGATTTTTGCTTCACCTGGCGTTTCCTCGTGGTCAGGTAGACACCTAGACCATGATACATCCTCGCTATTGTATCATATGTTAAATTATTTCGATGTTTCTTGCACTCAGAAATAAAAATGCAAAGAACATCCCTTTGACGCCTGAAGCTCCCTAACCATTGTCACATGAGCTTCTCGGTTTTGTATACCCGTACCGAACCCCACTGTCGATCATCCATCCGAGCCAAGCAGTATCACAATTTTACATGGCCAGCTGACCAGAGCCCTAACTGGCCAATCAGTTCCTGTAGAGATAAATCTCATAGTCCATCTCGTACATCACGGAGATAAGAAGGCTGCCCAATAAGTAGCTAGCTCACAACAGTCTCACCCGGAGACGTCCCTTAGGTGCAACGCTGGCCATGTTGTATGGGTCGATAATCTCATATTTGTTGCCCTCGAGTTCCAACCGGCCACTTCGCACCAAGGCGAGGATCCAACTTTTGATCTCTATCATAGTAGTTAGAATTTAAAAGATTCCGGCCACTACACAGGGGGGTTATTGGGGATATTAAGTGTGAATGGTCACGTAGTAAAGTGTATACATACCAAGTACGGCAAGGTTGCGGCCTGGGCAGGGCCACCGGCCAAGGCCAAAAGCGAGGTATCCTGGCCCCGTTGTTGCAGCGGATTCCCACTTCCAACCCAACGCTCCGCATCAAATTCGTCCGGTTGCGAGGTGAAGTCCGGCGACCGGTAAGACAGATAAGTGATGGGTAGCAGTATAGAGCCTGGAAAAAGATCAAATTAACGGCTACTGGTTGCGTTTCCGGCAAGGAACAAATACCTTTGGGGATGAGATACCCTCCGAGCTCGACATCGCGGATGGCCGCCCGTACTAAATCCACGCTGTCACCCTTCATGCGGAGGATCTCACGAATGAAAGAGTCAGCAACAGTCGCCTCTTGCATCTTTTCTTCTTCGGGAGGAGACTCTTGGTAGCCGGTCTCATTAGGCCTGGTGACACATTGTGACTCCTTCCGAATAGCTTCTTGGGATTCCGGCCTCAGAGTCAAGTAGCAAGTCACCCAAACAATAATTGTTACCCTGTTGATGCTGTTAGATCTATCTTGGAAATGACTACCTGGCAAAGAATCTCACGTTTGGTGTAGGCTGGCAAAAAGAATTGTCATCATCAAAGCGAAGATCCACAGCTTAGGTCCAATGGACAGCTGGTGATATCCGAAGCCTCATGCAGACCCTATTCGGGGGTGGGGGCAGGGTGGGACGCAAACTGCATGAAAGGCAGCAAGCAACGATGGGCAGTGGCTAAGAACGAACAAGCCTTGAGTCGTATGATTTGACTCGGAGATCGACGGAGGTCCATTTTATTCCTGCCCCAGGGCCGTGATGCATACAGTAGCGGGACATCGTGAGTGCTTGTTTCGTCAATGTAAAAAGTTTCCAATGTTAATTTATACAGGCAATGGACACTTGATAGGAAAATAGCCTCGAATTTTAATATGCATTCTAGAAATACGAAACTTATTTTGCTCTAGGAAACCATTGTCTTCATTAAATATGAAAACGCGCGCCGTATCAAAAACGTCGTTTAAGCCCCAAGGTGCTTCGCAAATTCTAAGCCCCATCCATTTACCTGGAGTCGGATGTTAGTTACCTGATGTTCTCAAAGCATCATGGAGATGACTTACCATAGGAGGCAGCATTAGGGAGAAGTGGTTACCGTCGGCACGAACGACGTTTATGTCTCCTAAAAGCTCATCCCATCCGAGGGAATCACCGTCGGCCCTATCGTCCAGGAACCAACTCACAATATTTTGCTCCTCAGGCAAAACCTTGGGACGGGTGACATTTTCCCTCTTACCAACGCCATCTTTCGCCGACACTAGCAAAACCTCCGGAATTCTCTTTCCTGGTAGTTTGCTCGCCCTGTATCTGAGCACCTGCTGTCTTGACATTGTGAAGTGGGCATTTGTGATCGTCCGACCTCCGGTCTTCTCTCGGATCTGATCCTCGTTCACCATACCTACGCGGTCTATGGATTCCAAAAGCTCGACCAAGCTGTTTGGTAGGCCGCTTGCAAAGGTGGGGCACGCCGAGTCGATCAAGAACAGCTTCTCAACATCATCGCCGTTTTCGAGAAGCTGTCGCACCACTTCATAGGCTAATACGCCCCCGACTGAGTATCCGCCGGCCAGGTAAGGACCCTCAGGCTGACGACGCTTGATTTCAGCCACGTACATGGCAGCGAGCTCCTCGATGGAGGGGATCTGATCAGGCTCGGGGGTGGCCTTAAGGAAGGGGCTGTTAAGTGCGTAAACAGTCACGTCCTTGGCCTGTGCGAGTGATGGCTGGAGGAAACCAAACACGCCACCCGAACCAAAGCCATCAGGCATAAGGAACAGACTGCGGTTCCCAGCGACTGAAGACCCACGCTGTAAGACAATAGAAGTTGCCTTGATAGGCTTCTCCGGCTCAGTAGTCATACCGCAAATTACACGAACGCCTCGGGACTCGCGACTCGGGCTGTCGGACCAGTCCACATGGGCAAATCCAGAGTCCCGCATAGCCTGCGCCCAGGACCACGGGCTCTGCAGCGCGTACTTGCGACCATCGTCGAAGAGCCACCAGCCGTCCAGTAGACCCCAGACCAGATCATACCAAGCCAACTTTTGCGTCAGTTCGACTAGCGCCACGCAGCCGTCGGAAGGTCGGCACAGTTTGTAGATATTGCTCAGGCTGCGTCGCAAGTCCCGTGTTGCGTGCACACAGTTGCTTGACACCACGACGTGGTAGCGTCCCAGCAGCTCTGCGGGAGGTTCTTCCTCAATGTTCAACTTCTGGAACTCCATGCCCGCAATCCCCTTGAATGTTTTCTTCGCGCGCGCAAGCAGCGACACTGAGAGCTCGGTGAAGGTGTATATGAATGGAAGCCCGGTGGCTTGAAGCAGGGGGATGAGATGTTTGGTTGTGCCGCCTGTGCCAGCGCCAATCTCAAGTACGCGGAAGGGCAAGTCTTGGGAATTTTGGGCTTGGATGGCTGCAGAGAAAAAGTCGCAGAGTGTCTGTGTGGCCGCCCGGAGGTCGGGCCCATTGGCATAAAAGTCTTCGAGTAGACTGCGGCCTCGTTCACTGCCAAACAGGAGAGGGACCGGGTCAGCCTTTCCGGTCAGACATTCAGCCAGATGCGGTCCGAGGAGGTCGGGCAGTCCGTGTGTGGATGCAAACTGAGGGAAATCTGAGATGAGCTCAGAGCTGAGATCCTTGCCAGTGCCACTGGGTAACGGTGCTGGGCCACGCAGGAAGTGCTCTCCTGACTTCTCAACAACGCCGGCCTCGTCCAAAATATCCCAGAGCCGTGGAACCTCTCTCCAGTACTTGGGCAGTGTGATTTGCATGCTCAGAATAGGTAGTCTTTCTCCTTGTTCAAAGTTTCCGATGGAAAGGCCGAGCTTCTCAAAGGCTTCCACGATGAAGGCCGTCACAACAGTTAATTGTTGTGGATATACCCTTTCCCAATAACCGGTGAGTTTTGTGTTCTTAGAATGAGTATCGAAGTTATTCCGGATTTGCTGGAAGGCCGTGTGAAGGGAATTGGAATTTCTCCTCGTCGTTGGCTTCTCACTCTTTGTCTGGGCGCTTGTATCGGTGTATGGAGTGACTGAATAGCCAACCATGGAACCAGATGATGAACCTGTCGTGGGAGTCTGTACTGAATCAAAATCCAGTCCAGCAGCGATGAGATCGCAGAGGGATTTAACATCGGTTATTGCAGCGAAGTCATTAGGTGAAATGTCAAGGCTGTATGTTTCGTTCAGGTTGCTAATGATCTCTGTAGCGACGAGAGAATCAGCACCGAGATCTTCAAGCTTGGACTTCATCTCAATATCCGATACATTGACATCAAGAGACTGGCTAATAATCTCGAATACAGCTTTCTGCCATTCTGAAGAGGCTTGGTCGGAGGACTCAAACCCAGAATCTATGGCTTGGTCCTCAATATCCTTACTATTCAGAGGAATAGCATTTCCACGGAGCTGAGAGGAAATCAAGTCACACAAAGACTTAACGTTTGTAACGTCTGCAAATGCCTCGACAGAGATATCGGTTTGGAACTTGGTAGAGATGTTGGCTATAATCTCCGAGCTAACCAGCGAATCTGTTCCAAGTTCTTCCAGTGTGGACTGCTTGGTAATATCTTCCACTGGAACACCAAGCGACTGGCTGAGAATCTCTTGGACGCCACTCAAGATATGCAAACTCTTGAAGATGGAATCCGGGAATTTGCCTTCGTTATCCTCGGTAATAGTATCAACGCTCCCCCCGCTGATTCTTGAAGAGATCAGATCACACAGAGAGGCAACATCTGTGACTGCTGCGAAATTGTCCACAGAGATATCGACTTTGAACTTTGTCGAGATGTCAGCCAAGATTTCCGAGCTAACTAATGAGTCCATGCCTAATTCCTCGAGTGTGGCTTGCTTGCTAACGTCCTTGACTGGAATACTCAAGGAGTGACTGAGGATTTCTTCAACACCGCTCGAGACATCAACTGTGCTCGTCGTAGCCCTAAATTCCTTCTTTGAAGGAAGCATAGGCACCGATATGGACTTGGGATCTGGTGATTTAGCGGCAGATTTTAACGAAGGAGCGGCCTTCTCTTTGAGCTCCGCGTTCGGACTCGCTGCAGCTAACACCTTAGCAAGCGTGCTGCGTGGGACCCGGGAAAACTTCAGTCCCTTGGCAAACCACACAATCTTCTTGCTCTGCTTGTCGAATGCAAACACGTCGAGGATTGTCTCCTTCTTATCTTCGCGAACAATCTTCGTATAGGCTCGGTAGTTTCCGCTACCCTTGAGCCCATTCAAAGGGCAGACGGAGCCCATGCCAGTGCAGATATAAGCCAATTCAGCATCCTCATCGTCATCACTTGTGCTACGAAGCGAGTGAACGTATGCACCAGGCACTTGCAAGAATGTGTCAACGACCAATGGATCAGCAATGTCATCGTTTGGCGTTCTGGACAATGCGTCGAGACCGTCCGCTGGGATGACGATATCCCCTGCGCCCTCAAAGCCCTTTCCAACCAGGTGACGAAGTCCACGGTACCCAGAGGAGTACTTGGCCATTTTCGAAAATACTTTGTACACCATTGTGCCGCGCAGAGCTTCCGTGTCTGTCTCCCTTTCCAATAGGCTGTAGAGACGGGCCCATTTGTCTTTCTCATCTTGGTCACTGCTGAGAATGTTGTCCTCTCGTAGAGAGATTACGCCTGATGCGTGGGAAACTGACTGAATATTTCCATTGATAGAAGACAATTCGAACTCCCAGGTGCTGTTTGTCCTTTTTGTCAACATCACTTGGATGGAGCGCTGCGTGTCCAAGCCCATAGGCGCTTTAATCTCCAAACCCTCAGCAGAGATTTGCGGTGTGACCTTGTTTGACTTTGTATCTTGCAACAAGGCGACGGCGTGTGCAACCAGCTCCAGGTACATCGCAGCCGGGGCTATTGGGGATCCAACCACAATGTGCCCCTTAACAAGTTCCTGATAGCGCCTGCTGCGGGTGTCCACCTTGAAGACAGATTTGCTCGCATTGGGGCCTTGAGATTCGTCTCGAGCGATGTAAGCAAAATCGCTGATATCCTTCAGGCAGTGGGGACACAACCCAGACCGGGCTGGGGCTTGTCCAGGAATCTTGTTGCATTTGTGACTCAAAATATCAACATAATCCAGCCAGTGCTTGTGATTCTCAAACTGGTATGACGGTAAGGCTACAGGTGAGTAGCTTGATCGCTGACTTTGATGGAAAGGCCAGTACTGGACGTTCAAGTGGCCGCTCTTCCACAAAGTGACTGTAGCATCTGCGAGAGATCGCACGGGTTCTTTCCCGTTGATTCCGACAAAGATGTGCTGATTCTCAACTTGAGATTGGGGCAGTGCGTTGCGTGCCATGGCAATGATGGGACCGCCAACACCAGCTTCTAGGAACGTACATGCTCCAAGTCGGTTGACAATACGCGAGATGGCTTGCGTAAAGTATACCGCGCCGCGGGTGTTGCGAGCTATTACATTGGAGCCCGGGCGCGTCCAAGGGCAAGGCCCTTCATGGCAAGACTCAAAGTGGAATGTTGGTTCCTAAAGAAAATATTAATGGATTTTTCCAAAGACGAAGCGACACTAAATAGGAATATCCAAATACTGACCTCGAATAGGATGGAAGCCGACAACCTGGCGCTCTCATCTATGATGGATTCAGCCAAGATGGAGTGATATGCGTACATGCCCTTTAGGACCTTGAATCGGATCTTCTCGCCATTGAGCTTCTTATCCTTCAGGTATGACTCGAGCACCTGAATGTCCACAGTGCTACCTGCAACAACATAGCTGTTGGGTCCGTTATAACAGGCAACATCGAGCTTGATATCTGGATGCTTCTCATGAAAAGGCTTGAGATTCTCGGTGGGAGTCGTACCCGTCTGCACCAAGTCGGCTTCAATAGCCACCATAGATCCGGTGTCCTTGCCCCAGAATTTCTCAATAATGGCTGCACGACCTGTACAGGGGTTAGTGTCCGTGGTAAGAAAAGTCCTACATGAGATTTATGAGGGTTTGAAATTACTGACTATGGCAGGAAAAAAAAGCAATTAGCATTCATCCCAAAAATAAGCAATAAGAGTACTTACCCAGTTACGAGCTTCATTCCGTCCTGGAGTGTCATAGCGCCCGACACAGTCAATGCCGCCCACTCGCCAAAGGAGTGGCCGCAGATTGCCTGGGGCTTTATGCCTGAGTCGATCCATGCCATTCCACTCGAGTATTGGATAGAGAACATGGTGGCATGACGTAGAACAAGGTCGCCGTCATCTTGGATCCCCTGAAGAGCTGCCGGGATCAGACTGGGGAGACCGAGCGACTTCATTGCCTCTTCGCACTGATGTAAATGCTTCCGGAATAGCAAAGAGCTGTCATAAAGAGCCCGAGCGGAGGGGACAGAGTTGCCGTTCTGGCCGCTAAAGAGAAGTACGATGGGCTTGGGCTTATGGGATGTGGTAACATGGTTCTCAAAATCGGATAGTTGGGCTTGTAAGTCATTCACTGCATGAGCGTAGATAGTCAGCACTGGTTTTTGTGACAGGAAAGATAATTGATAGAACTTACGCGAAGTGACCGTCGTGCTGAACACATGCTGGAACTGACGACTTTGCCTTGTCGCCAAAGAGAAAGCTATGGATGGAATGTGTTTGGAAGTGATCAAAGCATTCCCAGACTGAGCCTTTAGCTTGCCGCAGAAGGCCGAAAGGCTGGCCTTGGATGCCGCGGAGATTAAAACAGGCCATGTAGACTCCAAGGGAGGAGAAGATGCCGAGTCTATTCTTAAAGACGACGGTCGTGAAGGAGGAGGCGCGACAATAGCAGCAGCGTTGTTGCCAGAGGCGCCATAGCTGTTCACAATCGCCAGGCGTAGGTCGTCATCCCAATCCTTCAGAGATCTTGAAATGGCCATCTGATCGGGCTCAAGTGCTGGGATATTGGGATTCAACTTCTCAAATTGAGCCTGTGGAGTGATCTTGCCATGCTTCATCATAAGCAGAACTTTGATCAACGAGATGACACCCGAAGCTCCTTCGGAATGACCAACGTTGGGTTTCACACCACCGATATGCAAGATGGATTTTCTCTCCCTCCCACCAAAAACCCGCCGGATACCACTGACCTCCACAGGGTCACCAGCACGTGTGCCTGTGCCGTGTGCCTCGACGTAGGAAATATCTTTTGGGCTGAGATTAGCGCGGGCTAAAACATCTTGGTATAATGCCGCCTGGCTCTCGAGAACAGGGTTTGTGATACTGGTGTTGTTGATGTTCTGGTTGTTACCAGTTGACAGCAACACACCCTGAATGTCGTCCCCATCTGACAACGCCTTGTGTAATGGCTTCAGCACGATAACACCCGCTGCTTCGCCACGACAGTACCCATCAGCCCGTGCATCAAACGTCTTGGAAGGACCCGTTTCACTGAGGAAGCCGCCCACCCGCATAGCGTCGAACAAGGCCGTGTTAGTGATTAGGTTGATGCCTCCCGCAACAGCACGTGTGCACTCCCCCGCCTGAATAGCACGGCAAGCTTGGTGTATGGCAACCATCGCCGACGAACAGGCCGTATCAATGACATGTGAAGGGCCAGTCCAGCCAAAGTGGTGGCTCAATCGCCCGGACGCGAACGATCGGAGCATGCCCGCGCCTGTGTATGGCGAGGGTGGGTTGGAAGCCAGATTCAGAGGGTAATCGGGCGCGTTCATTCCAATGAAGCAGCCGGTAATATTTCCGCTTTTGCTTCTGTCATGAGTCTCAGCTTCTTGTGACTCATCAATGCCCAACCATCCTGCTGATTCCACTGCATGGTAGGTAGTTTCGAGCAAAATGCGCTGATGCGGATCGAGTGCTGCTGCTTCGCGCTTGGACTTTTTGAAAAACTGGTGGTCGAAAGACTCAACGTCGGACAGGAAGTTTCCCCACATCTTGCCCTTGCTGGCTGCATCAGGAAACCGCTTCAAATCGATCTCCCGTACCATGCTTTTCCCTGCCTGGATTGTCTCCCAAAAGGCGTCCGCGTTATCTCCGGCTGCAGTCCGGCAAGCGAAACCCACAATTGCCACCGAATCCGCGGGGTAATTGGAGTAACTGCTACCGGTGGTGTTTTGCGTATTTTGCTTCCGCGGAGTAATGTATTTGAGCACAGGATGCCGCAGTGGCTCATTGGCCTCGAGCTCCAGTGCGCGAACAACGACCACATGGTCAGTTCTGAGGCCTGCAAAGCGGTCCCAAGCTGCAAATGCTTCTTCGATGCTCATACTCTCCAAACCCCTGGCATGCATTCCCTTGGTAATCATGTGCGTGGCTGACTTGTTCTGTGCCATCAAGCCAACACCACGCCAACCGGTCCAAAGTATTGACATGCTGTTATCACCCTGGAGCTTTCGATACGCTGCCAATCCTTCCAAGAACGAGTTTGAAGGGGCATAAGACAGCTGTCCTTCAAACCCGACGAGCTGTCCAACTGAGGATACGAGGTAGAAGAAATCCAGGGTTCCAGGTGAAAAGAGGGCGTCAAGGTTCAAGCCACCTATCACCTTTGTTGCTAATACATCAGCCACTTCTGATGGTATACAGCGCTCAATGGTATGATAGCCTGCTATCCCAGCGGCGTGCACGATTCCCTTTACTGGCGGTACATCGAGCTCATCGATTGCGTCTCTAAGCGTGGAGTCGGCCCCAGTCTTGCTAACATCAATGCCCATGACATGGACAGAGACCCCAAGAGCTTCAAGTTCAGCAATGCGTGAGAGCAGATTATCGTTCGACTCTGCGTCTTCGGTTTCGAGTTCTGAGGCTGGAAGGAGGCCACGGCGGGACACCAGCAGGATGGTACCGGCGCCACGTTGACCCATCCAACTTGCAACTTCCAGACCAATCCCCCGAGTTCCACCAGTAATGAGGTATGTGCCCTCCGAACTGAACTGGACTGGTTTGATATCATTCGATGTACCCCGGAAAGGCTGCAGTGAAGCTGTTTGCGGAGTTCCCTGGCAGACCTTGACGACGTCAAAGCCATGGGCATTCTTAATGGCGGATAAGGGAAAACGACCTTGATCATCTTCAAAGAGTCCACCAAATATGCTGGGGATTTCCATCTTCAATGCACGCGCCAAGCCATATAGCGGAGAGTGACATAGGTCACCGAGACCAAGGTCCTTGGTGATCAGTGAAAACAGCTTATGAGTCTGGGTCTTGTCAGACTGCCAGCGCTGATGCATTGTCTGCGCGGCTGCAATCAATCTGATGCAAGAATTTGTTGCGACTTCGTAGATCTCATTCTTGGATGTCGCTGTATGTGGAATGTGGACCACAATTGTATCAGTCGTCAATGCTGGCCCGATCTCTGCGGTATTGTGGACAATCGCTGTTGCATAGCCATCCTCGACAAGTTGATTGAGGTATACGGCAACGTGTTCAGGATGTTCTTGGTCATCGACGAAGAAAAGGACTTTCCTGAAGGCAAGTTGCTTCTCGGATGATGAAACGGGCGTCCAGTCGATTCGATGGATTAATCCGTTGGTATCCATGATTGCTTGCTTCTATCAAATGAAGTCTCAAAATGACTAGAACTTGTTGAAAGAATTTTTAAACGGAATGAAGAGGACAGTCAGGCTGGATGGAATGATTTATAGAACTGGGCTCTAGATGTATGCTATTCTCCCGGCTTATAAATAACACAATACTCCGAGGCGAGGCAACTAGAAAGAAATCCTAACAGCTAGGTAAAGATGCGGAAAGGCGTAAGCAATTGACATCCACAGGGTGCTACTGAGCCGTCCCTCTGCGTACTCCAGTGGCAGAGACTAGGAAGGCGGCTGATTTACATGCCTGCTGTTTTTCCCAGGTGAATTCCGGAGGAAACTAATCCGGTAGGCACAGGCAGACAGCTCGATACCCACCTGATAGACATATTCGACGACCATACTACCTCCTAGGAGAGATAAGTATTTTTCATGGGATAAAACCTTATAGAAGTCTTCTAGGCAAACAATCTCCCCCGATTGCCGTACCCAGCCTACGGAGTAGACTATGTGGACTTCACGCATTTCTTCAAAGCCCCATCCGTGTTACCGTTTATAGCCAAAGGATTCAACAATAAATCAACAAATATTCCAGTAGTAGTAGTCCCGAATTATCCCTGTCTTTTTGGCACTGGCTAAGCTCCTGCATTGCAACGTGGGCGTTGGGAACACCATAGTTTGCGACACGTAGGGCTCATATCCAATATCAAACTAGATATCTGCGGGGGCCGTCACATCGGATATTTTGCGACCCTCTTCGTGTTGAATAGTGCTGAGTACAGTGCGAACTATACTGCAAGAAACAAAATAAAGGAATGTTTTGCAAAATGATACTATAGTATAGTACCAGAAGTAAAATTGTACACTGTCTAATCTCTTCATACCGGGAGTAGAAGGCCATATTCATGGACATCTCTTCCACCCCTGTAGATACAGAAACTCCTCAATTGATGGATATGAATTTGTAATGGAGTCAGAAAGAGAATCAGAAAGAAGCAGAGGATGAGCAGTGACAAATCACTGAATACTAGATTCTCCTAGATTCCATTGACTGAAAGCAGCCTGGATTGAATTGACTTCATGCGATGCAACATAATGCAAGCTGTAAGCAGAAACTAGTGGTGAAGATGTTAAACTGCATCAATGGCGATACTCTTGTTTAGGGAGATCATCTCGGCCCCGGGATCCGTAAGCCGACGTTGTAAATATACTACACGACTGATAACGCGAGATTGGATGTAATTGGCCCTCGCCCCTTCAATTGCCCTTCAATCTAGAACCCCTATATGTTCCAATCCTGCCGCGGCCTCCACAAGTAGCCTCTCTGTTTAGCATGTGCCCAGATCCTTCAGGAGCAGGCAACTATACTTGAGTACATAGTATCTTGCATTGGTTAAAGTGGAGACCTACTAAACTGTGTACAAAGTACCGGCGCACCTGTTCCACGGGTATTTCAGACCGCGGGATGTTTATTAATCGCTTACCGACGCCCGAATTGTGTACAAAGTACGGAGTATACAGCATGCAGGGGGAAGCACCTGTCAGATATTTACGTACTAATCTCGCTTACCTCCGACCTCGGGAGGATGCACCCTTAAACTTAAAAGAGTGGAACTTCGGGACGGGAGAGCGGACCGTTTTTAATGGGCCCACCTGTCAACTGGTATTTAAGATCTCCGTTATGGACCCGTATCGGTAAGTATGATATGTCCGAGAAATACGTTACTAGTTTATCCTCGCCACATTCCGGTAGGGTGCAGCCTAGCTGCAGCTTATCGCTAACATCCGGGGAGCTTCTATTCGGCAGTTCACATAGTATAGAACAGGATTTAATTTTACTATGAGGACTGCGTAATCAATGGAAGTACCTCGAATTCCCGTCTTTAGAGACCCAATATGGTAGGAATAACCGACGTAGGCAAATGTGGATAGGCAAGAAGTAGATATGGAGACAAATCACCTATACAACTGGTATAATGACGCAATTTTGGTGGAATGAGCGTTTGCTGAGCTGGCTGACTAGTAGCTGCAGCTAGCTGTTCTTTCATTGGCCAGCTTTGGATATTTCAAAGTGAAGATGGGAGTATAGAGCATATCATTATTCTGATATCTTGAGGAGCTCTTTAAAATACATCAACTTTTTCAGTGAGATTTTGTTTGCCTTATTGTCCTATATTTCATATTGCTAAAGATGAAGAAGCTCATGGGATTCCTTTTTGAGATAGCGTAGCTAACCAAGAGAACTAGTTTGTCAGATATTCTCTATGTAGTATTCAGTCATGGTTTCATCCTTGGCTAGCTATCTAACTTAGACGGACTTTACTCTTCTTTTCTGCTGATTTCTGGTCGCTGCTTGATAGTGCAGAAAAAACCTCGCTGTTTCATCAAGAACCCATTTTCCACTGTAAGCGCCTTCGGGTCGAGGATATTGATCTAGGTCTCTTATCAGCGGCAAGAAATTCCTGGTCTAAGATGTACATTACTCACATCGTAGTTAAGGATTAAGAAAGGGATAAGCTTTTTCACTTCGAAAATACCAATGTGCTTTCCAAGACACACGCGTCTCCCAGAACCAAACTAGTATGAGAGTCAGTCATGTGCATCAAGTAATGATTTCTAGCGAATGGTACTCACAGTCAGCATGCTCTGCTCAAGCTTCTTTTTATGACTTTCGCCGCCACAAAGCCACCTCTCTGGGTTCCACTCTTCGGGCCGAGGACCAAATGTTGGCTCGTGTCGGTTCACCACGTAGGGGTTACCACCAACTAGAGTACCTTCGGGGAGATAGCTGCCCAGCACGGTGACGCCCCCGGTGGGAACAGTGCGCTCAAGGGGTAGTGCAAACGGAGGGTTTATACGTGCTCCTTCTTGAACACAGGCGTCGAGGTAGGGAAGATCGCGGACCTCATTCCATTTTGGATACTGGCGAGAAACCTTCGCCACTTCAAGTTCTTGCCTTAGTTTCTCCATTGTGTCTGGATATGCAAGTAGGTTATCTGTAAAAGTATTAGTTTTCATGTCTAAACTACCAAGCTATCCCCAGAGCTTTTTGCTGTAAAGACAGGCCACTATGGCTCAGAGAATTCATGCTGCCAAACCCCTGAAGCTGTAGGATACTCACTGGACTCACTTAGCCCTGAAATTAGTTCAAACAAAGGATACGGGTATTCCACTTACCACATAACATTCCGCATCAATGTACCGGTCGAATCCGAGCCAGCAATGACATTTGAAAATGTCCACGCAGTTGAAGCCCTGTGATTGTTGTGAATATGACATTGGTCGATAATTCGGAATTATTTTCCCTACCATGGCGGTAAATTGGAGTTGGCTCTGTGAATTTCGAGGAAGCGGGCCAGAAAGTCCTTCTTTTCGGGGTTGGCACTAGCGCCATCTTTGGCATCCGCTGTCTCGCTTGATCGCTCGCGAATAGCTTTACTGACAAATCCCAGGATCGTCATGCCAGGCGTTCGTCGGATCTTGTGGAGTAATTGATTCTTGTAGATCCAAGGGTCGAGCCAGGTAATTTGGGTCATCTAAGGACGTTAGGAAATATGTAAGCTACATGAGGTTTGACTAGGCATACGTACCGGCGCTGCAGTCTTAAAGAAGCCAAAGATAGCATCAAGCATTCCTCCAACGTCGTAGCCTTGCTCAAGAAACCCGTATCTTTGAGAGAAGGACATTGTTCCCATCACGTCAAATGCGAAATATTGTAGCCAATCACCAAAATCAAATGTCTCACCGGTAGCCACAAAACGCCGGTTAAGCTGCTCAGATAGACATAACAGCACTTCCTCGACCAGTCCTTCGAAATTGACGACATTGGAGAGAGAAAAAAGCGGCGCGATGGGGCTTTTAATGTGCTTGTGTACCTGTTCATCTATCGTGTTGAAGACCGCCAGCATAGAGCCGCGCTCCCGGGTGTATGGTCGTAATGTGGCATAGAAGTTGCTCTAGAAAAGAAAACAAAGAACCGAGTGTTAGAGTTGCTCTAGCTCTGTTATCTTGCACGTTTAACGGGTATACAGACTTTGGGGAAGCCAGGTCTTATTGGATAAACTGTTGCAATGGCCTCGGGGTTGCTGAACGAGACCATATGAGGTCCAATTCGAACAACGTCGCCATATTTTGCATGAACCGCTTGATGATACAGATGTGCGCGACCCGTCTTCACCCACCAAACCCTTTGAAGATTGGTGAGGCTGGCTAGAAAGGGCCCAGGAATATGTCGCAAGGACCACCACACCCGGAAAAGATGCAAAGATATAGCTATGGTTGCCGCTGCCAAAGCAACAGACCATACTTGTGCTCCATCATAATCTTTAATGCTCGTCATAAGGAAGTTTGAGGAAGAAATGGCAGCAGTGACAAATATTATCATTGTTAATGAGAACCATTCAAAGGGATTGGCGGTCTTCAAGGTCTCCCGAGTAGGAATAAAGTAAATCGCTACAACATAGAGTGAGATAAGAGTTGGGGTGGGATGATGGTCTCCGGCGCAGTTCATCCAAAGGACTGTAACAATGCCAGTTGTCCCTTGGACAATCCCTGCTCTTACACGTTGCTTGTACGTTGCTTGTACGTTGCTTGACAATATTATGAATTAATTACTATAATTATATGAATATGATGAATTCAATTTAGGTAATGATCGCTGAATACATTCCCTCGGGCAAGTAAGCCGAACGAAGCCCCGAGGCCGAGGTATCCTTGTATTTCGTAAAATACCGCCGCCTCGTACTATTGTGCTGCATGTTGAGATTAGCAGTAAGACGGAACGTTGTCGGTTGTTTGTGCGGAGCAAGTATACGATCTATCCAATCAGACATGGTGGAGAAAATCTCCTCACGTAGTATCTGACATGCATAAGGCTACTTGCATCATGCGCGACGGAAATATCCGTAGTGTCGGACATGCATACAGCTAAATACTTCCGCCGAGACGGAGGTATGAGCTACATACTTCCGCCGTGACGGAGGTATGTCGATTTCCTATCTGGCCCCAAATGATCCTATCATACACCGCGGCCGTAGAGTTGCGAGGTGATAGCACGAGCAGAGTACCAGGCGGAGGCCGATCCCGGGATCATAAAAGTTCCCCTCTATTTCAGCATCTTGAGTGCCTGGTTTCGGCACGTCAACAACAGAGCCATCATCTCTCAATATTATACAGTGAAACCTCGAGCTGGAGATAGCAACAGAGCATCTATGAGCGTAAACGCAATTAAGGGAGCTTCGCACCAGCCTCTCGACACGGTCCTCAGCAACTTCAATGCTATTCACACCGATAGCTTCAAAAGCGATGGGGATCGTAGCAAGGCACTCCTGGGCGCGTATGCTCTAGTAAGTCGGCTTGAGACTCCATGGGATACTATTTCCAGACTATGCATGAACCAGGTAAGCTCTAACCTCTTCACACTTTCTGATACATCGAATAACAGATAGCTTCCTCGTAGCCCGCTCTGTAAGCCAGCTTGAAGGTAGTCAAAGACCTGCTGCTGTTTGAGAACTGGCATGAGAGGGGCAATGCTGCTGCAAATAGTGATAACCTAGCCGATATGGTCAAGTGCGAGCCTAGACTTCTTGGTCAGTCCTTCAAGCTCCTCAATGTAGGCCTCGAATTTGAAGACTTACATCAACCGGGTTCAGCTCGTATTCTTCGCCATCTTGCAGCAAATCATATATTACAAGGACTCACTGGGTAATTACAAGCCAACGAAATTCTCGCTGTCTCTGCGCCAGACCGTCTTCGGGGAATGGATCAACTTTCTGTAAGCTACGACCTTTCCCCCGCCATATGTTTTTCTCAGTCTGGATACTAAATATTTGCTTCAGCTATGATACCAACATGTCAGTCTTCTTCAAAACACCCGAGTATCTTAAGAAGACGACCTATGCAAATATCACCCACCTAGAAGATGGCGTCTTCTAGTATGCGAAAGACCAGGAGGGAGACATGTTCGCATACTACAATGAGAATCCTCGCGAAGGAGCATCGTTCAATCATGTTATGGGTGGTGTCATGGCGGACCAGGCCACCTGGCTAGACATTATACCACCAGAGAGATTTTTGGATGGTGCCGATCCCAGTCAGCCGCTTGTGGTCGATGTTGGTGGAAACATTGGCCATGACATTGAGAAATTTCGACAGGTATATCCAGACACAGCTGCACAGCTGTATCTTTAGGACAGACCGGCGGTCATTGAGCTATCCAAGTGTCCTGGTACTGTGAACAAGATACCCCACGACTTTTTCCAGGAGCAACCAATCAAGGGTGAGAGCGATTCTTACATTTGGCAAGAATCAGGACACTAAATTATGATCGCAGATTCTTGTTTTGCACGACTGGTCTGATGAGCCAGCAAGCAAGATTTTGCAAGCACTCCGAGGTGCACTCAGGCGTGGATACAGCAAGCTTTTGATTCACGGCCATGTGGTGCCGGATACAATGGCACACCCTCATTCGACGTCTTACGACTTGAACATGATGGTTCCGGTCGCGGGACAGGAAAGAACTGAGACCCAATGGCGTAGATTGCTTCACCCAGCAGGATACAAGGTTGTCCAGGTGTGGCGGTCACCCTTGGCAGCCCAGGCTGTTGTAGAGGCAGAGCTGGCCTAAGCATTCAAATTGAAAGGCCGTAATCACTTATTATCTGAATACCTCGAGTTCTATGCGGCAAGAGCGATATTCTTACTAGAACAGTATAGGTGATTGAAGAGCAGAAATTTGATCTATTCTCTATGGCAATGCAGGAGATCAAGGATCCTGTTAAGTTCAAGAAATAACTTCCACGGGTGGGCACAGACCGTGTGTATACTAAAATATGGGCAAAGAAGAAAGCTCTATCTGAGCATACCTAGTTTCAGGCTCGCTCATCAGCCTTTCCTGCCTTGCGCTGTGCCATAGAGAAGTACTAGAGAACCCAATTGGGTAATTACTGCGACATGCGATTTACGCGTTCTCCAAACAATATCTCCAATAGGCTATTGGAAGTATATGTAATGCATTCCTTCGGGGTAGGTCTGTCTACGTTGCCTCATGTTTCTCGTGTCTCATACGACGGTGTTGTTCCGACACTCCGCGGTAAGCGACAGTGAATAGATTGACTATGTACCCACCGTCGTATCTGCCGTATGTAAAGCTTACTGCTTACTATGTAGGGAGTATTGAACAAATAGTAAGCAGCCAGCCTCATGCATGTCGCAGGATTTGACCCGAATAGGCAGTCCCGCCCCATACAAGTATGCCTCAACCTCATCAGTATTGCGGCCACATGTAGTCGGGTCACATTGGCCATTCGGACCATACGCCTTATCGAGCTCCTGGACAATAGACCTGAATAGGTCTACAGACCGTGCATAGCCTACGAATGCCATCCTGAAACCCTTTAGTGCTGACAACGAACTGCATCCTTCCTCACGGCTGGGTGCAGTGGGTCTGCTTGTCATAGGCACCAGCGAGCAGGCAGAGCCTGGTTTGAGTATTCCTGGCGGCTCCAATTCCCTATTTTGAAGTGCTGTTTCATTTCTGTTCATTCTTTAGAATTCGCGTGGGCTTTCCTATTCACCGTTCACTTTTGCTCTTAGCACAAAGGCTCAGGCGAAACAACTTTGTTCCATCCGCTATGGCATTATTATCATTTTTTGATTCCTTTAGAAACTTCTCCACGCATGTGGAAGCTCCTCATATTTTATCTCCCCCTGCAGTCCAGATTCCAATTTCCTCGTCGACCGTAGACGTGAGGGTAATCGATACGTATGTCAAATCAGACATGGCCAGCGCACTCTATCTTCTAACCTGCTGGCACGTGAATTAGCAATACACGTCTGTACATGAAGCCAGGAGTTTTCTGGGAGCCAGAATTACCAGGCTTTGAGGGGCCTAACTCCCCAGTATACAGCTTCCTTGTCTCGCATGGTGATCACCACATAGTCTTTGACCTTGGCGTACGCACCGACTGGGAGGCGCTTCCCCCAAGCTCGTAGAGCTTGTCAAGGCCACTACCACGGTATCATCTTGCGACAGGGACGTGGTATCTGTGCTAGATGAAGATAGCAGCGGCCTGAACATTCGCAGCTCCGACATTGAGGCTGTGATATGGTCACATAACCATTTCGATCACACGGGCGACCCATCTCGATTCCCGGCCCATACGGAGCTCGTTGTCGGGCCCGGCGTCAAGGCAAGCTCATGGCCTGGCTATCCGTCCAACCCGAACGGCACGGTCCTAGACAGCGATGCTGCAGGTCGCAATGTCACCGAAATCGATATTCAGGGCGCGGGCCTCAAGGTTGGCCGCTTCGATGCTTTTGACTACTTTGGAGATGGTTCTTTCTATTTGCTTGACGCACCTGGCCACGCCTCGGGACACATGTGTGGCCTGGCACGCACGACAGCCGACCCACCCTCGTTCGTCCTCATGGGCGCCGATGCGTCCCATCATGCCGGTGTGTTGCGACCTTCGAAGTATCTCCCTCTGCCCCAGCCGGACCCCTCAAGTCACACTCATAGCTATGGCGGGTGTCCTGGGGACTTACTGATGCAGCTAGAGACTTGGAAAAGTCCTGATGAGCCTTTCTTCCAGGTGGCATGGGGGCCAATGTTCCCTGATTATGAGGCAGCTATAACAACTGTCTCCAAGATCCAGGAGCTAGATGCTGATGGCAGTGTTTTGATTCTTCTTGCACATGACGAGTCACTGGATGAGCGTATCCCGCTATTCCCTGACCGTGTGAACGACTGGAAGGCCCAGAACCTGCGAGATGACACGCGATGGATATTTTGCAAGGAAATGGAGAATGTTACACTCTGACTAAATGATAGGAAGCCAGCTTAAACAATCTATCACTAATGTGTCCCTACTCTTCCGTATAGCCTATTCCTCTTTCCGCCTCTTACATATGTCTGACGTTACTCCTTGTACCTGGTCAACCTACTGCAGGACATCTTCCTGTACATCTTTGCTCTTCGGCCCATCAAAGATAATAGCAATGTCCTCCAGTGAAGGACCCATAGTCTCCGGAAACGGTTCGCAGATGGTAAGGTAAAATCTCTAGGATGAAGAGGCCCATGTTTCCGTTGAAACCGAAATTGTATGCGGGTGAGAATAGGTAGAGGAGAACGACAACAGCGTACCCAGCGGCATTATTGTTGAGACCGTTTCTGTTTCAGGTTGATAGGACCTGCTCCCTACCTGGATTAATCTTCCTTTCTCTCTCTTAGCCAGCTAGCTCAATAAAACCCTATGGTTTCCTTTCCCATTAAAATCTATACATCACCTTGGAATCTATAACATATGTTAAAAGTTTAGATTGTTAGAATATATACGTGGCTGGCTAATATAGATTACTGATGTTAATATGTATCCGTTTGACTTACTTTGGGCACCTGGATCCGTAGCTATAACATACGCAGAGAGTCCATGTAGTCCACAGAATCACCCTCACCGTCCATCCATCCATGGATGGATCCATCAGCTGGATACTTATTAAGCATAATTAAGAGCCCTGGAGGTCCACGCCCGGGCGCCGCCCGATCCCCACTGCGCACCCGGGCAGCCCTGGAGGTGTGAACCTTGGAAATACTCAGTAAGCAGAACCCAAAGCGCCCTATAAAGCGGCAACACCCTGATCGGAAAAGTTGTGGCCGTGGTCTAGAATCCGGTACATAGAGCAACATATATGCAGCTAAAGGGGCCATGAAAAGAAAACGAAGAACAAAAAGCATTACGCCGACAATTCCGCTAGTCCGTATTCACACAGTAATCAATCACCGCCGAGCTTTCTCGTCCTCAATCTGGCTGCGAAGGTCCGAAAGAACATCATGCCGTTGGGCCATATGGCTTTTCAGCCCGTCCACCTGTTCTCCAACAGCCTTGACATCCTCCCTGAGTCGCTCCAAATCCTGACCGTCCTTAGCACGGCCAGTGCCCTCACGGAGCTCCCGCAACTCCCGCTCCTTATATTCCAACAGTGAGAGTGCCTCCTTTTTAATCAAAACCCAGTTGGGCCGGCCATCATTGCGTGACCCATCCCGCCGAGAGTCGGAGGCTTTATTGGCGGAGCTCAGCTTCTTCTCCAACTCCGCGAGTTCGCGGCGCAGCCGCACCTTCTCCCACTCTTCATCCTGGATAGTGTCACTGAAATCCGTTCCCTTGGGCTGGTACGAGCCCTTGCCACCAACGCCCAGACGGCCGAGGTAGGTATCGCCGAACTTGGCCTTGCGGCCTGTCCGTGTTTCCGTATCGCCATCTACGCCATAGCGCTGTGCGGGTCGCGCCTTGTCGACTTGGTAGTCTATATTGTTGTGCTCGAATGAGGCGCGCAGCGATGCGGGGATGGTGCGTGGGATGCGGAAACCCTCGTGGCGGAAGTTCAGGATGTGCAGGAAGGCGAGTGTTGCATCTTTATTGATTGCGGGTGATGAGGAGGGGTTGACCAGGTTCCAGGCGGAGTGGACATCGGTGTCGGGGACGTCGAGTGATTCGTAGAGTGGTTGTAATTGTTGGACTGGGGGTGGTCAGCGGGATATTTTTCTGGGCGCTATGCGCTGTAAGGGTTACTCACATTCTACTTGGCCGCGCGCGTTCCGGTTGGCGTCGTAGATCTCGGTGTACTTGTTCTTGTCGTCGGGCTTCATGTACCAATCAAAGCCGTCCTTTAGGCCGAGCGAGTCGTCCTCGTCTTCTATCCGCTCGAACTTCTCCTGTCCGCCGCTTAGTGCGCGGGTCGCATGGACGAGATGTGATTTGGATTCTGGGACTAGCCAATCGGGCAGGACATTCGGGACATCTTGTAGTTCCTATTTACAAATAAGACGCCGTGTTAGAGCGATTTGGTGATGATGTGAGAGGGTAGATCACTTACGCCGTTGACCAGGTCGAAAACTAGGCGCATCGCAACACAGAATTCCTCGAAATCCAGCTCCCCATCTCCGTCGACATCGGCAATGTCCCAGACCTTCTCGAGCTGGTCATCGCGCAGCCGGCTGTTCCTCAGCACAGAGGCGGCTTGGGAGCTGTTCAGGTGTTTTTGGCCATTTGATAATGAGGCGAAAATCTCCCAATATCGCTCAATCTCCCATTGCTCAATCTTTTTAGTAGCCATGATGTATGAAGCTCCGATGAATGGCGTGGAGGATGAGGTGGGAACAATGGGGGGAGATATTCGGATTTACTTACTTCCGTCAGGGGCTCTGAGGTCATTGGACTCACAATGTAATTATCCTTCTCTAGTTATCGTATTCATATTGAATTGTTTATAATAATTGTGGTCTATGTAGTTGTCTATTGGAATTTGATGCGTTCCTTTAATTATAGTACATGATCTCCCTCTGTGTTTAGTAGGAGAACTCGATATCTCCTTTCCCCAAAACATGATGATTGAATCATCGGCGTTATGAATCCTCCTTCTCGTCTTTCTTCTCTTGTTTAGCCTTCGCTGCAGCCTCGAGCTGCTCCCTGACTTGAATAATCGCTCGTTCAGCTTCCAACGCAAGCTCTGGTGCTTCCAAGATCGTGGCCAACTTCTTAGCATCAGACATCTTCAACAGGACCCGATCCTCACTCTGCTCTATGTCGTCGGCAACCTCGGAATATGATGTCTCGGTCGTGGTACCTTCTAGTGCTCCAGATGCGCGTTTGGCATATAGCTGCTCTAGCTCCGGTAATGAGATGGGGTTGAGGAGATTCTTGTCAACGAGGAATTCTAGATGTCTTGAGCCATTCAATGCTGTGTATTCTCGTCAGTTCCATAGACCAGATCCGTGTAGAAAAGCAAACTAACCGCGCCAGTGGGACCAGCCCCGGTACGCCAAATAGAAAAAGGGAATATTCGGAACCCTAGTCTGTATTAGTATATCATATCACCGGGGAAGACTCGTAGCATTCACATACACTGGTACCAACCCAAAGGGTGCTGTAATCGGTGCAGCAATCAAGCTCCACATCATCCTCTTCCGATGAAGCTCCTGTCTCTCCGTGGCGACCGTGCGCAGCACATTTTGAATTTGCTCCAATCGCACCGCGTTACCGGGGAACAGCACATCAATCTTGCCCTTTCCATGATCTCCATTGATTCGCTGCTGGGTTTTAAACGAAGGAATGCTTTTGAGGGCCCATTCTTCAAAGGGTATCCGTTGCTGGACTCGATTGCCCCATCTAACAAGGTGCATCTTCCATCCTTTGTCGGCTTCCTCCCACTTCGCCCATGTTTCAGCCGCCTTTGTTGTGATCCTATCAAGAATTGAAAGCTCTTTGGCTAAATCCTTGTTAAGGGGTCGAGCATATACGAGGACCCGTTTTGTCGAGATGGGAATTAGGAAAAGGCGCATGGTGGAGGATGTCTAAGACAATTGACAATCCACAATCGATTGCGGGGAAGATAAATGATAGATATCAAATGGGTCAGGATAAAGAGGAATAGTTGAAGACTTCACAATAAATAGTCCATCGAAACTTGACTTTTTTTTCGTGTGGGTGAAAAGGGATGCGGGAGGTAAGCAGGTCCGCGCGTTGAATAAATCGAGACGTCATTCCGAGGTCCGCGTACCTGTTCGTCTTGTCCCTGAACACCAACTTCATATTTGAACACGGAGCAATTGGGGATCCGCGGGCAAACTGTTGATTGAAGTTTCCCGCGACTCCCGAGCCTCAGGTTTCAACTTCTCTCCTATATCATGGAGAGCCCCAAAGACAGCACTCCAGGGCGAATCTTTGGTGAGAAGCTGGCAGAGAAGTTCCCGCCCATCCCAGAGTCATCACCGCTGCCAGACCAGCTTAGCGTCGATACCGAGTCTGCTGTTCGCAATAAAACCTCCGATCCAGCACTTGCGCGTACAGACGGTCAGACAGTGGAAGAAATCGCGCACTCCGAACGCTCCGCCTTACGATCTCTACCTGGTATGGTCCCATTCAAAGCTGGCTCGACGATCACTCACTAATAGCGAGTCTTTATAGCCTGGATTCGGTCGGTCGATGAGCCCGAGGAGGACGAAGATGAAGCTACGGCAACCGATCGCTTACTACCTTCCCAACCAAATGACGCATTTGTCGCTCAGCACAACCACTCGCCCTACTCATCGTCGAAGCCGCAACCTACTCACGCGACCACCAACGGCCTGTTTGAGGATGAAACACCACTCGTCAACCGTGAATCGCGCTGGGTGACATTCTCACGAAGCATCCAATACCCCCGAGAGCCCGGTAGAGAGGAACGGCATGTCACGTCAGAATGGCTGAATGAGAATCACGGTGATTACTTGCAACCATGGCGAGGAAAGCACTTGGAGGGCGATAGTCCGGAGTATCCGCTACACAGCGGCGGCCGAAGGGATATCTGGATCAAGCGTTTCAAGAACACGCTCCTGCGAAGCCCGATCGTACCACTGATTCTTCGAATGACTGTTTGGTGCTTCTCACTCTCTGCACTGGCTCTGGGTGGATCGATTCAGCACATGTCTAATCGATTGCATCACCCTCAAGGCCCATCTGCATTGATGGCAATCATCGTCGATGCAGTCGCCCTGGTTTACCTCTTGTACATCACCTTTGATGAATACACGTCAAAGCCCCTGGGTTTGCGCTCCCCCTCGGCTAAAGCACGTCTTCTCCTCCTGGATATATTCTTCATTGTTTTCGATTCCGCCAATCTTAGTTTGGCATTTGCTTCACTCTCCGAGGTGACAGGATCCTGCACCGAAACGGAGGTCAACCAAGCGATCGATCCTCGAAATGATGGTATATGTACGCGACAAAAGGCACTTGCTTCCGTATTGCTCGTGGCACTCTTGGCTTGGCTCATGACATTTTCGATCAGTGTTCTCAGGTATGCCCCTTGTCTATAATTGGCATACTCGATCCATTTTCTAACGTTCTACTAGGCTTGTCGAACGAGTCACACAGTGATTTCAGGGTCTTGTTGTGTTTCATGAATCTTTTGGCTGTTGATTAAATATACCATTTAAGTAAGACTTGATTTTGCGCAAGCGCAATTTTACCTAGACGTGCAAAGCAGGACCGTCAACGCCATACAACGGATCTTGACGGAACCAAGCCACATCCTTGATTCTTTGCACCTTTGCTTTCTCTTCTGGCTTCCCAAAACACATATCCCACTGTTTTCCGTGTGGATATGCGCCGACCATTTGGAACTCTTCCTGGTTCTCGTGCAAGTCCTCTAAGAGCCGATGGCCCACCCCCGCCGGCACAATGATCAAATCACCGCGCTGCACCGTCGGCTCAAATCGCTCGGGGTTCTCCTCGCCTCCAAAACAAAGACGCGCGCTCCCTGAAACCACCCCGAGCACCTCTTGCGTTGTGGAGTGGAAGTGGGTTTTGCTGTACATGCTATATACCCATTTAGGAACAACCTCGCCTACTGCCTCCAGGTGCTCCTCAAGCTCTGTGGATGTGGCATTGAAGGCTCCATGGTATATCATGAGTGGCTTGGATTGGATCGAAGTGTTCGGTATATGGTGCCACTCGGGAATTTGCCGAGTGGTCACTTGAGTGTTTGACAGTGGAGTTATGGCCATTGCTGATTCTCTATTTTGCTTTGCTTGTTTTGCATGGAGAAAGCTTTGGAGTTAGGTTAGATTGTAGACAACAAGCTGTAATACTTCAGGCAAATGACGTCATTCGTGGTGGGGGCATATAAATGTAGATGGGAGGCATGTAGCTTAATATGATAGTCCAGCTTAATGATCACATCTTCTCCTGGTTATACATAGAAAAGTTCTCTGTACGATTTACACTTTTTAGCGCTTCGTATGTCATACATGTTAGGTTCTTATTTAGTTACTCTGTGCTATATTAATTACCCTTTTAGGTTATAACACCAAGAAGAAAAGCTATCTAAAAAAGGACATCTCAAAAGACATCCAAAAAGAGCATCGGACTGTTCTTACATATAACGTTTCTTGTATCATCTTGAGATAGCCACAAATGTGAAAGTGAACCGCAAATTAATACCTGGGAATGGAACTCGGATGTTCAACATCCCCATGTCACGCAATTAACTGTCCACTATGATCAAAAAGACTGGCGATAAAATCACGTCTCCCAGTATCCACTTACAATATCCTTCAACTGAAAAAAAAAGGCTTTTGTCAAAAGAGCGTCCTTATAAAAGCAGGAAATACACTATATAGAGGTACCTATAGTTATACACTTCCTACCATGGGTACATCGATACATTTTCAAGTTCCCTTAAGACTTTTATACATTTATTCCCCTTGTTTCTACTTCTTTCTCTATGAGTATCGTTAGGACGTAAGAAAATTGACTCTATTTGCATATTAAGCATGTGTATTGATCTCAGCATAACTATGTAAATGTCGTCATATATTTGTACACTATAAAGTAGACTGCAGGATCGTTGTAGCCAGATATTTCCCATCTGTTCTCGAGGTTTCGACAAAGCAAGGTAATTGTTTTACACTTAAGCCTTGCTACATGCCTAGGAGGGTTTGATACGCAAAGTCCGTAATAGTACTAGTTGGAAACATAGATCTATGGATCAAGTCTCACTAGAGACGTATATGTTGTGATATCACATAGTTAGATAGAGACAGGTTTATTGTAGAAGAACAAAACCCAAAAATATGTATAGCATCCTATTCTAAAGCAGTGCTTGCCAAATAAATAAGAATCTATATATAACTAGGGTGTTTAGACTCGCTTTGATCAAAAAAGCATCAAAGCCGATGATGTAGATTTGGCGGGAAAGCTCCGCCACCTCACCGCCTGCGGCAACAAGGCCATCCCCACGCTCTGGTCCTTCTCAGCCTCATCACTTCTCTGCTCTTCTGCCTAATCTCTTTTCCAATCTTTACTCTAGAAGTTCCCGAGGAGGGTATCTTCTTGCTCGTCTTTTTCGACTGCCCGAACCCCGCTCTTGCAATACCCCCCTACCCCTCCGAAGCGCCTACCCTCATTTGATCACGAAGATCTTTGAGGCGTGACTTGTGGCGCTACAACCGTCTTGAGGTAATATCCATGATGTGTAACTTGCTGGTTACTATTGAGAGTTAAGAGCGCGTTACTGACTAGTGGAGTAGGACCCTCGGCCTCGCCCACTCACTTTCTTCCGCAACCCACCGACTCCCCTGCAACCGCGATGTCTCTCGCGATGCCGCCGGTACCTCACAAGGATGACCTTGAATCAACGTGAGCAGACAATGAGATTGGAGTTGCTTTAACACGGCGGTGCGGCGTGAGCTAACTGTGGGTTAGTTGGTCATTCCTGGAAACAGGAATCGAGAGCGTCATGCTCAACCTTGACTCCGGTATCGATATGAAGACTGTAAGTGAAATGCTGAACGATTCACTACCTGCGGTGAGTGTGTTTGAGAATAGAAGCTGACTGGCTGTTTTTGTCTAGTACATGGGTCTATACACGTGTGTTGAAGATTCGATCCTACCTCTTGTCTGACGAGAACTGCGCTCACACTTTGATATTAGGGCTGTCCATAACTTTTGCACATCCCAAAAAGCCGTCGCTAGCGGTCAAGGCCTACAAGGACAACGCGGGGGTTGGTCATCTTCCCTTCATGCCGCACCCTCGGCTTCTCGATTTGAGCTGACCTGGACTCAAGCTCATTTGCTCGGTGAGGAACTTTACAAATTACTCGGGGAATACCTCTCGTGCCATCTGAGTAAGGTCTTCAAACAATCACAGAGCCACACCGAGGAAGGCTTGCTTGGCTTCTACATTCGCGAATGGTACCGCTACACGACCGCCGCCAAGTACGTGAACCACCTTTTCCGCTACCTCAATCGTCACTGGGTTAAGCGTGAGATCGACGAGGGTAAGAAAAACGTCTACGACGTTTACACCCTGCACTTGGTCAAATGGAAAGGGGACTTTTTCGAAAAGGTCCATGAGAAGGTCATGGACGCTGTTCTGAATCTGATCGAGAAACAACGGAATGGCGAAACCATCGAACAGTCGCAGATTAAATCCATCGTGGACTCATTTGTGTCACTGGGTCTGGATGAGAATGATAGCTCCAAGTCAACACTAGATGTCTATCGGCAGTACTTCCAGCTGCCATTCATCCAAGCCACTAAAACCTATTATGAAAATGAGTCACGGCAGTTTGTGGCCGAAAACAGCGTGGTGGAATATATGAAAAAGGCAGAAGTTCGTCTGGATGAGGAGAAGAACCGGGTTGGTTTGTATCTGCATCCAGATGTCACCAAGAGCTTGACCGATACCTGTCTGTCTGTTCTCGTCACCGCCCATTCAACTTTGCTCCGCGACGAGTTCCAAGTTCTGCTGGATAACGAACGCCAGGAGGATCTTGCTCGTATGTATCGACTCTTATCACGGATCAAGGAAGGGTTGGATCCTCTGCGAACAACATTTGAGAACCACGTGAGACGGGCCGGCCTGGCTGCTGTCGAGAAGGTTGCTTCGGAGGGCGAAACACTCGAGCCCAAGTTGTATGTAGATGCTCTACTGCAAGTTCACACACGGTACCAGAGCTTGGTCGATGAGGCCTTCAATGGCGAGGCCGAGTTCGTGCGTTCTCTTGATAACGCTTGCCGAGAGTTTGTCAACCGAAACCGCATCTGCAAGACGAGCTCTTCTAAGTCTCCCGAGCTGCTGGCAAAATACACGGACTCACTGCTCAAGAAGGGATCCAAGTCGGCTGAAGAGTCGGAGCTTGAGGAGATGCTGGTGCAAATTATGACAGTCTTCAAGTACATCGAAGACAAAGACGTCTTCCAGAAGTTCTATTCCAAGAACCTGGCCAAACGTCTGGTTCATGTGAGCTCGGTTTCTGATGACGCTGAAACAAGCATGATCAGCAAGCTGAAGGAGGCGTGTGGTTTCGAATATACCAACAAGCTGCAACGCATGTTCCAGGACATGCAGATATCCAAGGATCTTAATAACAACTACAAGGTCTGGCAGGACAAAGTGCTAGAGGATGATGACCGAAAGAGAATGGCCGATGCCCACTTCCAGGTCCTGGGAACTGGCTTCTGGCCCCTCAATGCCCCAACCACACCATTCCTTGCACCACCAGAGATAGTGAAAACCGCCGAACGGTTCCAGAGCTTTTACTTTGACAAGCACAGCGGCCGCAAGTTGACATGGCTGTGGCAACTATGCAAGGGCGAAATCAAAGCTAACTATATCAAAAACACCAAAGTGCCTTACACCTTCCAGGTGTCGACCTACCAGATGGGCATTCTTCTTCTTTTCAACGAAGCCGACACTCTGTCCTACGATGAGATTGAAAAGGCCACTACCCTGGCTACCGAAATCCTCGATCCAAACCTTAGCATCCTGCTCAAGGCCAAGGTCCTCATCGCCAGCCCCGAGGGCGCTAAGCCCGAGCCCTCGACCTCGTTCACATTGAACTACAACTTCAAAAGTAAGAAGGTCAAAGTCAACCTCAACATTCAAATCAAGTCCGAGCAAAAGGTCGAGGCCGACGACACACACAAAACGATAGAAGAGGACAGGAAGCTTCTGCTCCAGGTATGTCTCCTAGCTAATCACCAACCCCCGCACAGTCCATTTGTCCTAACCTTGCTGCAGTCCGCCATTGTTCGAATCATGAAGTCCCGCAAGAAGATGAAGCACGTCCAGCTCGTCCAGGAGGTTATTCAGCAGGTCAAGTCCCGCTTCCCGCCTAAAATCCCCGACATCAAGAAGAACATTGAAGCCCTCATGGAGAAGGACTACATTGAGCGCATGGACGGCGATGAAATCTCATACATTGCTTAAATCAAATTAAACCCCCCTCCACCCCCTTCCTCCAATATTGCACAACCAACTTGCTTCTATTTCCTTTTTTCTGTTGCTTTCTGCTTTTGCTATTGTCTCTTTCTGACACCAGTGGCTTCCCGCGTTCCTTTCTTGTCCTTTTGTGCCATCGATGATGGAAAAGCAAGGCAAGGGAGAATGGGACCCCTGCTGGTCCAGGATAGGACTCCTACAATGGGTAGCTGGCGGATGGAATCAGGCTGATAGGAGCATGAATTCTTCTCATTGTGTCGGCGACTTACTTTATGTTTCTTCTTCATAGCGCTGAGACGACAAACAAATGATGACCTGGTTTTTTCTTTCCTCTTTGCTCTTTGCTCTCTCGTTTTTTTTTATACTTTCTTTGATGAAAATACTAAAACATACTAAATTGATGATTCTCTTCTGTGTAGCTGGCTATTAGGGATTCGAAGATTCCGAATGTTACCTGGCCCCATAGAAAGACCATGGCAAGACATAATGAAAAAGGTCGAGGATTAATTGGTTGTGCTAACACAAATATCTTTGGGATAGAACCTTCGAAGGTATTCTCATAGCCCTATGCGAAACAAGACGACAACCACAAGACAGTTCGATCTATTCTAATGGTATGCAATGCAGAAAAGAAGACAGACACGAAAATAACCCTGATCAAAATCGAACGATTTCACTTCAATATTTTATTCAGTGGATTGATATGCGTAGTACTGGCCAGACCCAGTGTATATTTATGTACAATCAACATGAGAACCGTGCTAGAATGGCTATGCTATGCAAAGCTAGAGATGACAAGACATAGGACAGAAAGTCCGTGAAGTTACTGAATCATCCTAGATGTGAAAAATGCAAATCAACCCCAGCTCCCAAATCCAGCGCGCTACTTCGTACCAGATGAGTCTTTGCTATGGGCTAGATGCGCCTCCTCTTTGACAGGGAGTGCTGTCACCGAGTCCTCAGGCTTTGTATCTACCTCCACACCGCTTGAGGGTGTGGTTTCCTTCTGGATCTGGGAAACAGTCTCCTCGGTCTTCAAACTCAACCCCAAGCCTTCATTCGGCGTAAGAGCCACAGAGGAGAACCCATCTACATCAACGGTATCCCGCTCAGTAGTCTTTCCATCCGGAATAAGGTCCTGAGTGTTCTTGTGCTCCGCATCATCCGCATAAGCCGGAAATCCCTGCGACAGAGGAGACTTCGGGAACGGAATTTCGACAGACTCAGATGTGGAGAGATCATCGTGACGCTGGAACTCGCCGCTGTCGCGTCTGAGCAGGATATTACTCCATCTCTTTCTTCGGCTGGTGCTGCGAGTAAGACCGCCCTCGGCGCTATCGTTGCCTTCGCTATTACGCTGGATGGAACGGCGGCGGCCGCGGTCCAACTCGGCTGTTTCGGTAACGACGGACAAGACAGGGGCGGATGGCGAAGTGAGGTCGGCATTGGGAGTGGCATTCGGGCTCGGGGATGTGACGCGCTTGTCTTGCCATTCGCGGCGCTTTTCGCTCGCCCACGAGCCCCACGAGCTGAGATAGGAGCCGGCTTTTTGGCTGGCTACACTTACAGAGGCCTGGGCCTGTGTCATGTCGACGGATGGCCTTTGGCGGCCTGCGAACCAGGAGGCATCGGCGGGATCCTGGGAGGAGGGGGTTGGTGAGATTGGGGTTTCTTTGTCAATGGAGGTGCGTTGCGATTGGGAGACGGTTTTCTCTTCGTTGCGTTTGCGTTGCGCCTCGCGCATTGTCTCGATGTCGGACCAGAAGCTGGTGAATGCCGCGCTCACTTTCTTTTGTCCGGTTGAGATGTGGCGGTTCAAGGCCTCGCGGCCTTCGCGGACACGCTCATCGAGGTGGAGGTCTGCTACCTGTTGTGAGAGTCTTCTTTGTATATCTTCCATCGTCAGGCCGCCGGCGTTTGGGTGTCGTGGCTCAGTGATGGAAAATAAGAGCGCATCCGAAGTGAGACGCGAAAAGAGGGCATAATTAGATGTGGTTTTCCACTGGGCCAGAAATTCCGTATTGAAGTCGATGGCAGGGTCTCCTTCAATGTTGAGGTTTTGCAGCTGGGTTCTGCTGCGATGCCCCGATTCTCCGACATCGCATGGGTAAAGCTCCTCGTGGTACTTCATGGACGATAATAACGCCAGCAAGTATTCTTCGAACTGTAGTCGGATGAATTCTTCTGAGCCCATAAAGCCAAGGGTCTTGGGTTGTGAAGGATGTTCCTCGTCCCAAGTGTCATTGACAATTTGTGTGAGCAAGTCAATCCAGCGCCTATCGGCCGCAGAAAGGACCAGGGCACTGCGGAGGGAAGGAGAATTTATAACGATACTGTCTTCGTCAAGGTTAATTAGAATATCACTGTAGCGGTCCTTTTGCTGGAGAAGTAGGGAGTTTGTTGAGCCAACCACATATGATTTTGTGCCATCATCTGCCAGCAGATCCAGCAGCTGGAGAGGTGTATAGGGACCAAACATGCTTCCCTTTCCGAAGATTTGCAGTGGAAGCCCCATGTATGCCAACAAAGAACTTCTGTCACTCGTCTTAAGAGACGTTGGTTTCTCAACAGTTTGAGAATAGGTGTCAAAAGCAGGATCCGCGCAGTCCTGCAAGTTGTGGATTAAGCCGGGAATTAAAGATATAAGCGAGAACTGAATCATGCACAAGCGTTCACAGCGTGTCCCGAAGAAAAGCATCTTGGGCTGCAACAGTAAAGCCTTGAAAAGAACCAAAGTCTGAAATTTGAACTCATGGATCATCTCCCGAAGCGAAAGGCCTTCATAAATTAGCAAAGTTTCACACATGTCGGAACAGATGATATCATTACCCAAGTTCTGATCTTTTGGGCCATCATTCAGCAGAGAAATCACCAAGCCCTCGCGGAATTTCTGTATTCATGTCAGCATTTCATTCTATACACTGCTGTAGCCAGTGCATACCTTCAAGATATCAACATCCGAGAAGTCACTGTTAAGAAGAGTACTAAATTAGCCAAACTTCCTCATTCTAAGCCGGGTTCTATCCAGATCCTGTGCCAGCGCATCAGGGAAGCAAGTAGTACACCAGGGCAAGTATATCCCACATACCGTTGCGCGAACCAAGCCGAAGTCACCACGGAGAGCTTCTCACGCAATTGACCTACTCGCTGCGGAGTATCTGTCACGACCACAACGGCCTTTTGTACCGTTGACCGAGTCACATCGGGAGAGCGGTTGATAAGCAGACTCGAATCGATCTGGCGGGAGCAGGCGATGCCGAATAGTGAAGTTTCGGGTGTAGTGGATGCGCCCTTTCGGCACAGTGTGAAGTATGAGAATTCTTCGGTCGACCTGCAATCCGACGGGTTAGTTGGTTTGGCGCAATTCGGCTCTCCTCATCGCGGGATTGCGCCAGAGGAGACCAAGCAGGAGAGGGAATGAAATATTTGTCAAAGACAGGGGTATCGTACAGATGTGCTCCGTCAGATAGGGCCATGAATGGGAGTAGAGACCAGTCATTCTCGGTTGCTGGGTCGGTTCCTTCGTCGGCAATGCAATGCTCAATCTCAGGGCCGCTGTAAGTGTATGTCTCAGTCAGCCAGGTTCCATTGTGGGTCCATCTTTGTCTTCGCTTCAAAGATACGAGCCCGGGGCTTTCGAGTGTCTCATGTCTCACCGTGCATGGTGGAAATCTATGACCAAGACAATTGGGTCTTGTTTATGCTGGACAGCCATCGCGCCGAGCCTTGCGACAGGGGATTCGGTTCGGCTTTGAGAAATGCAATTAAAATGCTGGGAATGAATGGTTCGAATGAATGGTTTGCAATATGTAGAAAGAGGTGCTTCTCCTCCAAAACCTCGACGTAGGTTTCCCATGAGACTAAGATCGTCGCAAACAGGGGAACATCGCTGATACGGTTATCGCACGGGGAGCGGGCGGTGAATGGTAGCCCCGCCAATATCGAAGGGCATCAACATCACGGGTCATGTCTCTAGGGCTAACTGGGGAAAATATATATAGTAGGTATTGGAGAGAAATAACTTAGATTGCGTAGATATTTCAAAGGATTAAGGGTTATCAGGTGCTCCATCGATGAACTAAATCAGATCCCCCGTATGATTCTCCTAATCACCAACCAATTCTTGACGACGCCGAAGAGCTATGGACAATGATTTCCAGAAAGACAAAAAAAGAACAAAGTAGGAAATGAAAAATAAGATAAAAAACACAAGTGAACACGCTAGCTTCGTAGCACCCTTGAACAGAAATAGGGCCAGACTTCAAATTTTGAGACTGGAATTCAATGGCAGAAGAGCGTTTCTTTGGGGGGAGATTTCTCGTCAAACCATTATGCGAATGCCTGTCCAGTAGCGTTGCCCTGCACTGCGCCCTGTACCAAGGCTTGGCCAGCCTCATTGCCTTGTTCAATGTTGTGGAAGTCGAGAATTTCCGAGTACCTATGGTAGAAAATTAGTAAAAAGAATCGTGGCGGGGTAACAAAACAAGCACGTACATCATGATCTTCCAGGTATCTACGGGCAGATCGGCATCATTGAACGACCAATCGAACTTCTCTTGTGCGACAGGCTCATCGGTGGGGTCATGGTAGGGAGCCAGGTACTCATGCGCTAATGCTTCGGGAGCTTGAATACGCTGCTTTGGGTTGAAAACCAGCATCCGTTCGAGCAGGTCAACAGCTAAAAGAAAAAGAGACAAGTTAGCGTGTTGTCATAATCCCCCATAGTCAGCTCAAATATCACGTACCATCGGCATCGGCGTTCTTGAATTTATTTGCGAGGGGTTGGCGCTCGCGCTTTGGTAGTGACTTGACAAATCGGAGGGTCTGGACCATCATATATTAGCATGTCTTCGTCTTTCACCAAACAAAGAATAATTACTCACGTTCTCGCTGCAGATGGTCTGGATCACGTCATCGGGAGGAGTGCCAAGCAGCTCCGTAATGATCGAAAACTGGTTGACATGGTCCTTTCCGGGGAAGAGCGGCTTTCCTTCCAACATCTCAGCGAAGATGCAGCCCGCGCTCCAGATGTCTACCTCGACATCGTACTTTTGCCAGGTGAGCATGATCTCGGGCGCGCGGTAGTATCGTGTTGAGACATAGCCGGTCATTTGGGGGTCCTGGATGCGGGCAAGACCAAAGTCGCAGATTTTCAGATCACAGTTCTCGTTAATCAGGATGTTGCTGGGTTTCAAATCCCGGTGGACCACACCGGCGGAGTGAACATATTTCAACCCACGCTATCAAAAAGTCAGGTTTTGGTGTCCCGGATATTATTCCCGTGGCAATCTTACCAGAATTTGGTATAAGAAGTACTGGATGAATTGCTTTTCAAGAGGTCGCGAAGTAAGAAGTCGGTGGAGGTCAGTTCCCAGAAGTTCGGTGACGAAGTAGCTGTGATCATTAGTTTACACCGTTCAACCCCACCTTGTAGATAAGGGGGAACATACATGTCTTCCAAAGGCGAAATAAAAATGTCACTCAAGCTGATAATCTGCGGAAGGTCAGCAAATAAGCCTGGTCCATTCTATTTGATGGAGTACGGACGTTCTCATGACGGAGATGTTTGAGCAGCTTCAGCTCCCGGTAAGTTCGCTTGGATAGAACGGGGGTGCTGAAGGGCTTCATGATTTTTTTAACTGCGACTGGCTGCGCAGTCAATTGATCTTTGGCAGAACTGTTGTATTGGTGGCCTGGTTAGCATGTACTTAGGCTTGGAAAGATCTTGTGCGACACAGAATGACAGAATGCAACATACCAGACAAGTCCGAAGGCACCCATTCCCACCGGCTGCAGTTCCGTATACCTAGAAATCAAGTTAGCACCAATATCCTCATAGACGCTGCTGAAGCGCCCATTGCAAATGTAGCAGAACAGGGCATTGCGAACCGGCTGGTGATCTCAAAGGTGGTGCCGAAAATCTGGGCACGCACGAATTCCGCCATGATGGAAGGTGGGGGTATGCAAGTGGATAAACAAGAAAGAGAGAGGTTCCAACGAGAATTTCAAGTCAAAGAAGACGAAAGAGAGAGAAGATTGGGGCTTTCGAAAGAAAATTGCTTGAAGAAAGGGGTCGCGAAGAAAGCAAGTGTGTTGGCAACAGGTGTGGGGAAGGGACTGGGTGAAAAGCGCAGAAAACAAGGCCGATGACGTTGGCGAAGCCCGGTTTTATGTGGATGACTCAGCAGCTTCATACCTGGGCTGGGCTGTATATTAAGGCTGGGTTTTCTTAGTATGTTATATATTATAGATTAGAACAGTTGTTTTATGTACATTTTCAGAGAATATCCATGGATTTAATACGTCCAAGTCTTATACAATAAACTTCCTACATATGTCTTCCATGCCCAGGTGTTGTGTGAACTTCCAAGGTTGGCAAGTTGCCCTCGCTCCACAACCACACGCGGCCCAGACCCCGGTCTTATCCCGGAACATGTTTCCTTTGAACAGCATTGTTCTTTGATAGGATTGATATAGACTGTAGAACTTGTATATGCAGGTTGATTCGATCAGATTTATCTACGTATATTAATGTTTTTAAATCTGCGCTTAACTCGCCCAAGAACGAGTATACGGAGAGTTCTTGGAACTCTGTTTAGAACCTTGGCAGCCAGAGTACAACCCCTCACCTTCAATCTCCTTAAACGCAGACATGATAAACTCCAATGTTTATCAAGTCTACATGTAGATAAGCTCTATCATAGCTTCCTCTCTGATGCTCTAATAGGGCCGGTAGACTGTCCTGGGTGACATTACTGTACAAGACAGACTCCAAGATCTAGAACTAGAGCACACCCCTCCATATCAAATGTTTCTTCCCCAAACTAAGCCAGTTCCAGTCTTCTATGACGTGGTCTTATTAGCTTACACTATCTCCCAAATCATCGCTACATCGTAGCATAGTACATACTATATCAAGGACCCGGAATCTGCACCCAACCGTAATGGCCATGTACAATGCAACCCCAAAGGAAATTAACCAAAGACCTTGGGTCAGATATTAGTTTCAATGGGGGTACTTGGGTCCTGTCACCGTCTGATGTGGGTGCGAGTTTGGCGGCCGAGACATGTGAAACAATGCCTGCCACGCTACTGCGGAAATGCAACTGCGGACACGCAACAAAGACATGCAACAAAGACCTTTGAATGATGTGGTTGTGACTGGATAGGAATGCAGCTCATTTAAACTCTGAAGATACCTTTCGGGGTTTCATCTTCCCTTGGCTGTATCTGATAGGGGAGTGCACGTTCGTATATTCAATATTCGTATACACATAAATCCTCGGGAAATATATATGTAGTGAGCCTGATGATTATCTTTACTTCACACCTGGGCACTGGCTAGGCATTAATAGTAGCACCAACAAGGCACACTCTCCCAGGCCTTGATTCTTGCTTGTACCCCCTGTACATCTGTCCACAGGGCTGAATTGACTTCCTTGTTAGGTGAGAAGGGGGTCAGTGCCCGGCTTCACCGCATATCCGAGAGAAGTCAATGGCCCCAGGTTAAAAGCAACACGCACTTCATATAATCTAGTAGACTCATATCATATATACGTATACTAAAATTATACATATATAGGGAGGGGTATCTAGCTGTTGTACGGAGTAGGTAGATGTCAGATAGTTAGACACCGAGACCCAACACAACCCCGCCCTGCCTGAGGCGGCGCCCCAATTTTGCGTCACTATCCACTTTAAAGCTCCAGAGTGGGCTGAAAGAGTATGAAACGGAGTACGGAGTACAGAACTCCTGATCAGAGATTTGGATTAAAGACTTGCTGTAAATCTATATAAAAAAAAATTAATCGAACTTCAGATCGAATTGATATACAAGAACGCATGATCGCACAGACGGTCATCTGGTGGCGCCCCGTTAAATTAGAACCCCCGGGGCTGCTTTCTGTCGCTTAAACAGTGTTCAAAGTTCTTTTAATAGGAGTATTAGTATTACAATTTTGTGATGATTGTGATTATTGCCCGGGGCTAAAAATTCAAGAGAGTTTAATACTAGATCATACCCTAAATGTAGGATCTGACAGCAGAACGTGCCCGTTTCCCCCGGGTTTTTCCATATACCTACTTGGTACAATAGCTATATATAAACGAGGCAAAAAAAGGCAAAAGCATATAACAATAAGCTCAAATATGTAACCTTGGAAATAGGATATAATGAGCTATATCAGCAAAGAAAAGAAAGAAAAAGAAAAAAGAAAAACGGGTGAAATTACATTAATTACCAAATGTAAGCTGAGGCGTACACGTTTCTTACATTTCTTACCCTCCCTCCCCCAAGTCATCTCCACTCCCCCAGCATGACGATGGTCGCACTGACACCTCTCTCTGATTCTTTAAACTCTTGACACTTTTATTACCCTTACTCTACTCTTACCATTTTCACTCTGGAAATTTTAACATCTCATCCGAACTCATCCCTGATTCTCCGCGTTTACCCATCTCCCGCCTCCCCCCGTCTTAACCGCTATACCCGAATTCAACAACTCTCCTTCCAAACTCGCTTGTCGCAACTCCTTCGACCTCAACCTTTCGCCTTGACCTCTTCTCAACCTAGGTCCCACTGAAATTGGTTCCGATCTCGCTCGCCATTTATACCCCTGGTCGCGCTGATCCTTCCCCCGTGCGTGGCGCTTGGCAGTCTTCACAAGCGAAGGCTCCGGCCGTCTTGACCGGCACATTTTGTTCCTGCGCGTGGTTGATGAGTCTCCTCCCTGCTGGTCTGGGTCACTGAAGATTCCACAATGGGGTCGTGTTTCAGCTCGGAGTCCACGGGGGACGCGGAACAGAAGAAGCGAAGCCAGCAGATTGACCGCAAGCTAGAAGAAGATTCTAGGCGGCTACGAAGAGAATGCAAGATCCTTCTTTTGGGTAGGTATCCTGATATTTGTTTGGAGGAGAACTGATGGTTGGCTGACTTGACACTCACCCAGGATCTGGAGAAAGCGGCAAATCAACGATTGTAAAACAGATGAAGATCATTCACCAAAATGGTTACACTGTGGAAGAACTTGCGCTGTATCGATTGACCGTGTACAAGAATCTCCTGGATTGCGCAAAGGCCCTAATCGGAGCCTATCACTACCTCCAACTCGAACCGTCCAGCCAGAAGGTGCAGGACTACATCACATTTCTGGAAGAGTACAACGTGGATCCGGACCCCAACACTCCGCTCGATTCGAAAATCGGCGATGCCATTACATATCTCTGGAACGACCCGTGTACATCAACAGTTTTGGAACATCAGAATGAATTTTATCTGATGGATTCGGCCCCATAGTAAGTCCACCTATCGTGTCTTCTGATCCTAAGGCCGATTTTTAACCCACTATCAGTTTCTTCGAGGAAGCGAAACGAATAACGGCCTCCGATTATGTCCCGAATGTTTCAGATGTACTCCGGGCCAGAACGAAGACCACCGGTATCTATGAGACACGCTTCACAATGGGCCAATTGAGCATACAGTACGTGGAAACAGTCTTCAACACTCCCGATTTGGAATACCTCTAACCAGCCACAGCATGTTTGATGTGGGCGGCCAGCGCAGTGAGCGAAAGAAGTGGATCCATTGCTTCGAAAACGTGACATCCATTATCTTTTGCGTTGCGCTCAGTGAATATGATCAAGTACTACTGGAAGAAAGCAATCAGGTATGAGGTCTCAATACACCGAGCATACTATACCGGAGCTGACAGACCTTGCAGAATCGCATGATGGAAAGTTTGGTTCTCTTCGACTCCGTGGTCAACTCTCGGTGGTTCATGCGGACAAGTATCATCCTTTTCCTGAACAAAGTTGATTTGTTCCGCTTGAAGCTGCCTCGATCACCGTTGAGCAACTACTTCCCCGATTACTCGGGCGGCAACGACGTGCACCGTGCTGCCAAGTACCTGCTCTGGCGATTCAACCAGGTGAATCGAGCACACTTGAACCTGTACCCACAGTGAGTTGAAATGACCCTAACATTGCCTGTTCCCACACACCGTGATTTCTGACTGAATTTTCTTCCTCTTTAGTCTCACCCAAGCGACTGATACCTCGAATATCCGTCTGGTCTTCGCAGCAGTCAAAGAGACTATCCTGCAGAATGCCTTGAAAGACTCGGGTATTCTATAGTCGTTTAAATATACCCCGAGGACTCAAACACAGAAGTGTCCTCATGTGCATACCCGCACTTTCCTTCTCAATCCAAACCTTACGACCAATCGCCGTCCCTTTTCTCAACGTCGGTGTTCCTTGATTCCCCTCTCCAGGAGACTGCCCGAACAGTTCTCCAACGACCACTCATACCATACCCTTTTCGTCTTTTTGCTTCTTTTGTTTTTGACCAGCTGCAGGCGTTGATGGCGCCTTTATGGCTTTCTCGGCTGATTTCCCAGGCGCTGGGTCTGGTCTGGGGATATCCCATTTTGGTACTTAATGTGGTTTTCCTCTTTTAAACATGGGTCTATGTTCCATAAAGGTCTCAGTAGCATGTTCGGACGGTCAACTATGTTACTGTTTCTGTTCCATGTGCCTTTCCCTCTTGAATAAGTCCCGGAATGAGCGTATGACAACCAATCCCAAAAATGCCACCGGGCAAAGAACACCGGTAGCGGGACTGAATACTTTCCGGACTTTACCTTTCGTGTACTCGATAATTCTCACGGGGTACGCACCAGCCCACCACCCAATGGGCTTTCTGTTTCCTTGCCTTCACTATTTGTTATATCTTTTCTTTGCCTTGACTTCCCGGGGGCTGTTTCCAGTCCCTCATGCATACCATGGCGGTTTTCCTATTTTCAACATTGCCATGTCCTGCTCTGATATTTACTCCCGCTAATTTATCTTCTCTGTTTTTCTTCTGTGTTTCTCTTCTTTCTTATATTAACCCGCGATTCCAAGCGTTTCCACGTCTGATGCTTTCTGTTTTCTTTCGGCTTTGTTCTTTATTGCTACGTTGTCCTTCAGCGTTCTTGTTTCAACCTCCCGAGGACTGTTCTCTATCTTGCTGCATAGACCGATACCGGGATTGCTGAGCATGGGCCATGTGCTAGATCGCGATCCCCCCGGAGCTCTGGTCCGGTGGAACGGAGTTGGAATTGGGACGTAAGCCGGACTTATTTATGTATAGTTGAGCCTCGATATATCAATCCTCCCATTTGAGTCTGCTTTTGCTCCTGCATACTGTCCGTCGTAGATGTGCTTAGCGTGGAGCGTAGTCGTGAGAAGCTCTTGAGCTTGGATAGCCAGCTGCTAGCTCCTATGGGTTGGTTGATATTTAGTTCGGGTGTGAGATAAAAGGGTAGAGGAAGCACCTCTACAAGGAATCAAGGAAATATATCGATCTCTCTCCCAGCGGCCCTACAACATCCCTCTTCAGCACCATCAAGTCCAATTCCCCCACCTGCAGCCTCCAGACCAAAACACCCCTGCACCGCATCCCATTCCTAGCCACCCACATCATAGCAACTACCGTGCCCCACCACTAACAATTTTCATAATAATGAGTCTGCAAGACCCCGCGGGCTAGAACCCCTCAAACCCATATACCGTCGTGTAATGCATCTGGGCAGCTACCCCACGTTGGTGATCAAGTGGCCTCGTCGGCGCACGGTACGCGCTTCATGCAATGCGTCTGTGCGTTGGCGTTGGCGGGGTATCTAGGTTTGCAGGCATTTGGTGAGCTCGGAGGTTGGCTTATAACCACCAAGAAATAGTCCACGGGTGGGAAAATGGACTGGGTAGGTATGGGCTTGATGTTCGGTGGTTTGGAGATAGGGAGTTTCGGGAGAGGGATATGATAGCTAATGTGGAGCCGATGAACAGGAGCCGAAGAGCTGTGCTTCTAGGCCCTCCAGGGCCATTTATATTGACTTTTAAGAGTCTGGCAATTGGGGTCTTTTATGCGAGAGAAATAGAAATGGCATGATGTGTCTTAGACATATAGGTACATGTATAGTCACATGCACTGACCATTAGCCGTATGTTTTAGTAGAATCAAGGATTATACCTAGATGGAGGAATATAATAGATAGATGACGTATTTCTATATGTAGTAGCACTCCAGAAACAGGCTATTAACAAGTAAAATACCGAAAATAATACTAAAAAGAAGAAGAACTAAAAAAAGAATGTCGTCCGGTGTCACTCCGAAAGTCATGACTACATGAACATCACCCTTCCCCTCTTTCTCTTTAAGTAGCCTTGTACTTTCTGTTTTTTTTCTTTTCTGTACTGGACTTTCTCCAGCTTACAGCTCTCCAAATTTCACATTCCCCTTTTCTCTTTTCATCATGTCAATGACCATCCCAGATGCAGTTGCACCGACCGAACCAACCCAACCAACCCAACCTAGTCGGGAGCGAAGATCTTCCGTAGGAGCTCCTATTGCCGATCTCCAAGGTCCTGTCGGCCCGGGATTCAGTCGTCCCAAGCACAAGCGAACATTCACCGGCTTTGGGCCTTCCGAGATTAAGAATGTTGAAGCTAGCATTCCCGAGCCACTACGAGAGGCGTGAGTACACCTGCCTTCCCTAGTACTTGCTTATAGTTGGACTGACCATAATTATCGCAGCTGGAGAAACCATGTATGTTGAGACAAAACCAGGATTCGGGTTTGGAATGCTAATGCTTGGGGTCAATTTAGTCGGCTACTGAATTCACCAATAAAGAAGAATTCGAGGTGAGTCCGACTTGTATTCGCACTTCATACTTCGGGGTTAACGCCTCTCACAGAAAGATTTCGTGCGCCATATTGAAACGACCCTCGCTCGGTCGCTGTATAATTGCGATGAATTGTATGTGCTCTGTGTCCTTGATTCAAGCGGTTCTTATTATTGACCTGGGGCTTTTCATAGGGCCGCATACTCGGGAACCGCGCTTGCTTTTAGAGACCGGTTGATCATCGAGTGGAACAAGACTCAGCAGCGTCAGACTTTCACCGATCAGAAGCGAGTTTACTGTATGTGTTCGGCCTGGTGACGGAAGACAATGGCTAATCGCTGGGGTAGATTTGTCGCTTGAGTTCCTCATGGGACGTACGTTGGACAATGCTATGTTGAATGTTGGCTTGAAGGATGCTGCTCGAGGTACGTGCTAGGAAAATCTGTGATTTGGATTATAGCTGATGATACTAGATGGATTGAGCGATCTTGGATTCCGAGTCGAGGACGTCATTAACCAGGAGCACGATGCAGCCTTGGGCAACGGTGGTCTGGGGCGCCTGGCGGCGTGCTTTTTGGACAGTATGGCGACGCTGAACTACCCAGCCTGGGGGTACGGGCTGCGTTACCGCTATGGTATCTTCAAGCAGGAGATTGTCAATGGCTACCAGGTGGAGATTCCAGACTACTGGCTGGATAACAACCCCTGGGAATTCCCGCGACACGAAATCACAGTCGACATCCAGTTCTATGGTAACGTCAAGAAATACCAGGATGAGAGTGGCAAGATCTCGCATTCGTGGGAGGATGGTGAGATTGTTCAAGCTATCGCGTACGATGTCCCCATTCCCGGGTACGGCACGAAGACCACCAACAACCTTCGTCTGTGGTCTAGCAAGGCCAGTAGCGGAGAGTTTGACTTCCAGAAGTTCAATGCTGGAGACTATGAAAGCGCAGTGGCGGACCAGCAGAGAGCGGAAACAATTTCAGCTGTTCTCTATCCCAATGATAACCTCGAGCGAGGCAAAGAACTGCGTCTGAAGCAGCAGTACTTCTGGTGTGCTGCCTCGCTGTTTGACATCGTTCGGCGGTTCAAGAAGACAAAACGGGCCTGGGGCGAGTTCCCTGATCAGGTCGCCATCCAGCTTAACGACACCCACCCAACCCTTGCAATTGTTGAGTTGCAGCGCATCTTGATTGACAAGGAGGGCTTGGAATGGGATGAGGCGTGGAACATTGTGACCAAGACCTTCGGGTATACTAATCACACCGTCCTTCCCGAAGCGCTGGAGAAATGGTCTGTCCCGCTGATGCAGAACCTGCTTCCGCGACACTTGCAAATTATCTACGAGGTGAATCTGTTCTTCTTGCAATCCGTTGAGAAGCGATTCCCCAATGATCGTGAAATCCTGTCGCGCGTCTCGATCATTGAAGAGTCGCATCCCAAGATGGTGCGCATGGCCTACCTGGCCATCATTGGCTCCCACAAAGTCAACGGTGTGGCCGAGCTGCATTCAGACCTGCTCAAGACCACTCTCTTCAAGGACTTTGTGAAGATCTATGGACCAGACCGTTTCACCAATGTTACCAATGGTATCACCCCGAGACGCTGGCTCCACCAGGCCAACCCTAGGTTGTCTGCATTGATTGCAGAGAAGCTTGGAGGCTATGACTTCCTGAAGGATCTTACCCTTTTGGACAAGATAGAGGCCTTTGTCGACGACAAGGCCTTCCGCGAAGAGTGGGCGGTCATCAAGCGGGAGAACAAACTGCGCCTAGCCAGACACATCAAGACCACCACAGGATTCGATGTCAATCCCAATGCGCTCTTTGACGTGCAGGTGAAGCGTATCCATGAGTACAAGCGCCAGCAGCTCAACATCTTTGGAGTCATTCACCGCTACTTGAGTATCAAAGCCATGTCAGCCGAAGAGAAGAAGAAAGTGGTGCCTCGGGTTTCCATCTTCGGAGGCAAGGCAGCCCCCGGTTACTGGATGGCGAAGACCATTATTCATCTCATCAACAAGGTGGCCGATGTAGTGAACAAGGACCCAGAGATTGGCGACCTTCTAAAGGTTATCTTCATCGCGGATTACAACGTCAGCAAGGCGGAGATTATCTGCCCTGCTTCGGATATTAGCGAGCACATCTCAACTGCCGGTACCGAAGGCAGCGGCACGAGCAACATGAAGTTCGTCCTGAACGGCGGTCTGATCATCGGCACCTGCGACGGAGCCAACGTAAGCCTTCTTTCACCTATCCTATATCCAGCTTCCATCCCAATAATACTAACCCAACTCACAGATCGAAATCACCCGCGAAATCGGCGAGCAGAACATCTTCCTCTTCGGCAATCTCGCAGAAGACGTCGAGGACCTGCGCCACCGACACTTCTACGGCAACTTCAAGCTGGACCCACACTTGGAGCGCGTGTTCGACGCAATCAAAGACAACATGTTCGGCGACAAAGCTGACTTCTCCGCGCTCACCAGCTCCATCGAAGAGCACGGCGACTACTACCTCGTCTCGGACGATTTCAACTCCTACATCACCACGCACGAGATGGTCGACGAGGCCTTCCAGAATCAGGAGGAGTGGCTGGCCAAGTCGATTACCTCTGTCGCGCGCATGGGATTCTTCTCTATGGACCGCGTGACTAATGAGTACGCTGATAGTATCTGGAATGTCGAGCCTCTGGATGTTACGGACTAAACATACTGTGGCTTGAATGCAGTGCTAAGTGCTTTCTTTTGATTTGATTTACATGCGTTTTTCATTGGTACTATGAACTGTTCAGCTTTGATCTGTTCAATATCCTTAGCATTAATAGTATATCAATATTCTTTATACGTCCAGTTATACAGGTGATCCAGATATGATATCCAGGCCAATTGATAAGAATATTTTATATGCAATTGGTCAATACAGAACTAGGTATATATACAACCCAATCTCGATATACAGCACTATGTACAAACCCAGAAGAGAAGATCCTACCTCGAGGCAGTAATGACTGAAAATATCGAACCAACACCCACTCCATGCCAGAACAAGCGAAACCAAAACGAAATCCAAACATGACAACATCAAACCATAAAATACGTCAAAGGCCCCGAAGCAACAACCTCACTCTTGAATCGTCGTCTCAGTCAGTGCCTGTTTAGGCTCGGAGAAATAATCCGGCCAAAGCTTCATCTTCTCACCCTGCGAAGGCGTAGCCGTAGCCATAAGCGTCGGAACCTGCAATAACCACCATTAGCAAAAGCCCCCGAAACAACACAGTTTGTCTAAGACAAGGGAAACACATACAGCCTCCTTACTCGAAATCCTCCTCCACATATTCGCACGCGGGTTATACCGCACGGGCTTCCCAACCCCACCCGTCTTCTTCTGATCCTCAAGACTAATCGCCTCAACCTCCCTCTTAACATCAGCGAAGCTGTCAAACGGCGTATACGGGATGCCGTGTTCGATGCAGTACTCCTCGAGCCGCAGACCGCGGCGCGCAAAGAGGACATCTGCCTCGCGGGCGGCGGCGAGATCGGAGACGCCGTCGCCGATGAAGACGATCAGCGGGATCTCGTTCGGCTCGCATTCGGCTTGCGCTTTCGTGCGCGCTTGGTTCACGCTCTCGCCCTTGTCGTGGCCTGAGGCGGTGTTGTCGCGCCAGACGGGTTTCCAGGGGATTCCGCCTGGGGCTTTTAGGTCGTTTGCGACGATCTCGATTGTTGAGGCCTGTGGATTGTGAAAAGAGTGTTAGTTGTGTGTCGGATATGGATGCAATTTAATTGATTTATTGATGTATTGGTTGTTTGGGGGAGGGGATGGAAATTCAAAAAGCAAATAACATACCTCTTTCTCGCCTAGGAAGATATCCAGCGTGCGCTGCAGAACGGGCTTTAGGCCTGCGCTGATCACGTTGAAGGGGAAGCCCTCGCGGACGCAGTAGCGGTGGAATTCGCGGAAGCCGGGGTCGAGTTGGAGGTGCTTTTCCATTAAGTCGAAGCCGTCGCCGAAGGGGATGCTGAGGGATCCCCACATATCATCTGAGATCTCGCGGAAGGACCGCTCTCCGGTTTTGAATTGTTCCTCGAGTTTGTTGCGGTAGGCTGCGCCGCAGCCCAAATTGTCTACTAGGACGTGGCCGGTGTCTTGGAGGAATATTGTGCCGTCGAAGTCTGAGGATTGTTAGTTTGGGGGTGTTCTTCGGTCATTTTATGTGGATAAAGGGCTTTGTGATTGGGATTGGAGGGGTTGGATGGGAACTGGGAGGGTAGAGGGTAGGGTTTTTTCGGTGACGGTGAATAGTAGGGGTTTTGCATACCGGAGAAGATAATAATCTTTCTCTTTTGATTGTCTGGGTTTGCTTTTGAGATAGCCATTTTGGTGTAAAGTTCAAAGGGATTGTGTTATAGGCGCGTAGGTATAGAGAGATTGGTTAAGATAGTACAAGTTAAAAGAAATGAAGCAAAAGAGCCAAGTCACGATCCTAAGTACGAATTCGTCAAGAACTCAAGAACCTGGTATTGGCCGTGGCAAACAAGATAGAACCAGGAATATGACGTAGGGATATCTAACGACATCAGAGTGGGCCGCAGAAGGGGGACCCATCTGAACATCGTGAGAATTCGAAATGTTGGGTTAACAGCCCCTGATTGGCTGTCGTCAGGGGTCCGCATCAAAAAAGCCGAATAGTGGAAGGCCGAGGCCAAGTCTTTGATCGGATTGGTCAATGTCATTGTAAGTGGATGCATGATACATCATACATTTCGACGCTTATCAACGCTTGTCAACCCTTTTCAACGCTAAGAGATCTGTCAAATGGTATAAAATAGTATGAATTTAAAGACAACTAAGCCGTTAACTCGGCAACACGACGTTGCAATTCTGGTACAGCCCGTAACTGCAAGTCCAACTCTTCCTTCTCACTGCGAGAGAGTTAATAAGCGTTCGGCATGCAAAATCGGGAAACCCGGGGAACCAGGAAACTGGGGAAACTTACTCTTCGAGTTCCAAGCGACGCTCCCAGTCTAGACCCGTGAAGATGTAGCCGCCCTGTCCATCGAACTGGAGGATCTTCTGGTGATACTTCCAGAGACTGCGTCGGTGCGAGACAGTCATGAGCGTGGTGCCAAGCTTCTTGGCTGTCTCATACATGACCTTCTCAATTTCCAGCGTCACCGAAGATGTGCACTCGTCCAAAATGGCAAACTTGGGTCGGTGATAGAACAACCGTGCCATAGCAATGCGCTGCTGCAGACCACCGGATAGCACGTCGCGCCATTCTTCCTCTGCATCCCAACCTCCAGGACGGTCTACGACGGACTCGATCTCAACCACTGATAGAACCTCGTAGAGATCGGCGTCAGTGACACCCTTGGCTCGCATCTCGCGCACTCCATCTGGGTAGATCACCTGCTGCCGCAGAGTCCCACGGGACAGATATGGTCGCTGGGGAATGTAGAAAATATCCTGGAACGGGGGTTTCTTCACCGTACCTCCGTATACCGGCCAGAGCCCGCCTAGGATCCGGAAGAGAGACGATTTGCCGCACCCGTTGGGTCCCACGATCAGAAGGTGGTCACCGGGGTTAACTGTGAAGGACAGCTTACGCACCAATACGTCACCGTTCGGGGATACGATCGGTACGTCGGTGAACTCGATTGCGTCGCTTTCTATGACTTTACCCCGACCAGACAGCACCTCTGCATTCTCTTCTGTCGAAGCGGAAGACACCAACTTCTTCTCGAACCTTCCAGCCTGGAGATCGTCCATCACTTCCAGTAATGAGGAGACACGCGAAGTGTAGCCAGCCAGCTCCGAGATCTCTTTGTAGGAGAACATCAATCGGCCAAAAGCATCTGAGGAGGAAAGCAACATGCGACGATTTTTAACGAAGCCTGGGAGTAATCAGAATGTAACATTTCATACATCAAAGGACAACAACTTACTTTCAGTGTGATCTCCCATGCTGTGAGTAGCCTGACCAGGAATCTTGAAGAAGACAGGCACACTACAGAGTACCAAGCCCATAGCTCCCCAGAAATACTTGATCACAAAGTCCTCCATGAATCCATGGTAAAGACGCCGGCGCAGAATGCGGTTCACATGCTTGATCAGCGTGAAATAACCCTTGTCCAGGGTATCCTTCTCGGCCTCATGGCCATGGTAAAGCGCGACTTCTTCATTGTAATCAATAAGCCGTGAATGGAGGAAACGGAACTCGCCCTCCAGCCGGGCCTCATCGGCAACATATTTGCCAAATGGTGGAGTCAGCATACGCATGACATTGGCGGACAACTGCACAAGCAGACTCATGATGAACAACCCTTCACCTCCCACGTTCTTGGAGAGCGAGTAGTTGTAAATAGCCATATCGAGAATGGGTTTAGCTAGATTGGAATACAGTTCTGCCAGACTGTCCGAGAAGCGAGAGACATCGACCGTGACGAGCTGGTCGGGATTCTTTATTCGATCGTCCAAGGCGGAGATAGCATAGAAAGTCATGTTAGACAGATACTTCTCGTGGATATAGTCTGTGAGACGCTTGCGATAGCTGAGAGCAAGCTTGCACTGATGGTAGGAGAGCTAATACGTCAAAGCATCAAGTCAGCAAATGTATGAACGATCGCATGTCAACACCGCAGACCGGGAATCCTGAGTCCCATCACCGGGGACTTACCATAGAATTAGTGAAAGTAGCAGGGACAGCCACAATCATCCACCAGACAAGACCGAGCAAGAAATCCCTTCCTTTACCGCGCACCAAGTTGCTCACAAGTCTTCCGTCCAGCTCGGCGACGTACAAACTAAGCACCGTCCGCAGCACCAGGAAGACGCTGTGGCTCACTAGCAGTCGTAGCTCCTTGCTTCGCCATCCGGGTATGACAATCTTCAGTAAACGGAGCAAGTTCTTGAAGAATTCCCGGTTGATCTCCACGCGCTTCTTGCGGGGTTGTTCCTCATCGCCTAGACTGCTGGTGCCGGGCCGTCGGCGCAGCTCTACCTGCTGTGACGCGGCTTTCTGCTCGGAGATGGCATTGTGGATTCGTTTGGCGAGCGCGGCAAAGAGGGCGAGGTATACGGCGCGTGAGATGCGGGTGCGATTTCGTAGGTAGAGGGTTGTTAAGCTGGAGAGGATCTGCTTGACGGAGCGTTCGGGCGGTAGTAGTTTGGACTGAGCGGCCATGTCGGAGCTGTTGGATGCTTATCAGCCAGATTCGGGCGCATACATGTCCGCTGTTGAGTAAGTTGAGGAAGTTGAAGGAGTTGAGGGAGTTGAGGAGAAATAGGCCATTGCCATGACGGAGTGACATGTGATACCCCAGGAACCTGGGGGATGTTCAGCCGAGGAACCCACTTTCAGGTAATCTCACTAGCCTAAGGCAGCCAGCACCATATTAACTACTTGGCAGATATAGTCGCAATATAATGAGAAAACATCTATAGAGACCGGGGGGATTCCTTGATTATAAAGAGTGGTACAGCCCTGAAATAACCACATGTAGATACATAGCAGTGCAGAAACGAAATAGTGGCAATGACACTGAAGATGCTAATGGTAACAGGATTCCGCCCTGCTCTCGTGCCCGCCACGTATATACAGAAGACCGGGCTGAGTAAATAATACTCTTGGAAAGACGCGCGCATGGTGTATGTACAGGTATAATAAAACGCAAGCTCAAAGAATACATGAGGGGTCAAGATCGTAAATCGAGATAGCAATAAATGAGAATAAGAAAACTTCAGATTAGGACTTGCTCTCTGATTCATCACAGCCTGTCCTGGGTTCTACCTTGTCTCTGGGACGAATACCGCTGTTGATCTGGGCGGCAATCTGGGACTGCTTGAAGCGCTCGAATCCTTCGGCGTCTTGCTGCTGAGCAGCATAGAGTTCATCGACGGTGGTGCCGAGATGGTTAAAGGCCATGTCGGCGTCAAAGTCATCAAATTGAGACAGAGATTGCTCATCGTGAAGGAGGTCAAGCTTTTGCCGGAGAGCGGCAATACGCGAATTATCATCTTCGTAGTCGAGATCCTCGTCGCGCTCGCCGGGAACCAGAGACGGCTTGAGGAAATCGCGGCGGAGGTTCTGGCCGATGCGGTGGATGTGTCCTTCTTGGGAGGTCATGGCCCGAGAGTGGAGGGAAGTCATGGAGCTGGTGCGAGAAAGGCGAACGGCAAATTGATCGGCGTCTTCCTCGTCGCCGCCAGTCTCGTCAAGCTGACTGCTGTTCAGATTACCGTCAGCAGCGAAGGAGCCGCTTCCATCGTCATCACCAGAATGTTGGGAGATGGTGTCGGGGACAGGAACAGCGGGCGGGAGTTGAGGAATAATACGAGTTTCTGGGTATTCATCCTCAAAGCGTTGGATCATCCTATGCAAGGTCATGTCCAAAAATTGCAGACGGCGATAATTCGCGTCATTACCAGCACGATCTTCCCGAATAAGAGCCGACTGGATCCGGACTCTGATATTGCGCGCGGATTCCAGTAGGTTCTTCGACATGTCGCGAGGCCGCTTGGTAGGAACACCTCGAGACTTGCGACGTCGGGGTGTTGTGGTACCACTGGCTGGTAAAGATTGCTCCCCAAGAACATCGAGACCGTGCTGGTCCAGATTCCCGAGACAAACACCCAATGCTTTGACAACACCTGTGCCACCAATAACATAATCCTCGTCGGGAGCAGCCTCATCATCATCATCATAAGGCTCCTCGGAAATACCAGAGTGTCCGACAATATGCTGTAGAATGTCTGGTACAGGGATATCCCCGAGTGGAGAAGGAGAGTCAGAAAGCTCTTCTGCAATGGCGCCGCCTTCAAGATTCCGCAGCGAGTAAGCCACAATCTGTGATCCTAGAGCTTTGACAACTTCGTTGTTTTCTGCACTGGGAACATCGATATCGACTGCAATGATTGTCCGTGAAACACGAACAGCTGCCATCATGGACGCATACACAGCACATGCTTCTTCCTGAGCAACGGAGTCTGTGGTAGATGCCAAATCCATGATCTGTTGATTCTCCAGAATGTTCAGATGACACAGACTGGGGCACTCCGGCAATACCTCAGCAAGACCAATGACATGATCCGGTGACAGGTTGACATCAGCGAGGTGAAAGCGCTTCAAAGACGGCATTTTTGGTAAGAAGCGACGGAAAGCTCCCAGCGCGGTAGGCTGCGACGAGAATAACTCGCGATTGTGAGAGAAATCGATGAACCGGAGGTTGTGAATCTGCGCAAGCGATTGAAGCAATGGGAAAATCACCGACGGGTTGAGGGAGCAATCCGCTAGACTTAGCGCATAAAGCGGTGTTTCAGGTTCAATCGCATCCGTGACAAGATCGAGATCATCTTTTATAGCGTTGCCACCTAGATCCAGTCCTTCGCACTGTCCGGCTTTGAGGTACTCGATCACATGCTCGAGACCCTCTCTTGTCAGACCATTGTTAGCAAAGCCAAGTCTTCGCAGACCCATTTTGGTGGTCGCCTGGCAGATCTGCTTTACAGCGTCGACAGAAGGATAACACTCGCTCATAAGCAGTTCTTCAAGATGATCCTCGGCAAAGCGCTCTGCCAGGGCGCTCGCGAAGATAATGCTCACGTCGGCCATAGGCGACTGGGGTTGGCCCGTTGTCCCAGAACCATCGATCGCAACCTGGCCTTGAGGGAAAGGAATACCCGACAAATCGATAGCTTTCAAGGATTTTGACAGGTGAATAAAAAGGCTGATGTGGCGCCATCCTTCCCGTCCGATCTTCGGATTGTCCTTTAGAGAAAGCTTTTCCACAACACCGTATCGTTCATGGTCATTGGTGTCTGGAGATTCTGGTCTTCGCGATCGTCTCCGTCGATAGCGCATCTGCTCTACCGTCTTGGTAGAAAGTAGGGCCGCAAGAATGGCTCGGACTGAAGTATCCGCCAATGCACAGTTTTCGAGGATGAGTTTACGGACTGGAACGACCGCGAGCCAATCGCTGAATGTTGTCCAATCCTGTGAGGTCATGGGGAAATTGCTCAAATCCAAAGCTGCTACCGTGCCAGGTGACTCGGCCAGTGTTGATGAAGGCTTGGATATTTCGTCAACCACTCTCTTGAGAACAGGCGTCTCACGTAGCTGGCAACAACGGCGATAGATACGCACTGGATCGGTTGTCGGGTGACTTTGCGTTTTGACCCGAGAGACACCTGGTGCTGGTGCTGAACCTCGTGAATACTCTTCGTCATTCTCTGCGTCGAGTTGCAATGGAACAGAACCATTCGCGACTGCTTGTCTTCGCTTTCTCTCCTTCCGTTCTTTCCGCTCGGCCTCGGACCTTTTCTTTTTCTCTTGTTTCCTTGTTGGATCAACCCCTTCCACACTGGGACTGGGATCGGTAAATGGCTGGCTGCTGGTGGTATTTGTCGGAGGAGAGCTAGACTCGACCTTCGCATCGCCGGTGGCCGGAGCTGGAACCGGAGCTGGAGCAGGAGACGCGCTATCCTTCTCAACCAATGTAGCCTGGGGATGCTTCAAAGCTTCCGCTTCATCTTGTTCCTTCGATTTCAGATCAGCCTTCTTTGACTTGTAGCTATTAGACTCAGGTAGAGGCTGCCGTAATTGATTGGTTGGGGGAGCTTCCTCGTCGTCGTCTCGATGGGAGATGCCCGCGATTTCAACGTCCACACAGAACGCTACGCGGTTGAGCTTGGCCTGGTTCAAGTCCGCAATCTTGCATCGATGCCGATTTTGGTCGATGTTCATCACGCGACGTGGGCATATCGAGCCATTGGGATTCAACTTGGGCAACCCACCCGAGTTGGATGAAAACTTGCGCAGTGCATTGTGAATAAATGAGGGCCCCTTGGGTGATGACGAAGTAAAGGGATTGGAATCGTCTTTCCTTTCTTCTTCTTTGTCCCTCGGGGAGTAGGCGGCGCCGAACGGGTTATGCGTCTCGAGAGGTGATGTTGTTTTCGGGCTCGCAGGACTGGCCTTCAGACTAGGTTGCGACGGTGGGGTAGATCCAGAAGAAAACTTCGAGCTTAGACTGGAGATCCACGAGTTTCGTCGTCCGATGGGTTTGGGGTCCGTCTTCCGCGATGCTGGTGATGGTGTAGATGGCTTTTGCTCCTCGTTCTTCTCAACCGGTGGTGGTTTCGCTTGTACTGGCGCTGTATCATTCTGGGGAGCTTGCTTCGGTTCTGAGGTGGAGGGAGTCGGTGTTGGGCGTGCCGGGTTGCTGTTGGAACGAGATCTCCGATGCGACTTGGATTGCGACGTCGGTGGCTCTGTCTCTGTGCCAGGCTTATCGCTCGCTGATACTGACTTTGTGCGAGATAAATGATCTGAAGAGACTCGGGAGGGTCAGAAGCTATCCCGATTTCGGATCTCCAACAACCCTGCCATAACCTGGGGCTGGAGAGATGCTAGCATAAAAAGTGGGACTCACCTTTCTGTGAATGATGAAGCCAGCTCACGTCCACAGTCTGAACTCCTTCCATTTTGGAAATCCCTCGAAAGTCAGAAACAAAATAAAGTAACTTCGCAGTTCCCAGATGGTCGTCGAGGGTTTATCAGCGGTGTGGCGTCGTTCAAGAGCGCAATGACTGGATAGGACTAGATCGAACGACGCATAATTGGCTGGTCCCCCACTTTCCGCTGATAATCGCAAAACGATTCGAAAGGAGAATCAGGTGGACAACACTAGAGGCCTGACGACAACGAATAAGGTAGAAATGCTGGGAAATGCTGGAATATACCGTATGATCTGCGACCGAGAGCTCTCCAGGTGCGTTAAAAGTACACGGTTACAGTAAATGACAACGCAATGTCATGGCTTGTTTCAGCAAGAAATGCATAGTGAAATCATGCAAGAGGTTACTAAAAGGGATAAGGAAAGTTGACATTGGCAGACTTCCGGATGCACCTCAATTAAGCATACGAAGGTGACATAATCGGGGGAGTTCGGGGCACGTGAGTATGTAACATAACCAGTTTACCCAATTTACGGCTAATACCTGTTGAAAAGTGTATTTTCAATGGGGGGAAGTTAATAATGAGAGAATTGGGCCAATCCGGAAAGTGTTCGGTTTTCCGGTGGCGGAAGACTCAAGACCTACAACAGGCCTTACTTTGTACGGAGTACGTCGTGGGGTTTACGGTGGATTAGGCGGGGCGGGATTTAAAAGAGGAGTTTAGTGGAATGAAAAAAAAAGGGAGGATACTGGTGTTGAATACCATAACGCTCAATAAATACGGGTATCCGCGATAATAAAAACACCAAAAAACGCCACCATGTCTTGGGGGAAAAGTGCCGAGCTGAGCCAAAAAAGAAAAGAAAAAGACGCAAACGCCTCCGAGGGGTATGCGATGAAAAGAAACAAGTCATCACGGCGTCAAGCGGACCTCGGGAACTAGGGACATTCCGCAGTCCTTCCGCACATAAACCCCTATTTACTCCAGACCGGGAATATTCTTGAGATATTCCCAGCCATACTCATCCTCAGGTTTCTCGGGTTCCATGCCGAGCGCAAAGCGGTAGGCACGAACTTCATTCTGCAGACCAGAGATGACACGGGTAGGGACATCATCTTCTTCGCATTTAAGACGGTAGGCGGTGCGGATCATTTCGGCACATTTCATGGTTTGTGCATGCCAGTAGTCCCGGTCGAGTCGGCTTTCCAGATGGGCGTCGCGCTCAGCTTGGAGGAGATTGTTGTAATGCTTCTTCTGGGCAAGGTAGTGCATGTTGTTGTTCTGGCAGTAGTTGCGGATTTGCTCGACCATAACACCCACGGCGGCCTCAAACTCCCGGATCATCTTCATGTTTTCCTCGCGATGGTGCTTGTGATCGGCACTCACAAGCTTTTCCTTGGCCAGGGCACGCTCGAGTTCGGCAATCCGGGCGGCTGCTCTAGGCGTTAGTAAACGAGGTAAATCAAAATAACCAGGGGTCAACATACTGAGGTTATCGCCCTGCTGGCCATTCGCACCAGAGCTGTCGACAATCCCGTTCTTCTAAACGTGGGTTAGGTGAATATCCAATTTAAATGCATGTTCTTGGGTCCCACATACCACAATATCCTCCGCATTCGCGACGATGTTCTTGGTCACATCTCGGTTGTTTTTTAACACATCGCTCAATTCCACAACCATCTCATAGAGATGATGCAAATCCATCTGATGGCCAGCATTCATCGGAATTGCCGCACCCATGGCGCCCATTCCACCGCCATTGATCTGGGTGACCGAGGTGTGGGAAGGAGAAGGAGACGGAGTCTGGCGGGGAGGGATGTTGGGTATGTTCATCGCGCCAGTACTGTTTTCGACATAACCCGAGAAGTTGCCGGGGCCGGTACCGTTGGTAGCCATACTGGAGGTGTTCGTGTTCATAGAGACGTCGGCGTCGGCAAAGGCGCGATTCAGTTCCTCAAGTTGAGGGTCGTCGGGGGTGAAGGATTGCGGAGTGCCGGTGCCGTTATCTTCGTCGAACCAAGAGGCGTGGTTTTCAACGCCTAGGACCTCCGATTGAAACTTCTCAAGGTCACGGCGAGTAACGTGCGTGGAGCGACGGCGATGCCCACGCGTGAAAGCCTTGGAAGGGGAGGGGGAAGTGTCGCCCTCGATGGTGGCGGGTGCACTCAAACCAGGGACAGTATCGTCACTGTCACTCGAGTCTGAATCAATGGCAATCTCGTCCAAGGAGCTCTGATCAGAATCACAGGTCTCTAGAAGGCGGTTGACAATCGTGTTGTGCTGGGAGCTCACGCTAGCAGGTGGGGCTAGCGCCGAATCAACACGTGATTGGGGTGATTCACGTGACCCCATTCCAACAAGCTCCCTCATCTTTTTGAGGGCACTCATTCGAATAAAAAATTGACAACTATGTGGCTGCAAAGAAAATTGACAAAAAAACAGTCATCTAGGGGAGTCGGTTTCCCAACATATCGGTGGGGCGAAGCCTATTTCTTTCCGACCGGCGGAGGGACGAGTGTGTAAGTGTAATGGATCAATGACGGTCGAGATTTGGAGAGAAAATCGGCCCTCGCCCAGTACGAAATGTTCAATTATGCTTCGGCACGTGCTCTATGAAATCTATAATTGAATTCCTGCAGTCGTAATTGACACGTACTTGCCTTTCTTATGTTCCAGTTGACAACAATGAGGCTATACTATGTTTCGCCCTGATGGAAGGTACATAGATATTGGAACATTGTAGCCGGGACAACGTGCTCGAAATCCCTAGTAGAAATCAAGGAAAGTACCATCTACAAAATAATCAGAGGCACTGACAGGTTATAATCGTGTCGTATTGCAAGTAACTTCATTGTATGCACATGTGGGCATGGGGTATTTTGGTTTCGTCAAGGTATATCCAACAGGGCTTCCAATCTCTGATCAGAGCCTGGAAGTGAGTAATCATAAGTTTCAAGGGCACCGCTGCTTCTTTTCTGTTGTGCAATCCGGCCTCCAACCCTGGCTACGAGCATGCGCATTTTCTCCAATTCTTGAACAAGTTCTCCATCCTTCGTAATGAGATTGGGTTGAATGTCCTTTTGGGGGTCTTCAAATGGCTCAAGTAATCGTCGAAGATGCTGCAACTGATCAAGGCGCCGTTGCCGTTGCTGCCGCTGACTGTCGAGACCCGCGAGCCGCTCACGGAGCTGCTGGTATCTGTGTGACTGGTGTAAGGCAGGTGGAACTTCAATCGGAAAAAATCCGGATGCGTTTATAAACTGACCTTGCATGCTCCTCTTCGCTTGCTTCCTGGATTTCCAAGTTGATAGGCATCTTTGTGATGTTTCTAACCCATATAGTCAGTGTTGTCATACCTTCTATAGATGGATGAAATCTTACATCTCCCTTGATAAGTCTGTTGTTTTTTCAATACCTCGAGCAAAAGCATCTCGACTCCGTGCCTCTTGGCTGACCGATGACCAGTACAGGTTTGCAATCTGTTGGGCGACATGGTGTATCGCTTGCGAGGAATAAACAACACGATTGTGCTGCTTAGCAGCTGCATTTACTAAAAGACTATGAGTATCATATTCATCTCGTATATATAGGCGCAAAGCCATAGATAACTTTGGTATTCAACTGCGATTTGTATTCTGACCTTTGTGTAGAACATCTTCGACCACCTTCTCACTCAGATCACCTTCCGTGGTTTCGGGGGCATAGTTTCGCCAGTCTTCGGGTAAATAGAGGCTCTCGGAGAAGATGCGGACTTGGCTCCAGATAAATGCAGATTTCAACTCAGATATAGTTCGAGTTGAATCCATCTCGAACACAATCCAAATGGTGTTAGAGAAGTACCATTGTTGAGTCTCCAAAAGTGAGCGCGTCGTTATCGATAAGACATCACGTGTGCCTCTCCACAAATATGATTTTGCGGGATGGACAATAGTGATTTGGGTACTAAAGTCCTATAAAATGAGGGGAAGGATTTAAGGAGTACCGATTAAATGATAGTATAATCGTTCATATATTGGTCTAGTAGGGCAACAAATGGAGTTTCGTGGTTTCTTGGTGTGGAGTATATCCTCGGTCTAGAGTGTACGTACCTCGGCAATCTGACCGTCATTTAGGTCCAGATCGCCTTCAAAGTAATTCAATTCGTTGCGATTTCAAGGTCATCACAACTCATTTAGCTTACGAGTTAGAGATAAACTGCGGCATATCTTACAGTAACCCATACCATCGCCAGCAGCCCCATTATCATCTCAAGATGGCAGAGATCAAGCGGCCGGTGGGCCTACTGTTTGACATTGGAGGAGTGTGTGTAAGTCAGCCACTTGGCCCTCAAATTGAATATATATATCTGACGAATCTCTAGGTTGTATCTCCGTTCCAGGCTATTCTTGACTACGAAATTGCCCAAAACATCCCACCAGGGTGGGTCAATTTCAGTATCTCGCGAACGGCGCCGAACGGTAGCTGGCACAAGCTCGAACGAGGCGACATCAAGATGGACGCCGACTTCTTTGCGGGGTTCAATGCGGATCTAAGAAACCCCGAGCTATGGAAACAATTCCACCAACAACTCCAAAAGAAACAAGGCACACCTGGTTCTACTATACCTCCACTGCCGACGGTAGATGCAGAATGGCTATTCTGGGAGATGATGCGGATATCTCGCACGCCAGACCGATATATGTACCCAGCTCTGAAGAAATTGAGAGAGTCGGGACAGTTCCTAATGGGCGCTCTATCCAACACCGTTATATTCCCCGACGGACACGAATACAATAATGCATCGGACGTTAAGAAGCAATTCGATTTCTTTATCTCGTCTGCGCACACGGGACTCCGCAAACCCGACCCGAAAATCTACCAGGTGGCGTTGCAGGAGATGGACAGTTTAGCTAAGAGGCGAGGACTGGCCGGATCTAATCCCGACGATGTTGTCTTCTTCGATGACATTGGCGAGAACTTGAAGGGGGCGAAGAACGCTGGCATGCGTACAGTCAAAGTCACACTCGGAAAGACCCAAGATGCAGTCAAGGAACTGGAGAAGATCACAGGCCTTCAGTTGCTGGACGAGGACAAGGCACGGTTGTGAGGCGTTATACATAGAAGTTGGTTATTTCGAGGAATATATCAGAGTTATATGTAGAAAGGATGGAGAATAAGAATTCCATAACATTTTTTTTATTTTCCCCATTTTTCCCAGATTTATTGTGGTTTTTCTTTTTTTTCCATAGTTAAGAAAGTTGATGTTCCCACTCGTCGCCGACCTCAATTTTTGGCGGGGGATGCAGCCACACGCTAAGCGAAATCCCGCACAAAGTCGACCCACGAAATTTCTCACTTCCTCTTCCTCGTCCATCTCCAGCGCCCCTCGACACCCGTCAAAATGGTGAGTTCGATCGCTGATGGCTGATAAAGTCATTATGCATTCCTTTTGCATTTTATTTCCTCTCCGATTCCTATCGGAGCCGGGTCCCTGCAAGTTGCTTCGGCGTAATTTCTGAAGCGTTAATTGCTGACTCGCGATCTCGCTTTACAGCCTTTCACCAAGACCGTCAAGTCCAACGCCTACTTCAGGTAAGTTAAAATCCTTTATCCTGTGGTCATCCTTTTTCTTGAGATCCCTGTTTGCTGACTTTTCCAATTATAGTCGCTTCCAGACTAAGTACCGTCGCCGTCGCGAGGGTAAGACCGACTACTATGCTCGCAAGCGCCTGATCACCCAGGCCAAGAACAAGTACAACGCGCCCAAGTACCGCATGGTTGTTCGCTTCACCAACCGCGACATCATCACCCAGATCGTCTACTCTGAGGTCACCGGTGACAAGGTTCTCGCCTCCGCCTACGCCCACGAGCTCCCCAAGTACGGCATCGACCAGGGTCTTACCAACTGGGCTGCCGCCTACGCCACCGGTCTGCTCCTTGCCCGTCGTGTCCTCAAGAAGCTCAACCTTGACGAGCAGTTCAAGGGTGTCGAGGAGGCTACCGGTGAGCACACTCTCACCGAGGCCATCGAGACCGATGATGGCGAGCGCCGCCCCTTCAAGGCCTTCCTCGATGTTGGTCTTGTCCGCACCTCCACCGGTAACCGTGTCTTCGCTGCCATGAAGGGTGCCTCCGACGGTGGTATCTTCATCCCCCACTCCGACCGCCGTTTCCCCGGTTACGACATCGAGTCCGAGGAGCTCGACGCCGAGACCCTCAAGAACTACATCCACGGTTCCCACGTCTCCGAGTACATGGAGACCCTCGCCGATGAGGATGAGGAGCGCTACAAGTCCCAGTTCGTCAAGTACATTGAGAACGAGATTGACGCTGGTGACCTCGAGGAGATCTACTCCGATGCCCACAAGGCCATCCGTGAGGATCCCTTCAAGGCCGATGAGGATGCTGGCTCCAAGAAGACCAAGGCTGAGTGGAAGGCCGAGTCCAAGAAGTACAAGGTCGACCGTCTCACCCACGCCCAGCGCAAGGCTCGCGTCGAGGAGAAGATCCGCAAGCTTGCTGCTTAAGCGTCTCGCTTCCTATCTTTCCGACCAAAAGTATTCCTACCAATATTCCAATTGAGGGAATAGGCTACTGCCGGCGTTTTATTCATGTGATGTAGTTTTTGACGGATCATGGCACATACCACTTTTTATTTTTATTATCGGAAGGGGGTTTTTCCTGGGAGCAATTAGTTCGGTGTTCATTTAAGGCAATTTTTCTTTACTCAGTTCTAACTGCTCCCCTGCCAATGTCCATCTGTCTTGTTCCCTCATTTGCCTCTTTGCATCTGCCAGTAGCTGGGATCTGTAAAACGTAGTTTAGCCCGATTGTATGATCGTTGTAATTGTGTTTATGATTATTTGTAATTGCATCATGCCATTGAGCAACTAAGTAAAAGTAGCCTATTAAAATTAGATCGACGCCATGCACAAGCGCCAATGCTACTGTGATAAGTGGCCCCCAACCCCAATGCATTGCCAGCGCAGCAACTTGGTGGCTGTTCAGCAAGGATGCAAAAAAAAAACACAAAAAAACGGCTAGATAGTTCCATTGTTTGCCATCAATCCCCGCTTTAAAAAGTCCTTTGGTCCCCGAGAAGATTGAAATCGCAATCAATTCATCCCTTGTATATATATCCCCCCACCTGCATAGGTATATCCACATATCCATCATGAGAAGATATCAACAACATACACACGCAAGCTGGCACCGCGCCTACGCAGACAAATTCGATTGCCCTTGGTGCCAAACCCCTGACCGGGCAGAAACACCTCAGAACCAGAACCACAACAACCGCAAGCAATCCGCAAAGGGCTCAGACAATGGCAGATCCAGCAGAGCAAATGCTACATCGACACCAGTCGGACGTCGGATAGCTCACGAGAGCTCTGATGTTCCTATCGAAGACCAGGCTGCCGATACCCCGCTCGAACCACAGACGCCAGATTCAGCTCCGCACGTGAATGACGAAGAGACTCCAGGGCAGGAATCCGATTCAAATTACGCGCGGTACAATATGGGACGCACTGCGAGGCACGATGGCTTGAATCCCGCGTTCGCGTCAGATACACTGCGTCCGCCGCTTCCTGAGGAGTGGACGAAGGAGATTGAGGATCGGGAACATGGGTAGGGATCTCTAATTGATGCCTTTGGTTACAGTTGGTTCGTCCTTGTGCTGACGGGGTGTTCGATAGTGCTGCGGAATGGAGCCCACCGGCCGTGGAAGATTGGCGCTCGGGGCTAGATGCGCCTGTGGAGTTTCAAATGCCCGGTGACGAGAAAATTGGCTCCCCGGAGTTGAATGTGAGGGAGTTAGAAAAGTCCTGAGAAAGACTTGGGTGAAGTAGATACATCAAAACATTCATATTAAACTACAGATACCAGGAATTTGCTCCGCTCCAGTTTCTACTGTCCATATTTCATTGATCCATTCCGACTCCAATCACCCCCCTCGACCTATCTCATCGGCGTCTTTAATGCATGGTTTGAGTCACTGTTCTCGCTCTACATCTTCCAACCTTCCCCCGGCGTCAAGTGTAGCCCTGCATCTTTCAAGGTAGCGGTTCGTCTTGGCCTGCGCTTCACCAAATTGCTTGCCGAAGGTTCTGACCTGGCTACTATCTCCCCGCAGCTGAGCCAGTAGATTCTCGGCCCTCTCTGCAGCGACTTTTGCCTCGGCCTCCATGAGAAGCAGCAGTGCTATTTCAGATCAGGGTGTCCGCTGATCCGATGCATCATCAACCTGGATCTCAACCGCAGTTTGAGCCTCCTCAAAACTGTCGAAAGTCACTCTTTCCTCGCGCTCCAATACTGCGAGGACTTGTTTGCATTCGGGGCTCGACCCAAGGCGTAGGAGAGCTTTGGCCTTGGCCTGCGCATTAGATAGCTCTGTCCGTGCCTTTTTTATCAAGTAGAGTTCTCGGATCATATCCCATCGCTGAGATTGAGGTTGCGGTTGGGCTCGTGTCCGTGCCCTTTGTAGCAAGCGGAGTTCTTCAGTCACATCCGGTTGCAAAGGTTGATATTGGGATTGGGATTGAGCTCCTGCCTCAGGTCTAAGCCCAGGAACAGAATAAGAGTGTGAATCAGATTGAGGTCGAGCTCGAGCTTGGGATTGAGATTGAAGTACTGTCTTCTTGGCTCGAGGTGGATGTGCATACCATGCCTTGTCACGAGCATGTTGCATATCTGCGGCCATCATCTGAAATACTTTGCGAAAATCATCGGGTTCATGCCAGAGGGTGCCGATCTTGTTTTTGTTGGCACGAAACAACCCACGATAATGATCGAGCCTATCGTCTTTTCCAATCATTTTTGATTCCGCAACCTCCTGTTCAAGCTCCACTTGCCTAAGGCGTGGATCGGGGTATTCCTTCTTGAGCTGCTCAATTAATTCATATGCTTCGATACTTTCCCATTCTAGTCGTGTTCGACTGTACTCCAATGCCAAGAGAAGGAAACAAACATCATCGCTCACAATACGAGACAGTAGAGACTTGGCCGTTTCCCAGTCACCCTTTAACTCGGCTTTCTTGGCTTGCCTTGCAAATTCGTTGTTGGTTTGGAGTTGGATTTCGCGAGTCATATCTAATTCCTCGAGGAGTGGTTCAAAGATTGTCTTGTTCGAAATCTGAAGCAACAGAGACTTGGCCTCATCAAAGTCACGGCGCTCTTCTGCTTCCTTGCTCTTCGCAATGAGATCTTGGTCAGAGTTCTTCTCAGAAAGAGCTTGAGGGGGCGTGCTCGCAGAAGAACCACCAGGGCTGGTATGCCGCCGTCGCGAACCACGAGCTGTAGGCAAATCCTCTATTTGACGGGGACAATGTGTTAGCATTTACCGGTACGACTCCATGGCAATGATTCATACCACCCGAATTGACCTCATCATCAAACCCAGCCTCCGAGGCTTTTCGCTTCGCAGCGCCTTGCCCAGGATGACTTGTTATCTGGCGTTGAGAGCCTGGAATCCACCAACTCATAGCTAATTGGGCCACATTTGTTTGGTGAATCGGATCGTTGATAAGATCTATGTGGGCAACCAATTCACCCAATAGTTGTTTTGTTTGACCCTCAGCGTTGTCGGGCACTCGGAGAGGATCTGTACGGTACTGACGGATCTTGTTCTGCACGAAATTTCTGACTCGAATCCAGTTCCAACTCGAGATCACCCAAAAGTGAGAACAAACACGTTTCCAATAATCTGAATTGCCTCGCGGTTCCTTGTAGGAGGCTTTGTGAAAAACGCAGATTTGCAGAAGAACTATCTGCTGAGACAGGCTTAACGACCATAAAGCAGGCCCACCCCGTTCACGATGCCAGTTCATATGTCCGCTGGCGTCGACAATCCTTGGGTTCCGGGGTATCTCGGGTAGTGAGCTGAGGCCTAAGGGATTAGCATTAGCAACGATAATATTTTCGTAACTGGCGTACTTGACTCGACAAAATCCGAAATAATGATAAAAGAGGTATGACATAGATTGAATAAAGAAGAGTGTTGAAATATGGGGGGTTATCTGAAAAAGTGAAGACGCGACGCGTCGCGAGACCCGAAATTCCCAACGTCTTTGAATGTAGAACTAGAATCCTCAGATACCCTAAATTCCTAATCCTAACAGGGCCCTAATATAATACATACAGCACTGTAGATGTGATATAAAATAGGTCCACATTTTCTTCCCAATTAAGTAATTCGATTCTTCCGGGCGAGTCTACCCAAGCTAAAACCCCCGGCGTCTTGAATACCTACAGTTTGAACAAACTGGTGCTCCCAAAATCGGATCACATCAAAGTAATCTTGCTCATTCAATGGAACTGTATATGAATCAAGGGCTCATTACATGGAATTCAAGAGCGACTGGGATGGATTTTATATATGTTATTCTAGGTAATAATATACCCCTACCACTAAGGGAGCTAGAACCGGCCTCCCGCTAGCCGTCCTAAAATATACTACCACTTCTATATAAGTTAAATATATATTTCTCTATATTCCTAACAACATTTTTCCTATTTTAGGCAAATAGTACAATAAGAAATAAAATCAATAATTCTATAAAGTAAAGTATCGGGCTTATATGGAGCAGGTGCATGGACATGCATTTGCAGAGGTAGCCATTAGGGAGTGGATTGCGATGGCGTTGCAGGCGGGCACTGATCCGTTGATTACGACGTACCTGGAAGGGATTGTGGAGCGAGGGGAACTGGTCACATTCCCCTACTTGGAAGACACACCGCAGTGATGCGAGATGTGTCGAGACATGCTGATGTTCTGTTAATTAGTTGAATGACTACCTGATCAGTTAGTCTCGGGTCGAACGGACCTGGAAATTGATGGTTAGATGTCCTTGTTTTTAGGTTTGACTCTTTCATTTGACCGTCATTGTTCCGTAAGCAGTGCTACCTCTGTATATATCTACGGACGTTGTCAACCTCTCCTCCTTATCTTCCGAGGTTGTTAAACTTGGCACCCAGCTTAAGTAGTATCTCTAGTAGTTAGGCACCTTCTGTATAGAAATCAGTATTATATAGAACTCGTTTTAGTATTTCAAATATATTTGAGAACTAGACAGGCCTCAAGAGCCCTTACGCGAGCTGTACTCGAGTATAATGCAACTCTGTCTCTCTCTCTTTTCCTTTTGATGCCAGAAGATTACCTAGATAAGTAGATACACATACTAATGAATTCTAGATTCCTAACCAACTGAAGAGAAAGTACAATACAAGTAATCAAGAGATTCTTCCGACAACATTTCCCATTTGGGAAATTTCACTCCGGTGATGCTGGACCTCCACTGGAAGGATTTGAGGCCTGTTGCACAGGGTACTGATACCGAGTACCCGGGGGGTATTGAGCATGTTGTGAAACTGGCTGAGCAGGGCCATTGAAACCGGCAGGAGGACACTGGTTTGTGCTAGGGAAGCTGTTAGCTTAATTATTTCCCCGCCAGTCCATAGCATAACAGATCACCTAGCTTACCGGGAGAATTGCTTCGCGATCAAATAGGTGAATGTGCCTAGGAAAGCGACTTTGAGTACGCCGCCCATTCCACCGCGGCGGAAGCCCCCACGAAGACCGTAGGCGTGTCGAGGATCGAAGCCTCGGAAAAAGGTCCGTCGGGAGGAGCGATAGCCACGCATTGCATAGGGGCCCATATTGTCTTTAGTTGGATGAGATGGATGAGAGGCTTGATTGAGATGGATGATGTGAATTGTTGAGCAGAAATTGTGGCCATTTGGGCGTGTTTAGTAGTGCATCGGGGATAAGTCTGAAGGTCGGACACCGAATTTCCATACACCGAGGCCGAGGCCGGGGCCGGGTTCTTTTCATTTCGAATTGCTGCCTGCAGATCATGTTCGTCATGTGGACGTGAATCTCTTAGCTCAGGGGGTTCGTAAGCTACGCTCAGAGTTATTTATTGCCTCGGCCTAAGTACGGAATAGCCATCAATGCCTCTTGTGATAGGGTTTGGAAGGTTTACACCCACCTAGGCATTGCGTGTGGTATATATAGGATGGTAGAGAAATCAGCTAGTTGAATTGATTCAATAGCGTGACTGAGATAAATACATTTAAATTTATAGGTCGACATGGTTGGCGAGCTCGGTGGTGAACTACCTGGCTCACTATTGTTTATTTACGTTGTTGCCTTACCACTCGATACCCGACGTATCCATGAGACCCGGGAAGAACAATAAGCTGGGAATTTCCAATCCCAAGGCAGGATCCTAAATTGTAAGTCCGATGGCAAGAACATAAAATGGGGAGGGGGAGAAGGGGGAAGAATAGGAAGAAAAGGAAAGAAATACTTACTAAAGCATCTACATCAAAGCCTGGAAGACTATCTGGCCCCGTAGTCAACGACTCCACCGATTCCTGCGGCGAACTGGCTGCATGAGAGACCTGCAGCAAGGAATAGCATCTCTTAAGGCTTTCTTCAACGGTCTCGTAAATGGCGGGTTGGATCGGCTGACCAGACTCCATTGCACGGATCTGGCTCAAAATCGCGGATAGGAAGTTATATCGCTTCAGACTGGGATTTCCGAGCGCGATAATCTGTAGCAGTTGCTCCTGGATGTGTTCTAGGCTCCGGACCAAGGGCGCTCGATGGGCCTTGGCCATTTCATCCAGGTAATCGGCAACAAACGGGGGCGAAGACCCAAAGGGTCGCGTAGAAGCCTCCTCCTCGAGTTGTGTGATAATTTCCAGTCCTAGGGAGGTAATCACATCGAAGCTCAATGCTCCTTTAAAGGATCCTCGGCCTACAATAGTCAGGTGAGAGAGGTCATCTAAGGTGTCTGACGGTAGACTGAGATGATCGGCATACGATGCAACCACAACGCAAGATTCTAGACACACTTTCCGGGATAGGTAGAATTGAGGATCTTTACGAGCCTGGATCATAAACGGGCGATGTAGGAATAAGATATATCGATGTAGGTACGTGTCGATAAACCGGAGATGGAAATTAGTCATGCCTGGATTGCGGGCCGCATGCCTCGACTGATTCCGACTTGTGTCGAATAAGGCGGCAATATCGCGGCACGCCGACCGTAATTCATTTGCCAGCCTTAATACGGTTTCGTATGACAGTCCCTGACGGTGCTGGTTATTTAAAAGCCGGACCGCTTCTACTCGCACGGGAAGAGACTTTAGCAGTAGAAGCTGAATAGATGAGTCGGTAAGGTGATTACTCGACTGCGGGGTGGGAAGCGTCTCGGTCTCGGGGTCGAACTGCTCGTCGAATAAATTCGACGGCGCCGTGTAGTCAATGTCCTGTAGGGAGAACGGTAAGGGCATAGCGGCATCTAGTGACGATAGTAACGTCAGTTCTAGTACCGTCGCCCAGAGTCGGGCCCGCATTTCGGACTGGTACACTGATAGCGCGGGAAAGAGGTCGGGAGTGCGGTGCAGTCCCATCGATATAGCCATGCGTAGCACGGACCCCGCGGAGAGCCAGCTCGTGCCTGGAAGGCTGTTCGTTTGGCGGGCTAGTAATAGGAGACAACCGACTTGTAGGCCGTCTAGATTGACGGTCGACTTTTCCGATGGCCCGACTAGCCACCATTGTGCGGCAAAGATCCATGTGTGTGCGAGACGGCGGATATGCACCCTATTGCTTCGATCTGGGTAGAATGTGGATCCTAGGGCAAGGATCAAGACCAGCTTCATTAGGAAATGAGTCGAGATCGAGTGCGGCTGGGCCCAAAACTGACGATACTCTTCCCGGAAGGATGGGATATGAATAATCCGGTAGATGAGCTCGAAGGTGCGGAGGTAGGCATCGACCAGAACATCGCATACTGCTTGGTTTGGGAGCGTGCTCAGCATGTCCGGAACGGGATGGTTGAGTCGAACCGATTCTTGGGCTTTCATGGCCTGTCGAAGATGCCGACAGTCCTTGAAGATGCCGGCGATCTCTGATCTAGTACCCACATTCTCCAGCGATGGCTCTACTTCTTTGGCGTCGAATTTGCCAAGGACTTGAAACTGCGATTTGAATATTAGTTTACGACAAGCCTTTTATAGGTTGGGGGAAGTCCGATACATACTTTTTCGGCGGTATGCAGCCAGTGACCAGGGCCAAACAGCTTCGTCTTGTCGGGTGTGACACGTAGACGAGGCAGGGTGGCCGGAATAGCCCATCCATTGACCGAAGGACCAGGACGAGGTGCATTAGAAAGCTGCTCTTCGGCCCCGAGGACTCGGTCGTGAAGGTGACGCAAAACCTGAGTCTGAGAGATGATGGCATTAGGCCCGGTCGTGGCTTGAGAGGTCGGAGGGCTAGGAAGCTGTTCTTCTAAACGCCGAAGACGACGTTGTAGATCCTGAATGATCTTGTTTTGATCCTGATCTTGGTCCGGAGGCGGCGAGTGGGAAGTGGGTCCAGATGGGCGGCTCTGTGTGAGCGGCTCCACGGCTTGGGAAGGAGGCGTATGTGCCTCTGGCACCAAAGGAGCCGCGACTCCGGGACCGTAGAAGCACTGTAGGGACGTTCTTGCACGCTCGCATTGACCACATGGAAATTCCCGGTCACAACGGACTTTACGACGACGGCATGGATCACATGACTTCGGTGGTCGGCGACGTTTGCGCGGGGGAGACATGGTCAAGCGGGGGTGATCCCGATCCTGCACTATAACTACTACTGGTATAGGCAATTGGAAGAGCAAAAGTGGCCAAGTGAGGTGAGGTCAGATGAAAAGCCTGAGTGACAAGGGGGAAATGCCAAAAGACCGTCGGGCTCGGGGCCGAACTTTATCGTCAAGTGTCTCCTGAGGTATTAACCCCGGACGCCCTATACCTCTTAACTCCGGTTAAATGACCGAGAATCATCGTCACCAGGAAATGCTTTCTTTAAAAGGAGTCGTGAAGCTCCATTGTCACAGGTCCAGCTCATCTAGACAGCAACGATATTATTAATCTCGCTCCTATTACCCACCAACGCACTACACCTTCACCATGGCGGATGCTAGTCTAGAGAAGGGCCCCGAGTCGCCTGCAACAGAGGCTCCTAAGACCACACCACCAGAAGTTCCCGATGGTGGCAGCAAGGCATGGCTAACAGTCTTGGGCGCAGCGATCGCCCTATTTGTCTCATTCGGCTGGGTCAACTGCATTGCACTCTTCCAGTCTGAGTACGAAACGAACCAATTGAAGGACTACTCGAGCTCGGAAATCTCTTGGATCACGTCTATGGAATGTATGTATAGTACCATATGTTTTGCATTCTCGATTAGCTAACAACTCTAGTTTTCTTTATGCTTTTCACTTCCCCCGTGGCAGGCAAGCTGTTCGATAGCTATGGCCCGCGCGTGCCTATTGCCATTGGATCTGCCTTGCATGTCTTTGGGCTTATTATGGCCAGTCTATCCCATAAGTATTATCAATTTATGCTGAGCCAGTCTGTAGTATCTGGGATTGGTTCTTCGTTGATCTTCACCCCAGCAATGACTGCAGTAAGTTTCTCTATATACCCAACCCCGCTAAAAGGAATCATTCCTCTAATCAAGAAACTATAGCCCCAGACCTATTTCCGCCAGAAGCGGGGAATTGTTGGTGGTTTGACAGTGGCAGGATCGTCATTAGGCGGCGTCATTTTTCCGTTGATGGTGCAGCATCTGTTGCCGCAGGTGGGCTACGGCTGGACGATGCGGATCTGCGCCTTTATGATCCTGGGCTTGCTAGTCATCGCCAATCTCACCATCTCGTCCAATTTCTCACATAAGCCGCGTCCATTTTCCGTCATGCACTACCTCGGACCGTTGCGGGAGGCCAACTTTGGTATTCTGTGTGCGGCTAGTTTCTTTATGTACTGTGAGTACAGTAAGTTCTTACCGAGAAGGCACGTCGCGTTGCTAAAACTTCTTTTAGGGGGAATGTTTATTCCATTTGATTATATCGTCGTCGAAGCCGTGCACTACGGCATGTCATCGCATATGGCGTGGTCATTAGTTCCGATTCTTAATGGCGCCAGTTTCTTCGGCCGTACAGTGCCTAACTATATCGCGGACAAGGTCGGTCGCTTTAACGTGATGCTTGTCATGACCACGTTATCGGCTATCTTGGTGTTGGCATTGTGGCTTCCTGCTCGAGGCAATGCTGCGCTCACCACCTTTGCGGCCTTATTTGGTATCACCTCGGGTGCGATCATTGGCCTAGGACCTGTCCTGATTGTTCAAATCTCGCCAATGAGCGAGTTAGGCTATCGGGTTGGTACTGTCTTGGCTTTTGCTGCGGTGGGAACCTTGACCAGTCCTCCTATTGGTGGTGCGATTGCCGCCTCTGATGGCGGCAGCTACATCTATACGTCTGTCTTTTCAGGCGTGAGCTTCCTGATAGGTACCTTCGGTCTTGCTGCTCTACGCGTACGTCTGGGGGGATGGGGGCTTACTTCGAAGATTTAAATGAACGGCATAATTGCTGGGTTAGAATGGAGGAATTGACAACGGACTACAGGACATGCGGGAGAAAAGAAGACTTGTTTGTCGTGAGGATAATTTATAGAATAATTTATTTCCCTTGACCGTGGCTTCTCGCTAATTGATGTTAATCCAGGGACGGTTCAGACCCTCTCGTTGAAATAATAAACTACCTAGTGCCTAGGTATTCTTGGAATGAGATCCATGGATGTACCTAGGTATCTCACTGTCTGTACACGAAAATTAATTAGCAAAAACCTGAGTAAGTGAAAATTTTCATTCCATAAATTGTCTTCGCGATATATCCCATTGTCCGTTTCCGATCCTCCACTCCAAAAATGTATACCTAGGTATCTACAAACCGAGTAGCACATCAATAAAAATCAACGAGTAAGCTGCCGACGAGCTATAAAATCATTCCAAAATCCAAAATCTGGATCATTCGCAGAAGGGAACAAACACGGATCATCCGAGCCCCACGGCGAGCAATGTGTAAGGAGCTTGAAGTATCATTTATAAGACCGCGTTTCAACATACCCAGGACGGGTGGGAATTTTGCGAGATCCAGGTAGTTTCATGGCTTCATCATCCAGACCCTTGATGAGTGGCTGCGAAATAGGACTGGGGCGGAGAAGTGAATTGTGTCGCTGATATAGAGTAAAAGTATGATTCCACGCTCCCGGTGGCTCCCGGTGTATAAGAATGTATTGCTTACTCGGTAGAGATTTAAACTCTAATCGACGTGGTTCAACTGCGAGGGTCTCGTACTATAGATCGTAGCCTAAGGTAAACCGTAGATTATCCGGCGTAGAACACACCTTGTCATTTTTAAAGCTAGTTGGCAGAGGTATATAAACCTATCGACCATCTAATAATAGATCTAAATACTAGAAGCTTTAGGGTCAACTATAGCAACCCTAACTTGATTCAGCCGAAGTCACCAGGAAGCTAGGTTCTACTAGGGGCATTGTAAAGTGCTTCTATGTACATTGTTAGATATAATGTCTCCCCACTCTTAGTATGGGAAGGCTTTTCCCGTCAGTTAGTCCAACCAAGAGAACAGCACGCCGTAAAACGTTTTGGGGTCCTGGAGGAAGGGCGCATGGCCTAGACCGGGGAACATGTGGAGCTTGGAGTTCGGGATCAGGGCCGCGGCAGCAGGGCCGAGTTCATCATAGTGACCCAGTTTTGCAGCGATAGCAGGGGGTGACCATGCTTTGCCAAGCGCCGAAACGTCGCTGGCTCCTACCAAGAGGTAGGTACGTGTCTGCAGGAGAGGCAACTGGTAGATGACAGGCTGACTGAGTAAGGCGTCGGTGACGAGGGCCATCACGTACGAATAGGCGGAACCGTAGTCGCCGGCATAGATATCGGCTAGCATGTGGACCCAAGCATCATACTCGGGCTTCCAGGGGGCATTGGGGAAGTAGTTGGCCTGCTCATACGCCTTGAGAGTGGTAAAGTTCGACACAAGCCCGCTTTTGTAGGACGCGTCAATTGATAAATAGGGCACACCCTTGGCTACCCAGTCCTCCAGGCCCAGGGGATTGACAAGGAAAAGCTGCTGAACCTGGGTCGGGTACATGAGGCCATAGCGGGCGGCAATCATGCCACCCATCGAATGGCCGATTACGGTGACTTGGTCGATGCCTAGGGCAGTGAGCAGGCTGTGAATGTTCAACGCCTGTTGTTGGACATTGTAAGAATAGCCTTGGGGCTTGCTCGATTTGCAGAAGCCGATGTCGTCGGGCAGGATCACTCGGTAGCCGGCGGCCGACAGTTGGCGTGCCGTGTCGGACCATGTGACGCCGCAGAAGTTCCCGCCGTGCAGCAAGACGGCTGTCTTCTTATCATTGTTCTTGTGATTATTCCTTGCCGGTACGTCCATGAACGCCATTGTAAGGTTCTGGCGCTGATTGTAGAAGTTGAACAGCTTCACCGGCCAAGGGTAGGGATAGCTGGATCCGTATAGATCGGCTGGCACATGGCCATCGTAGATGGTGCCAATCGGGTCGGGACCAGACTGTGCAGAGACGACAGCCCTGCATGACAGAAGCGCTGAGAAGGCACTGAAGACGGAGAAGAACTTCATCATGCAGGTGTGGTTGCTCGCAAAAGGACCAAGTCTCTTAGTGACTGCCGTTTAAAGAGCACGGTGGCTCTTTTTCAATCTTAGAAGAAGAAAACAGACTTTTTTGTTCGTTTCTGATGTAAACATATATATAAACCGGCTTGAGAATTATTTTAGAGTAAAATCAAGGCGGATCCCAGTGTAGCACCAGAGCCAGGGGCACAGATGCCGCGATGCTACCTATATGTAGTTAGTCATCTACTCCGTAGTGTTTCGCTTTTCGACCGAATAGGGGGTTGTTAATTGCAACTTCATTAGCACGAACTGTGTTTTTAATCAACAGCAATTTCGCTAGCACATACTTGGTGTAGTCAGGTACCATTGGGGGTGGGGGGAGGGGCCCGGGGGTTTGCTGTGCTGAGTAATGGCCAGTTCATCCCGACCTTGGGAGGTCGGGAGCCCTGGAGGGATTCCGGCTTTTGCTCTTGAGCAATCCACACCTGCAGGGAAATTCTTCTTGGTAGTATTTCGTCTAAAGTATTTCGTTATCAGTGGCCCCCAGCGTGTACTTGTGCTTTATTGACATCAATCGGCTATTCAATCCTGAATAAACTTGGCCCCCAACAATTCCCAAACTAGCGCCTTTAACGCCATGCAGCGTGAAATTAATCACGTATACATTTTGCGACCCCTCCATCTAGCCCTCCATTTTTTACAAGGGTCTCGGATGCACCGGGTGAACACCCCGATTAGGCTGCGCGATGATACTGGATGCCAAGAGGGTGAAAACGTCCGCGAATAGGACCCTTGTCGGCGCCAGTGTAACTCTGCAGCATAATACGCTAACACGCTATCCCGCCGGTAATGCGGTAATAATGTACTTATGCATGGAAGAAGGATAAGAAAAAAATGAATGCTGCATTACTACTGATGCAGGCTTGAGATATTGTAGTACATATGTACTCCGTATCGACCGTCGCCTCAATCGTTTTCACAAGACCATACTATGTACTCTCTACCCCCAGGCGACCTCTAGCAATTTGCTATGTCCCAAAACACCCCAGGGCCAAGCAGGGCTTTGGAGATCCAAGTGCCTTGTATCGTCTTCCTTGTCACCACACCGGCCTTTGTGGCGATCCGACTATGGTCCCGAGCTAAGTCGAAGTCGGGCCTGGGCTGGGACGACTGGACTATTTTGGCGTCTTCCGTGAGTACTTTATGCGTGAGATTGAGCTGCCTTATGCAGACCTAACACTGCTATCAACAGATGTTTGCGGTTATCGTTATGGCCTTCATGCTAGCGTCCTGTGCATATGGCTTTGGTCAACACATCGCGAATATCACAGTACCGCATAAGTTAATGACCCTGAAGGTACGTTGGGAATTGCCCTCGCTACAGTCCTTCAGTTCTATGTTGTGGCTGCGGATCGCTAGCCTTTTAGGTCCGTGTTGGCCGCTAACTTCAGTTCTGCCAGCTCTTCTTCGTCAGTCAAGCTTTCTACAAGCTCACCATGAACATGACAAAGATGTCCATCCTGATGTTATATCTGCGCATTTTTATTCAGCGTTGGTTCCGCGTCATCTGTTATGTGCTCTTGGTTATCATCAGCTCCTATATGGTGGCCGCCTTCTTCGCCTCCGTGTTTCAATGCACTCCAGTAGCCCGAGCCTGGAACAAGACCATTCCAGGAGCATGCATCAACATAACCACCAACTGGTACGCCAATGCCGGCTTCTCGATCGCTACCGACATCATCATATTGACGCTGCCGATGTATCCGCTCCACAAGTCGAAGATAATATTGAAGCGGAAAATCGCCCTGATGGGGGTGTTCGCCCTCGGTGCCTTGTGAGTCCTAAATACCTCGGTACCGCAACCGAAGGCGTTAACTCGAGACTAATTTGGAGTTTCCAAGTGTCGCCATTACAAGCATCCTGCGGATGCAGACGCTGGACTTCTCGTCCACCAGTCCTGACATTACCTGTAAGTATCCCCATAGTCACCCCGGGTTGTTCTCGCTCAAGAACTTACGAGATACTTGTACAGACGATATCGCCTCATCGGTATGGACGATACTCGAAGAAAACATCGCGATCACCTGTGCCTGTCTGCCAATGATGTGGATGCCACTTGCTAGGCTCTTCCCCTCCTTTTTCTCCCTAGATCACGGGGCCGAAACCTATGGAAGCTCGGCTGCCAGGAGCTCGGAACTTAAAGCCACCTCGCAGCCTCGAAGTGACTGGAACCAGCTTCATGCGTACCCTGACACCAGGGGCAGCATCAGTACGAACCAAATCAGCAATTCCCAAAACCGCCCCTCAGAGGATAGCACGGGTCAAATTCTCCCGTCCAGCCAGGGCAGCGAAACGCACTATCAAAGTGCACAGGGCATTACGAAGGTCACGGAATATCATGTCTCTTATTCTAACGCAAAATCGCCTCTGAGGCGAAAAGATATCTAGGTACGAATAAGCCGATTAACTTGTTGGTCCTAGGTATACGAAGACTGATATCGTTATATTACTCTAGATTCTCGTTAATTCAGTTCAATGAATCAGTCAATTCGGACTAGCCGAGTGGAATTTACATATAATAGAGATCCGTGTGAAAATATCGTAGATTCTGGCCTGGTTAACGGTCATTCTCAGGGATGATTTCACAGGCCCTTATATTCTGGTTATAATTTGATGATTTTAGTGCCCTCAAAAATTCCATCTTGGAATTCTGTTAGGTAGCAACTAGGCATGTAAGTAAACAGAGATAGCCATTCGTCGCAGGGGGCTCGACCAAACATCTATGGATGTCCCGAATCCTGAGGCACCAGATATTTCCTAAAACGGCTAGCGTTTTGAGGTGTCATGGCCAACTTGTTTCACGACTCTCATTCATTCTTTGATGATGGCCCTAAGGTCACAATGTTTGTTTCTAGGACCTTAATTATGTAGGCCCCTCTTCATCTAAATTCCTCAGTCTCTTCCTCAATCTCCTAGAATACGGACCTCCCCCCTTCGCTTCAACTTTACCAACTTCTTATCTCGCAATGCAGCTATATCTAATCCGCCATGCGGAAACAGTGGATAATGTTGGAAAACTCCTGTAGGAACCCGGATTTCTGGATTGGCGTTCTCATTTGACTCGCACTGACTTCTTATGATAGGGCGGGCACCACTGACTCGGCACTGACCAACCATGGGATGGCTCAGATTAGTTGCCTTGCTCAGCATTTCGTCTCCAATTCAACTAAATTTATGACGGTGTTCTCTTCAGACTTAAGTCGAGCAAGAATCACAGCCGAGGGGATCTGCCGTGGACAGGTTTCACCTTCCGGTGAAACACCCTTGCAACCGATATTGACCCGGAATCTAAGAGAGAAAGATTACGGATCGATGGAAGGCCGCTTCTGGAAAACCTCTCCTCCATCTCCGATGCCGCGAGACTGGGTCATCCCTGAGTCAAGAGCGTCGATGAGAAAGAGAGTTGAAACCTTTTTCGATGAACACCTGCTCCCACTACTGATGCGTGACCCACACGGCCGACAAAACATCGCAGTCGTTGCCCACGGTGTTATCCTCCAAGAGCTATGGACATATTTTATTGAGATCTTCAATCCAGCGGACACTAATGTTGCTCCCCGAATTTGTGACACCGACATGAGTACACTTCATAGGAAGCCTGTCTGGTCGAACACCGGCTATATGACGGTTCTGATTACCCCGAACCCGATAGAAAGGAACATGCTGCCTACTATCATGCCTGACTTCGCATTTCTTGTTCTGAATATTGACGACAAGAGACATCTTGCCAATCTCCATCGCACTAGGGGTGGCGTTGGAACTGCCGCGCATGACACGAAACAAAGAAAGATTGATCAATTTTTCCGATAATCGACTGCTTTACAGAGAATTTGTGGCTATGTATAAGTTCAAACATCTTCACAATGGTGGGAAGATTTATTGTGTGTGAAACACTTCCTCCAAGGGCTTCCACCACCCTGGACCCTCCGCGCTGCTCACGGCTCCGGGAATGGGACTCTCCTAATGCCAGATTATTCGGATTAGCGTCTACATCTCTCCATTTGCGTTAAATCCTCAACATACTTGCATCTCATCAGTCATAGCCCACCACTCTCTCATCTTCGGCAATGACCGCATATTCTCCATATCAGCGTCGATATCCGTGCCGACATACTTGAAAGTCGCGAATAGAGTCCGATCGTTATCGAAGTAGATTGAGTCTGCATCAGCGCAAATATACCATGTCAGTCAGCTTGAACATACAGTATGTTTATACATATTTTTGACATTGAAACTTACAGTCTACGATGTTGCACTCCTTGATCTTTTGAAGGATCTCAGGCCAGACATTGGCGTGGCACTCCTTGTATGCCGCGACAGCGGAGGGCTTGAGGTGGACGATCTGGGCGAAGCGGCGGGCTTGAGGTTGAGCCATGACAAGATATTCAATATAGGTTAAATATTTGGAATTAGAGCAGAACGTAAGAGAAAGCCAAGTGAACTGCCTTTATGCCCCTCTCGCTCTAGCTTCAACCCGCACTCGGAGTGCGCTAACCCGGGGAGAGCTTGGCATATATCCACATGGATGGAGGCTGGAGCTTGAATCGATACGATCACAATACAATTAATCTCCGAGTATAGATCCACGGATACTACTAGTAGTGCATACTAAGTGTAGATAGCACATCTACATGGATACGAGTAGTCGCAGTACTAGATAGTCCACGGGTACCTTCGCCCTTTATCTGGCCCCCACCAGGACTCCCGAGGTTCCCCACCTTCCTAAATCGATAACTGTGCCCTATTAAAACCGACCTTGGTTTGTTTTCTATCTTTAATTTCCTTATTACCCTTGATCTCGGCCTGGTATCAACGAATTATTCGAAGAAAAACAAATGGCATCAACAATTCCCGAACTACCTACTTTCAACCTCAGCCCGTCCACACTCTTGGATATTGCGACGGACTTGGTCAACCAAATTCAACAGGCTGCGAATGACCTGGTCAACAATGTTTCGCCAGAAAACGCGAAATTTGAGAACGCGCTTCGCCCACTGGCAGATATTGACAACGAGGTCAAAGGGAAGGTCCAATACCTAGCCCTTTTCCAGGCAGTTTCTCCTTCGCCAGGAATGCGCAAGGCATCCTCAACGGCTGTGAGTATGGTAGATAAGGCATATTGGGCTGTCTTTCAAATACCGCCTCTTTTTGCCTTGGTAAACGCTGTTTATCAAAAGCACGCCGAGGAGGATAACGACGCCGACGAGAATGCAAAGAGTGAAGATCAAAAGCTTCTCGAAAGATTTCACTCAATGTTCATGGAAAATGGGCTTGAACTAGAAGAGGATAAGCGCCACCGATTCCTTTGGATCTCAAATCGTCTAATTGAGCTACGAGTTGCATTCATGGAGAATCTTAGCTCTGACCCTGGCTATGTATGGAAAGACCACAATGAGCTAAAGGGGATAGCCGCAGAATCCTTGCAAGCATTACCTATGCATTCTTCGACTAGCCAAAGGGGTATCAAGCTTAAGAAGCCAAATATCCCTATGGTATTGACTCAGTGTCACATCGCTGAGACACGAAAAGAGGTATTTCTTCTGAGCCAAAATATCTTTCCAGATAATCTTAAGATATTCAACGAGGCAGTTATCCTTCGGGATGAATCGGCTCGTTTACTTGGATTTTCATCTTATGCAGCCCAGAAGTCGAGACACAAGATGATTACATCCCCCCACGATGTTGATCAGTTGCTGAATGAACTTTACGATCACTTGCAGCCCCTTGCGCAGAAGGAGTTAGAAACGTTACAACACCTCAAAAGGGGAGATAGAGAAGATGGAGACCATTCTTCCTCTTCTCTTTATTTATGGGATTTTGACTACTACCATGACCGTTTGCTACGAGAAAAGTACAATACCAATCATGAGCTGATCGCGGAGTACTTTCCCGCAGAGGTTACAGTTCGACGAATGCTGAAGGTCTTTGAAACAATTTTCAGCCTATCAATCACACCAGTTGAAGTGAATAAGGAGCAAGTTTGGCATTCCGACGTCCAAGTCTTTAGTGTGCGGGATGAACAGTCGGCTTTTTTGGGATTTCTTTACCTTGATATCTACCCTCGAGAGGGCAAGTATAACCATGCAGCCAATTTCAACATCTATCCTGTTGGTGCCTAGGTGAAACCCCATTACAAAAAAGTCTATTTACTAACACATTTCAGACTTACTCCTCCGAGGGAAAGCCGAAGCAGCCCGTTGCCACCGCATTAGTATGTAATGTCTCACGACCATCGTTAGACAAGCCGGCTCTTCTACAGCATCGAGAATTAATTACGATTTTTCATGAGTTAGGTCACGGTAAGTGAAATCAAGACCAGAAAGCTTGAACTTTACAAACTAATGCTTGAAAAGGCATGCATGATCTCCTCGGAAGATCCAAGTATGCGATTTTCCACGGACATCGAACAGTTGCAGATTTCGTTGAAGCTCCCAGCCAACTGCTTGAATATTGGTGTTGGGTACCTGAATGTCTCCAGATGCTTAGTTGCCACTATTCCTACGTCTCCGATAAAAAGTGGTCTTCTACTATTGCGCAGCCTCCTAAGGAGATTCCAGACAATTTGGTCCACAGCCTTATTGCAGCTAAAGGGGTTAACCAAGGGATTCTCACTCTCAGGCAACTTGCATTCAGCAAATTCGACATGCAAATCCACTGCCCTAGTTCCCACGATCTCATTCAGTCAATGCGTACTGGCGAGGTTTATAACTCGTTCCTGCAGAAAATGACACTTCTACAGGGCCCTGAGAATCGGGTAGACTGGGGGAATGGACATGTTACTACTTCACACTATATGTGGGGTCAGGAGTCAAACTATTATTCCTATCTTTAGTATGTTTTATCGTCGCTTACACCCGTGGACAGAGGCATATGCTGATTATTAACTCACCTCCTAGCACCCGTATATTGGCGGCTGACATGTGGCTTTCCAATTTCCATTCGAATCCAATGAGCCATGATGCTGGTCTCCGATACCGACAAATGATACTTACACCTGGAGGAAGTCAAAATGAGATGATGGCACTCGAGGCATTCTTGGGGAGGTCGCCCACGCTTGACGCATACCTTCGAGATCTCGGGGCTCGAAAATAAAGCAAGCAGTTCAATTCTAAATCAATCGAACAATTTTCACTGGCTCTACAAAAGCCACATGGAAAGAATAATTGGGTAAACATTCTGTAGTCTGTTTGGCTGTGTCGCTCTTTGGCAAGCCAGAATTTGTCGGTGGCACATAAGAGACCTTGGAGGATTGAGGCACCAACGACCATAACTGGCCCGGTCAAAGAGTGGGCCTGATATGAATAGGACGCTGCATAGGGCATATTGTAGTAAGAAGCTCCATACATAGGTGCCTGCATTAGTAGACGAGATGCTATTTGCCGTGGTAATAGACCAATTTAGCTACCTAGTGAGGAGAAGATGCTCGGCTCGGCTCGGTTCCGCCTAATACGGTTTAGTCAATCTCTACATTAGGAAGGCGGAACACAGGTCGCAAAGAATTGTATCCACTCTATATTTCTTGGCATTATGAGCATTTATTTCCCCCAAATGCTCCCGAGGTCGAATATCTGGATTATCTGCATTTTTATACCTCACCATCCACCGCAATATTACTCATGGCCGACGAAAGCGAAACCCAAGGGACAACCCCCTCAACCGACCCCTCTCTTCATGAGAGCACCGCCTTTAAGCCTCCACCAGGAGCAATGCCCCCTGTGATTAGGGGTTGGCATGCCCGACCAGCCACCTGGCATGTGCAATTTACCTCTCCAGAAAGGCCAACGCCTAGTCAAACCGCCAGTCCAACTGGTCAGACTGCTGGTCAAACTGCTGGTCAAATTCAAATTGCCGGTCAAACTGCTAGCAAAATCACTAGATCTTCGCCCCTTACAACTGAAGATGATCTCAACCTACTGAGCATTGCCGTTTACTTTAAAGATCAGTTTACTACCATGAAGGGTAATTCTGCTCTTTATGAGGGGATTGCAGAAGTATGGAGGGCGGATACTGGGCGGAGAATCAGTCATCAAACGGTCCATAAGCATGTCACTGATAGGCTAAAAGAGCATTCCACTATACTTGCTATACCGGAAACTGACCGCCCTAAAATGAACGATACCGAAGCTGCTATGTTTGCCCATGCGAATGAGATATACGAAGTGCTACAACAGAATATAGTAGCAGAGGAACGACGAAGGGATCTGGCTGCTCGTGTAGTTACTAAGGCTCAGGCATGTACCGACTCTGTGCGGGATGATATAGCCGGAGTAGTGCAACGAGCAAGGGATAAAAGACCTAGAGATTTGGAGGGTTCTAGGGAGGGTGGTATGTTAAAATTAGCATATTTGGGCTATATTTTACTAATTATAATACAGAAAGTGAGCGTCCAACAACCCGGCCAAGAACCCTACCTCGCTCGCCATCGCCTTCCTCGCCATCACTACAAACAGAAATGGCCTTATTTCTTAGTATGATGAATAGTCGAGCAGCTATCGAGGCCTCAACCGGGGCTAAAAAGGAAGATATCACTAGGCTAGAAGCTAGAATTGATAGCATGGCTGCTACTGTGGATGGGATGATGATGTTGCTTAGAACCCTTACGCAGAGGCTGGCAAGGTCGAATTAGGCTTCATCTTTGGCTTCATGTTTATATAAACCGCTTTGCAAAATGCATTGTAAACTGTATATAAACTGAATATACCGAAAAAAATATTAGTAAATGAAATTGGTATCCGCAATTATAAAGCACATAAAATCTCTCTCATGACATGATCTGACTCTTAGGAACTGGGCGAATCCAGGAAACGGCGAAGTTAGCCGCCAAAGATATAACACCGATGATCCACATCGATCGCCCGTAGCTTGACCCGTTATATCTGAAGATAATAGCAAAGACGATTCCTCCAAGATTACCGAAACCACCAACGATTCCAGAGACGATACCTATTGACAAGATGTTAGCTTCAGAAACGTGAGGTAGGGAGTAAGAAAGGGATCACATACCATTAGCAAAAGGATGCACATGAGGCACAAGAGCAAAGTTGGCTCCATTAGATGCCTCAAGGAAGAAAGCTAATCCCGCGATAAGACCGAACATAGCCGCCTCCGAGGACGGGTTCGATAATCCGATCGCAAGCTGGAAAGCTCCCATCGAGACCCCCAAAAAGGTAATCAGAAGCTTTTTAGACCAGACCTTGTCTGTGTACCGGTAAACCAAATCTCCGAAGAGACCACCCGCGGGTCGGAAGACGACATTCAGCAGGCCGAACATGGCAGCCCACTGTCCCGATTTTGTTTGGTCCATGTGTGGGAAGTTTTTTGTGTAGTAAGATCCGAGAATCGAGTTGATTGCTAGCTCTGAGCCAAACGAGCAGGCATAGGGGATTGCCAGAGCCATAGTGGATAGACTCAGGGCCACGCGCAGGGCTTCTCGGCGAGTTGGGGAGACGACTGTGTCTTGTTTGAAGATGTCCATCTGGCCCATTGTTGATGTCTCGGTGTCTATGACTTGTGGTGTCTGGGCGCCTTTCTTTTCGATGTCGATTGTTGCGGCGTTGTGGGGGGTCGTCATTCCGCTAGAGAAAGTACCAGTGTTGAGGTCGACGATGTTGCCGTCGGCGGTCATGGTGGTGCCAGTTGACTCTTTCGCCCAGAGGTGTCTCTCAGACCACTTTCCTGTTGGGGTATCTTCGCAGAGGAACAACATGCCTAAGGCGATAACGGTGATGATGATGAATGGAACGACGTAGGCGATACGCCATGCTTTGTGAGAGGGGAGGCCGCGGGAGTGGACGAGAGAGTCATAGATGGCGGGCATCAAAAAGCTGAATTGACTTTGTTAGTATATTCATAGGATGAAAAGCAGAAAAGGGAGTCACATACTATGTGATTCCTCCGCCTGCGTTACCCCAGCCTCCGGCGAGGGAATTGGCAGTACCGACAATACTTTTATCGAAGAAACCAGTGCACCAGACCTGGCATGGGACGAATGTTCCTCCCAGAATTCCAATGAAAAATCGTAGAGCTATTAGGCCCTTGGGGCCGGTGACGAGACCGGCCATGGCTGTGGGAATGGCTCCGCATAGGAGTAGTCCCACGAAGACCAGACGTGGGCCATAGCGATCACAGAGTGGCCCTGCAACAAATCGAACGAGTAGACTGCAGCGGTCAGAAAGGTGTTTCTTCGATTGATTCAATATTCTGGTACTTACGTTGCCAGGAGTGCGACAATGTTTGAATTGGCGACATCTTCTTGTGTCATGTTCAAGTCCTTTTTGATGGTCACACTCAACTAGGAAGACGGGTGGAATTAGAAATTGTGTCTTTTTCGTATATCAAACATGTTGCAATTGGATCATGAACTTACCAGTGGTGGAAAGGCGTACCATGATAGGAATGCCACCATGAAGCCAAGCCATGAGAAGAAGAACACCCGTCCATATTGATCGAAAGGGTTCAATATGGGAATAGATCTGGCTTTGCGGGTACTTGGGTTGATTTCTGGTGATATAAAGAGGTTTTTAACAAAGTTTGTTGCCATTTTGGTTGGCTCTTTGTATAGTCGAGCGTTGAGGTAGAGGTAGGCTCAGGTAACTTGATATTGCTTGGTTGATTAAATGTAAACAAGATTTCTTTTGACGATTTAGGAGAAAGATGCAAGTTGAAAGATAGATAGACCTGCGTATCTATATAGACGTTTGTTGTGCTCTGTTTGCTGAAGCATATATTTCAGATGCATCTTGTCATGACACATGGAACAACAATCAGTCTGATATTCCGGCTGTATGTCAGGTTGTCCAATTATCGCAGATAGCTAGGTGCTGTCAATCGAAAACAGTTAGTCAAGAGTTACTCCCGAGTATATCTGAGATCGCTGATTTGATACAACGCAATAACAAGGTTGCCGCAAGGATCATCAGATCCTTGGGTACTAAACTTACTTTTTGCCTCAGACTTCATTCCTGAAACTCCCGCGGAATGCTGCTCTGCAATTCTGATAGAGATAAGGTATGCATTAGAATGACCTATAACAGTCTAGGATGTATACTATGCCAAGTGCCACGATTGGAGGGAGACCCTGATTGTATGAATCAATCTAGTTAATGTAACTCCGCGGAGCTTCAATTGACTATTTAAAGCTTACATCATAAAATCATATCGAGTCTGGGGGTGGGGTTTTGGCTCCACGGTGGCCAGGAATTCATATCGTTGATAAACGCGAGCCTCCTCATTGGATGCCAAGCCAGCCGCGATAGGGACTGAAGAGCGAACTTCAGCCCGGCGGGTCTTCGAATTGAACGACCGTGTCGATCTGAATTCCGCGGAAATACTTAAATCTAGCCATGGTTCGAGTCAATTAGTTCTGGGGCTTTGAGGGTTGAACCCCGACCTGAGATCTGATATCGTCCACTGACCCAAAATTAGGGCTTCTTTCTTTACAGTAAACCAAGGACTACCTAACAATCAGTCTAGACGGGTCGTTTTTTTATTTTTCCCTGAGATTTTTAGTATGTGCGCAGTTCTACATACACGATACACCGAGATAAGAGATTTAGCGTTGACTGTGTGAGAAAATAATAGCCCGGGCAGTTCCAAGGTTCCAACCTTGAAGGTTTGCACATCCGCTGAATAACCATAGTTTCCATATCAAGGTACTAGATATATTGGGAACTTTTCTGGGTAAAAAGACATCCAACCTCATCACTTGGAAACTCTTCATAGGGGTAGTTGCGAAAATATCTGTGTGCAGTATTAGTTGATCTCTCCAATGCCGTGGAAGAAAAGAACAGGTTCCTTCACCAGAGGCTGGCTTTGAACTATCTAAGGAATAACTAGAGAAATTAACGATAACATGGAGATTGAAAGTCGTACCTGACAGAAGATCTCGCGGTTTAATATCGCGGTAGATGATCTAGTTCATATCTGTAGATATGTCTTGAGGTCACAATTTTTCATATATTGAAGCACAAAACTTTTCCTATAATGACCTAGCATCTGAACAAGTCTGTTATGTGGTCCAATCCAACGGTATATACTGGCTTCTTGAGCAATATTTACATACGGTATCTCATCGTTCCAGGAAAAAGGATAATAAAGAAAATTGATGTAATGCACATGCATGTATATTCTGAAGTGTATTCATAAGGCCATTAAGTATCTCATACGCCAACGTATTCCGTCGCAAATTCCAATGAAACCGACATTCCACATAACAACTACCAATCAATCGACTTGGCTGGCTGCACCGCTGGTGCACGAGTCAAGAACCCATCAGTAACCTTCTTCCCCTTCATACCCTTGAACTTCTTATCAACCTTATGGAAGGGATCCTCCGATTCACCCTTGCGCACTTTCCACTTCTCCGTCCCCAAAATGGAATCCAACTCCTCAATCGGCGGAAGTTTGATATATACCCAGCCATCGTCCCTCTCCTCAACAGGGAAGGTAGCAATATTCATGCTCTCGTCGTTTGAGCACCGACCCGCCTGCTCACCGTTGAGATCAAAGTTGCGCTTGTGATACGGACACGATACCCAATATTTGCCAGCGTCATCATCGCCAACAAGACCATCGGAAAGAACGAAAGCTCGCTTATGCGGACACATCTGCTGCGTCGCATAGAACTTGCCCTTGATCTTGAAGACTGCAAGCTGCGTGTCTCCGCGCTTGACATTCGCCGATGAGACCTGAGGTGGCTCGTCGGAGAAATGATCTGCTCGGACAACCGGCTGCCAGGAGACGCTTGACCACTTGTGGCCTTTGAAATCCTCTCGCTCGGCAGAGTCCTTAGGCCAGTATGTGGGTCGTTGTTGAGATCGTTCTTGGATAACTTCAACTGTCTCAACAGTTTCGTCTGTGTTTGCGAATTGTTGGAAGACTTTTCGGCGCTTGGGGTCTTTGACAGTCTCGGTCCACTCGCAGAAATAACTATCGACTAGTTCGTGCATCTGCTTTTCCATGTCTGCGCAGATTCCGAGTTTGTCATCCACGATCACTTCTTTGAGGTAGTTGATTCCGCCTGGGAGGTTCTCGATCCATCGTGCTGTTCGCTGGAGCTTGTCGGCGGTGCGGATGTAGAAGATCAAGTAGCGGTCAATTATGGGCATCACCATCTCTGCTGGTACATCTGTAACAAGGAGTTCGGCGTGTCTGGGTTTTGCACCTCCGTTACCTCCAACAAAGATGTTGAACCCATTTTCGGTGGCAGTGAGCCCGAAACTGGCAGCTATTAGTCCTGAGTGTTTTTACCATCGCGGGATCTTTTTGCACTTACTCTTTATTTTGGGCCTCGGCACATTCTCGCACGCAGCCAGATACAGCTCCCTTGAACTTGTGTGGCGCACGAATGCTCTTGTATCGCTCTTCCAGGCGAATTGCCATGCCGACACTGTCACCGACACCGAAACGACACCATGTGGTTCCAACGCAACTCTGAATGTTCACTGTCAGCAAGTATTCTCTTGAAAGATATTGACCTCACGTGCCTTGATTGCTCGAAGAGCCTTTGCATATGCGTGTCCACTCTCCATACCAGCATCCACAAGTTCCGTCCAGATGTTCAGAAGATCCTGCTTCTTCGCACCGAACATGTCGATGCGCTGGGCACCGGTGATTTTGCAATAAAGGCCGTATTTCTTGGCTACAGATCCGATAGCAATAAGTTTATCGGCCGTTATCTCACCACCTGGAATTCGGGGGACCACAGAGAATGTGCCGTTTCTTTGAATGTTGGCGAGGAACTTGTCGTTTGTTTCCTGCAGGTCGTTGACTCCCTTGTCCATGATGTGTGGATTGAACAGACTAGACAGAATGGATGCAATTGCGGGCTTGCATAGTTCGCAACCGAGAGATTCTGGGTTCTTTCCGACAGTTTTCATGATATCGACAAAGCTTTTCAGTTGCTTGATGGCCACGACGTTGTATAGATCGGCTCGAGAGTAGGGGATATGTGAGCACACTGAACATGTTAGTGGTGACAGGAGGTAGTAATGGGACAAGTTGAGACGACTTACGGTTGTTCGATACTTCCTGTCCCATATCGAGCATTGTTTTGTTGAAAATTGACTGAACAAGAGGCATACAACCACCACAGCCTGTTCCTGCTTTCGTACATGACTTGACTTGCGCAATGGTTGTGCATGTGCCGTTCTTCACATTATCGACCACATCTCCCTTGGTGACATTGTGGCATGAACAGATCTGGGTGCTGTCATCACTGCAGAGATGAATTAGAATCTGTTCCCAATAGCAGAACTAACGATACTCACAGGTCATCTGCATTTTCCTCCCCGCCGTTCTGGGCACCGAGAATGAACTGACTTGGAGGAACCTCGAGTTCTTTCTGGAGCTTAACCATCTGATTCAGCTTCAGATAGTCTTTGGTATCTCCAATCATCATGCCGCCAAGCAAGAACTTGCCGTCCATGGTGAACAAATACTTCTTGTACACCCCACTAAAGGGGTCTTTATATGTCAAAGCCTTGACAGGAGGTTCGCCTCGTGAATTATCAACTCCCAAGCCAGGAACGGTGGAAGGTCGACGACCTGGAAGGAACTTCGGCCCATCCCGGTCGGCAAAGAAGTCACCGAAACTGGCGACATCAACTCCGAGCAGCTTCAACTTTGTGCTGAGATCCGGCCGCGTGAAGCTCTTAGGCTGTTTATTTGGGTTGGTCAAGTTGAAAGCGAGCACATCCGCCATCTCGATGCCTGGGGCAATGATTCCAAATGTCTGGTTCTCCCAGCTTGCGCATTCTCCGACAGCGTAGATATCTGGGATTGAGGTTTGCAAACTATGTAAGTTAGTTGGGGAACTGAGCATCCACAAAACGATTGATAGACAAACCTTTCATCAATCACAAATCCACCGCGCTCACCACATTGGATTCCAATGTCTCGACCCAGCTCATCTCGAGGTTGGACTCCAATCTAAACACCAATCAGCACATCTATCAACAGAAAAGCTAAGAAACAAGGAAACATACCGCGAAGCAAATGCAACAACAATCAATCCTCTCACCATCCTCAAAGGTAATCCCAACCACATTATTTCCATCATCGGTATGAACAATCTTCACCCGTTTCTGGTGGAGGACATCGAGTCCCAACTCCTGGATCTTGCGAGTGACCAACGTCCCCGCATCTCCATCAAGTTGTCGCGCCAGCACCCATTTATTCCGATCAATCAATTTGACATTTCCGAAGTCCTCCAGGTCTGTCATCGCCTTCGCTGCTTCTAGGCCTAGTAGTCCACCACCGACTGTGACAGCCGTTTCGCCTTTATGCTGAGCTGCGAAGTCGATGAGGCGTTCCAGGTCTGAGATAGTTCGATATACGAAGACGCCCTTGGCATCGTGACCGGGTGTGTGTGTTGGGAGGGTGGCATCGGAGCCTGTTGCGAGGACGAGGATGTCATAGTTTATTGTGACACCGGTTGAGGTTTGGACTGTTTTCTCCGTGGGGTTGATTGCTGTTACTCGTGTGTTGAGGTGGTGATCGAAGGCTCGTTCTTTGAACGAGTCATACTAATAAGCGTTGTTTATTAGGCCTTATATTTTCTTCGCTCTTGAATGATTGAGGGCTCACCCATTCCGCTGGATTAAGGTATAGATCCTCAATCTTGCGATGTTCGAAAAACGTCGAAAGCCCGACGCGGTTGTATGCTACGTGGGACTCTTCGCCGATGACAACGATATCGTATTTTCGTTCCGTATCCTGTTTGATAATTTTCTCGCTGGTTGTTGTTAGAGGAATTCTCATGTCCGTTGTTCAAATCCCTTACATGAGTGAAATAGCCACCATTCCAAGCCCAACTATTACAATCTTCTGGCGCTGGACATGGTTCGCGGGACTGGGACTGCCATCAACTGGCTCCCCATACCGTAGTCCATCCAGCACAGGCATGGCTGAGACTGAACAATGTGAGATGAGTATAGTACAAGCACTGGTAACTACGGAACACGGCAATCATTCTAATTTTAAGAAAACTAAATCCCTCGTTCCACTGGGTCTGGTACTACAATGTGATCTGTGACACCACAGAGTGAGTCGTACGAATGAACAAATCGAGGCTAATCAGAGTATGAAGTCGGAAGAAACAGGAACGGTGCATTTCCTCAGGAGATAGTTTGATCTCCGCGGAGATGGTGTTTTTATGTCGACTGTGATTGGCTGTTAGGGTTGCGCGCTTATCTCGACGTCTGGAGATAAGAATGAACAATATACATGACTTGGCTTAATGAAATCCTGATCTTATGGAATGTGGAGGAATGTGGATCAGAAAAGTGTTTTGGATCCGCGGAGATCTAAAAACGTCCAATGATGATAATATTGGATGACGGGAGCTGAGGGTCACTGAAGGTATTATGTCTACCTGCCGCTATTCGGGGTGAAATTGTGGATATTTACACATTATGAGTATTTCGATTTATTCTATTTAGTTTTTACCAAGTTATTTGTTTTATTTTGAAAGCAATTTCGACAGTGTTTACTATATACCAACAATTTTATAGCACAAAACAGCGTAAAAGCCTCGCGTTAACACCGTCATGGCCAGCATAACCACACAAACGATAACAGAATCACAGACAACCTCTTTCAAAAATGGCCAGATCACAGTGGAAGACATCATCCCAAGTCCAGCAGAGCCCGACATCCCACTCCCACCACCGTCAAAGAATCCCATCGACATCTTGGATGTGGATAAAGGCACACCAGATAACCATGTACCTCGCGATCCACGATTGATTCGGTTAACGGGAGTTCATCCATTCAATGTGGAGCCACCGTTGACAGCATTGTATAAAGAAGGTATGGTATCGATTCCCATATGTTATACCGAAGCCGACACGCTAAGCCAATATCCAAGGCTTTCTCACATCCCCGGAACTGTTCTATGTTCGGAACCATGGGCCAGTGCCCCAGGTCCGCGATGAGGATATCCCAGATTGGGAGATTAGTATAGAAGGGTGAGTGCGATCGAAATTATGCTTGCAAACTTCGGGTCCCAGGTAACTGATTGATGAACTAGGTTGGTTGAGAAGCCATTAGTCCTGAACTTCCGCGAAGTGCTTCAGAAATACGACCAGATCACCGCACCGATCACACTCGTCTGTGCTGGCAACAGACGCAAAGAACAGAACACAGTCCGGAAGTCGAAGGGCTTCTCATGGGGTCCGGCTGGTTTATCGACGGCGCTATTCACAGGACCTATGATGGCGGATATTCTGCGCAGCGCGAAGCCGCTTCGACAAGCAAAGTATGTCTGCATGGAGGGTGCTGATAAGCTGGTGAGACTTCCCTATATCAAGATTTGACGGTGCCAGGAACCATTCCGAGCTAAGACTGACACATCCCATAGCCGAATGGATTTTACGGCACTTCAGTCAAATTGAACTGGGCCATGGACCCAAATCGAGGAATCATGTTGGCTCATAAGATGAATGGCGAAGACCTTCGGCCAGACCATGGCCGTCCCTTGAGGGCAGTGGTGCCCGGCCAAATCGGAGGTCGGAGCGTGAAGTGGCTGAAGAAGTTGATTCTGACTGATGCCCCAAGTGATAACTGGTATCATATCAATGATAACCGAGTGCTCCCGTAAGTCTCAAGTTAAACAATCGTGCGGTGACTTGTGCTAACAGTGCCAGGACAATGGTGACGCCGGAGATGTCCGCCTTGGACCGCAAGTGGTGGACCGATGAGCGATATGCCATATATGAACTCAACGTGAACTCGGTGGCTGTGTATCCACAACACGAGGAAGAGATTGATCTATCCACAGCTGGACCCACGTATACAATCAAAGGATATGCATACGCCGGGGGTGGCCGGAGGATAACAAAAGTTGAGATTTCTCTAGATAGAGGCAAATGTATTTACGCCCCTCGACCCAAGGATGGAACATGGCTGACATATCTGGTCCTCCAGCATGGCGCCTCTCCGAGATCGAATACGCAGAAGATAAATACCGCGACTTTGACGGCGACCTGTTCGGCGGCAAGGTAGACATGTGGTGGAGAGAGGCATCTTTCTGCTGGTCTTTCTGGTCGTTGGAAGTCCCAGTGGCAGACCTAGAGACCAGCGATGCAATCCTGGTCCGTGCAGTGGACGAGGCATTAAGCGCCATGCCGCGTGACATGTACTGGTCTGTCTTGGGAATGATGAATAACCCATGGTTCAGAGTGGCAATCACGAAACAAGGAAATACGTTGAAATTTGAACATCCCACAGACCCAGCCAAAGCTGGAGGGTGGATGGAAAGAGTCAAGAAGACTGGTGGTGACTTGCTCAATGGTAACTGGGGTGAAAGAGTTGAAGGCGAGGAACCCGTCGAACCGGAGCCTGTGAAGGAAATAAACATGAAGAAAGACGGCGTGAACAGACAAATCGACTTGCAAGAGTTGAAGGCCAATAGCAGCAGCGAGAAGCCCTGGTTTGTTGTTAATGGCGAAGTGTATGATGGTACAGGCTTCCTCGAAGGCCACCCCGGAGGAGCGATCAGTATTACATCTTCTGCTGGTTTGGATGTATCAGAGGACTTCCTTGCAATCCGTGAGTCACAATTAAAATACCACAAGACCATTGCACGGCTAACTTTCTCCCAGACAGTGAAACTGCCAAGGAAATGATGCCGGGTTACCATATTGGCACATTAGACAAGGCATCTCTCGAAGCGCTGAAGAGCGATTCAGCCGCGGGTTCTGATGAGCCACGCGAAGTGTTCCTTCAGTCGCGAACATGGACAAAAGCCACTCTCACAGAGAAGAGGGATGTATCCTGGGATACACGAATATTCGTATTCGACCTGGAACATGAGAAGCAGACTCTCGGCCTACCGATTGGCCAGCACCTGATGATCAAAGTCCAAGATTCATCCAATAATGAAGCAGTCATCAGATCCTATACGCCAATGTCAGACACAAACCTGATAGGCAAGATGGAGTTACTCGTGAAGGTCTACTTCCCAACGGAAAGCATTCCAGGAGGAAAAATGACCATGGCTCTTGACAAGCTTCCGTTAGGCTCAGAAATCGACTGCAAGGGCCCGACAGGCCGGTTTGAATATCTCGGCAACGGCCGGGTTTCAATCAGCGGCAAAGAGCGCCAGATCCGCTCTTTCAAGATGATTTGTGGAGGAACCGGCATCACACCAGTCTTCCAGGTTTTGCGAGCTGTTATGCAAGACACGCAAGATCCCACGACGTGTGTTGTGCTAGACGGAAACAGGCAGGAGGAAGATATCTTGTGTCGTTCTGACCTTGATGCTTACGTGGAGACTGATAGTCGGAAATGCACTGTCGTGCATACGTTGACTAAAGGGTCTGATACATGGACTGGTCGTCGGGGCCGCATTTCCGTGGAACTGCTCGCCGAGTATGCGGCTCCAGAAGAGCAGAGTATGGTTCTGGTCTGTGGCCCTGGGCCTATGGAGAAATCTGCTCGCGAAATTCTTCTTGCCCAAGGTTGGGCCGAGTCGGATCTTCACTTCTTCTAGGTTTGGTGCGGGCTTGGAGTATGCTATTTTGCACATGAGAGTATGAAATGTTTGTTGAGTTTGAGTTGTACAATAATAATGGGTATAAGGCAGATAACACGCGAACTGGAAGGGTATAGAGACATTGGGCTTTCATTTGCATGGAAACGAAGTGAATTTTGAAAAATCTCGTCAATCATGAATCATAACATGTCAAAGCAGGACGGGTAAGACAAAGTGACAGCTAGGAACCAGTAGGTTGTTCCTGTACACATTCTGAAGGCGTAGGAACTGCTTCCTTCGATCAATAGTAGTTCTTGACGTCTAGTCTCACCCGTAGATGCTCAAAGACACTGGTCAGGTCTGTCCGCGAAGAGAAGAATTCCCCTGATTTGGCCATTGGTTTCGAAGTGGCCTTTCCGGACTCCAGGCTGCGAAGGTAGTTGACAAAGGCGGAGGTCTGTTTTCTGAAAGACTGATACAGGTGGAGAACAGCTCCTTCACTTTCGTTGCGCATTCCGATTCCATCTGCTCTTGACAGAAGGCCGAAGCCAAGAATAGTGCCGAAAATGGATTCAAGAAGTTTGGCCGCCTGCGCATGGCGCTTGCTGAGGAATAACGCGAACAGCATCTGGTCAAGCATGTCTTCGTGATAATCGCGAAGTCGTGGTACCGAATGCGCTGCTTCAATCGTGCCGTCGATATCACCGCGGTTGAGGCAGTGCTCGATCTTGGTAAGGGTGTCTTGAAAGCGCTGCCAGATGGATCCAATGCCAATGTGGAAGCAGTAATCACTGACCGCTAGGACAAAGTGCTGAGCATCAACTCTGAACTTTTGGTATACATTGTGTGTGTCTCCTGATAGAGATCCTCGAGCAGTAGAATCCCGGACGAGTCCTTTGACGGCAGAAACCATGCGGATTAACCGAAGCAAATGCTTGAAGAGCCGATCATACTTATTCAAAGAGCGCGCAGTAATGAGGGATTCAAGGACTTCAGGCGGCGTGTACTGCAAACGAAGGAAGTCCAAAGCCTCTATTGCATTCGGATTTTTACATCGTTCGATTTCTTCGTCTGTCAATTCTCGAATTCCGAAGCTCAGGCCACCCGGCAACTCGTTATCCTTTTGCATGTCGGTTTTCTCGTCCTCCTCTGTGTTTGTGCTGCCAAAGTAACAATCTCCCAGCAGGCCAATCAACACGAGTCGCAACTCTGAACTAGCTGGCGGCCATGTGTCACGACTGCCGAGGCGTAAACCGGTGTGAACACCACTGCGCACTTTCCCAGCCTTTCGCTCTCCACTTTCCATTTCTGGGTCGAATAGGGAATTAGAAAGGCTGGCGACAAATGAGCCCTCTCCCAGCAACTGGAAGCGCCATTGCATGTTTAGATGATGGCGAATTCGATGTTCTTTGAAGAGGAGGTGTAGGCAAGAGTAGTCGATGAGAAGTGCCTGTGACGAAAGGATGGGCGCAAGAGATAGATGGAGGCCAGATGTCAGTTCAGGACGGAGGTAGCTTCCTTCATTGGTGTTTTCGGTTTTAACCCCCGCGCTTTATCGAGCAGTTGCTTAAGATCATCTTTTGAAAGAGCCATGTGATCTGTGATTGGCTCTGAAGCATTTCTTTCATCATCTATGTCGAAGAGTTCAAACGCTGCGGTTGTAACTTCAGTGCCGACGGTTTGATCGACACTCTGGGTGACCACGTTTGATGGTGAATCGTTCAAGCCCGCATCACCCTTATGATATTTCTTGATCTCAGCGCGTAGGCTTGACTCGTACTTATGGGCTTTTGTTTGAATTTGCTCAATATCAGCCCAAGTGGTTCCACAATGCAGATGAAGACCACCAGTTCGCAAGAGAACATCACGCCGTGCGATGGGATGACGAGGATGGGATCGTTTCAAGAGTTGAAGACTTCGTCCACTTTCAAATATGGAACGGGCTTGGTCGGCCGGGATGAAAGACGGCATGTGGTCTGCTTGATAGATGTGGTCGATTCGCGCTGGCCCAGTCTTGAACTTGCCACGGTCATGAGTTTCCAGTCGGACGAAGGTTTTGCCGCTTGTCATGGATTCTTTGAGAGCTGTGTCTTCGGGTCTAAGTCCAATCCAAGTCTCGATGAATTTGAACCATGGCCGGATCACTCGAATCACAATCTCATGCAAAAGGTTCTCCATCCAGCCAAATTTCTGGGCAAAAAATGCTGCACGTTCCATGACAATTGACATGACTTGTGCGTCCGAGACAGCCGTTTGGCCAGCACCAACAATAGCTGCAAGGACACCTATCACGTCCCCGCAGCGGTGGAATAGTGCCTTTATTTGTAGGAGTGATGCAATATTTGTTGAATGATCGGAGATCTGTTGTTCAAGGTTGAAGATTATTACCGCCACCGTGCTGCTTAATGTAAACAAAGCAGAAAGTTCTCTGCATTTGGCTGGCGGGGTTTGCGCAAACAACCGCATGCGCTGCATGTGGGTACCACATTGTACCATATATTCAATCACATTTTCCAATGACGCTGAGCTAATTCCGGAGATCCGGACATCCTTCAAATATCTTTCAAATTGGTTGGTGCGTTGATCGTAGCGAAAGAATGCAGAGCTCCAGCCAAGCCCAAGACGAAGCAGTGATCGAATGAACACATCTGTTCGAACCATTCGATCTGGTCCACCATCTCTTTTCGTCATGTTTTTTTGTGCCAAAGCTGCATCGAAGCCCTTCGCCCCAGATTCACTAATGTAAACAGACACAGGCTCTTGGAAAGACCTATGTTGATACCTCTCCCATGATTTCTGCGGGGGTAGATGACCAGGGTCTTCCTGAATTAAATCCAAGGACCATATGTCGTTTTCATCACCTATGATGTCTCTTAAAGAATCACCTGTGGTGTCAGATTCGCCGTCTATGGAGGGATCGATGATCGAGTCGGTAAATGATTCGGGCTTCTCTAAGCCGGTTGGAAAGAGATCCAGCTTCCATACGGGGTCGATCTTATCTTTGGGCTGCGGGAATATCTCAAAGCCAGATGTAACATCATCTATAGAGAAAATAGTGTTATTGAAGGTTCTAGGGACTCTGCGGTTGACACTTACCACTTAGAGTAGTGTTCCATGGTAGCGATGGTAGTGATCCCAATGGCTGTAGAGCTTCTATGCTGAATTTAGAGAGTCTCCAGAGGCTTTCACTGGAGAAAGGATCCAGCTCATCACAATCCATAGTGAGACCATGCTCAGATGAGCTAGATGTTTGACGCGTGAAAGTTCCCAAGGTCCCGCTACGGAGATGGCTATCGCCGTGCACAGACCCTTGATAACAGAAAGTGCCCTCGCCTGCTCGAAGCTCAACCATTACCTCCCCCCCTCCAATTCAATTCCTTCTTCCTATGATCCTAGGATACTAAACCTAAGCTACAATGCCCCCAAGAAAGAAGACCAAGCGCGCGCACTCGCCCACACCCCAAGACGATACCGTGGCGGAGTCGAGCGCAAATACCCCGTCAATCGACAGCGCCGGCAAGTCAGACACGGACTACGACCTCATCACAGATCCCTGGACAGATGAGCAAGAAACTGCGCTACTCAAAGCGATCATAAAATGGAAGCCAGTCGGTGAGTCCAATTCGCACCTCTGTTGAGTCGATAACGCAGCTAACCGTCTGGTCCCTTAGGCATACACAAACACTTTCGGATGCTCGCAATATCGGATTACTTAAAGAGCCAAGGATACGCACCCTCAACGGCGGAACATATGCGGATTCCAGGGATCTGGAAGAAGCTAGGTTCATTATACAACTTGGAAGCTCTTGACGAGCGGGTAAGCGATGATCGATGTTTTGTCTGCGCTGGTTCATCTTACTGATTAGCGATACCTTTACAGGAAGATTCAGTGATCACCGACGTCAACGAAGACGATGAAGGAACGAGCGAGATGTATTGTACGTTTGAGCTCCCGTATGACGAGTACGGCGATATGATGTTTGAAAGGCGACTTGCGATGGAAGAGTCGTTGTCTCCCGTCACTAGTCGTGCCAGTCGCGCAGGCGGATCACGGCGAGGAAGCACAGTCGCAGATACAGATGGTAAGGAGTGATGTGATTTATAGTCTGGTCTACAACCCATAAACTGACCTCTTGTCCACCACAGAACCACGGTCTTCTCCTGCCCCGTCTCGAGGTCGCAAATCCCGTCCCTCCACGCGTGGAACACGCTCAACTCGGCTGCAGGTGGAAATCGGTCCAGGTAGTCAAGGCAAGGTATCAGATGAAGGGGGCGATTCGGCAGAAGATACTGGTGCGAATGATGAAGATGATGAGGAGGGCGAAGAGGGCGAGGAGGGCAATAGCGACGAAGATGAGGGCGAGGGCGAAAAAGGTGGTTCGCGTAGCACCCGAGCGCAGACATCTCGATCCAAAGCCAAAGATAGCAGGCCTTCGACTGGTACTGCGACACGCAGGACTGCCCGACGGCGTTAACAAGAGCGAGTTTCGATATGGGTTTGGACTTTGATACCTATGGAGTATGGGGGATGGCGTTCTCTTTCGTTTTAGTGATGTGTATGACTATGCAGGCATCTTGTACCCTATTGCTACAGTAGCAGAACCGATCAATCTAATACAGATCTACCAAGATACGACGAAAAGAGGTTCGAGGTTGTTTGAGAATCAGGCGCCTCCAGGTAACCAAAAGTAGGTATATTTCGATCGCTATAGGTCTAATGTCGTTCGAAGGGTACAAAGGGAATAGATCAGGGGGTCATAGTACAAGGAGTCTCGGCAGCGCTTGGTTTACAGGCGCTTGATGATAGCACCAGCGTACTCGTGGGTCTTGGACTTGCCGCCAAGATCACCGGTGAGGGTCTAAAGGTCATGGGGTCAGTAATGCATGGTAAAAGTAGGAATAGATGTAAAAGCTCACCTTGCCCTCGGCGAGAGTGTCGAAGATAGCCTTCTGGATGCGGTTAGCGTGGTCGTGGAGACCCATGTGCTGCAGCATCATGATACTGCTGAGAAGCATAGCAGTGGGGTTGGCGAGGCCCTTGCCGGCAATATCGGGGGCGGAGCCGTGGACGGCCTCGAAGATGGAGCACTCGTCACCAATGTTACCGGAGGGGGTGAGACCGAGACCACCGATCAGACCGGCGCACATATCGGACAGAATGTCACCGTACAGGTTAGGCATAACGAGGACCTTGTCGTTGTAGGGGGTAGGGTCGGTGACGATGCGAAGGCATGAGTTGTCCAGCAGCTCAGCGTCGAACTCGATATCGGGGAATTCCTTGGCGATCTCACGGGCGGTGTTGAGGAACAGACCGTCGGACATCTTCATGATGGTGGCCTTGTGGACAACGCGGACCTTCTTCTTGTTGATGGACTGCGCGTACTGGAAAGCGAAACGGAGGACACGCTCGGAAGCTTCGCGAGTGATGAGCTTGATGCTCTGCACGACACCGTCGACGACAACGTGCTCAATACCGGAGTATTCACCCTCGGTGTTCTCACGGATGAGAACAGTGTCGACGTTGTCGTAGGGGGTCTTGTAGCCGGCAATGGAGCGGCAAGGACGCAGGTTGGCGAACAGGTTGAAAGTACGGCGGAGAGTCAGGTTCAGGGAGACGTGACCCTTGCCAACGGGGGTCTGGAAAATCGAAGTTTAGTATCGCCGTCCAAATGCGAGATATATATGGGCAATTTGAAGCTAGAACATACAGCGAGAGGACCCTTGAGGGCGACGTAGTTGCGGCGCACACTGGCAATGGCATCATCGGGAATAGCGGTCTTGCCATCCTTCAGGATGGGGGTGACATCAACGGATTCCCACTTGATGGGGGCCTATGATTTACTTAGCATTTTGATCGCGTTGAAGAGTCAACATGTTGAGAAATTGCTACCTTTGCGGCCTCGAAGATGTCCTTGATGGACTGAGAGATCTCAGGACCAATACCGTCACCCTCAATCAGAGTAACAGTGTACTTGCCCTATTTCAAAAAAGCAGATCAATTAGCATTGTTGTAATTATACACGTGGTGGTGTTCTCGATTTATGGTGGGTGTGCGGTGGCGCGGCTGGCACCGGCATAGATGAAAAAAAGGATTCGGTGGGAGAAAAAAACGTACATCAGGACCCTTCTGACCCTTGAACTTGGCAACAGCCTCCTGCGCAGGGCTGGCGTAGAAGCGGACCTATTTATAAGGTCGAAATTTAGTCAATTGAGCTTTGATAGCGACTGAGTGTCCTTGGGGGCGTTGGTACCTGCGCGATAGGAGCAGCAAATCGGGGGGCCACGCGGGACGGGCGCATGCACTGGCGAGCGACAGAGAAGTTCCGGGCAGCAATCATCTTGAAAGATCCCTTCAATTTCTTGGGGAGAAGATTAGAGGTGGTGAGGGGGAGGAATGGAAGAAGGAGAAGGGGAGAAAGAATCAAATCTCTCGGCGCCGTACCGATCCGACCGACCCTCAGACCGCATTGGTGGTTTCATTTCCCCCCCCGGCCCGAGTCCACTCTTTTACCTGGTGTCCACTCTTGACTACCAGCTATAGGGTCTCAGCAATTGACTAGGGTTCTGCTATCAGATCAGATCTCGGTCACCTGCAGAAAGTCATAGGCCCTGACTACTCTCCTCTGTATTTCAATTCGTCCTAGCTCCTGCACTCCACCACCTAGCCATCATGGCTGACCTCGACGTCGCAAGCCACTACAATCTACCCTCCGAGTTCCCCGAGGAATGGCCCGCATCTTTAGACGTGGATGATGAGCCAGAAGAACAGCCAGTTCAGCGAACAGACTCCCGCCCACGCAAGTCCCGATACATAGCTCTCGAACGCAGTACCAGTGATTGGAGAAGCAACTTTGGTTCACGAAGAGGAAACGAGGGCAGAGATAATGCGCGGGAAGACGAGCCCGATCCCTTGGGTACAACCGACAGCGTTCTCCGGATTCTCAAGCAGCGAGGAGTGCCCTTGGAAGAAGAAGGAGGCAAATCACGGTTCCTGCTGTCATCGACATCATTCTCGCCCGCACTATTCCTATCGCAGGCGCATCACTCAGCCTCTATTGAATCGCTGATGGGCGGCCTGGACAACCTGTCGCATTCCATCGACCAGAAGTCGGCATCGCTGAAAGTACTGGTGGAAGCCAACTTTGAGCGTTTCGTGCGTGCCAAGGCAACTATCGATAGCGTCTACACCGAGATGAGGAACCAGGGCGTTGATAAGGATCCGCGCCTGAGTCCCCGCAGGTCAGGACATTTCCGGAGCTATTCAGGTCAGCAACGGAGCGTATCTCCCGCCGCAGTGGTTCCCAAGAAGACCGCTCTTGTCAAGGAGAGTGAGTTTGGCATGAAAGGTATTAGGGGTCCTTTGGTTGAGGCATCTGTCAAGGCCGAAGAGGTGTGGGGACCGGCTCTTGGTGGTCGAGAACGAGAGAAGGTACTGAAGTCGATGGTGGAGTCTATGGAGAAACACCGCGATGTCTATGAAATTGGAAGCCACTTGTCCAAGTCCATCCAGCAGCGTGATTATGATGCTGTCTTTGAGCAGTATACCAAAGCAAGGACACTCGCCAATCAGGCTAAAAATATCGCAGAGCAGGCATCCAGTTCCCGCCGGCAACTAGATGACTCTGAAACACACACCATTCTGGCCATGGGCCGGATGTGGATGGACGTTGACCAACAAATCCATGAATTTAAGCGTGAACTCTGGAGACGTCTTGCCGATGCCCCCACCACATCAACTACAAGCACCGCCTTAGGGCCTGTGGAAGAACACATGGAGTTGATTGGCGCCCTGTTGGAACTGGGTGTCGAGAAAAACCCTATCTGGACATGGCTTCAGAGTCGTTACGAATTCTTGAAGACAAAAATCACCGGATTCTGTGATCGGTGCAAGGTCGAAATTGAAATTTTAAGAAGAAGGCTTGCTGGCGGAGAGAGACCAACTCCACAGGCTACAGCATCATATCTCCGCCTAGCACCTCGTGATGGTGCGGTAGAAGTACCAGGGAGGCTTGACACGGATCAAGTCATTGAGTTGTGGGAATGCATACAAACGTTCCTAACCCGACTTCTGTCCTCGCAAAGTGGCTTGCTGGGCGAGGTGTTGGATTTCTGGGAAGTCGCACAATCATTCATTGATGGCAACCGACAACGGCTTTTGCCTACCGGGTTTGAAGGGGAGAGTCGCAAACATCACCTTCTTTCCGACGACAATATTAAGGAGTTAGAGAAGGGTATTGCGGTGTTGGTCAATATTATTCGAGAGAACGTCGTGGCCCTATTCACGGAACCCCCAACCGATGATATCTCCCTACTCTTCTCGCCAATTCCGGCAAGTCCATCAACCCCAGAGTCGAGAGGTATTACCCCGACAGAATCCCGCTTCAAGCTGGATCCAAAAAACCTACCATATCCTCCCCCAAAGCTTGGAGAGCACTGGGAGGATTTCGCATTCTGGCCACCATTTTCCAATTCTCTCAGTGGAGTTTACTATCTGAGTAAATTCCTGATCACTGTGGGCACTGCTGCGAGCGAAATGGCAGCCCTAAGGCCGATTGGCGGCTCTGGAAAAACGTATGACCTCCTCAAGACCCTTGTCAGCATTGCCCGGGAACGATGTGCGCGTGTGGCGTGTGCTGCCTGGAGTAAAGATGCAGAGATCTGCAAAATGTTGGAAGACTGGACACGCGATTCAGAGAAGCGTGATTTGACTAAGATGCCCGGGTTCTTTGTGGCTTTTGAAAGTGCTATCCTTGGGGGCATGCAAAAGATCCTTTACATTTCAGAAGCTATGGCAAAGCCAGGTTCCGTGGATGTTGTCACTCAGCCGCCTGCGAAACTGCTTCAAATGGTCCGCTCTCAGTTCGTATCCAGTGTTTACAAAGCGTTAAGCGGCCTGGTCGAAAACGCAGAGCGCTTGACAACAGTAGATGAAGAAAATGAATGGATTATTGCTCGACCGGCAATGACAAGCCAAGCGACTGACGCTGCTTTGTCAGTTCTCTCGGCTGATTCGGTCGATTCTTGGAATCGAGTAAGTGTCGATCCAATTCGATGTGATACCTGCATAACTGACCACAGAACAGAATGTCCGAATCCTTCTCACACTTTCAAATCTCAAGGCTCTACAGGCCGACCATGTCCCACAGCTTATCTCGAACTTTGAGACGTCCTTCTCAGTGAAGCTGACGGAAGAGGCCAAGACCGTCCGGGACGTGCTGAGCCAGATTGAAGACAGGCTATTCCAATCATATATCACCCCGACTACTGCCTTATTAAACAAAACAATCACTACCGGCATTGCATCTCCAGATTGGGAGCCGTCTGTTGACAGGCCGGAGCAAGTCCGCCCATATGTCTACAACGCCATGCTGACCATGGTGCTGGTCCACACAGAGATCTCCACAACTATTCCGTCCACTGTGTCACCAGGTGCTAGTCGCGCTCCGTCAAGTTCACCTTCCTCGCTGCTGGCCACTGTGTTAACGCATCTCCTTTCTCAAATTTCTTCGTCCCTGCTTGATGCATTCCGTGCTCGGCCTTCCTTCTCGCTCGCAGCTTTGATGCAAGCTACCTTGGATACGGAGTTCATTGCACAGACACTTGGCCCATACATAACTGAGGAAGCATCAAATGTGCAAAGCCAGATCTACGTCGAGCTAGATGGCCGTACCACAAACGAAGCTCGCACAAAACTGAAGGCCGAACTAGGAGAAATGCGAGTTATCCTGAAACGGCTCAGAGATAGGACGAAGGGCGAGTTTGCTTGTTTCAAAAAGCCGAGAAGCGGCGGAGGTGCAAGTGGTGGAGGGACCTCCAAGCCTTCCGCTGCGGCCGCAACATAGGCTTAGCAAGATAGTGCTATTAAAGAATCGTATGTTGAATGCTTCGAATAAAAAACTTTTTTTTTCATATCCAACAGGGTATCATGAAAACATAGTCCACACCATGCATGTGTAGTTCTTGCCTTTTCTCTCTAGTTCTGACCAACCATCCGCTGCACGCGACTAAGCAGTGCGTTGCTCTCTCTGCCTAATCTCCTCTTCCCAAACTGATCCGGCCTCTTCGCGCGCAGCAGTGCCCCACGCTCATTTTGTTTCGCCTCACGATCCTTCTGTCGTGCTTCCTCCGCTTGTCTCCGCTTTTCTGCAAACTCCATTTCCCTTGAGAATGCAGAGGGCTTTGGCCGGCGCTCCCTCTGTTTTCCCTCGCCCCGTGGGCGCCGTTCTGGTCTAGGTGCAGGTGCCGGCTCGGCCTCGGGCTCGTTCAACATGGCTATGCGATCCGGGTGGAGTTCCAGAGTTTTTGCCTCTTCACCAGCCTCTTCCTTGTCCTTGGAGGTTTCGGCTTCATCCCTCTCAGCGGTATCGTACACGGATTTCCTAGGCGCGATGGCGAGTTCTTCGGCTTTGATCTTCGCATAAGCCTTCTTCACCTTGGCTTTGTGAATCAGGTCATTTTTGATCTTTTGGGCTATTGTTTATCATTTGATTAGTCTCGTCCAAGGCATGGCTTTCGGGCATGGCTTTCGGGCATGCTCACTCTTGCGACGATATGTGCCATCTGGGAGGTTTGCGGGTCCAACACTAAAACCCTTGCGCTTCTTGATCGCGGGATCGCCCTTGGATGCTGGAGTAGCATCGCCATCGTGGGTACGTTTCGGTGCCATATTGATATTCAAACAAAACCAATGTGTTTTGTCCTGACGTGTGTTGAAATCGGAAGACTTTCGGAGAAGAAAAAAAAAGTGGCGATCTCCGCACGGAACATCGGTCTCGGCCACTAGCAGCTAAGTATGAACTTCTGGACAATATACAACGATTTTTTCTCTTGATTTTGATACTAAAAGATCGAGATTATAGATAATAATCATTGACAACATCACTGACAATATCGTTGACAATATCATCTATAATGTCTACAATAAATGGGACATTATCACTGATTCTATTGTCATTCTAGCTGGTCTGCACATTATGTGCCTTATTTTCACTATTTCTCCCCAACATCTCTCACGTTTCAGGCATCGAGCCTTGATATCATTGTTGAGACCCAAAGAATATAAATATAGAACATACAATATCTCCCTGGAGGGCTCTCTACCCAATCACTGCAACACAACGTCACTGGACCATCACATGACGTTCTCAGTCCGGCTCTCCGAGATCGACGGGTGTCCACCCTCATTCAACGACACAATGCAAACGACCTGCTCAATACTTTCTTCCCCTATTCAACATTTTGAGGCACAAACTGGGCATTCATACTTTGAGACAGCAGAAAAAAGCCAGGCCCATGGCGTGAACGTATTCTCTTCTATATAACCGCTATCTTCACCAATCAGTAAATCACTACGGCATATACCCGAATCATCCTGGTACACCGCATCCAACTTGGAACCCCCCACCACGGCACAGCTTGGGCTCTAGTTTCAAAAGGTGCTACGTCGGTGGTCTCCTGAAATGTCACCTTTAGCGTTTCAGGCCTTATAGTCTGCCCTTATCACGCCACCATGCCCCTATTTCGAGATCCGGATCGGAGACGTCATTATCTATGGTCACCCGACCATGGCAATCGTGAACAGCCGACCACGGGGTCCTCGCAGCCCCAGCTAAATGATTTCAACCGCCGTGAAATAGCTGCTCCAGAAATGGCATCCACCTCTATGCATTCAACGGCCTTGAGTCCGCCCAGGTCGTGGGCGAATGATCGGGAGGAGCTCATACACCGTATCAAAGAATCTTCGCCCTGGAGACTTCAACATACGGTATGTGGAATCTCTTTGTGGATATGCAAGCAGAGATTGCCCTTTCCTTTATTTCCGTTTTGTTCTCCTTGTCGTTTCTTTCATAGCATAGTCCAGCACATTTTGGGTATACATACGCTAACATGACAATAGTCCCAGGATAGGGACAATGATTTATTTATCTCTCGAAGTTCACGGGAGCAGTCACAAACAGCAACAAGAGAGCATGAAGACCGCTCTCTTGACCAAGAACATCACATCAAACCAACAGAGGAACTGGGATCGCCGGCCGATATCCAGAGACCTCGATCCGCATTACATTCAGGCGATTTCAGGGAAGGCTCCACAGATCCCCATGACTCACACGCTCCTGGATCTCCTTTTCCTAAGCCGACTTCGGCTTCTCCTTTTGCTCATTTAAGCTCCTCTCCCACTACTCCCTGGTTCGGAGCACCGACCTTGCCACCCGATTTGCGGAAGACAAGCACATCGAATGAACATCATCAGTCCGATGATATTGTGAATGCTCGTGCTCGTGCACCGTCAGTGGGCTCATTCTCATCAAGTTATGTTCTAAAAGCTCCTACCAGCCCCCTGGTATACCAAGCAAATAATACCGACTTGGACTTTTCGTCCCGTGTTGACCATGTGGACGTTTCGGGGCCTTTGGAGATAAAAAACCGTCGCCGTACTTTGCCACCAGAGACCTTTGGGAATCTCCAACTCTCCCTGCCGAACAATCAAATTCCCAACCTTGGCAGTCCATCTCCACCCAGACGGCAGCAAGATATCTTCACCAATCAAGCATCTTTGCCTCGCCGCTCATTGACTTCGGCATATAGTCTTCAACTCGCACCGTCCCCCGGGGGCCAGATCCCACCATCACGAGTAAGAAGGCCGTCTTTTGTCTCTGACATCTCGTCAAACCCCCACGCACCAATGGTGGGGTCTTACGAGGAGTCAATATTGCGCGGAAGAATGTCAATGAATCCTTCCAAGCCACTGGATTTCACGGCTCAGATCGGTGTTCTGGGAAAGGGACAATGCAAAGGTCATCTCAAATGTCCGCCACATGTTACAGTACCATTTCCAGTTGTTTTTTACAGCTATCCGACCTCGGGGTTCGGCCGCTCAATCTCAGACGATAATCCGAGTCCCTATGTTGGACAGATTGACCTGGAAAATTCCCTCCCAAAAGAGAATCCCAATCCGACTCGACGTCGCAGGCGACAAGCAAGTCCCAAGGGACCCCTTGGAGGCACTCCCACCACAGGTGGAGCAAATGAGACTCCTACGTATTGTGTTGAATCACGACGCCGCCGGGAAAAGAAGAATCGCAGGTCAGAATCGCCTAAATGTCCCCCAGGGGGCTCTTACCGGATTCCGCAACAAGGTCAACTGCAAATCATAATCAAGAACCCGCACAAGACTGCGGTCAAGCTTTTCCTAGTTCCATATGACCTCGGCGATATGGAACCTTGCACAAAGACCTTCATTCGGCAACGCAGCTATTCGGCAGGTCCGATCATCGATATGCCGCTCAGTGCACGCAAGAATTTTGGGACCGATCGCCCTGAAGCTTCCTTGAATCCCACAGAAGACCCTCAGGACAAACCTACTTTGCGATACCTCATTCATCTGAACATCTGCTGTCCCGCGCGCGGTCGCTTTTACCTACATTCGACTATTCGGGTGGTGTTTGCAAACCGTGTCCCGGACGGCAAGGAGAAACTACGGAATGAGATCCAAAATCCCGAGCCTAGGTACACTCCGTACAAGCCCTCCCGAGAGTCTTCCATCTCGAGTACTGCAAGCGCAAATACACGCCTGGGAGTTGAACAAACTTCCCGCAGACGGAGTGTGGGCCAGGGAGCGATCCCTCACATTCACCCACATGTGTCATCCCCCAGCGAGTTCCCCTCGCATGTTACGGGTGGCCCTGGAAATACTCCTCCCTCGCATAGTGTGTCTCGGTACAACGAGCTCACCAGGGGTGCCGACGATTACGGACGTAATGCTCGTATCTCGAATCTAAGCGGCCCAGAAGCCAACGAGAGCCTGCTTGCCAAGCGACTCCGAGGTCTCGATGTGCACAGGCCTGAATCCACAGTAGATGAACGACATCCACGCAAATTGGGCTTCTATGATCGACCATCTCCCACCCACAACCACCGTCCTCGCTGAGCTGAACGGACCCACCGCAATATACTCCAAGAACCTCTACCTCGTTATTCAGTAAAACAATAACACCACCTATCTCCCACGTATATCTTGACCCTGACTTGACATATAACCTCATTTCCTGTCTACGCCACCCTCGAAGAACAGCACAGAACAGCATGACAATAGGCGCAACTGGTTTGCAGCCGATCCCCTCTTTTTACTAACCCACATAATAGCGTCGAGTATTTTTATTCATCCTGGTTCACGCCCAAGCGATGTGTGTATTTCTCTTCTTTATTGGACGTCCAGTTGATCTGCTTTCATTGCCTGTGCTTTGTGGATATATTGGGGAGCCCAGGCGCATGGGTCGTTGATTATACCCCATTTCTATATTTCTTTTTGGTATCTTCTTCTTCTCTCCGTGTGGTTTTGCTGTTTACACTAAGTTTATCTGTTAGTTAGGCTAACTTGGTGAATTGGGAATTGGTTACATATATTTCACTGCGTGAACTACGTTGCTGCACGTTTTTAACTTTCGTGTCTGCCAACAACGTAAATTTACAGTAGATATATAGTTATTTAGGAGTTTTCACATTCGAGAATGTTGATTTATAGAAAGACATAGGGTAAGATTTTGGGAAATGTGTAAGAATAGGCGAGTTTGAGTTCCTGCAATTTATATCTACAGAGTGCTAGATACAGCAACTAAATTATCCAAAATAACAAGGGCCAAGCGACCCAGGAAGAAGACTATGTGATCTCGACCTGGCCGACATGATGTATTACAATTCCAAGGTTCGAGTCCATGAAAATGAGAATTTCTAGTCCTCTTCAACCAACGAGCCTAGCTTAACCAGCATGCTCCACAATCTCGCTCACAAGCATGCCGTTCTTGACGTAGCTCTTGAACTGCTCGGGCAGAGGGCACTCCTTGGTATCTTCATCGGTGCCCTCCGGTGGCGGAAGGTTGATGTTAATAGCGGAGGACTTGCTAGTAAAGATCTCAGTATTGAGACTCTGCTGGCCAAGGTAAACGGTAGCACCATCAACCTGATCCATCAACAGAGTGGGAACCGTGCCGTCGATCTGCACAGCGAACTTGGGGCACTTGATGATGTCAAGACTGCTGACGAGAGAGTCGACAATGAGGGAGAGACCAACGCAGTTGTCGATGGCAATGGCATTGGCCTTGTTGGAGACCTTGATGATGGTTTTGTTGCAGCGGCTGATGAGGATGGACTGGTTCTGCTGCGCGGGGATCTCGATGATCTCGCCAGGGGCATCAAAGTTCTCTATGAGCCATTTGCTGCCCTCGAGTTCCTTGCGGGGCGGCTTGCGCGCGCGCATGTTTTCGGGTTTGGGCTTTTTGCTAGGTGCTGGCGACTTGCCCCGCACGGCGCTGGAGCCCTCGGACACCGGGACGATTGATCCGGCACGCAGGTTGGGGTTCTTGTGTGTCATCTCCGATTTGTCGACCTTGCGGAGGCTGGAGGTGATACCCTCGCCCTGGTTGAGCTGGTTGAAGACAGCGCCCATGTCTGCTGCTGGTGCTGCAGGGGCTGGGGCCGGGGGAATACCAGGAGGCGGAGGTGGGGGAGGAGCACCACCACCAGGGACGTTGAGGGCTGGGACAGGGGGGAGGAGGAGGGGGAGGGGGAGGGGTACCACCGCTGACCGAAGCAGGTCCGCCCTTGGCCTGCTTCAAAGCTTCCAAGGCATCGATGCCAGACTCATTGTTCCATGTCAGACCCTGGGGGAAGTGTTTCTTGAGGTACTCCGCAAGAGCCTTGAAGTTTTGATAGTAGGCTTTGATGTATTCGACATGCGCTTTGTCCCTGTCAAGCTGTCAATACGGGGTTCCTTTCAAAACGTCATTAACAGGAGTGCTCACTTGTCCTTGTACTCTTTCAGCACCTTATTTCCGTAGTATTCAATGCCACCGATCATTTCTGTGACAAACTCCGCGGGCTTGCTTTCAAAAAACCAAGCGAGCGCGACAATACCCTCCGCAACAGCGCTCAGGTGGTTGAATAGCGGCGATGCTCTGTTTGATTCGCGAATGTTGTTAATGCTATCGGATGCTTTGTGCAGATCCGTCATTAACTCCGGGGGCTGGGTATTAGGCTTCTTGGCCTTTGTCACAACGAAAAGATAGGTGCGTTCGGCTTGGAAAGCTTGAAGGACGGCTTTGGACTATAGATCCAGTCAGCAACTACTCGCGGCAGACTAAGTTCCCAGAATTCCTCAAAAACATACCTGCTCAGCAACCAGACCGCCAATTTTCTCTCCCAGGTTGACAAAGTTCTGAACATCTCCCTTGATCAACGCATCGAAATCCTTAATCTGCGGCGGAACCGGGGCGGCCACAGGGGCTGCAGGCAAACGAGGGGAAGGCGTAGTAGAGGGTTGTGAAACAGCGGGCAGGGAAGAAGGAGTGCCGATCAAGGACTTTGGCACGCTAGAGTCATCGTATGACATCGCCATATCCTCCAAGCGTGAGGTCGCTGCCTCGAGCCTGTAGATAAGTCCAATGTCAGTCAAGGGTGCCGGATGTAGGTGTCAAACAGCTTAGCGAGGATTAAATCCAAAAGCAAAATGTCATAGGTCAGACACTGCTAGCACCATGGATACATACCGCTTGATGAGGGTGGTGAAATTATGCATATGGCCGCCGGACGCCATGATAGGCAACACGTTGCTCCAACGGTGGAAGCGGAAAGGTAAAGGGGGTGTTTTGAGTAGGTTGAAATCGAGGGATTGTCGAAAAGCAAAATCCCCTTCTATTTGGTAAGATTTAGGCACTCGAGTTCCGCAAATAATGGGATGATAGGGAGTGGAAAGAAGACAAAGACCGGAGCTCCTGAGGTCCGCTGCAGATGACAGCTCTAGACGTGGTATGGTACGTTACAGCTGGATCCGCAGGTGGAAATGACGTTGCGGGGTATATTTGGTAATTATATTACCACCATCCGATCCACCGTAATGCGATAGTCGAAACTCCCAACACTTCATTGTTCGGTTGTTCTTTGTCCCTCTGAACAACCATCTTCTTTGTGATATCTATACATAGCCTTGCTGCAAATATGGTGGCCCAAGATGAGTCCATTGAGGTCGAGTTTTGCACCTTGGGAATGTTCATAATTGGTATGGTTCACTTCGTCCCTCAAAGTGGGGTGTAGACTCACATTGATATCCAGATGATATTGATTTCGGTGGTTCAAGACCCGGTGTGAAGAATATTCTCGGCGGCGCAGCGTCCTTTGCAGTCGTGGGCGCCCGCTTGGTCTCAGGCTCAAAGTATGCACGATCTGTGAGCTGGATCGTGGATGTTGGCTCCGATTTCCCTGCTGAGACGCTTGATGTAATCAAATCATGGAACACAGCCTGTGTTTTTAGAGAGGACTCTAGCAGGCTAACAACGAGAGCCTGGAATGGGTACCATCCTGACGAGAAACGAGGTATGTTTCCCGTGATACATATCCTTTAAAGGAACGCAAGCGGTGACTAACTGGGTAGACTTCAAATACTTGACTCCGAAATTAAGACTCGAGCCTGAAATGTTGTCAGATTCACAGGTGTGGTCTAAGACATTCCATATGGTCTGTTCTGCATCCCGTTGTATGTCTATAGTGCAAAATATCCTGCAGCGACGGAATGAATTGCAAAAGGCAGGGAAAGCGCCGTCCGCCGCTCATGCTTCCAAGCGCCCTATCTTCGTCTGGGAGCCAGTCCCTGATCTCTGCACTCCGGAAGAGCAGGAGAAGTTCTTCGCCGCAAATAAAGTCGTGGATGTGGTGAGTCCTAACCACATGGAGCTCGGCATGATGTTCGAACATCCTGGTTGGACTGAGAAGAGCCAAGTAGGCCAGCAGCTAGTCCAAAGGATTACAGACTCTGGTATTGGTCCCGATGGAAATGGCATGCTAGTTATCAGGGCAGGAAAGGATGGTAGCTACGCCTACTCGAAGTCTGGCAAGATTTGGCTCCCTGCATATCATCAACCTGATGCCTCAGGTACTACACCTGTGATCGACCCCACGGGTGCGGGCAACTCTTTCCTTGGTGCTCTAGCCCAGGGCATGGTGACAGCAGGCCGAGAGCCATTCCAGGCCATTGCCTCTGTTCTATCAAACTCCGAGACTTGGAACAAGTCTTGGGGTAATTTCCAACATTATCTTATGGCGCTCATTTGCGCAACCGTCGCAGCTGGCTTTGTGGTCGAGCAAATCGGTGTGCCTCAGATCGATATTAATGGAAACGGAAAGGAATTGTGGAATCAGACTGAATTCACGGAACGTGTCCGCCTGTACACGCAGCGATTATTGAGGACACTTGAAGAGTCTCCTCAGAGACATCTATTGGTCAATTGACCAATGGCCGAATGAGGAACGCCCTTTTATTGTCGTACAGCACACAAGTGATCAAATAGTAGAAAAACAAAAAGAAAAGGTTCCGTCCTGCTGAAAATCCGCCTACAACTGTCGTCCAGTATGCTGGGCCTTCTTCATGAGTCGTTCTTCGCGGCTTGTTGCTGCTCGTGTTCCCGGATTTGCTTGCTCCAGCTATATATGAAGAAACGTAAAGGTCAGCATAAGGTATACCGAGTGACATGGGGTTCGGGTAACGGACTATCGGCTGGGGAAGAAACGGCCGGGCTCGGGCATCTTGTCGCGATATTCCCGATCAGCGCTGATGCTGAAGGCGACAGCAGCGACACCAATCACAAAGGCGCCCATGATCGCAGTGTTGGCCCTCCAGTTAGCTGGCTGGGCGTACCAACCACCAGCGGGGGACCAAACTTCCTTGGGGTACCTGCCAGATCGAATCCATTAGCTCCTGGTGGGGTTAGGAAAAGAACGAGCACATACGGGATCTTTCCACCTCCACCCATTGTGACGAAGATGCAATTGAAGGGTTTGTTAGAAAAATAAAGCGAGCGTAGGCCTGGTAGTTCTCGAAGGTGGAAGCCGAAAGGGCCGTCTCGGTCGCAGGTCTGATGCCAAGGCGCTAGGGCTACATTGGGTTTAGCGCAACCTCACACGACTTGGCCATCCCGTGACTGCCGCGACAATTTCTCTTCTCTCTCGTTGATGGTATGCCAATTGATTGCGTCGCGATTCTCCCTCCCGCCCATTGTATAATCTTTTTACGGCCCTCAGAATACCACAATCGCCCAAATGAAGAGACTGCAACTCCAAAGATGGAGCAGTTCAGTTCTTTCGCCGCGGGCTCGGACTGTTAACCGTTTGCATCAACACATCTACGGGCAACGGTATCAATCGACCGCTTCCCCGGTCCTAACCCGTGATGATCAGACCACAGCGATTTTCGAGGAATCAGCACCTTTGGATGATCAATTGGCTCAAATTGTCAAGGACTCCCACACCCGCCACTCGCAGCTCCAATATCCCTCTCCCCCAGTCGAAGCAGCTCGACAATCTGCAAAACTTGCCGCTCTCCACGCTCGACTCTACCTACCCTCCAGATTACCCATCGAGACACTTGCACGGACACTAGTCGATGCATCAGCAGACCCGAACCCGAACTTCAACAATGCCTCGCTGGCCACTCTCGGTCACGACCTCCTTTCCTACTACGCAACCGAGCACCTTATTTGCACATACCCTCGCCTGCCCCTGACCGTGATCTTTGCCGCCATGTATGCATACGCTGGGCCTAAGACTCTTGCCGCGATGGCAAGAGAATGGGGTGTGGACTTGGCCGCGTTGCCCGGTGGAGAGGTCGATCCCGGTCTATTGCAGTTCCAGAGGCTCGAGCCTGGCACTGAGCTTCCCTCGGGCCCGACCCACCCCACAGCACGCCCATATGAAGCACAGAAGAACTGGAGGAAAACGGTCACTTCTAAGATTTTCTATGATGATGAATTTGGTGACCCACTCAAGGGGATCAAGCAATCTGCCGCAGGTGTCACCACCGAGCAAGCGAGCGCTGAGTTCGTCCGGGCTGTTATGGGTGCCATCTACCTCCACGCTGGCCGCGCCGCTGCCAAGCGATTCTTCGAGCAACACTTCCTTTCACGACACCTCAACATCTCAGAATTGTTCAACTTCCAGGCACCAGCCCGTGACTTGACCCGGTTGTGCGCTCGCGAGAGCTTCGAGCGTCCAGTCGCTAAGGTCATCAGCGAGACTGGTCGTAAGAGCAGACACCCCGTCTTTGTGGTTGGTATCTTCTCTGGCCAGGACAAGCTTGGGGAGGGCGCTGGCGCCAGTCTGATGGAGGGCCGCGAGCGTGCTGCTGTTGCCGCGCTTAAGGGTTGGTACCTCTACAGCCCGCTTTCTGTGCGCGTTCCCAGTGCGATGGAGGAGCCATCGGCTGTACCGTGGAAGCCGGTCCACGTTGACCTGGGCGAGGTCATTGTTTAAGGTATTTGGTGCAATGGGATGCCTTGGTTCAAGGCACGGTAACATATTATTTCATGTCCCTTTTTTTGTCATCTCGCTTTTCTTTTTCCGGTGTGCTATTATTTCGCATGTGAAGCTGGCCGGCGGTAAAAAGAGTCATCTATCCTGTCTCCTGCATGACTGGATCCTGTACATTATGGGAACTCCAATCCCTTCGATTCACCTGGTGTCTTTTTCTTCGAAATTTCCCTTATTGTTTTCTTTACCTCTGTTTTACTCTCCTCCAGTTAGACATCTGGCAACACTAGGCATGTCATGGCCTTCGTTTTGGCCCTGCCATCCAAATATGGAACTGCTCTCAGACATCTATCGAATGCATACAAAATCAATGTTAATGAAAGTTTTCCTGTCTTTTGATCCTGCTAGTTGTATATCTCTAGTTGACCACCAAATGGACCTACCGATGTCTATTCATCTGGACTTTACATCCATCCCATCACTCCGGGTTAAGAATCTCATCCTCCCAGTTTCCACTATTCCTCCTGACACCCGCCTTTGTAGGATCATCCAAATATTGCCCATACTCTTCCCACAAATCCACAACCCCAATCCCGAAAAGACCCTTCCAGAACCCGATACCCTGTTCACCCACATCCTTCCCCTCCCCTTCACCAACATACCCAATTCTCAAAAGCCGATCATTCAACATCCCCACAGCGCCCCTCCCAACCCTAACATCCTCAAGCCACGCCAGAAAATATGCCGTATGCTGATACCCCATATCCCACTTCGGCGGCCGCTCCGCAGCAGACAGAGGACGTTTCCAGTGCGGCGGCTCCAAACCAGCCTTGAGCCGCACGAAGTCAGCAATACCCTCGATTAGTCCGCCTGGCGGACGGGGGATGTCCCCGTTACTGTTTTCGTGGGAGCTAGGCGGCGCGGTGTGCTGATAGCAATGCACGAGCTCGTGGGTCAAGACCCCGACCAGTTCGTGGAGCGGGTCATCTTTCGCAGATGGACCGGATGTACAGTGCTGGATGTATGGGAGCGAGACGTGGATTTCCTTGTGTGCATCGTCGAGCTCTGTGCCTGTTGTGTAGGCTACGCCGCTGTAATCGCGCAGGAAGACTGTTACGGATCTTGTTGGCGGGATGCTGGGTGTGAAGGAGGGTTGGTGGTGGTTCTCGGACTTTGGGGGTGAAGTATATAGGTATTTGATGATGTTTGCTAGGGCTGTGTCGAGGGTTGATGCGATGTCTGGGATCAAGGCGAGGAAGGCGCTTGAGGCTGGATGGCGTAGGTCTTCCACGTGAAGGCGGAGCTTTGGTTGGTGGATTTGTGAGGTGAGACTGGCTGCTAATGTTGTTTGCTGTTCTTTTTTGCTGTTCGAGGTCTGTGGCTCTTGTTCTTGGGTGTTGGCTTTGGGGATTGCGGAGGCATGAGGTGCGGGGGCGGAGCTCGTCATAGTGTATTTGGTTTGATTGACAGTTGATTGGGGAGGGGTCTTTCGTTAGGGCTTCCAAGGTTGGTCTTCAACTCTCTGTATCTGTCTGAGGTGTATGAAGAGCTAGGTTCGCTGAGGGCGGGGTTCCAAGAGCCAACGTACGTTATGCTGAGTAGAAGTATTCGCCCTAGGGCCTAAAACGAGCTATGAATTCCTGCCTATACCTATATCGCATATATAAACCACCTAAAACCCCATAAACGCTTCCATCTACAGAGATAGGCTTGAAGGCTCCAGTCTACTTTGTAGTGCCCTCAAATACACACCTTGTCGGCGCCGGTGATCCTAACAGGCGCCATGCTCCACTTTGGCGATCTCGTGGGGTGCTAGGACGCTTTGATTCACATTGATTGGAGTGAAAGGAATGTATGGAGTAAGATGCAATCGATTGCATGTCAATTGAGCCTCATATTGATCTTTAATGTGTGTTAATTAGACCATGCAGTGAGCAGCTTGTAGTTGTTTACTATGGCTTTATTTACTATTTTGATATCTTGTTTTCTAAACATAATAGGTAAGATACTGATTTTCAATGTATTTCTCCTCAGCAAATATTGAATACTATTCTGATTTTTTTTCTTTCTTTCTTTTTTTTTTTCTAATCTAATTATTGACATTGAGATGTTGTAAACATGACGCTGTTGGTTGCCCATTGCGACGAGTGATCCCAAGTTAATAAACAAACCACACTGTTGGGCTCTTAATATCCTTCGGGCACAACCTCACCATGCAAGACAGGAGTAGACAGGAGTAGACAGGTATGAACCTCGGTACATCTTTAGGAAACAGCAACTTACAATAAAACAAGGACCTAAGGACATTCACCCCCTTTTAAAATAATAATATCCCTCTACATCCCTCGCGCTTATCGTCACGCGCTTATCGCCCCTTGTTTTCGCTCCGTCCGCTTTTCAACATCCCACCATATCGAGGTCAACTTTGCGCTCTTTCTCATATTTGTCTTCGTCGCTATCTCATCGGATTCTGTACGTTGTTATCCTCTCCGCTCCGCTCCGAACCCTTCACGATGCTCCTCGCCATTCCTCTATTCCTGATATCCGTGTGGGCTCCCTTTTGCGACGATCCCATCCTATAACCATCTGATGCTCTCACTGCCTACACGCGTCCTGCTATCTATTCTTTATAGCAATCGCAATCGCTCTACTTTTTCTCGCTATTACTCTCTTGCGCTGGTAGAATATGCTGCTAACTTTCATCATGACTAGTGACAAATCGAAATCCGAGTCTGTTCTCCTATCCGTTATTGGCCTTGTCGCATTTTGATTCGCCTGGATCGTCCATTACATACACTTCCATTATTCTGTCCATTCCCTTCGGTGTCTGACCCGAGTTGAGATCGCTCTCTCGGTGTTGACAATGGAGGCGAAGGCAGCAGAACTACTGGCGGCCTTCAAGAACCCCAACCTGTCTGTCGATTCAAAGATCGCCTACCTTTCTAGTGTCAAGTCCGATATTAAACAGAAAAATGTTCCAGAGGGAGCGATTCGCGCCATTTTCGAAACATTGCGCCTCGCCGTCGGCTCCCAACACTATTCTGTTCTCGGGGCGGGGTTCTCCACACTTGGCCACTTATTGAAGCGCCTTGCAATACAAGACCAGGAGCAATGGATTGTTCACCAGGCCCAGAGCTTGTATCCTATTCTTCTAGAGCGCCTCAATGACCCGAAAGAACGTATAAGAGCCCAGGCTGCATCAATATTCACGGAACTGTGGCCATTTGCTGGTAACGAAGTTGAATATCATGTTCTGGAAGTTGCCTTGGTTGGGAAAAATCATCGGGCGAAAGAAATGAGCATGCTCTGGTTGGCAAATGTAGGCTTATGCACCCTGCAAGGCTTGTCTCAGCTACTAATCTCGACCTGCAGATGACGAAGCACCATGGTTTGTTGTTCCGTCAATATGTCCCTTCCCTGGTTTCGTGCTTGGAGGACGCCGATAGCGCCGTTCGAGATACGGCTAAGTTGGTCGTGATTGATCTGTTCCGGTAAGTGGAGCTATCCCTCTAACCATTATATTCATTGAATGCCCCTAACCAAACTCAGAAACGGCCCCGCAAGAGCGAAGTCTGACCTGCAAAAACAAATGGCGGCACGTGGTGTGAGGAAATCTATCGCGAATGCTATCCTTTCGGGCATTGGTTTAGGGTCCATTGAACCCGAGACTGCATCCTCTACGCGTCCAATCTCTCGGGCTGAACGCTCAATTTCGGTGATGTCGTCACGTTCACACGCTATGGAACAGACTGATGACGGTTAGTACTTCTATTTATACATTCGGAGATTTGCGCTGGTTGTACTAACTTGATTGCAGAGATGGAGCCTGTAAAAAGCCGCCCAGCTTCTAGAGCTCATCGTGAGCGACCGACAGCCTCCTCCGCGCCTACAGAGCCACCAATTGTCAACCGACCACGCACACCGGCCCCGGCACCAGCACCCCAGCAACCGTTGCCAGACGATGATGGTCTGGAACCGTTCGATGTTGCATCGGCGAGGGATGTCGATGATCTTGTGCGCGATATGCTGCCTTGGTTCGAAGGAAAAGAATCCGAGGACAATTGGTCAAAGCGTGAAAAGAATGTGATTCTTTTCCGTAGACTGACTCGAGGAAATGCGCCACACGACTTCTCGCAGACCTATATCAATGCAGTAAAGACACTCCTTGACGGTATCTTAAAGGTTGTCAACTCTCTACGAACCACAATGTCTAGCAACGGCAGCCTTTTGATCCAAGATATTGCCCGAACATGTGGCCCTAGAATTGACCCAATGGTCGAGATTATCATGCAAAACCTGTTGAAACTTTGCTCGGCGTTGAAAAAGATTGCCGCTCAGAACGGAAATGCCACTGTCGAAGTTGTCATTCAAAATGTTTCATTTAGCATTCGCCTCCTGCAGCATGTCTCTTTCGCAACCCAGGATAAAAATGTTGGAGTGCGTCTGTTCGCTACAGGATGGCTAAAAGCTTTGATCATCCGCCAGGCTCATCATAAAAGCACAGTTGAACATGGTGGTGGCCTTGATCTTATCGAGAAGTCAATTACCAAAGGGTTGGGAGATGCGAACCCGGGTGTGCGTGAAGCAACCCGGAGCACCTTCTGGACGTTCTACGGTGTGTGGCCGGAGCGAGCCAATGTGATAGCGGACACCCTCGACCCCAAGTCGCGGAACTTGCTGGAAAAGGATTCATCGAACCCCAACCCATCTTCAAAAGGTGCACCTGCATTGCCTGCAAAGAGCCCCGCCAAGAGTCGCTCCGCTTTACAAGAAGCTATTGCTGCTCGAAAAAAGGCCCAGGTGCCTTCTCGACCCGAGTCGGCTCAGCCAACATTTGCCGAGGCGAAGCCACCTGCTCCTGCCTCCAAGTCCACTCGGAGTGTACCAACTGGGGCCCCTCTCTCGTCTCTATCTTCTGCACCTATGAGACCCGCCATGAAGCCTCGACGGGCAGAACTTAGTCGTCCTGCAACCGCAGACCCCTATGCTCGTCGCCCTGAGTCACGAGCCCAGTCTAGTAGTACCCAATCTACCCGACAAGCGACCACTTCCCCCAGGGCTGTAAGATCCAAACCATCAACACCTACATCAAAGGCCCCACTAACGGCGCCTCGCACTCGCCCACATGAATCGGCACAAGCTGCTTCAACGAAGGGCAGGCCGAAGAAACTCGATTTGTCCAAGTCCAAGTCTCATAGCGATCTTATGGCCGCGAGCCGTGCTCGCAGTGACTCGAACGAAAGCCTGACCAATCAGCCATCTGCAAGAACCCCCCGTCACGGAAATTACCTCAGTGCTTCTGAGGACCAACATTCCCCGGCATCTGTCGTGTTGGAAAGTCCTCCGCTTCACGCATCACAGCCTCTTCTGTACTCAGCACCGCATGGCCCTCACGCTGACTCGGTTCCTATTGAAGAACCAGAACCAATGGTACTGGAGGAACCTGTTGTTGCCGCACCTCCACCTTATATCCCCGAACCAGATGTTGCAGTGTCTCCCGCGCCCGTGTCTCCTGCTCGCCAGCATTCAGATCTGGACTTCGGTTCTGGTCCTGTATCTGCGGTCAAAACCCAGCCTGAGTCAATGGTGATTTACGAAGATCCTACCACGCCCATAGCAGACAAAAATGAGACTGCTGAGTACGCCGCCTCGGTGGGAAATCTTTCCCCTTCAAAGTCGTCCCCCAGCCGCCCTGATCAGCCCGAACATGGTGAAGCAGAGGCTCAACCTATCTCCGAGGATATCTCAGCCTCAGTGGTCGCTTCGGCTAGGAAGCCTACACCTGATTTGGCTCCTACGCCAGAATCTGGTTTGAACTTTGAAGTTCGAACTCCATCTCCAACACGCCGGGCACCGCTTCAACCAAGCCCGTCACCAACGAGGGGCCGTGTCCAGCCACCGGCCTTTAATATTAAGGATATTGAAGCCGTGATTCCCCAAGAGCATCATGCGGGAACGAACGTGACCCATGGCAACAACGAGAATGCGACTCCACACCTGGCCCTGGCCAAGACCGTAGACTTGCCCGCGGTCCCGCGGTCTGCTGCTAAGCCGAGTGCTCTCGAAGAAGTGACGGCAAACGAACCCACACCGCGTTCGCCAGAAGCGAGACAGAGGACATTTGAGTCGATACCTCCATCACTCTCCCAGTCGACGTTGTCCCAATCAACCATGTCTGACGATTCCACACGACGCACTCGCAAGTGGGTTGATCGTCACCGCAGCCCTAGCCCGCGTTCGAAGGACCCGGTTAATGCTAAGGAAATGATTCATAAAGGCCTAGCTCGTATTCTCTCCAGAACCATGGAGCCCTCGGGATATCGGAAGCTACAGGGACTTATCCAATACCACGGCGACGAGATTGTGTCCCAAAGCCAGGACTACAATGCGTTGCTGGAAGCTCTATTTGCGGAACTGGAAGCAACCCCTTCCAACCGCAAGGATCATGATGTGAAGACCCAGGTTCTGGCCACCATCCGTTCCATGCTCCTACGGACCCGCGAGCATTTCCATCCCTATGACACTCGTGCCATGGCAGCTATTATCCGGGCCCGCCGCCACTACGAGTCCACTTCCCACTTTGTCACTTGCCTAGAGGAAGTGGTAGACAAACTGGTATTCTTGACCCTGCCCCAGACGGCAATTGTCGGTGTTCTGCAGGGACTGGACCTCGGAGCGGACGCAGAGAATGATGAGACGTACCGGTCCACCATCATGGGCCTGAGTACTATCCAACAGTCGCTATCGCGTCCCGGCGTTGATATCGACGACGAGCTTCTGGCTCGCATCGGCGTTGTGGTAATGCAACAGCTCGGGCACCCGCGCCCCGGTGTCAGGAAGAATGCCACTGAGCTCTGCACCTTCTTGAACATCACCTTTGGATCCGAGCGAGTGCAAAAAGTCACCCAGCCTCCTCGTGAAGGATCCCTTAACCTTCTGACCTACTTCATGGCCCGACGGACTCAGTAATTGTTTCTTTATTGGCTCAGGATTACATGCGTATGTGTTTAATAACCCCCGGTAGCGTGGCGCGTGTCAGGCCGTGGAATTTCCGGTATACATAAGTTCTTGTTCCATATTTATTTTGAAAACTCATGCTTGTATGTCTATTTTCTTTCCAGCGTATAAGCCCTCTCGATATTCTCGGCAGCTGTTGGGCCGCCACTCAGCACCACTGACGCTAAAGGGACACCAATTACCGTCGAGGCAGTCCATGGTATCCGAGCTGTATTGGCGTTGTCACTGGGAAGCAGTCATATGCGGTCTACGAACGTGCACTGAAGGCTCCATAACCGTGGCAAGCCCACCAACACTTACTGTGAGAGTGTGGAATCGATTGCTTTCGGGAATGTCTTGCAATGGCCTTTAGCATTAGCAACATTGTCTACGATCTAGCCTACTGATGGTGTACTCGGCAGATTGTGGCTGGACTTTACACCTAGAAACACTTCTTCATTGTGCTACCTGCACTTCTGTCCAGTACGTAGTCCTGTGGATAGATGTTCCCTCTCGCCCCCGATGACCACAATTCCATGAGGTCGGTTGAAGGGTTCAATCCGATGATACTTTTGTTGCGAACATGAGCAGGGCCGTCGTTATCCAACCACGGCTCAATGGGGTCGACGTTTGCCGTTTGAAATAGAAATAACCTGGGCTTGGAGACGCTGTGTCTTGAGGTGTGATGACGTGGGGGTCAATGTTGTTTTCGTACTGCACGTTCTTGGCGTCATTGTAGTCGAAATCGTACTCATGCTTGGTGAAGAATCCGCGTGGGATCCTGTCGATCTTGCCAGGGTGCTTTTGGTGTTGGCTTGGATATCTCCAGGTAGAATCGCCAGGTGGTGGTGGGTTTTAGATCTCAGATCTTGCCGCTGATCAGCTTCCTCGATGTATGACTGCCATTGAGCATCATACCAGTCAGAATGACGATGTCTTCAAGTGGAATGCCGAGAGAATTTCATGGATCTTGAATGCGAGATCAAAGGCTGAAACGCAGTGCACTTTCTTGGCGTAAGAGCTTTGCATTTCCCTCTCCTCGCCATGCCTGTGGGCGAAGGATACAACATTGGAATCCATATAGCATCCTTGCTTGTTGTGGTCTGTAAATTACTTTGACTTCTGGTCTGCGTCCGTAAGCTCGGCGAAGTCCCATCTTAGCTGCCGGTGGTAGGAGGTAATGGTTGGCCCTAACTGTTTTGAGTCGCCAAACAGACCGAATGCGACCGGGAACAAGTAGCAGAGCACGGGAAGCAAGTCGGTCTCCCTAATCATCGTTGCCTCATCGCTAGCTACGAATGACGGGTGTAGGTTGTGGTACACAATAGCTTGAGCAAGTGCACTTCCAAGGTTGGAGTTGCCGCGATTTCATGGGCCGAGGAGCGCGTGGTGACTCCGGCTGTAGCTGGTTTAGCCAGGGCAAGAATTGAAGATGATTTGGTATTAGGCTTCTGTGGAGCCATGAGGGTGAGCATAATTTGACGTTTGATCAGATAAAGGTTCACTCGAAGCTGGAGTGGCTCTCAGGTGAAGGGGATTGAATATGTGAAGTGAGGGTGAAGTGAGAAGATGAGGTGTGAAAGGGCAAAGTGTTGAAATGTTTGCTCAGAACTCGACTGTTGACTAGGTATGATCATGTGCATGGATATTAAGTCCGAGGAAGTCACGATATAGGCCATATAATCTTCAACAAAAGCACCTCAATTATTGTCTGATATAACCTATGGACTCGAAGGTTGTAATATCGTGGGTTTCTTTGATCATGTATATTTCCATCTTCTGATTATATTGCTGTAGTAATGACTTGCTTGTCTGATGAATGAAGAGAAGTGGAAAGAGAGAGGACAGTTCTAGTTAAATTCTACAAAAGAACTAGCTATTTATGGCCGAGAGAGAGTAAAATCCCACGAGATTCCGCACACATGTGGAGAATTAGTAGTTCAAATTCCTAGAAAGATATCAGCTAGTACTTCCACACGTCAATATCAGGTGGCCTTTTACGTAGAAGGATATGACAGGGCTGGTATGACACAAGGCACGCAATATGGCATAATCCAATATCAGGAGCCGGATGTTTGCAGTCCTCCTTTATCTTTATTCAAGAATTAAACGTATTTTGAGTCGGTTAAAGCAGAACGAGTATCGAAAACCCGAGAATTTCTATGGTCCCAGACTTAGTCCGTGTCAGAGCCGGCAGTGGTGTCGTCTCTGTTTCTGTAGCATATCCACCTGCACATATCAACCAAGCTAGTATGTAATGAGATATAAAGAGCCTCTTTGTGCCCATATCCCAAGACTCGGTATACTTGGTTGTTATTAACAAAGAGGCAAATGCTTCTTGTACAAAGGAATTGTGCTTTAAAGCCCCGAGTTCGTCTTTGAATATATACAAAGGCGACAAAGGTAATCTTTGAGATCAAATAAAACATTGAGACTTAAGGACAAAATACGTACATAGTCTCTCGTGGCTATATAAAGCGTCCTCTTCGCCTCGAAGACGATACTCATCAACGTCATTTTCGACTATCCAGTTCACCAGCATTCTTCTCATACTGCCCAGCAACTCTTAACAACCAAGCAGTGCCAGACCAGCTTGCAGTCATGAAGTTTCGGAAGTCCGACAAGGCTCCAAAGCAGCCTGAACGCTTTCCACTCGAGGCAGCGGAAGCCTTTGAGCCCGAGGACGATATTATCCGTCAGTCGCACCGTACCGGCTCTCCCCCCGGCACTCTCCTTTGTGTGTTCCCGGACGCTGCACCTGGGACAAGTCTTAACCAGTTCCGTTTCCAGCTCCACCGAGAAAACGGGGTTCAGCCCGGTCTTGTTGGTTACCTCGAGAAGTATGTCAGCGCTACACACTTGGTCTGGAGCATGTGTGCTATTCTTGCAGATAGCAGTATTGATCCTGATTGGAAAGATACATTTGAGATGTGGCGGCCACAGTGGCAACCGTTCGCTAAGAGCTTTGAAATCCACGGAAATACTACGCGCACTTTAGATGTCCCTCCCTCTCCAGTCAGTGTAATGTGGATTCAGGCACCTCACAACCTTGATATGTATAAGCTCTACACTGTTAGCCACAAGGAGAAGAAGCGTGATAAAGAGGCTCTGGAGGACCTTTGGAGGTGGATGCTTAATGTGCCACCCGAAGCGATTGTTCAAGGGGCTTTTATCATTAAGCTTGGGGTCGAGCCTTGGTTCCCTGGCGAGTAGAGATTATACAATGTCTCTAGTAGTACGTATAGGTAGTCACTTAACGCTTTTCTCTTTTCTTTTATATTTTGGTGCGCGATCCAAGAGCTGCTCGGTGGTATTGAAATAGATCAAAAATAAATGTCAATTATGTCCTGATCTGAAATCTGAAATGTATATGTAGGGTTCCTGTAATAGTACAATATAGTAAAGACAGCATAGATAAAAACAAAAAAGATTGGTTATTGTCCGTTTTCAACGCGGATTCTGGTTCCCGATACTCTTATAAACTAATAGCCTAAGATGAGGGGCTTACGGGAGTTCGGACAAGAGACGAGCTCATTTTTTCTGGGCTTCGGGTTTTGGTTTCCAGGTTTGTATTACAGAATTTCGATAAAAGAGCTGTCTATGGGCCCCAGAACATCTAGGCAAATCTCGTCTCTTTCCATTATTAGAACCCAATAGACATTATTTCTTGCAGTCTTCTACTACACAGGACATAGACATCATGTCCAACCTACCCAAGGTTCGTTGGGGTATTATTGGTAAGTCTGAATTAATTCCTGTAGGCCCTCAGTGTTCCAAGATTGATTGTTGATGTGTGGTAAGCTAACCTTCCATAAGCTACCGGCATGATATCCTCATGGTTTGTGGAGGATCTGGTTCTCGACTGGCCGGAAGCCAAAGTAGAACATGTTGTCCAAGCTATTGGCACTTCAAGTGTTGAAAAGGGCCAAGAATTTGCGAGAAGGTACTGCCCGAAACAAAGCCCACGTGTCTATAGCTCCTATAAAGAAGTCTACAACGATGCAGACGTGGACATTGTATATATCGGAACCCCCCACGGGTTTCATTATCGCGATTGCATGGAGGCAATTTCTGCTGGAAAGAATGTCTTGTGCGAGAAATCTTTCACCCTGAATGCCAAACAATCGAGGGAGATATTCAATGCCGCTCGCGAGAAGAATGTATATGTGGCAGAAGCAATGTGGCTCCGACATCGACCGCTTTTCATCGAGCTCCAGCGATTGCTCCACGAAGAGAAGATCATTGGCGATGTCTTCCGGGTGTTCTCGGACTTTGCGTCTGGTGTTGATATTGCCTCACTTCCATCCACATCCCGATACCGCAATATTTCATTGGGAGCGGGGTCATTGCTGGATATTGGGGTGTATTCGCTCACTTGGGCTAGAATGGCGCTGGGTGGAAATGCACCTGATCAGGCAGAGATGGCAGAGATGCCGCGCATTATGGCCGCACAAACCCATGAAGGAGGAGTTGAAGTGACTACTAGTGCAGTTTTGCAGTATCCCTCGACTGGAAAGCAGGGTATTGTCACTTCAACTACCAAAGCCCTCGGTGCTCCTGGTGAAGTTTTTGCTGTTATACACGGGACCAATGGGTACGTTGAGATAGAAGGTAGGACTCCATCTGCGCCGGAATCCTTTACTGTATGGAAGAAGCAGGAAGGAAATCCTGATCGCGCGTTTTTCCCGAGGGAGACGTGTCAAGGAAAGAAATATGAGTTTTCGACCCTGGGGCGTGGCTTTGTTCACGAGGCTGAGCAAACGGCACTGGATATTCTTGAAGGTCAGAAAGAGAGCAGGATTATGCCGTGGGCTGAAACACTGTATATGATGGATATCATGGACGAGATACGGCGACAGGGTAACACAATATATCCCGGAGAGTGATGAGACTCTGGATCTGTCTCTCTGATCAGCTCTGTTCGTTGTTCTTTGTCTTCAAACACACCCAACGGGCTCTAGCGGCAATCTTCTACCACTGACGCAAATCTTTATTGGAATCCATGGTATTGCGCTGTACATAAAGTGATAGGTATATCATATATCATGATATAGATATACTACCCGATAGAAATCTAACCATCACATTACTAATACAAAAGATCGCCTATCCCGTGGAGTATTGCCATAGCTTGCTAGAATATAAGTTGTTAAAACTTACTTCAACGATCAATGTCCACAATAAACGAGACTACCTCCATCTTTTCGCCAAGCTCCTAGCTCTGACAGATCATATGGTTATGAAATTTCGGTTTGGTGACTTTTGAGAACCAGCTTTAGAGCCTTTGACGTTGGATGTTAACGGACTATCTCCATTGAGTCGGCAAGTCTTTGAATAATAGCTTTTGTATTGGGTCCCCGGCAGCTGACCCTGGTATTGAAGGTTCGGTCTTTTCTCTTTCGAGGGCGGGATGTAAACTCTGTACCCTCGTCTACCGTCGGGATTTCAGAAGCAACCGGAAATTGGATTTCGTAGCGAGCTTCTCCCAGGGTGTTGAATGAGAAGCTCTTGAGTATAGGAAACTCGCTGAGCATTCTAATTATCGATTTCCAGCCTGAGCTCTCCAGTGTTACCCAAGCTATGTTGAGGACACGAAGGCTGTCCCGATAGTTGTGTAATAGCTTGCTTAAGCTCGCTTCGTTGATTTTTGAATGCGTCCCCCCTTTCAGCGTGAGTTCCTGCAGCTGAGAAGTCGTGTCAAGGGAGGAAAGGCGTTCAATAAGTCCGCGTGCTGCCCAACCGTGATCGAATACGATTGTCAATTTACGCAGATCAGTTGCATGCCGCACTATTGGGTCAATCCAGTCGGCAATCCCAATTTTTTCCATTGTAAAGTTCAACAGGAGAACTTGCAAATTGGCCCAAACAGCAATAAACTCTGGCTTCCAAAGATCAGGCACATTAAGGCGTCTTAAATCGAGTTCGTTTGCTCCTCCGCGAAGTTCCGGTATGAAATCAACCAGGAATTCTTTGACGGGGATATGAGCCTCGATGATACCATTGAGAATCAGTGTTATGGTATCAGTGGACGTGAAGTGATCGAGACAGGTGTCTTTATCAGACCAGCCCTGCCGAATGAGGTGAAATGACGTGCAGTTCACCAGACCACGCAGAGCCTCAGCCCATTTCTGAACATCTGCGTCCGGTAGTAAATAGCCGGAGGAATGTCGATTCCACGTTAAGCCTTCTCCAAGTTTATCTTCTGGCGTGTCGACATATTTCACGGCCAGGGAACAAACATGCGGTGCTAGCTCTGAATCGTTTGCTATGGCTTCCACCCTTCCAAGGCCTTTGAGGGACAGGTTTGTCTCTATCCTTTCGAAAAATGTACAGCGAAAAATGTACATAGTGTTCTCATAGATGCTCTTACAAGACAACCGAAATGAGCACAGATCTTCTGCCGGTAAGCGAGATGCAATCGCTTGCAGTAATTCGATGGGGAGAACCCCAAAATTCGAATTCGAAGTTAACATGATCTTTTTTTTTCTCAAGGGCCATTCTTTTCTCCGGGACCATTTCTTCCCCAAGGACGAAAACATTATCGACCGAAAATGTTCAATTAAAGCAGGGTAGTTGTTTACATACAAGTTAACCTTCGGAATGGCCGAAACCGAGCCCGTTCAGGAGGCTGTATCAGCTGACCCCAGCCCCCTGAAAGAGGTTTATCCCGGTAGATAAATGTGCAGCGGGCAAACAATGTGGTAACTAGCGAATTAGTTACTAATGTATATGATACATGAACCATGTTTAAGTTTCATAAGTAATGAGCGTGCTATATCCTCTGGAATCGACAGAGGCTTTTTTTTAGCTCCTGGCTCTTCTATCTTCTTCTACGCTAATAAAAACATTGATTTGAGACTTGATCTAGTAGTCTCCATCCTATCAATCGTCTTGTCTTTCTCTTTTAAATTATGTTAAAGTGTGCTGATGTCCTTCGCCGATTGAGAAACTTTGTCGAAATCCAATGATTATGATGAGTTGATGCTATCAATCTACTGGCGGAGCCCTTGTACTTCTTTGGAGTATTCGGTAAGACTTTTGTCTTTCTGGTCAATTGAGACTCTTCGGGAGGAGCTTATTGCAGAGTTTCACTAACTGCGTAAGGCAAATGGGACTGCGCGTTACAATGAATTTCGAAAGCTTTAGAGTCGGATCAGAGAGATGAAAAAAAAGCTTCACAATGATGCCAAGAAAACCATGCATGATGAGTTCTTCGGGGATATTGGCAATCAAATTATTGAGAAAAACTATTAAGGCAAGCTAGCCAGTTTCACCCGAAACCTCCTATATATAACTAGAAAGAACAATTCTTGCTGAACTCGAGTTTAAGAATAGAGATACGGACTCTATCAATGATGTAGAATTGGTTGAGGACCGTATCCGATCAGAGCTACGCCTTAAACTGTATAAGCTTCATATATCTAAGTCATTAAGAAAGCGAATATAGTTTAATGATTCCGTGTAGAAATATAAGGAGAACTTCACCGACTCTACTAAGAGTAGCACTAGTCTTAAGTGTCTAGTATGCTTGGGACGCTCTGATATCCATCCGAGAGTGCGGAGATACTTATTCTGTCGAAAGGACGCGCTACGCGCTACCGCGACATTTCAGGACTCATAGGTTGCCAAAAACCTTCCTAGAGGGCCGTGTATGTGATTATCCTAGGTGCGACTTTGAGTTATTTTCTCTTTGGAAGTATATGCTTCGCCGAAAGAGGAAGCACAAGATTTGTCTCTAGAACAGCTGAAATTTTATTGACCCACATTTCCCACGTAAGAGATGAGATGATCTGCAACACACAGAAATTACGTGGAAAGAAGATATTGTGTCTAAATATTGGTCAATTGGACGGCGTGTTTCAGGATACCTTAGACCCTTCCAGGGTTGGGGCCAAGACTGAGGGCCGGGAGTAAGCACTACAAGCACTACAAGCTAGTCTGGCCCCCGCAGCCAATACGGGCTGTGACCATTCAGCACAGCCCACCATCTCTGTATAGCCTTATCCGCTTCTGCAGATCTCAATTATGCCTCGTCCTTCTTTATTAGTCAACCAAAGTTTCTACCTAGGTACTTTCCACATTCTCCATCTCAAACATACTTTCAATCTACCCAAGAACACCTACTTTCTCTGATTAGCTACACACCCTCAGTATGGGAAAAGAGAACTTCATCCGACAAATCGAGAACTCCGTTGAGTTCAAATTCCTCGACAAAGTAGTCAAGGAAGAAGTCACAGCGTCATATGCAGTCCAAGACCTCATCAACATGACCATGAGTGCATTGTCTATTCATGGTCCAAACAAACAAGGCGGGGTCGGTCTCCCAGACTACAACGTCTCTCTTGCGGTAATGGAGCTCGCTCAACGCCTGGATCCATCAAAACACACCAAGCTTGTCGAGTTTATATCTCATCTCCAGAAGCAAGTTGCCGTTGATCCATCTACGAACGAACCCCTGAGGGTCCAGGGCGATACCCTCTGGACAGACATGCCGTCGTTCGGCTACACGGAGCTTGAGACGTGGTACGAGTTTGGTGGCGATTACAAAGGTGATCTATCCTCCAATTTGAAAAGTCAGAATGCTAACGCATGTAGACTTATGTGATGCAACGCTCGATTCTAAGCAACGAGATCGCTGGGCGAATCTCAACGCTTTCCTCGCGCAGCTCACTCAGACTGCAGACATTCACTATACGCCTCCCACGGAAGAAGCGCGGTTCTCTCCCCTGGACAAATCACTACGTGCCATATGGACCATGGCGATGGCACTTGAGAACGAGCGCCCTCCTGCGTCGCTGGGAGATACAGCGGCGATGGAGGCCGCTTGCCAGTGGTTCATCTACGCTGCGGAGCGGCTGTGGGCGAATGTGCTCAATAGTCGCACGTATCCTGAGGTGTCTGGCGCTGGGCCAGGGAAGAGGTATGAAGAGAAGGGCTGGACGGGCTATACGCGGGAGCGATGGGGAATCTGGGAGGATGCGCTGAAGGAAGCTAGGGTTAAATGCCAAGATGAGCGGATGTGGAAGCTGATTGATGATGCTTTGGCGAGTCTGAGAAGGGGAATGGTGAATCAATAGTGGATAGACCCATTTAGTTCTAGTGGATATTCATTTAAATGCTCTGGGTGGTTAGTTGTGTAGTATAATGATATCTATTTCTTTTCATTTTGTACAAGTCTATAGGATTGATCGAAATCAGTTGCACCACTTACACACAGATATTCTTTCTCGAACCGTCTTTCAAAACACACTATACCTGTTATAGTTACTCTACCCTGGCCCCATTTCTTGGTAGTATTCAAGTATAGTTGTAAATAACACCATGAAAATAGCTTCGGTATTGGTTCTATATGGTCTTTAGTGTCTAGAACAACCTTTCTATACATAAGCCAAATAGAAAGGGTAATTGCCTAGTAAGTCGGCTTATTAGCTAGAGCTCGAATTCTCTGTTAACCACCTGTCCTCTGTAGTAGTGACCACTATAGATAGACGAGATATAAAAAGATAGTATCGGTAGAGTGAACACTATTTTAATATACTTTAATAGTAAGGCTAGCCTTCTAATTAGGACTAGTATCCGCTATACTAGACTCTAGATATATATAATTATACTAACGTCGAATTCTAACGATCTAACTTCTAATAACACCTATACCACCTCTTTAAGTTACTATAAGATTAAATAATATAACCTTTTAGACTATATTCTAGTAGTATAAAAATTCAGGACTTGGCTCAACAACGTCTTTCGACGTGAAGGTAGTATGGCGGCATTTTGTCTCGATCTCCGCTACGCCAGGACCAAGGAATGTACGAAGATTCGCAATTTCCATATCAGCCTGTCCCCACATCACAGGCTTTTCCGCAGGATTGATGTCGTCTGGCGGCGGGTGGCAAGCGGCACTGATGGCTGCACTACAGTTCATTGCAATCGGCATGGCGGCCGATTTGAACCTCCGAAACATCAGAATGAGAAAGCTCACAACTACAATGAGCCAGGGTATAACCATAATTCTCAGACCAACAGACGACGCACCCACCCCATGTAAGGCTCGACTGCGATCCAGATTACCCTGAATATCCCGGGGAATGATTTGCACGAATGACAAGGCCTCAGAGGCAAGCCAATGGGCAAGAGTGGATAGGATCAGAAATGGCACACTATACCGGTATGGTACAGAGAGATAGTATGTTGAGCGTTGTTCTCCAGTGGGAAATGAGACTCGAAGGGGCTTGCGTTCGACACCGAAATCGTTGTATTCGGCGGCAAGAAGCATTCGAGTCAGAGTATTGTTGTAGACCGCATAGACTATCGTGATCACAACCTGCGGAACATTTACAGCCAACACTGTAGCAATGAATCCCAGGTAGCCCATTTGGTAGAACTGGGTATGGTAAAACGAAGTGAGTTTCTGTTCCCATGATGACATGCCATCTGCATTCAGATCTACTCCCGGGTCACTGCCGAGCATAGAGGTATTATAGTCCAAGGCAAGGCCGGCCATGGCAAGGAGGGCAATTTTGAAAAATAGAAGGAAAGCAAATAGTCGACGTGGCAGGGCAGCTGACCATCTCTGTCGGACCGTGCGGACCCTTTTTGGCTGTGGAGGCGGGCTCTGTCCCAAGCGGAATGGCACGGCGCGGGAGAATATAGATACCCAGGGGTAGTCATTGAAGCTATGCAATGCTTTTGGTTGTCCTTTATTCACTCGGGCCATGAGGCAGTTGTTGGCTGTGTAAGGATCGGGGCATGTCAGAAACGACTTGAGGGCATCGCCAACTGTCAAGAAAATCTCGGATCGGCGCTCGAGAGCAGTGACGAGCATGCATAAAAGCTTCAATGCAATACAGCCCATGACCACCAACCCAATAGGCAGACTGCATCCAAGCTCACAAGTTGGCGTAATCGGTCGACTGAGGCAAGTATGGACCACAGCCTGGTCGATGTTATTAGTCGTTGGTGAGATTGTATAGTTACCCTTGTATTCATCCATCGCACAACTCAATTCGCCACCCTTGTAGGTCCCGTTGGTGGAGACTCTGCCGGAGCCCAGTCCTACCTGACATGACCAGGCCGTTAGGTTTGAGGAAAGATCGGGAGTCAAAAGGACGACTGTGGACCGGGCGGTTTGATAAGCGCCATGGTAGGCTTCCATACAAGTGGCATTACTCATTTTCTCGAGCTTCCCCGATATGATATCATCATATAGGCTGCTCGCGTTCATGCCAACTATCTCCTGGAAGTTGGAAGGGACATCAAAACCAGACACGTCGGTGTAGTTATTCCCAAAGGCCATGGGTGCAATAACAAGTCCGAAGTCATTAGCGTTGATTGATACGTATATGAAGGAGTTGTATCTGAAGACATCGTATATCAGCCAGAGCTCTCCCAACGGTCACAGCAAGAAACATACATCATCTGGACTGGCAAAGAGGTCCCAAGAATCAACAGCCATAGTGTCTTACGCCACAGGGGCGCGTACCAGACGTTGGTAAAACTGGAGGATCCAATCGATACCCACACCCGTTGAGCGTGGGCAATATCGATTCTTGCGCGCGACGGTGCGGCCAGGACTTGATTACAGTAGCTGCTTGTGGCGGTCAACGTCAAAACAATAATGTTGATAAGAATGTGGAGGCCGGTCGCGATTTGGTTTGCCTGATGGCATGTGCCTTGATAGATAACAGCTGACGAGGAACCCCATCCATAGCCACCAGAAGCAGCTTTTGCGGCCAGTTTGACTGTGAGAATAACATGGACGAGTAGCGCTAGTGCTACTCCCAAAGCGCAAAGCAGCAACCCGGTAATCCATTTTTTCTTGGTCGGTGGCAGTGGTGGGGGTGATGGAGAATACTTTGGATCGTCATCTGTCGCTGCTTCACAGTCCGGGGTATCGCATTCGTTGACCAGTTGGTATGCCTTTTTGTCCACGATGGAAGGCTTCCTGCCATGAGAAGCGGTTCGTCAGTGGCGATCGGTAGGTAGACCGGCCAAGATTGGTTTAACACTCACTTGGAAAGTTGCAATGTGTCAAGTGGGATAGGTTCCTCCCGGTTAATCAAATGCTCCTCCGGCGAGGCAAGGAGAGATGTCGAGGCATTGCTCTCTCGCAAGCTTGTCATTTTATAGGACCACAAGGACCAAAATATTGAGTTGGAAGCGCGCATACCTTTTTATTATTAAATCACGAAATGCGACGGGATGACCCCCCGACTGTGGGGGCCAAAAACAAGCCTCATTCGGGAAAGTAGTGATCCTCCACAATTGGCTTAGCGGGTCAGCCTTGAGGCACTGACCCTTCGATGCTCCACCCATACAAGATCAATTGGACATGTCAACACCAAGCTTACAGTTTAAATTAACACGTATGTAGAAAATAAGGGGGAAATTAATTGAGTTGATCTGAAACCTCACTTTGTGTCCCAATTAGGGCTGTTGTGAATCAAAGGTTATACATAGAAAAGTCTCCTTTTTTTTTAAACCTTCGTATACAGTATACACCTAAGACATCCAAAAAGACATCCAAAAAGCGTATCGGAGGGTTCTTACATATAACATCCATATTACTATCTTGGTCCAAATAGAACCAATAAATTCTTAGGTCGTCAAGGACAGAGGCCGCATAAGCGGCCGACTATTCTTGTGTAATATAGTTAGAAGAAGTTGGGTTGCAATATACTTGGGCAGCAATGTCACTGGTCAGTGGTAGCCTTGTCTGGACATCCACCAGCCTCGTCTTTATCATAGTTATTGCAAACAATATGACGACCACACAATCCGACAGGAGCCTTCTTGATCTGCCACTTCCTATTAGAATCCGCATCTACACTTTTGCAGGGCTTGCTAATAACCAGGTTATTCCCCTCGATCGCAGACATCGCGTCGAGGAGCAATCTGCCCCCACCTGGAAAGACTCTGCCCGCACACTCAATCTACACCTGGCGGACTTAACCATCTATTCAGCCCTTATACTCATCTGTCGGACTATTCATGATGAGGTGTCGTATCGTTTCTATTCTACCAACACGTTCATTGCCCACGACCTGCAAACGTTGGGCCGTCTAGGCCCGTCATATCTGGCTTTGATGACCTCTCTCAAACTCATCCCCTGCCTTACGAAGAACGCAAATTCCCGCAAAGAATGTACCTGCACGCCTCTAGGATTTATTCATGACGATACAATCCTCGGCCTGGTGAGCCCTTGGGACAGGTCCACCCTCTGGCAGTGGAACTCGACCATCAGCAAGATTGCACCGCATTTGACAGGTGATAGACTTGACCTGAGTATTCTCTGCCCTGTTTACAACGAGGGCACTGCAAAAAGGGTAGTGGAACCTCTGCCCCACTTCCCTGATAGCTGCCACATCCGGCTCGGTCCCCTCAATCGTCGCAACTATGCTATCCAGATGATAGCTATGAAAGCCGCTAAACAGGCCATGGGCCAGATTACTACCCATGTACAACCATTTCGTTTCCTCGACCTCCCTGGTGAAATTCGTTTACTTGTTTACGAGTACACCGATCTCATCAGCCCGCTCAACAAGCTCCGATGGGACCCAGACCATGGCTATACACTTGACCCATCATTCTGCCCACCAGACTGTAGTCCACCTTATGACACTTGTCATCCAAGCATGCACAGGGACTGCGGATCCGCTAATGTCCCCCGCTGCCACTGTCGTCATGGCTTATCATCCTGGCACGGTAGATTCCCCGACTGCTGGGCATGCACACACTACGCCTGTCAATTCAAAACCTGCAACGCTCAACCTGCACACGGTACAGACCTAGGTCTCAACTGCTGCGGCGCAAAAGCATCAGCGTATTCCCCCGCATGCCATTGCTGGAAACCACCCGTCGCGCTATTCAACACATCTCAAACCATCCGAGAAGAAACACAGCGAGTCTTCTTTTCTCAAAACGCATTCGAGATCCCCCACTACAAGTCCTACGCATACACAGCGGAAGCCGAAGCCGCGCCGGAGAGATGCGCAGCGGCAGTATTCCTAGCAGAGGTCGTCCCTGCAGATATACTACCGTACCTCAGTAAACTCATCGTCTCGCTCTGGGACTGTGTTAAGAGAACAGCGAGGGAGGACTGGAGCCATGTTATATCATACGTTGCCGGTATATCAAGCCTCCGCTTTCTATCCATTGACACTGCGATGGCCTTCGACGAGATCAATGACGCGATACCGAACACGCGGGAAGAACTAACTAGTGAACGGGGTCTTGTGAGGAGCAGGGATGCTATGAATCAGTACGCTTGGCCGGTTGAGATTTCTGAGACGGCGGTGCGGTCATTCTTCGTGAAAGTTGGATATACTCGGTACCCGCTTAAGCTTAAGGTTTACTATTCCTATCGGCGTTTCGAGGACTCGGCTGTTTCTGTAGGATATGAGCGTGTTGCCGGGGATAATTATGCCTTTGTAAGAGAGTGCGAGGGGCCGGTTGGGGATCATGGCGGTAATGGGAGATGGCTTGAGGGGTTGCATCTTTTTGAGTTAGAAGCTTTCTGAGTGGCTAGGTGTGGATGGCGACCAAGAAACCGTTCGCGGCGAGCTGGTCCACAATCAGCTGAGTATTAACAAACCGATGACCGAATACATCAGTTAGTAGCACGATAGCACGCTTGGTAGCGCGCTCGGGGTGTGGGATGTAGACCTCCACTGCGACCGTTGGCAACTCAAGGTTCATCCCCGAGACATTGGGAGTATATACCGTTGCTGATTTGCTGGATTTGGCCCTTGGTCTCGCCTTGGTGCTTTACGCCGACGGCACAGCAGGCAGCAGGTGGATTGGATGCCATTTTTAAGATGCAAATGAATAATCAATGGGGAGAGAAGAAGTATGGGAGAAAGAAAGATAATAGGGATCTCGTAGTCGCGCAGCTAGATATGCAAGGTTCAGCTGAATGAGGTCAGCAAATCTCGAGATAGTGTTGCTGCAGAGGGATAAGATGGATGACAAGGTATAGGTCGATAGTCATGGAGGGCATTGAGGTCGCAGATGTATAGGATTTCCGTGTAACATACAGTATAATATGTCACACCTCAATTCTTTCGTTGAGATCTTTGTTTTCATTGGATTAGTTTTGCCGTGGAATGTAGATCTCAATTCAAGCTCTCTGTGCCCATATCGTCGGGAAATTGTGAAGTAGAACGTATACCCAATAAACTCAATTTCACTCAGCCATTGTGGGATGTAGATACACCCACTAGCCAAGATTGCCTTCTCCCTTTCACGCATATAGCATGATACATAAGGAAGGAATAGAAAGTGAGTAGCAGTCAAAGAAAAACGTGGAGAGACACCAACTAGGGGACGAACCCTGCCCTTGATCACAGGAGTGGAGAGTGGCACAACACGTGATTAGGGGTCCAGTCAACAACCAATGAGAGGCGTAGGCTGTGTGATCCACAGAGGGGCCGCAGCGTTCTCAGCCGCAGGCCTACCCGTGGTTGTAAACCCTTTCACTCCGTTTGTTAATAGCCCTGGAGACTTTCCAACTCAACAACCTTGAAAGCCATGGAAGAACGCAAAACGAGGTCCTCCCATTCCAGATCACGCTTGGGGTGCATTACGTGCAAGTGAGTTCGTTCCTAGGAATCAGATCAAAGACAGCCCCCTCTATCCACAATATCCCAGAGAAATTAACAACCCAGAATCCGCCACATGAAATGCGACGAGACCTACCCAGAATGTGGCCAGTGCACATCAACCAAGAGAAAATGCGACGGATACACCCAACTTCCCGATAAGCGCACAAAAGCCTGGCGGGAACTAAAGCAAGGGATCAACACAGTCGACATCGTAGGTCAACTTCAGCCTTCGAGAATTGGACGGCAATACATTTATGTCGATCCAGGTCGAACTATTTCATCAGGACCGGTTTTTCGAGATCAACTTAAATCGTCGTTCCTCCATCTTCATTTCCCTGTCAATACAAGGAGGCCTTCTTTCAATGTCGACCTCTTTCAACCGTTGTTCACGGACATTGCGGCGCTGCCTAGAAAGACTTTGATGCTTGAACAGGCTATTTCTGCAGTCTCGTGTGTCTTTTTAGGAAAAGTGGACGGTAACGACAATATGCTTCGACATGGCTTACAGCTATACAATAGCTCCATTAGGCATATGTCACGTATTCTAAGCAGAGACGCTTACAGTGCGGACCTTGTATACACATCCATGATCTTCCAGGAAATAGAGGTATGAATCTATACTCATTCGAAATACCACCTACGCTTCTAACATTCAACAAGGCCATACATTGCCCTCAAAGTCTTGGAGGCTTTTTTTCTCATGTCGTCGGATCAAATTCCATCTTGAAACGGTACCGTCATAAGGTACTCGCAGATCCTCTGACAGCTGTCATTTACCACAAACACCAAAAAATAAAAGTTGTACGTTTTTACTCTCTTATTTGTGGCTCTCTATATTTCCCACAGACTGATATGTTTTTAGTTCTTGGCCACCCATATGGACATGTCCGAAGAAGATTACGAATATATTTCCCAGCCCGCGCCAAGTGACCCCATGCTTGAGCTGATACATATAATCATAGATATCTCTCTTCTAAGTAAAAGGAGTGACTCTATTGATGTGTCTAAAGGCGAAGCCTCTCAGGATTTGCTTTTAAGTTGTCTCGCTCAAAAGGAGAAGCTGATGACATGGTATTCTCGATGGGAAGAGAGAATTGGTGAGGGTCCATCTGTATACGGTCCAGGTAAATATTTCTATCCTTTGGCAGTTTCCTTTCATCTATGATTGAATTTAAATCTTACTAGTGGCCTTTTTTCTAGACGAATTGAACTCGAAGCTATCTCCGACTGACGGCTTATTTGGCCCGGCTTACCAATTTTCCTCACTTGACAATGCTAGGTTACATATCTTTTTCTGGGTAGCATCAACAATCCTCTATCCTTTGATTCATCGAGCACGATATCTTGTCATGTCACCCAAAAGTCGGGCTTTCACCGCGAAGGCTGACCAATTCCAAGAGGAACACCTACTCTCAATTGCCCATGCCGATAATATTGCCCGAAGTCTTCCATATTGCGCCCAAGCTGGCATGAACGCGAGGGGTATTATTTATGGGGGATATTTAGCCGTAAGGCAGCTTGCTAAGATATACAGTGATGCTAGATGTTTGGATAAATTTCTCTGGACAAAACAGGTCTTTGTGTATATGGCAGGTTGTGGCTATGATTGTGCTGCTCGTGGAAACGAAATAGTGTCGGACTGGTGGCCCCTCGATAACTCCCATTAGGAACCGGATCGATGCTATTCTGGAACAGAAAATATGGATCTTGACCGGGGCCGACGGGTTTGAGTGGTGTGACACTATACAGACTGCTTTCAAAAAAAAAAAAAGGCCTTGACACGCAACTGCTGAATCATGATTCGCAAACATGAACCAAAAAGGAGAAATTCTAATCACTGTGTAGAAAACAGACTTTCCATGCTGTTAGATTGGCTGAATCGTTCCCAACCAGTTGAGGTATTCGTAGCGCGAATCCAGTAGCCTCCAGACCCATTCTTTGTGACGACAGCCACAGGTGCTATTGTGAGGTTCCATGCGTTTACAATCATGGGGTTGGCAAATATGACTGATGCTTTTTGCCCATTAAGACTGGCGCCGGAGAAATCAAGACCTGCATAATCGAATGTTGTCCAGTGGGAAACCACAGAAACCCCTAGGTTTCCAGTGCCTCGCAGCGCTAATGTGAGAGTCTTAGATATATGATCTTCTGAGAATCGAAGGCTCTGCTGGACGGATATTGTAGATGTATATTGCAGTGTTGTGAGGCGTATATCCCGTGCAATCTCGGAAACTGACTCTTCTTTCAGCTGCTGAACAGAGAATTTACACCGAAGGGCGCCAACACTACAACGAATGTAGTATGTTCCAGCCTTCGGGGGCTCAATAAAGCGGCGAAAGTTGATGATCCCAAAGTAGTCCACTGGATTAGGGGACATAGTTGAAGGTTGAGGGGAATATACGGACTATAGATACCATGCAGCAATACCATTTCGTGTGAGTTGAATCTCCGGGGAACAATCTTTCAGTTCCCCCTGTGATTTGATCCTTAATTCGTCCAGCCATGCGCCTGGAATATAGATGAACTTGGTTGTAAGCTCTTCAAGGAATCCAAACTTCACGGCAAGGATCGTCAGCAACACGCGCCACACAGTCATTGCCAGCTTAAATATCCCACTGTCATAATTCTGCGCATGCGGTAGTGGAAATTGGATTCCGTTTCGGTGCACTCATTTTTGACTTTCATCAGATCAGACATTCGGATATCCCCAGTATCAGGCGGAAGAGCAAATAAAGGAATTGGCTTATTAGACAGGAGGTCACAAAATGCTTTAACCACTTCCCAACAATCATTGCCGTCACAAATATGGTGCGTGATTCCAAAACAGAGCAAAGTAGCATCTCGAAGGAGAGTAACACGAAGGCGGAAGCTGTTTGCGAGGCAAGGAGAGACATTGAATATAAATTTCTCATCAACTGCGGATATTTCCGGGCTTTTCATGATGTTTGGCTCATTGATATGTTGGTCGCTGTGTATTGGAAGATAGGTAGCCAGTGATTGATCAGTATGCCTGCTGGCGTAATCGACAGTAGAACCACAGGTGAAGGACCATGGTCTTGTCTAGAAAAGGATATAAGCAGGCCGTAGTAGCGAAAAAATGGACTCACATCTTTGATCAAATCACCACCCAATATTGGCCATAATCGAACCAACTCGGTGAGTTTCCCCCTCAAAATACCTGAATCGAGCACGGCATTGACAATCAAGCCCGCATAAATGGTACTATAATTTCCCAAAGAGCTGACACTGTTGCAAGTGTATCTTGAAGAGCTCAAATTTGGACCCTCCATTTTCAGGCTTGAGAAGCGGTGAGAAAGGCTCTGAGTGAAAGGAGAGATATTAGGACCAGATCATTGAGCGAGCGCTCCGGGGAGATTTGATGAAGTTCAATCAACAGGAATGTGCAGGGCACTGCCTATAGACCTTGTATAAGGGAAATGAGAGTATCCTTCGCTTCACTTTTTATTACGAGTAACCTCGGAGTAAATATAAATCTTCTTCTTGGGAGATTTGAGTTTGGAATTGTGCAAGATTTGCCTATTTTAGCTGAGAGTGGGACGTAAGTAGTACTAACATTTGAGCTATTCTGGCTTAATTCAACAATTACTCCACTAATTTTCTTCTGTATGGATCACATATAGTATGTCGAGTGCTGTACATCATTGAAGTGCAGGTGCGGGGGAACGAACTGTAATCCTGGCAGTCCTATGGGCAACGCAATGCCCTTTGTTGGTGGGATTGCCATCATTATCCTTTTTAAACAACTTTTTTCGTCCCTCCCCGAGTCTCTTCCGGTCGAAATGTCTCCAAATCAGAATCCTCAAATATTCGCATATGCCAAATTTGATCTTCATGCTCTGTGCCGCCAAGCTAGCGCGCTACGACAGGGTGTCCCATGTGCTTATAATCCAGATGAACGTCCTGCCACAGGAAGTTTCAACTGGGCTATATTTATTTCCTTTGAAGATGGGGTACGATGGGTTTTTAGATCCCCACACTCTAGATCGTTTATGCCAATGGAGATGGGGATGAAGATACTGGCAAGCGAAGCTGCCACGCTGCGATACCTCCGGCCTTATAGCGATATTCCAGTTCCAGAAGTATATGACTATTGGTAAAGTCTATCTCATATCACGCTTGTTTCAGTGCTAACCTGCGAAAGTGCTTCATCCGATAACGACATCGGGATTCCGTACATTTTCATGAGCGAGGCATCTGGCTGGCCTCTTTCGAAAGTTTGGAAACCAGTCGGTTCTTCCGAACCTGACCTGGAGAACATCAATAAAGCCAAAGTATTATCCCAGTTGGGCGCTATTATCTGGAAACTTTCACAGTTGCGGTTCGATAAAATTGGCTCACTCTTCGAAGAAGATGAATCCTTCGAAATAAAGGAATGTCTCTCACGTGGTCACATTTTGCATAGCCGATATGATTTGGAGATCCCACGTGGGCCTTTCACTTCTGAAGCAAAATTTTCTGATAGTCTTGTTTCTGCGTTTTCGGAGCATGCAGAGTGTCTGCAGTTATCACACCATTGCTTTGTGGCACCTGTTCCCTCGCCGGATGACTATCAATCCGACATGCAATATAGGAGCGCTATGGATCTATGGAACGACTTCGTGACTATTGGGTGCAAGATCGACACATCGGACAACAGACTGGACTATATAATCGCAGCTAATGCTCTCCGTGACATCGTACGGAAACTTGAACTTCCAGCTGTCAATCCGGAAACTTTTCCAATATGCCATGCCGATCTGAGTGTCAATAACATATATGTTGATGACGATTACAACATCACCTGTATTATCGACTGGGCATTCACTTCATCTGTTCCTGAATCTATGCTGCTAGTCACCCCTGGTTTGCCCCAATACCGCGACGAACTTAGTTTGGAGTTTCATACACCGTTTATAGATGGCTTTATTGCTGCTATGCCTACCTCGATGGAAGAGGAATTGATCCACAAATATCGCCAATCACTTGAGCGGGGGCAAGTCTCCTGGAAATTGAATCGACTCCTCAGCTTTGATTCAATTAGCGATTACAATCTCTTTGCTACTGTCTGGAAGTTTGCACATGGTTCTGAACAGGACCTGGGGCAATATTTCTTACAACAACGGTGTCTACCTCACTACAACCGGCTTTATAATGAATACCAACAGGAGGATCGGCCACTTTGGAAAATTCAAAGGGATGAAAAAGATTATTTTCGAAACAAGGACATCAGAAACACGATAGCTAAGAAGCTGACGCTCGTGTCGGAATGGAAAGCCCAGTATACAGCAGCCAATCACCTACCCAGACTTCGGAAAGATATGTTTGTCGCTTCTCCCAAATTATGGAAGTGGATCCAACAATTTATGCAGGACTGGGAAGACATGTCTTGATGAATTTACCCCAATTATCAAGATCACAAGTGAATGCCCTCAACTAAGTCTTTTCATAAACCATTAGAAAAACGACCCTTCTTGGTACTACTTAAATAATGAAGTTCCTTATCGGTGTCAGGTCTTCTCTGCTGTTGTGGTGTAAATGTACATTTGGAGGGGTCCACATACAAATGAAACAAATGGTAAATCGTCAGTTTCTCAACTCCCAAAACAGACAGAATAATTGTACAGTCACTACTATAATTCATTTTCCCTTTATGTTTTCAATGTACCTGAACCTGAAAATAAACATCGTCGGAACGCTGGAGCATTCCAAGGTTGCACAAAATTGTGGATACTATATGGTCCACAAAAAGAAGCCAACCGACCAACCCGATCGCGTCCACCTGATTTCGGACTCACGACGTCGGATGTTACCCACTCACGTGACTTTCCAATGGGCATAAGGCCAATCACATTGGATGTAAATGACCCGCACAGTCCCACTACCTGAAAAGACTACTAAAAAAATGCTCGACAAGGCCGCATAAGCGGCCGACTATTCTTGTTATGGATTATCCTAAACAATAACTTTATGATAGACAACACTACGATGTACAGTCCTACATGCAGACGTCCTCCAAAAACAATAACGGCGATCTCTCATTCTGAACTCAATTCATCATAAGAAATAGTCGATCTGTCAATTGAAGATGACATTCATGACTACAACGTTGCGGATACGGCGTATATGAGCATCCCAGAAGAGTAGATGAGCCTGCAGAAACCAGATTTGGCAAGTTTCCAGAACCGATCGCCGGATTTTCCTGTTAGGGCTGATCCGCTCGGCCAACCTGCCTCGATGGTCAGCTCGGGAGTCTTTCTTCCGATCTCCCCAAGAATCTCGGGGAGGAGGCCGGGGTGACTGACGTTAGGCGACTCCACCTGGATATTTCCTTGTACTCCACGTTTCCCAAATGCCCCTCGCTCGGAATCACGCCGTGGAGCTCGGCTTAGTTGCCTGTGAACAGGCTTATCCGGCAACAAGGAAATAGAGGGGAAGACAGAGGGTATAAGAACTGCCAACAAGGGTCCAGTTGAAGTAGAAAGCATACTTCCGCATCGCTGCCTCAACTGTACCGCCACAACGCCTGTTCAAGTTGGCAACTGAGCAAGTCTATTGAACCACCCTCAAGATGGCAACAACATTAACCGGTGGAAAGCAACACATAATCCAACTGCCCAAAACGCCCTCCGACGTACCCTCCGACCCACAAAGCATCGCCCAGCAATGGTTCTTGGCTCTCGAAGTCCAGCTCTCCCGTTCAGAAAACTTGAACATCAATGAACTATTCCATGCTGAGTCCTGGTGGCGCGATATGTTGGCGCTGGACTGGGACATGCGCACCGTACACTCAGCCGCCGAGATTCAAAGCTTCCTGAGCAAACAACAGGCCAGGGCACAACTGTCCCAGTTCCGACTACAGGATAAGGGCAAGTTTCAGCCACGCCTGGAGCAGGTAGTCGACGGGTTGAGCTGGGTGTCTTCCATGTTCTTCTTCGAGACTGCAGTTGGCACTGGAACAGGCATGTTGCGTCTGACCCAGGCGGAGGATGGAGTTTGGAAGGCTTATGCTATGTATACGTCGTTGCAGGAGCTCAGCTCAGCTCAGGAGCCCCTTGGGAAGCGTCGGGCCGAGGGGACGACGGAGTCGATGCCTGGTGGTCTGGCTGGGGGCACATGGATCGAGCGCAGGAACAGACAGCAGGAGTTCTTAGATGAGGAGCCCGCTACTTTGGTTGTTGGGGCTGGTAAGGAATTCCTTTGTTAAGCTGATTATCTATGGTTTGAATGCTGACTAGTCAACAGGCCAAGCTGGACTAAATATGGGTGCGCGTTTGCAAAGCCTCGGCGTGTCGTGCTTGATTGTCGACAAGAGCGAGCGTGTTGGAGATAATTGGCGTAACCGGTACCGGGTAAATGACATTGGAGGGACTTGGTCTATGATATGGAGAGAAATACTGATTTTTCGCGATGCAGACACTTGTCACGCACGATCCGGCCGAATACACACACATGGCCTATCTGCCCTTCCCGCAAAACTGGCCACAGTTTACGCCGAAAGACAAGCTGGGTGACTGGTTTGAAGCGTACGCCAGAATTATGGAGTTGAATATTTGGATGCAGACCTCGGTCGTTTCAGCAGAGTACGATGAAGCTGCAGGCCAGTGGACTGTTGTTCTCGCTCGCGGCGATGGGTCCCAACGCACCCTCCGGCCTCGTCACCTTATCTGGTGTACAGGACACTCAGGCGAGGCGAAGGTTCCTTCATTCCCGGGACAAGAATCTTTCCAGGGCACTGTGTACCATGGTAGCCAGCACCGTGATGCGTCGGAAAGCGATGTTCGTGGCAAGAAAGTTATTGTCGTCGGGACTGGTAACAGCGGCCATGATATCGCGCAGAACTATTATGAGAACGGCGCAGATGTCACTCTGCTGCAGCGCAGTGGGACATATGTCATAACCGCCGACAAGGGTGTCTTTATGATGCACAGTGGAATGCATGAGGATGGCGGGTACGTTTTCAAAGTCTTTCCTATCTCATTCTTATCCTCCCATCCCCCATATTCAGGTCATACTAATACCAACCATATAGTCCACCAACTGAAGAATGTGATATCGCCTGCGAGAGTCTCCCCTGGCCCGTTCAATTCGCTTTGAGTGTACACATGACAAAGAAAATTGCCGACGCGGAAAAGGAGACCCTAGACGGACTCCGTCGGGCTGGCTTCGAACTTGACTTCGGGCCAGATGGGGCTGGTATTGCACGCGCATACTTTACCCGCGGCGGAGGGTATTATATCGACGTCGGATGCAGTCAGCTTATCATCGATGGCAAGATCAAGGTCAATCACAACCCGGGCGGTATCAATGGCTTTGGGAATCGCGGGCTGCTTTTGGCGAACGGTGATTCCCTGCCAGCGGATGTTGTTGTCCTTGCCACCGGATACGATAATATGCGCACGACAGTGAGGAAAGTCTTGGGTGACAAGGTTGCAGATCGGTGTTCCGACGTTTGGGATCTGGATGCAGAAGGAGAGCTTCAAGCTGTAAGCTGCCATTCACTCTGGTGATCCTTTTGAAACGCATGCTAATTATACTGTGTAGATGTGGCGCCCCAGTGGTCATCCGGGCTTCTGGTACTTCGGCGGAAACCTCGCCTTGTGCCGGATCTACTCCAAGTTTTTGGCACTTCAGATCAAGGCTGTCGAGTCTGGAATATCAAAAGGTGTACGACAGTAGACGCAGAGAGGAACTTCGCTCGAACATGCTTTTTCAATTGTCTAATATGCATTGGATGTGTAATGAAATATTGATATTGCAACTTTGATACTCCAATTCTGGCACAGTAATATATGAAGATTCCGATATATGCATACACTCCGACGATGCGTCATATCCCAAACGGCGTGTCGTACCACAATAGCCTCTCAGTTTCTAGCTCCTCCTCATATGTGTCTCCCGTGAATGCGCCATGAATGATAGATTGTATTTCTGGGGATGGCTGTGCGCCATAAAAAAGCCTCGTAAACTCCCAATACTCAGGATAGAAGCCGGCGCATTCCCAGTCCACAATTCCAGACAGGCGCCCATGATCAATAAGAATATTTCTGGGATTCAGGTCGGCATGGGTGAACACAGACCGGTACTGACGCGCGTGGACGGCTGCAATTTTGTCCTTTGTTTCATTGCGCACGTGTTTGTGGACGAGGAAAGAATTGAATTCAGAAATCTGGTGAAATGGACCACATATTCCGGAGGGGAAACGGTAATCAAATATCGGGCCACCATGGCCGTCACCGAAGCGGTACAAAGTCTGGTTCGGAATAGAACGTATTTACAACAAGGCACTCTTCAGGTCTTTCGAAAGTTGCTTGCGCTCCAAGTATGAGAATCGATGGAAAACACAATCCAGCATTTGTCCAGACACAGCCGTCATGATAAGAACGCGGTGTGTGCCCTGGTAATCATCTACCCAAAGGGGTGCGGGGATCGAGAGATACCGTTCCACAAGCTTTAGTGTCTCTTCTTTATTAGGAGAGCGAGTGCATTCTTTTGCGTACAGTCCGAGCGGCAACTGGTGCACGAGGTCAGTGAAAGACCGCGGGTAGAGCTGACTGCCTAGTTTTAAGAGCGCGCCATAACACTGGACACGAATAAAGTGAGGCACGAGACGCCAGAGTGAGCGTAATATCTTCTGGGTAACTATGTTCAAGTGGACTATCCCAGTGGCCAATTTGCGTTCAGTTCCATAAGTAACAAGTCGCTTCCAGTAAATTTTGAACTCATGCAAGGCTTGCTCCGCAGAACAAGCGGACCCGTCTTGAATATTTTCTCAGATATAGCGAGCAGCATATTCTGGGTCGACGGCCTCGTCCAGAAAAGCTCTCCAGATCGAGTGCTCGGTGGGTGTGAGTCGGGCGGATTCAATGAGCCGGATGGTTGCGTGATACCTAGCTAGTGAAGCCATTCTCAAGAATGAGCGAAGGGTGTGTCTATAACACTAGATCAAAATGTACGATGTATAGATTGTGGTTTATTTCTCTCTGCTGTTGGTCCGACTGACGGGGATGGGGCTGGAGAGCCAATGATGGACCACTGAAGTCGGACCCTTGGAGGCCTGGGGCATTGATTAGGGATGCCAAGGTCGGACTGCTAGGCGCTCTTTCACCTTCAGTACTCGACCTGACTCCCAGATCGACAGATAATAAAGATCTTCAGGCGGCGCAACCTACGCGCTCAGAGGTACTTGAGGCAGTGAAAGAGCAAACGAGGGTGGTCAGGTGGCCATGCTATCAACAATCTTCTCTTCGCATCGTAGTTATCCATCTAGCCGTCCTCCTTCGCTCGGGTTGATCTACCATGGATCCGTCATTCTATTCTTGGGGTGGAGGGACCTTCTTTTTGTGCTTTAAATGACGTGCAGATGAGGCGGTTGCATTTTTTGGGGAGATTTTGGATAAGCTCTTACATCCGCCACACGAAGTGTTGTTGTTGACCTTCCTAAAAGAGAAGAGGTAGCCGAACACGTGACCGGCTTTCGGTAACCGGCAAACATATCCCCAACAGGCAGTTGACAGGCATTAGACTAAGCCACAGTCTTCGATCGATACGCATCAGCAGATCCATGCTTCTGTTACTAGAGGGCTTGGTTGACTAGCGCCTTGCTGTTAGAATTGCATGAAGAAGCCGCAATCATGAGCGAAAGAGGGTCGGAAATCGTCTACCGGGCGGAAAATGTCCCGATTCGCTTCTTTAAAGCATGCCGATGGTGCAGAAGACAAAAGATGCGATGTGATGCGCGTAGTCAAGTCCCTTGCTTCCGCTGTCGCTCTACCGGCCGGGACTGCATTTTGGATCCGATCGATGATGGCCGGCGGCGAAGTGATCGTCAGCGGAAAGCAACAACCCCCGCGAGGTGACAACTGAAATATCGATCTTGCATATGAAATCAGCGAGCTAATATACCGTCAAAGAAACCAAAACACTGCTTCACCGCTGGGTTCTAGGACCGGATACCACACTCCGGCATCAAGAGATCAGGGGTTCTCACCTGCCACCGTGCAAGATGGTGGTTTTGACACTCCGATTGATTCTTTACCCGATTCTACTGGGTTAAGCAGCCTCCAGCGGTCTTATACGTCTGATGCGAATGGACCGGAATCTCAGCAGCTCAGCCCTAATGAAATGATCGCGCCTGCGTCGGCGGTGCACTCTATGTCTGTGAATTTACTAGGCACTAACGATGTGAGTCACTGTCAGATCATTTACACAGTTGCCATCGAGCTAACAGATCAAGATCTTTATGGAAAACTCAGCTAAGGGTGACCCAAGAGGAGACGTTGTCGCTAGAGGAATCGTCAGTGAGGAGCTTGCTCGTGTCATGTATGAGAGGTATGGTACTAACAGCCAAATTAAATTGCAGTCAATCATAATCAAATCTGACTCCTCTGCTACAGGTTTACGGGTGGGTCGAAAAACTTTCTTCCTCTTTTTGATCCGATCAGAGACACATTCGACTCTGTCCGTTCAAGATCCTTGTTTTGCTTCACGGTGATTATCTATCTGGCTAGTCGCGCAGTGACAGATTTGCGCGGAGACACGCATATGCAGCGTGTTCTACAAGATGAGGCACAACGTTTAGCCGAAGACAGCTTCTTCGAGCGACCCACCAAACTAGAAACAGTCCAAGGAATGATTCTCCTAGCTGCCTACTCCGAAAAGACCTGGTTCTCAATTGCTCTCATTCTTCGTACCGCCTTAGATTCTGGATTGGAGAAATCCTTGGACACTTTGTTGTCCCAAGAAAATGTGCCCCGAAGTTCGCTCTCAGCATCTATGGCTGAACGTGAACTGGTATGGAAGACAAGAACCTGGTTAATCACTTTCATATTGGAGTTGGACGTCGCATCTGGTACGGGACGCAAATCACGCATTGCCGAGGTCGACGTGGCAAAGCTGCGCAGGTTCCTTGACTATCCACTCTCCCTGCCCTGTGATATGCGCACTGTGTGTATCATTGAGCTTCATCAACTTCGAGGTAAAGCGAACAAAACTGCAGGTGTGATTCGTCTGTCAAATGACTAACATGTGACAGGTAATTCTCGTGCGATTATTGACAACACATCAACTATTGGCGATATTGTGTCTACAGAACTACCGGCCATTATGACAAGATTACAAACCTGGTGGACGACGTGGGACGAGATCCATGAAAGTAGGCTGTCCTTCTTGCTTTTAATACACCCACAATTCGGATCAATACTGACTTGAACAAAACTTGAAGACAATGGTTTCCATATCGGGGCCTTTCAACGCAGCAGCCTCAAGCTTATGCTTCACTATGCCAGGATTTTTGTTTTCTGTGCTTCCCTGGCACGAATCCAAAAATTACAACCGACGTACATGGATTCAAGCTCCGAAATGCTGGACCAAAATGTGATAAACCTGTGGCAGTCCCTTGTGACAACCATCATGGACCAATTGGGATTTTTGATCAATGAGCCATCCTATCGCTGTCAATTACCCTGGGCGCCAACGTATCCTGCTCTCACAATCGCTTTCGTTAGTAAGTTGATCATTTCCTCAATCAGCTACATACAATTTGCTAATACAAGTTTAGCAACATTCGCTCTTCGGATAGCCAGATGGCGTCCGAATCTGATCAATCAAAGTCTTCTACTTGAAAGAGCAGAAAGAATCTGCGATTTCCTCAAACAACCCCCATATCCCGATATCCACCGAACTGTCTCCATCTTCGTGAACTATGCACGTGCCTTGATTGCCAGTCAGCGTCCGCAGAGCAATCATAGTACAGATGTACCCATCATGTCTCAAAGTGAGGGACCACCATTCGAGGGACCTGATAACCCCATGATCAACGGCCCGCCTCCATCAGGGGTGGGTCCCCTCGACGATCTCCGGTACAGAACTGGGCCGATAATTCAGGGCGATAAAGATTCGAATATGGTCTCAATGCCAAGTAATGACCCATCTGCGGTGGCCAGAGCGCCCGTATCTCGGCTATCCGGCACGATGGAAGCACCCAACTGGACTGTATCGAACTCCATTGCAGATTCCTTTGGTCTGTTCGAGGAGGGGCAGAACGATATCTTCGATTTCTTGCCTATGATGCCGTCGATGCCACAGTAACAATAACATACCTAATACACCTTATTGAAGTCTTAGATCACTCCAGTCCCACCGTCGTAACTGAGTAAATCGCCAAGGACCAAGTTCTAGCCTTGTAGATCAATCCTGATACTTGTTCCAGCGAACAGCAAATTGGGCCGCAACGCGCAACGCAGTTTGTTTTTCTTCACATGTATTTAGTCACACCAGTCTAGATCTCCACTTAAAATGGATTTATAACAATTAATCTGTGCATCGGGGGTGGCCATCCATGTCCGGATCCTGCCCGGCGCCGTGGGTGGATTGCCCTAAAACCCGGTCCCGTATCGGCCCCGGTTTCCCGTGCAAAAAAATCGAAGTATACCAGTCTCCCATTGGCTTGTTCCCTACTCCAACATGATAAATAGAGGCATTATGCAGGACCAACAGGTTCTAGACATAGTGACTCAAAGAACTGTCAGGGTTTTCACTCTGGGTCCGCTGGTTGCAATGGGAACGGAAAACTTCCTATATGGCTTATATAGCGCTTGGGTCCTCATCTACCAGAGTTTTTGAGAACCAGAATAAAACATACTTCCAATCTTCTTCCTTTTGTTCTAGCTTACCCCACTCACTTGATGGTGCAATATGGCGTCAGAAACAAAACAATCTTTAACGGCTCAGATAGCCGCCATCCTTTCTTCAAGTGCGATCAACCTCAACTGATATTTCCTGGTCTTCTCTAACATATATTAGACAAGCATGAGAGCTCTGACAAGAGGTCCCTTGCATCATCGGAGAATAATCAAAAGTCAAATGGCGATTACCAAATAGTTGAACTGTCTCAAGATGAGCTACTTGTCGAGTTTCAGGAGAACTCACCAATAAACCCACCAAACTGGGCCTTTGTACGCACATCTATACATCTATACATGTATACATGTATATATCACGAAAGGATATTCACTAACAAATCAAATAGAGCAAAAAGTTCTACAATGCAGTTGTGGGGCTATTTATTGTCCTCAATAGCGGCATATCATCCGCACTCCCTAGCAATGCAGTACCCGCTATCATGCAGGACTTCCACGAGTACGGAGACCAGCAAAAGGTCTTACCAACTGCCGTCTTTCTTATTGGCTATGTGGTTGGTCCCTTACTATTCAGTCCATTGAGTGAAACCATTGGCCGGAAACCCGTTCTCCTCTGGTCTTTCACTATTTTTGTCCTCGCTACGCTTGGCTGTGCTCTAGCACCAAATTGGTCCTCTCTTCTTGTCTTTCGGACTATTTGTGGTCTTGCAGGGGCTGCTCCTCAGACGGTTGTTGGTGGTATCTACGCGGACCTATTTTTTGATCTGCGAAGTCGTGGTCGTGCGATGGCGATGTATATGTCGGTATGTTGTGATCAATTACCTCCATGGGTGGAATATTTGAATAGTGCTGATACATATTCCAGGCTTGCAGTTTTGGTCCCATTCTAGGCCCGATTATCTCTGGATGCTCGGTCAAATATGGTTGGAGGTGGACTTTTAGGATTGATCTGATTCTGACGGGTATTACCTGGTTGGCTCTGGTCTTCACGTCTGGTATGATTATCACCTGGCACAACAAACAGTACCATCAGCTAATCTCACATCAAAATAGAAACTTTTGGCCCGGCACTCTTGAAGCGACAATCTGCCAAATTGAGAAAGGATTCGGGATTTAATCGATACTTCTCGCGTCAGGAGCTCAACCTGGACTCGAGATTCACCCCGATGGAGATTATCACTCGCCCCATCACGATGCTCTTCTTTGAACCTATCATCACCTCAACATCTATCTATATCGCCATCGCATATAGTCTGGTCTTCTTTTATTTCCAGGCCTATCCCATCATCTTTGGAGGTAAAGCTCCTGGAATCCTCATTGATCTATGTACAATACTAACAATATATTAACAGGAGTTTATGGTTTTACCGTCGAGCAAACTTCCCTCACATACATTCCAAGTACGTCCATATCGTTCATATATGTCTCAAAACACAACTAACCCATCACAGTTGGCGTCGGTGCCGCATCATCCGGATTTGTTGCCCTCTATTACGACGTAATCTACGAAAAAGCCAAAAAGCTCAACAAAGTCTGGACCTCCAACCCAGAGTACCACCGACTCCCCATGTCCTGCATTGCCGGGCCCTGTCTAACAGTAAGCATGTTCTGGCTCGCCTGGACAGCAAAACCCACCATGCATTGGGCAGCACCCGTGATGTCCGGGTTCATCTTCGGGTATGGATTCCAGACCATCTTCATCTCGCTTCTTACCTACGTGACCGACGCATACAAGATCTACTCTGCCAGCGCACTGGCAGCTTCCGTTATTGTGCGGAGCATTGCTGGAGCGCTTTTCCCGCTGGCTGCTGATCCGCTCTATAAATCTTTCGGGGTTCCATGGGCTACTTCCCTTCTTGCGTTTGTTAGTCTGGCTTGTATTCCCATTCCTTTCGCTTTGATGCGCTGGGGCCCTTGGATTCGGGAGAGAAGTCCCTTCTGTCAGAGGTTGATCTTGGAGGAGAAACTCAGGGCTAGTGGGTCGAGTACACCTGCGCATGTGTAGAAGCATGTCGGTTTTTCTTTTTGGATTTGGATTTCGGGGTTCTGGTTTATTGGCCAGGAAATAATTCTTTACGAAATAATGACTTGATACCTAATTTATAATGAAGATTATGATTTGCGTCTATATACTCCGTAAGTACTCCGTACTCTGTAGTGGTGCAATGTACTCCGTACACTGTTCCGTATACTCCCGGTTATTATTTCCCCCTTTTCCTGAGAGATATAACGGGGCCAATACCAAAGAATAAAAGAATAAATAGAATAAACAAAATAAACAAAATAAACAAAATGAAGCCAAACCCCATCGAGATTTAGATCCAATAACCCGCGCGCTAAGTTGAAACTTCACCAACCAGAACACCTAGTTGCCTCGCGGCTTTAAAATCATTTCGCCTCTCCACTTTCAAAAGGTCCGGAATCGCGTCTTGGTGTTCTTAATTTTCTTGATTTATTCTTCATTCGCAATGTACTCACATAATGAAGCCGAAGGCACTTCGGTAACTATCGCTCATTGCAAGGCACAGAACCTGCCAGTTGGTTCGCGATCCCCCGAATTCTGCGTGTCTATATTAGAGCTAACCGGACAACGCCGATCAAGTCGATCGCATTCTTGAGCCTCAAACCATCGGACATTTCCTTGGATTTGCGTTCGGTAAGCCCTTGCCCAATGGTAGTCAACCCAGCATCGAGCGCCTGTCCGTGGAGGAAGCGTCATTCCTCCAACATGACCAAAACTTCCCCCCGGACTCAGATGGCGAACCCATCATGACCAGTGTTATGGCCCATATTGGCTCCGAGCGAGATTCTAGCCGTCTCTGCCTGGTCGGAAAGAACATCCAGTCCCTCAAGTCCCGTTTATGGGAGGGCATCATCCCCCTGAGCGACCAGCTATGGCAGGAAAAAGGCCTCGACCGGCCAGAACATTTTGATTTCGCTTGTCAGCATCTATCGGCCGTGGTTGCCGTGTTCGAGTATTTGAATGAACCAACCGTGCGATTGTATCTTCGCGACACGTTTAATTACATCTACGACCATTGGACGGCGCTCGACACTGTCCTCAACAAGCGCAGAGCAGAGCAAGATAAAAATCCCATTAGTGTCGCGGGTCTCTGGACAAGGTACATGACAGCGCATTTCGAGATGATGACCGAACGCGCCCATAGATGGGTTACCGTGCATGCCAATACACTGCGAGCTCCATTGCTGCGAGCTCTTTTGGAGCATCGGCCACTTGGGGAAGATAGCGACCCGTTAGGCGAGCCTGATGCTTTGCAGTGGAAAATCAGTGATTCGCTGCACATGCTGACTGAAATCATCGCCAAAGCTGATTTCACCATCATGATCCCAATGGACGGTTACAAGGGGTACTGGGCGGCTCCCCCGCGGGCCGGTCCGGCAGCACTTCATGCAGCGAATCTGCTGGCGAGAAGTAAAGCATACCATGAGCGCTTGAAGCTGCTTACTCGAGAAGCCATCGACCGTAATGGACCTGCGTGGAGAGGTTTAACTCCTTCGTCCGGAGAGAGGTATCATGTGACATGCACCAGCCAGATTCAAGGCCAGAATAAATTGAGGAAAGAGGTGCGTGGTGCACCTCTTGAACCTGTTCCGCGCGAGCCTTGGATTGCTGCTTGCGCTTCACAGATAGAATCTGGAAAGAAGGAGGGAAAGGAGGAAAAGTACGGGCTGGCTGTGTATCGGTTGACTTATGGACAGACGGAGTCTGAATGGACAGAATTCGTTTGCAAAGTGGAAGCCCATGTTTCGGATTGGGGCAAAGGCCAAACAGGAAGCAGTTCTATCAAGGAGGATCTAAAGCTCCACTGGCTGGATGGGAAGGAATTGGGTATTTCCGAGGGCGATATCGATGCAACTAAGGAGTGGGTGTACCCTTCCAAGGTTTCCCTCTCTCGCGTTTTGAAGCTAACAAGGTAACCAGACACTTCAAAACAATACAAAATGGCAGCGACGACTGGTCAGAGCTAGAAGATGGCGCTTTCCTCGTCGTTGACTCGGCGTCCTTTGCCTCCTACACCACCAATTCCTACAGTCCCGCGACAACCCAGCTCATATCCGGCGACTTCACCGGCTTCCTTCTCGCCGTTGATCCACACTTCGACCCAGAGGAGGGCATCTCACGACCCGACGAGTCTCCAGGCTACAGCGGCCAGATGCGAATTCTCGGAAGCGTTGTGTGGAGTGATCTCTATTCCCTACTAGCATCGCAGACATCAGACCTCGAAGACTACTGGCCATTAGCAAGCGAGCATCCGAACATGGTATATGTCGGCCCAACAATCCCATGGCAGCGATACATCTGGCAGAAACACAGTGAGATGCGCTGGAATCTCCTTCGAGCGGTGATAGACCATGTAAAGCTCAACCCGGGAATCCCAGTAACGCAACCACCCCAAGCCGAGGCTACGTCTGCAACGACATCTCCGACTGCAGCTGTATCTACAGCCGCGCCGCTAACCCCTTCTGTACCCGCACCAACACCGCCCGCAGAACAGGATCCCATAAACGACGCCTCTGTACCCTCATCGACACCCGCAGAAGAGGCTCCTGTCAATGACCCCCTCCGTGCATATATGCTCACCGAGTTTCAGCGCTACTTGCGCCATCGGGGCCACCCACGGCGGGCAGCCATGGTCGATGAATTGCTCCGTATTCAGCCAGGCGAAGAGCCGGATGCAGGGCGGCTGCGACAGTTGGTGAACGATGAGAGTGAGCGGCAGGAGCAGCGGAGGCGAGATGGTTTGGGTGAGGATGAAGAGGCTTCCGAGGAGTATCGGCCGGACTGCCCATTGCAGTAATTAGGGCTGGATTTCTTTAATTGTGAATATTTTTCATAATGGGACAAGATGGATTAGCTCGTTGACTGGTTTGGGGGAGAAATCATACATACAGAGACCACTCGTGACATATTGAAAACCGAAATCATTTTTGTGGATTGCAGTCTCCTGGGAAAGTGAAGCATCACCACCAGCAGTGTCATCAAACCTCACGCACACATCCAAGTCCCACCCCAAACTCCAGATGCAACTCCATTAATTCCATTATTACTCACTCCGAGTTCGCTTGCGAGGACGATCATCAGGGTCCGCAGCCTTGTGCCAACCAACCTGACACATCTCCTCAGTCAAATTCATTCCACAGCAAGGATAGAAAAACCCGTCCGGCCAAGCCTCACGATATTCATCATTGTGAACATCAATCCCAGCGGCAATTTCGTCCTTGAAATACTCCTCGTCGACCATGTCGGGCTCTTTCCATAGATTAGGTACATTCCCACCTAGGCATGTATCGAGAGATGTGCTTGGGGGATCATATACATACCAACATGATATTTGCAGCTTGTCTCCGAGTTTTGAGTGACTTCGAAATCCTCCAGGCAGTAGATGCAGTTTTTGAAACGGAATGTCATCGGGACACTGGTCATAGGCTTTGAGATGGGCTCTTCCTTGGTCCGTAGGGCAGAAGTGACGGGAGCAGTGGGAGAGACGGGGGGAACTGGCTCGGATTTCACATCGTTCTTCGCTGCTAATAGCCATCTTGAAGCGATTTTGCGGCCTTCTGGGCTGTGCTTGACGATGTCCCGCAGGATACCCTCTAGGTGCGGGATAGATTGGTTGTTGATTGCTTCTAGTAGGAGTGACAGGTTATCTGGTTGCTCATCAGATGAAGGCATTCTGGCGGTTGCTGAATAGTGTTCAGGTCATGTAAGGAAAAAATGAGGGTAAAGGATCTGTTCAGGATGTTTATATGTGTTGCGGTCTGAGATGCATAGCGTCGCGTCCTGGTGTTGTAGAACAGGCATAATTAATCGAAGGAGCGGTGGAGAGTGCGGTAGAAGTGACCCCCAAAATGGCAATCATCATATCAATAATGTTTTCTGTGAGAAGATACCGCTTTGCAACAGTACGAAAAGAAACAGACCATAGTTATGCAAAAGCAGGCACCTTAAGAAAAAGGCATATATGCAGGGAACGAACTCTTCTATGTGGTTTCGTCACACCATACATATGATGTCCACCAGCTTCAATATTTACACAGACATTGACTATAAATATATACCAAGATGCCAGTACAAGCGACACATCGTCAACTTAAGAGAGAAAGACTCTGCGCCAGGCTATTCCAATCCGAAAAGTCAACGAAATTCGGATCCCAACTATCAATATCAAAGCCAGCCTCAAGCCGAGAATCCCCAGTCCCAACCCCATCAGCACAGACAGGACGATTGTCGTGAACAATTTGCTGACTCTGCTCATGCTTCTGGCGAATAAGCTGCGCCTTATTCCGCAACTTCACAATCATCGGCCACTTCGGTCCCGGATCCGGCCAAGAGGGGTCATCAATCAGACCGAACTGCACATCGATAGCGCGCCAGGCTCGTTCAACATGCGGACCGGTGGGATAAACACACAGAGACCAGAGAATGAATGTGAAGAGGTGGTATTGGGTGAAAGTCATCATCAGCCAGCGGAAGCCGTGGAGTAATTCATTGCTGTGCATCTCGAGGCCAATTTCCATGCCATAGCAGGCCTGTGCCATAGTCTCTTGGACAAGTTTGTGGTCGAGTGAGCAGGCCGCCGGTCCCTGTGACTGCAGCTGTTTCTGTCGAATGCACAGCTCGGTCTTTATGAGGAGCAGCTGTCCGAGGAGGAAGCCGAAGCGCTGGATCGGGATGTCTAGGTCGCTGTGTCGCAGATATTTCTCCTCTATTGCGCCTTTGAACTCGGCGATGAGGCGCTCTGGGTCGGCTGCTCCCACTAAGTTTCGAAGTAAAGCCGGCCGCGTCATGTTGATTTCTATTACGATTAAAGAAAATGTCATCTCGGTCCATCGATTCTGTGATACGGCTGGGGCAATGTTCATCTCTGATAAGTTCTGGTCGTCGATATTCAGCGGGAGTTCAGTGTCGCCGTAGTCGTTTTCGGGGACGCTGAGCCCATGATCTTCTGCGACTCGGATATCGGCTGATTGGATATGTCCCCAGGTTCGCCGGCGCAGCTCGCATTCCAGTTGTGGCAGTTTGAAGTATTTTCCGTCGCGCTGGAGGCCGATGGATTGTGCGGCTCGGATAGTTACGCCATGTAATATCCAGCCAGATCGGCCGCTATTGCTAAATCGAAAGCATGCCTAGAGAGGAAATATATGTCAGCGATATCAATCACGAGAAATATTGATTAAGAACACATGAAGAAATATTCTCTCACCTGATATATCACCATGGCTTGCAACGATGTAAGGGTCGGAGCATCCAAAAACTCGGACTGATACAAAGACAACTCCATCCCATGTTGATACCGCCGCAGATTGTCATGCAAAGTCTCATTCTGAGCATCATCCGAAAGGAAGGTTGTCGTAGCGGCAAAACAAATAGCAAAGAGTAAAGCACGTACATCAGCACGCACACTCTCAGGTCTATTAATCGCAGCAAAGATGCGCGATTGTGCCGTTGGAACATGGATGACCTTTACTAAGGGCTCTACACGACCGAGAAAAGCCTGCCAGAGTGAAACCGCCTGCCAACGACTCGGAAATAGCTCCTGGATGTCAATCTGCGCCGAGAGCGGGTTCGTGAAGATCCCATCTCCCCTCAATGCCGGTGGTCGGCGCGGACTAGTTGCACCGATTGGTAATCCAATTGCAGACTTTAGCTCCTGCTCTTTCTCCAGCACCCGCGAGAGAAGAGGCTCATTGATATACCGGCCGTCTTTGTCTAGGAACCCCTGGTGGGCGGGGCGGTCTGCTGCAGCTGGGTGGCTCGATAGCGGCCTGTACTCGGATCGGCCGTTCGGCGTCGACGGGGTTGTACTTAAGGCTTGGTTTTGATTGTTCGAGCTAGTCGGCCGTTCGTTGAGCATTGACGCGATGAACTGTTCAAGCTGCTCCAGCCGTACCGCAACATCGGTCGTGCTTTTCTTCGGGGGTTGGCGCTTGACTCGGCTCGGACCTGGATACTGGCAGGTTATATTCTGCCGCACGCATTTGCTGCATGGTGAGCCCTTGTCGCATTTGATCTTGTGCGCGTGGCAGCGTAAACATGATCGCTCTACATTGTACCGTCGTTGGTTCATCGTCTTGTCTTGGCGCAGCTACGGGCAAGCCAGCGCAAATTGAACAGGTCTTGATAATAAGATTGAGGGAGAATTTCTTTATCAGATCCTCGGTGCTTCTGCAATATATTGGCGATCAAGCCTCGAGCTGGTGACGCAAGTTCGGCGTTCGGTCGTTCGTGAATTGCCGATGGTCCGATAGCTGTGGGGGCGAAACCGCAACTGGAAACTGGCTATTGTCTTCATCAAAACAACTCATGTCCTAAATCAAATGATTCCAACGCTAATAAAGTAGCTCTGGTTCTTTCAGATGATCAATTTTATTCAACTTTTTGTTCACATCTTGTCCGAGGGGGAGCCAGGATCCCGCCTTCATAGTTCGGCCAAGTAACAAAACACACGCAGGACTACGTGTAGACATCGATCCATCGAGTACAATCATGGAAACAGATGCTAAATATAAACAACGCTAATAAAACAACCCCTGAACCATTCTCAGAAGCATCAAGCGCCCCAATTCCGCGCTCAATCTGAAACAAAAAAACCAGTCGTGAGATTATGAAATGAGAAGATCGCGGACACTCATGCCCTTCCTCCTTTGAATCTCAGGGGTCATGGTTGGAGACTCTTCCAAAGACTGTGCCAGTGCTGTACTCCCTGGGAAGTTCTCACTGATCGAATCAGCTGTCCCTCTCCGATCCTGAGTCAACATAAGCAAGGCAGCCGAAGCCTCGTGATCAACCCCCTGAAACTCATGCATCTTTTCGCTCGACGCCCATATCGGGCCCAGTGCTGGGCTAGGAAGGGTAGATGAAGCATCCTGTGGGATATGGGCTGAGGGGGCTTGAGTGCGTGGGGAGAAAGACGGGGATGTATCGGGAAATTCTGTGGGAGCAGCGTACAACTCCGGTGATGCAGAGGTGGAGTATGAATAAGCAGAAGAACTTTCCCTTCGCGTGGGCTCGCCTGTTTCTGCGATGAACTCGGGGGATGTTGGTGAGGGCGGTGCGGCAGGAGTGTGGGTTGATCCTCCAGTCTTCATGTCATGGATACATTTCTCTAGGTAATTGACATAGTCAATGCTTGCCTTGTCGGGATAGTTAGTATATATATATATAGTAAAATTCCCGAAAGAAATGTGGCTGATATACCTGAAGAATGGCCAGCTTGTGCATTTCCTGCCCGGTGCAGGCTGGAATCATATCCTTCAATGTCCCGAACTCTTCGTTCATCTTGGACCGTCGTCGACGCTCAATTAAACTGTGTGCGGTCTTGCGGGCGATCTTGCGTCCTGCAGCACTAGTCGCACTTGGCTGTTTCCGTTTAGAGTTCGCTGTGGGGTTGGGAATTGCCTCTTCTGAAGTCTGTGAACTCTGTGAACCCTTGCCATTTTCCCTTGTCCTGGGGGGTTTTGAAGGCGACTTTGGCTTCATCTGAATGATCTTGCGAGTTCTAGTTGGTGGCGGAGGCAAATCAAAATCCTCAAGTGGGCGTTTGATAGATGTACCCGACCGTGCGGTGTGACTCGTACGACGGCCAGAGAGCTCTGGGGAAGTCGGGGATGCCGGGGCATAGGAAGGATCTGATCGGGAAGACTTCCGACTGGCATTGCTCAATGCAGCGGGAGGTAAGGTGAAGGCATCACCGTCGGGCTTATCTTTGATGATGAAGCCGCCCGACATGGCTGGAGTTGGAAGTCGTGACATTGTGGGAAAAAAATGGAGAGGGAAGTGAACAGTGTAGAGTTGTACAGCAAGGGGTGCAGACTATATAACTGTGAACGTCCTCCAGGGCCATATAGATAAGTGTCGCGTGCTTCCAAAGGTTGTGCCCACGAGTTACAACGGGCGACTCTGATTGGTCGAGTGGAGACTCGTGCCTCAGGGAACAAAGGGCATTTGCTGGAGTAGCAAGTGGGGCCCGGAGAGCTTATTAGGAGGTACGAGGTACTTAGATTAGAGTGAGAAAAGGGGTTGACCCCATTGTACTTGGTACCCATTACATCAATTGAGGTAGCCCAGCACGTGCATCAATTGGAGGACAGTCTGCTCTCGATTACACGGACTCACCTGGGCACCTTTATGCTTCGAGAGCATGTGCACTTTTTGCGACTGCATTCTCTCCTATTGGCCGAGAAAGACTTGGATCTGTCTCAAGCCACGGTTACAACTTGAGACTCTGCCATGGAACTTCGAAGCTTCCTTTAGCAGAGCGGGCATTGACCTGCACATGTGGGCATGAGAGTACCCGCTTCCTCTCGACTCATATATGGCACGTGCTTCCTCTCCGGGGATTCTGAGTTTTGCCACAGTCAAATTGTGGACCCAATTCCAGAGAGCAAGCCGGCTCAAGGACAATCCTATGACGGGGAGGTCGGATTCCAACGCTTAGACATACCCCCAACATTTCAATTTGATCTGGGGGCGGCAACAACTCTTGCCCTAGAAAACTATCCCATTATCCTATCCATTTTTAGTGTTTGGCTTTATATCTACGGGTGGTGCCTCACTTGCAAGATATAACGAGAGGAACTGAAATAAAGACAGTCAATTCACTTTTCTAAACAAAAAAACAAGATCCTTAATTCATATCACATGGTCCATAACACTCAACAGTCTCGTTTGTCCATATATATTTTCCCTATCCAATTATATTTACTTGTAGAAATTCTCAGGGTGGCACTTCTCCGTGCATTGCGAGTAAACAGACCAGCTAAAAACAATGTTAGCCCAATTCACAAAAAGATTTTTTTTTCCGAAAGACAGCAACTCACCAAAACTTATCATCATCCGGTACAGCAATTGAGCAAGTCTGAGACTGCAAAGAGCACAACTCATGGCAGCGGTTGACATTAACACGATTCCCATGAGACGATCCTGTTGACAGGGGAGCTCTGCCCCGTGTACCCGTAGTAGTGGCGTTGTGGGGACCAGTTGCATTGGTAGGGACACGGACAGAGATGCGAGCACCGTGGTACGCCCCGGAGAGACGGGGCATTGCAGCGGTGGTGCTGGCCAGGGCAGCGATGCAGACAGTGAAGAAGGTTGTGAGCTGCATTGTGGGAAAGTGTGAAGGATATGAAGAATAATAAGTGTGGATGTTCCGTGAGAATTAATCTGATGCTGAGAATCAAGGTGAGATGACTTGCTATGAGAGTCTTATTCCTGGACCGGACCGTCTTATATAGAAACTGCTTGACAGCTTCGATGCTCTGGGGGCTGGCTTTCAATTCCTGAGCTGCCTGGGAATAGCCTCCTGGATTGTGCAGTGTTGCATATTGGCGAGTATCGTAGGACTATAGTAGTAAGTGTCACGGTCGATCTCCAGGTTATGACATTCCACATTCCTGAGGAGGACTTTGACGTCCCCGCCTCATCTCACAATTTGATCATTGGTTTAATGTGTTGAACAGAGTAAAATCTTTTGATTATGTAGCTATTTGGATGTTCTGGGTTGTATGGGTGGTCGATTGCAGTTATTTCCACGGGAGGTACATTAGGGCATGTTTTGCGCGCCTTGGTGTATGTAATCTATGCCAACACCTCACATTGTACGTACATTCCAGCGGGCGACGATCTCCGGGCATTAACCCAATCATACTCCAGGGTAGAAGATAGAGAAGAAGCTTAGCGTCATACTTGACTTAGTCCGGCGTTATAGTGGATAGGGCTTATTTATGGCTTGATATGACAGGAGTACAGACCACCTGGGCAACTCCCACGGATGGCATTGCTGAGGGCTATTTTGGCGCATTACTACCTCGTTCTATTTAACCAATGGCTCACTAGCATTCACGTACCCAAATATAGGTCGGCCGCAGCAAACAATGCTCGAGATTGCTTGGGGGATATTCTCAGTCCAAAAAGAGAAAGCATATTTCAGTCTCTATAGAAATCAACAGCTATATACGTCTATACCCACCAGATGTGTTCCCCTCTTATCTATCAAACGGAGATTACTTGAAGAGCCTCTCAATGATGACATTACCAAAGTTCTCTTCCCCAGGAGACCCATCCATCCGCCAGATGCGATTGCCAGCACGGCCACTCAGCCAGAGACCATGGTCACTCGAGCTCTCCTCGTCACCCTCGATGCGGTGACGGTTGCGACGGTCAACAACGCACATACCGCGAGTCCACTGGCCCAAGGTGTCGATTCGAATATCCTCAGGCGAGTTCGCTGAATAAACCCACTTCGGGTCTTCGGATGTCAAAGCATACCAGACGCACACAGGATCGTGCAGACTCAGCATAGCATCGTCACCAACATGTCCACGGTGCAGGCGCTCCAAGGTCCTGAAGGTGTGTCCCATGAAGGCATCCACCCACTCGGCAAGCGGGGAGCCGGCAGCCAGAAGAGGCGTGATGGCCTCCCGGAACTGGCCGCGTGATAGATTGTGGCGGAGGGTGATGTCCAGCGGGAAAAGACGCAGAGTCAGTTGCCGGCTGAGGCTTTTGGGGTACGGTGGGAGTCGGTCGCTCTTTGTCGGTGGGACTGTCGTGTGCGGGTTGGGCGAGGTGAGTGCGAAAATACGCGCGGCTGCTACTGCGTCCGCGTAGGCGTTGAATTCGCCCATTGGTGTCACCTATTAACAATATCAGCCAATATTTCTCGATGTTTCTTAGGTTTGAAAAGGGCTTGGCTCACATTTCCTGGCTCGTTGATAGCACCGCCCATGACGACCACCTCTTTCACGCGGAGGAATGTCTCCGGGTCTTCTGCTGCAGCCAAAGCCAAATTAGTGAGTGGGCCCACTGCTACCAGAGTCACTGAATCTGGCTCATTATCACGGAGCGCGCGGAGAATCTCCTTATATGCCGGAAGCTTGGACGGGATGAATGCGTGGTCGTCGGGGCCTGAGCAGTCCTCGGCAGGCTTAATTGCCTCGCCCCCCAGAGTTTCAGCGAAGAGGTGCTCCCACGCCTTACTAGCGGTGAGATGTGGATGCTATTTAAAAGTCAGTATCGTTTACTTGTTTCTAGGCCATAGCAAATGCCCGGTTTTATATGGGGCTTGACATACCGTTGCATGAATACCACCAAGTCCGTCGATTCCATCTGCGGGGATGTCAATAAATAGTGTCTATGGTATGGTAGAGCAATACATACGGAAATAGTCTGCAAGCATTTTCTGGTCTTCAAGAGGGTCCGCTGCACCGACAGCCATGATAGGACGGAAAGCTCTCAAGCTGCCGAAGCCTTCGGGCCGGCCGTTCTCGCGGCGCCACTGCATCTCCCGCTCGAGGATGTGGAACATTGACACTGCATTGCGAAGACAGCTGCATATCAGGTCAGAAAGTGTACTTTTCCAAATAAAACGATCCCTTACTTCTCCACCTCGATGTTACCGAATGTCAATGAGATGAGGAGAACCTCTACCTCCTCCGGGGTGGCGGACAGAGCCAGCAAAAGGGCGAGGATATCGTCAATGCCCTGTGCTATGGTCAATTCTGAAGATATGGCAATGTAGTTTGAAGGAACATACCGGATCGGTATCAATTATAATCTTCTTTCCCATGGTGAATGTTGTTGACCTTCAAATGTTCCGAGGTTGGAAGATGACAGAAGTGGGAGCTTATCGATGTTATCGGCTGCGGGGGTTTCGTCAATAAACCCCGCGTGGGCAAATCATACATTGGACACTTTCAACGGTTATATTAGGGCTCCACTGTTATGGAATAATATTTATGTTGCAGTCCGGTTCTAAGCGATGGGGATCATGGTATATACCCAGAACGAAGAAATACATACTAATCTAGGCTTGGGGCCAAAATCCCGGTGACCGACGGCCCCCGGATTGCCAACCCGACCCCTGTTATCAGCTCGAGTCCACCAGATGGGAGATTCAACGCCTAGGCTCGGGAGAAATGTCTATCATTTGGTAACAAAATAGTGCCTTCCCGCAAAGATTTGCTGTGCAGAGCACTTTTGGAAGGATGAAAGTGATCAGGTAATTGGGATTGTTACTGGAACATGCACCTTGAGCCAGTCATCCATAACCAATGTCGCAGGATAGGTGGAATCGCCAAGCCGTAGGAGCATTTGCATATGGCCCTCGAAACTTTCGCCCTCGAACACGTGCAAAGCAACATCGGTACCTGCAGCTTCCAGCGCCGCAGATAGCTCAACAGCCTGGCGAATATCACCTTGCCTGTGGACTTGGAGGAGCAGAAAAGCGCCTGCATTTGGCGCGCGGGCATGGTAAGTAGGTGACACAGCCTTTAGCCGTTTCGGGTCAGTGCCGAGCCCTTTGATTGTGCTGTCCGCTACCGGCCCCGGACTATCGGTGATCTCCGCCAATGCGTTGTAATTTGAGCCGTCGAGAGAGATAACCGCGCGCACAGTATGGATACTGACCCCTGCCTTCTCCAGGTATCTTTCGTCGGTCCCCAGCAGCGTGACAACGTGTGCACCGGAACTGTGTCCCATAAGAATGATTCGTTGGGGATCAAAGTCTAGTCTGGCCGTATTTCTGACAAGGTAACCCAGCGAGTCGGCCACCTCCTGCACCTGCTCTTCCACTGTCACGGATGGGATGAGTGTATAGTTGACAGTGGCAAAGGCATAACCCTGGCCCGTCAAATGAGCAACTTTGGCCGACCCGATCGAGTCCAAATGTGTCCCTGATCGCCAACTGCCACCATGAACAAAGAGGACGATCGGAGCATTGGGAGACTTGGGCTTCCAATAGCGGAGATGCTGGGCGTCCCCATTTCCATATGTCATGTCCACGCCTCCGGTTGGCTGATCGGTGTTCATTGCTAAAAGGAGCTCCTCTACCCTAGCCCCCGTAATGTTGTCTGTCGTTCTTTGGAAGATTCTCGGCCCAGTTATCTCTTTCCCTTGGGCTGCTATCGCAATGGGAGTAAGGTCAGATGCGATCGACGGATCAACCTCGGGGTGCCTGGCCGATGGGCTGGCTGTGACCCCTGTGTTTTGATTCATGGTCACCGTTTATGTTGCGTCCAGAGAATGTTACTGTGAGTTGGGCCTTGCAATAGTTTTGAAAATCACAGCAAGGTAATTGGGGAAGTCGGAATTGGAGAGGGATTTTCGTTTTCTGATAGTTCAAGGTACATTCGAACTATTTAACAAGGACTTCTGGGGCTTGAAGCATATGCAATTTTGAGACCAAATGTCGTTCGAATATACCCCGCTTCATCTACTACCCCTGCAATATTCCTCGCTGTTTCTGATTTATTCAGCGCCCCTTCCATTCAGTGCTGCTATGATTCCATGCCAATCAACAGACTTGGAAATGACTTTTCAATAGATGAGAAGTAGAAAAGTACGCTTCTTCAATTCAATTTCATACATGTTCAAGCTTTTACCTCCGTCACATGCACTTTATAGGTTTTTATATCTGGATAACTCAACACCCTCGTCATAGACACATTAGATTCCTTGGATGATATTCCTATAAGAAGTAAATAAAATCTATATGATTAGACTACTTTGGATATATTTCTTCCGACAATCGAAACCCAATTAGCATGAGCCACAATGGCTTCCAAGGTTCTTAGATCTTAGTAGTCAGCCGGTCAAAGAAATTATATAGTCTTGGAAAAGTGGAACAGAAAGCAAAAATGAGAACAAAGAAGAATACATGGAGCACGTTATAGCCAATAGGACGCAAAAGAGTAAGAAACTAGTCTGATATGTCGAAGACTTGCATATTCAGATTGCATTCTAAGGAGTGCATGACGGGCGAACCAATCCCAGCCCTCTTTTCAAGGTGCCGCTGCATGATGCAAGTCTTAGACTCGTTGACCAGGATTCGATACGCTTCACAGGCGTCAAATGCATGACTTGGCCCACCAATTGGACACGGTTGTCCGTTCTGGCCGGTACAAAACTCTTTTCCTCGTGGTAGGCGTGAGGGCACCCTGTAAGGGGTAAAAGAAACATTTGAAGAGAGATCCCCTGCCGGATCGGCAATCTCCAAGCTTCCCGGGTCCCGGAAAAATTAATCAGATGTTAAACAAATAAATGCTCAGGAGGTCCTTTTACGACCCAGAACGCGCTAGTAAGATATAAATCGGTTTAGAGGGAAAGCGGAGAGAAGACAGGCGGAGACGTGGCCTGTTCACTTTCAGTGAAAGTACATATCTCCTCATATCTTGGAGCTATTAGCTTGGAGATTAGCCAAAGCACGCACTGTTCCCCAGGTACGGTGTATGTTGAATACATAAATATATTGATGACAGCTTGCACTCGGTACCCGTGGACGGCAGTCAATGCTCAGATCTCCATACCGTATGAGCATCACATTCTTCATTGGCCAAGTTTCTATAAATTAGGTAGAAGATCGAGTGAATATTGAGACGATATATGTAAACTTCAATAATATTCAGACAAAAGAACAAAGCCAAGTAGACCAGGTCCAGAATATGTGCAATTAATTACTCCAAAGCCAAGGGCTTGGTAACTTACCATTACCGTCACAGTACGAGTGGATCTGCCACGGTTGCCCTTTCCTCTACTCCTCGCCTTTCCTCCTTTCTCAACTTCTACACTCTTCAAACTTCTTCTCTTGTTTATCCTGCCTTCCTGCGCTATTGCGCTATTCCTATTACTACTATCCGCGGTATCCTCACCCCGCCCATTCTCCCATCCAAGCGTACTCCGGTCAATTGACCGACGCCTTGGAATCTCGTCTTGAAGACCTTCCCTCCGGATAAAGCTTCTGTAGCTGAGCGCAATTGTCTCGGCTTTCGGTGCGCGTGCGCAATTGTCCTAGCATCTCATCCGGCAACTTTGATCCCACATCCCCTCTCGACCAACGCACATCCTCCGGCCTACATAAGTTTCACTCGGACAGTAAGTTCCATGCTTGCAACTGCCTTGACAACGTTGATGGTACTGACTTATGAGTGCACAGCTCTATGACCATGAATCCCTACATTAGCTGGGCGATCTTACTCGTCGTGGCAGGTGGCCTCGGCTGGTACTACACCAATGGCACAACCCCCAAGGCCAACGTGATTCGAGCTGCCGTGGAGAAAACAGAGGCCACTGTAGCACCCAAGAAGTCAAAGCGCAAGTCTAAGCCTGCTCCCGAGCCGGTTTCCGCCAAGAAGTCCGAGGTGCAGACCGTCGTGTCGCCCCCCACCACCGAGGACGAGAAGCCAGATGAGGAAATCGACCGCAAGGAGATGGCCCGCCGCATGGCCGGCCTGAAGACCAACGCTCCTGCTCAACCCGCTCCCACAAAGAGTCAGAAGAAGAACAAGAAGAAGGCTTCGCAGCTCGATGCCAGCGACACCCGTGCCTCCTCGACCACTGGCGCTGAGGCTGACGACGATCTGTCTTCCGCCGGGTCTCCCCCGGTGAATGCCACTGTCCCCTCGGCCGGGTATGTTTCCGACATGCTGGAGGCCCCCGCCCCCGGTGCATCTGTGATCCGCGTTACTGGCAATATTGAGAGCCAGCCTAAGAAGCAGAAGGTTCAGACTTTCAAGGAGGTGGAGACCAAGAAGCAGCGCCAGCAGCGTCTCAAGAACGAGGCCCGCAAGCAGCAAGTTCAGGAGGCTGAGGTTGAGCGCAAGAAGCTGCTTGAGAAGCAGTTGCACACCGCTCGCGAGTCTGAGCGCCGCGAGGCTGCCCGATCAACCGCACCCGCTGCCAACGCTTGGCAGACCAAGGAGAACACTGCTCCAGTCAAGACCAACGCTGCCAATGGCGGGTCCCGTCCTGCTCCCGTCGCCCCTGTCGCTCCCGCCTCTCAGGGCCTCCTGGACACCTTCGAGTCCTCTGCTGTCCCTGCTGCTACCAAGTGGGCTCAGAACCTTCCCTCGGAGGAGGAGCAGATGCGCCTCTTGGGAGCTGCCAACGGTGATGACGAATGGACCACCGTCTCCAAGGCCAAGAAGCAGCCCAAGAAGAAGGGCGGCAAGTCTGACGAGAGTGTCAGCGAGACCAGTGCCTCGGAGAACCAGTTCACCCCTGTCGCTCCTGCCCCTGTTGAGCCACGTGTGACGGTGACCCCAACCTACCTCCCCGACATCTTGCGCTCGCGTGAGAAGGGCCACCCACTGGACTCTGACTGGGCTGCGTGAGCAGTTTCCTCTGTCATGAAGTCTTTCTCTTTCATTCTTTCTTCATCTTGAACTGTATTTATTACCCTTTTTTGTTTTTGATTTTTCTTTTTTTTTGGCGTTCTGGGGGTGTCACATCATTCGAGCACTCTCCCTCCCCTCAACAATCGGGGCCTGGGAGACTGCCATAACGCATTAGGAGCGGAATTGGTAGATTTTCCTTGCAAGTTGTGCAAGGAGGAAGAACTGCACTGCGGAAACAAAAGCAGAATTGCGGGAATGGATCTGACGCTGTGTTTGTGCCCATTTTTTTTTTTTTTTTTTTGTTAGTCTAGCTAGCAAAATCTGTATTGCAATGAAATCATAACCAATGCTTGATCTAAAACAAAATAAAGCGCAAGAATGTAGAGCTTTCAATTCTTCAAATAGTATATAGATCATCATAGACCCTGTGTCGTCACTATTCCAAAAGGGGTTTAGCGGCCAGTTCCGGTCATCGTGGCCTGAAGTTGCTTTGTATACAACTCCTTGGTATTTGCTCCTGTCTTAGACTTCTTCTTCCCCAACCTGTGAGAACTCAACTCCAATTTCTTCTTCTTCTTCTTCTCAATCTCTTTTTTGTTTTATTCTTCTGCCATGGCCCAAATTCGTGGCACTGCGGGCTACAACCTCGGCCACCAAAACCCGTTTGGCGGGCCCGGTAGCGCAGATGCCACCAGCGACCCAAGTCCGCTCGATGCAATCCGCGAGCAGACAAGCAAGATTGAGGACTGGTTGGACACCTTGGCCGATCCTGTGAAGCCGTACGTTCCAAGTCCACTCTTTGTTTTCATCTTTTCATCTTCTCTTTCTACCCGTGCCGTGGACCGAGTCGCGAGAGAGCTCAAAACAAGGGATTCGAGACATGCACTAACACCCTGTTCTTTCGCTCTCTAGCTACCTTCCCGCCATCGGCCGATTCCTGATCGTGGTGACCTTCATCGAAGACTCGCTGCGCATCCTCACACAATGGAGCGATCAGCTCCTCTACCTCCGTGATTTCCGGAAGAGTAAGATACTGCCCTTGCTTCCGGACCCTGACCCGCGCAACCTAGGGCCGAGGGTCTCACGCTACCTCTATATAGCTGTCTAACGCGCTTTTCTTTTGCTGGCTTTAGTTCCGTGGGGAATCACGCATACCTTCCTTATCGTCAATGTCATCGCCATGGTCGTTTGTTCGACTCTGGTCATCGCCCGTAAACGCACCGAGGTCGCCGTTGCAGGATTGCTCGCCGTCGTCATCACACAGGGTCTTGGATACGGCCTCATCTTCGACTTGAACTTCTTCCTTCGCAATCTGAGTGTTGTAGGCGGTCTGCTTATGGTCCTGTCCGATTCGTGGGTGCGCAAGAAGTTCGTCCCCGCCGGTCTGCCCCAGCTCGATGAAAAGGACCGCAAGATGTACGTCCAGTTCGCTGGTCGTGTGTTGCTGATCTTCCTTTTCGTCGGGTTCGTTTTCTCCGGCGAGTGGAGCTTCTGGCGCATTCTGGTCAGCTTGTTCGGTCTTGTCGCTTGTGTCATGGTCATTGTTGGCTTCAAGGCCAAGTGGAGCGCCATTATTCTTGTGGTCCTGCTGAGTCTGTTCAACGTCTTTGTGAACAACTTCTGGACGGTATGTTTACTGGGCAGTTGATTATATCTTCGATTACTGATAATTTCGTCTAGCTGCATGCCCACCACCCGCAGAAGGACTTCGCCAAGTACGACTTCTTCCAGATCTTGTCGATTGTGTATGTTCCCTCTTCCCAATAGTGAGAAATGTTCAACGCTAATAATGCACAGTGGCGGTTTGGTCCTACTCGTCAACATGGGCCCCGGCCAATTGAGCATGGACGAGAAGAAGAAGGTCTACTAGAGCAGAAGGAGGTCGAAACGCGATTCCCCTTCTCTCTTTATATCTCCCGGCAACTGCATCCATCTAGCAAACACAATGAAGAGGGAAAGAAATTAACAAAGGGCGGTATGGCTGGTGCTCCGCGGGCTCCGAGCATCTCGATACGGGCCCCCTTGAACCCTTGGCTGGTTTACAGAGGCTATGCGTGGCCGGGTTGGGCGTTGTTTGCATTTGGGATAATTTTGAAACGCCGAGGAGATCCAACGATCTACTCTCCCTTGCGTCCTTTCTTTTTGAGCTGTTCTACCTCGAACTTTAGTGTCCTGGTCTCTTGTTTCATTGAGGTCAAAAACACATGTCCTCTGCATACGAAGTTTTTGACGTGCATTTGAATTGCATCTATCACGAAGACAAGTTGAATCGAAAATTTAACGCCGAATGCGACGCATATCTGCATGAACCTTTGCCTCTGGCATGCCATATTAGTAGAGTACAATGGTTATGTCTAATAAGACTACCTAGAAGCACTGAGCCTATGTTGAAAGTTACCCTCTATATATCCTTCTTTGCCCCATTGTTAAAACCACGTACATCCTTCTACGTAGAATATACTTGCTGAAAAAGATTGACTAGTATAACCTGGGCCCTTTTATGCCCTGCTCTATATGAGATCTATGATCTTTTGATGATATGTTGCCAATGTTGAGTTTTATGATATAGATGCCGAGTGTTCAAATATACTCTAAATATCTGGATGAAGGACAGCAGCATCTGGACTTGTTTAAGGAACACTAAGTTGGAAGAACCATTGCAATCTATCTGCATTATATAGTATTCATCTAGCCTGAGTCAATGTCTAAAAGGAGAAAAAACATCAATTGCTGTTCGAACGCTATGTACTGGTAACCCAAACAGAGGGAGGGAGTGATTATGGTACAAGGAAGAGATAATATCTAGGGATTGAAGGAAAGCAGAAGAATAGAAAAGAGAATTCTGAAAGGCCACAAAGTGCTGAGGGAAAACAAGAGACAAGGAAAAGGAGTGTGAAATGATAGGAAGGAGTGCTGTCGCGATAAACTCGCCCGTGCTCTTGTCGTTGCGCTGAATCAACAGAGGAACTTTTGCAGGCGATAAAAGGCATTTCGCTTTTATATACTGGACCAGCCAGATACATGCCTATGTCGGATTTGAGGTCCCGACAGCAAGAGGGTGGGTGTATGCTTCGAGGGATCAGGTCGAGGGGAATAAAAGACAAAAAAAGGCAAATGCTCACTGGTCTTGATGCTTCAAAACGCCGTATAGAATGGAAAGGGAGATAGAGGTTTTTTCGAGGAGGTAGGATTTGTGTTCGAAAGGACTTTAGATGTCCATGCTCCAACGCCATGGGCGAATGGGCTGTAATTGACCAAGGCCAATATCATCGCGGTGGTCGTCGTTGATCTCTACGTGTAGCATGTGGACCTTCTTGTTGTCTCGGTGCATTGTGGAGAGAGTTTTCGAGATTTGTGGACGGTAGATCTTGTCAATGTCATCTGTGGCTTTCGATTGAGGGCGGGATGCTGGAGTTTCGGGGTATTTCCATTCAACACTCGGAGAGTCATCCGAGTTGGAGGTGGAGAACATAGAGTCAGTTCGAGAGTGTGATTCTGGGTCTGGACCATCGGAGTCGATACGGAGTCGAGTCAGCGATGGCCGACGAGGTCGATGGTTCTGAGTGGTGTCATCGACCGCGCCGTCACCAGTCTCGCTGTTTATTTTTTCGGTCTCGTTCTCCCTGGCCACGCTCTTGGGTGCCCGGGATAAAGTCCCAAACCCCCCGAAAGTATCACCAGTCGGCGAAGTGACAGAAGTGATGTCTGCTTTACCGGCCATCACTCGGGCACTTGGTGGCGGCTGGAGCATCCATCTGGTATCGGCACGGCTACACGGTCCACTAACAATGGGCGGGTGGAGGTCGTTCACAGGCGGCACGCGGGGGATGTAGTACTTGGATGTTTCGTTCGGGTCTGCACGACCGCGTCCGGAGAATCCAATGGATGATCCACGGACTTCCTGTTGTCCCCAAAGAGGCTCATCCTCCCGTTGGTAGCGCATCGACTTCCACTTCTCGCCGAGCGGGTGCATCAGGCCACCACTCTTGTCTTTCTTGAGTTGCGAGCTCTGGTCGGTATTCCAACTATCCGTTCGTTGAACATTGCGGTGACCACCCCGACGGGCTGGGGGACCAGGGCCTAGGGAGATTTCCTCCCGCCAGCCTACATTGGTACTGAAAGGGGTTGGTTGTGCGAATGGACGGGGTTGGTCGGTGATGAGTTCGTTGTTGCGTCGCTCCTTCTCCTTCTCCCGCTGGACCCGGGAAGCATCCTTTCTACGTTTCCGACGATCGATATTTTCGGCGCAGGGGGTGCAAGTGACATAGTAGAAGACTGCGGACTGGGCGCCCCGATAGAGCCACATGGCTGGCGCGGGGGATGGAGTGGGGAATATCGGTTTATTTGGGCTTTGTGGCTAAGAGTAAACCGTCGTTCACGACGGGCTATCAGCCCGGGAAAACAGTTGGAATTGAACCGGTATTCGCTCGTTGTGTTGAAGTGATACTATCGGACACATGAAGGGCTGAGCGGATAGGGGGGGGAAACTGCGGAAAGGGGGATAGAGAGATAAAAGTAGGAATTGGAGATCGCCCAGCGATCTGTAGGGCCAAGAGAGGGTAAAGAATAGTTGGGAGAGAGACAAAGTAAGAAAAGGAAGTTGGTGAGATGTGAAATGGCAATTAGGGGAGGTCTGAGGGGGCGTCGGTAGTTTCTGCCTGGTGTTTCGCCTTAAGTTTTTTGAACTTTTTTACTGTTTGCGGCCTAAACTGGGTATACATATATGCAAAGGCAGGTATATGAACAATTCATTCTGACCGACTACTCTTCTTTTAAAATCTTCCTATTACCCTACATTATACACCTCACATTGCCACAGTAGCCTCCTAACTTACTGCGCCAAGGCCCGACAGGGGGGCGCGTAAGAAACCAGGTTATAAAGTCGTACAAAATCATATACGGAGTACAACATAGTCTGATTGACTACTCCGTATGTATGTAATATGACTGCATAGTTCTCTATATCTGGCTCTCTTTGTATTGGGATCATTTTCTTTCTTTCTATGAGGGTACTCCGTATGTATGTACTCCGTACTCCGTAGACCGTTTTACGAGATAGTCTTGGCATCTTCCCGCGTGGAGTCGAGGAATGTGGCTGCGAACGGTAGGAAATTACTCCTTAATAAAGAGAATGTAGAAAATGGAATGGTAATTCACGCCCCTATATCGAATCATACTGCTGATGTAAATTCACATTCCTCTGGAACGTAGGGGCCGCCCAACATCTCATACTTGGGAACTTGGAAACTCGGGAGAGGCAAGTAGAATCCGGCCCCCCTGTTGTAAATTCACTGTCTTTGTGCCCAGCGTCGTCTGTGCTCTTACCCCCGCAAAGTCATTCAAGGGGCAAGAATGCCGAGTTGATGGCAAACCCCCATGTGCAGCCCCTCCTATATGCTTTGGCCGTTGCATCAATTGCACATCATGTCAGAGCAAGTCATCGACAGCTGAGAGTTCGCTGTAGGGTTCGCAACCAACGGAAAATAATCAAAACATGGCAGATCGACATTTAACACCCAGCGTATCTGCGCATCGTTGTAGGGCCAAAGGCCAAGGGCCAAGCCCGCAACGGCGGATTCAATAGTAAAGGGCCACGCAACGCTGGCAAACTCTAGGATTCATCGGCTTGCTGAATCGTTGTATCGCATGCAAATGGTTTCCCCAAAACGCCCGAAAAATGACAATGGAAAATAGCACCGTGCAAACACCGCTCATACATTCTTCGTGTCTCGGATTACCTCGCCTTTCACCTTGGACCAGTCGATGTCTCCGTCCATTTTTTCGTCTATTTCACCGCACACCACGACATTGTCACCGCGGATCAGGTACAGCCCATGCTCGATTTCGGTCGAGGGCTCGTCGTCGTCTGGGGTGCGGATGATACGTTCGACGGTATTAGCGAGGACAAGATTGGTCGTTTGGTCGGTTGACAGAAGATCGCCGATGAGTGTGCGGCCGTCAACTGTGAGGATGAGGACTTTTTCTGTTCGGTCGAGGTTGGTCAGCACTTGGTCTATGTAGGAGATGGCATGTGTAAAGCATTCCAGCTAACTGCAAAAAAAACTCACTATTGACGTAAAAGTGGAGAGACATGTTGGGTGGGAGAGCGGCGGTTCAACAAGAAGCAAGGGTATCTCAATTTTGCGGTTGATGAGGTAGAGGTAGATGCACCGCTGAGTCGGGGTCAGGCTGTATCTCGAGCTCGGTGGTGGTCCTATCACTAAGCTTGGAGTAGCTCTCTTGCTGTGCGTGAGCAGGAGAGGGTTCGTGGATCTCGTTCACTTCGGAATCCGTCACTTCGCGCAAAAAGTGTTCGCCGAGGTAAAGAGCCGGATTGGTCGCGGTTGGTCGTAGCGCGGCAATGTTGACTTGCTGAGAATTCTAAAGCTTGCTGAGGAAAAATCAAAGCTGTAGGAGCTCCGTTTAAAGTTCCGAGGCCAATAGAATGTGAGGTGATGGCAATGGCGCGGAGCGGGTCGGTGCTGTTTGTCGAATCTCAAGTGAAGATTGCGAGAGTCTTCCTAGTTGGTAACAATAAAATTATGAAGAGACGCGAGTCGGTGATCTCGACTGATAGCGAGGGGATTGGTGGCAGCGCGTGTTTTGGTACTTCATGGTCGTTTTCCAAGATGGACGATTGCCATCCCCGATTCGATCACGTGTGGAAGCTTATGGGAGAGGTGGATACCACATCATTTTATACTGTTTAATGAAAGGAGATCAACGAGTTTTATAAGTTGGAAAAAGACGAGTTTTGTTGTACAAACTTCGCTACAGTGACAATGAGCTACATAGATGACTCTAGCGTAAAAGGATTTATGTATAGCAATTCACTATGTGTGCACGATATCGCCCGCAATTTCCCATGCACTCCAATCAGCCTCGCAAAGCACTCAGATCCAAAGGAACACTGCTGCCCCTTCCAGCGCGGTATCGGCGGTCTCCACCAATAAATTGCCGTGGTTTGGGGAGCAGCCCATCGCTTTGGAATTTGAATCGCGGGTCTTCTATTCGGACTGGACCATGTGCATGTGTTGAAGGGCCCCATGAGTTTGGTGCAGGCGGTCCACCATTGGAAAGTGTATACGCGCTAGGGTCCAGCGCTGCAAAAGGTTCGTGAGAGACAGGTCGAGAGGAAACAGGGGATGGTCGGGATAGCGGCTCGCTTGGCGGAGCTGCAGGGAGTGAAGTTGGAGGCGGTGGTGGTGGAGCACCTGGGGCAGCTGATGGGGGTGGCGGGGGAGGTGCCGAAGGCGAAGAATGTCCCAGGGCGGAACGAGCAGCCTGCGCAGCAATTGACGGCGGGGCTACTGAGGGGGGGAGGAGGTGGTGTCGATCTAGAAGCAGCCGGCGGGGGAGGAGGTGCCCGAGTCGCGGGGGCTGATGGGGGAGGTGGCGGGGGTCCGGACGGTTTTCTCGATGTAGGCGGTGGAAACTTGCCCGGTGCTGGAGGTGGAGGAGGCGCACGTGGAGGCGGCGCTTCAGGGGCCTTTGTAGCTGGCACTGAAAATGTAGATGAGGATCGTGAAGCAGGTCTCGGCGGAGGCTTCTTCAAGCCAGCAACCAAATGATTGACCGGTGGTGCAGGCGGAGAATCGGTCGATGAGGGACGGGGAGGCGGCCTGGCCCCGGGAGGCCTAGGAGCTGTTGGAGGCTTGGGAGCTGATACAGCAGAATCAGAGATATATGGCGAGTCTCGATTGGCACCTGTATCGACACCTCCACGACTGCGTAACTTGGGCATCCCACCAGCGAATATCCCCCCTAATTGCGGTGCAATTGCACTGGCTGCACCATCTGTCCCAGAAACTCCTTCGCTGTTACTGCGTAATCGATTCGCAGCAGGGCCGGATGGTACAGGCGGTGCAAGCCCGCTTGGAGGCGGCCTCGCGCCAGGAACAGGTGGTGCGCCCGCAATTGGAGGAGCTGCTGAAACGCCTCCTGAGCTTCCGACTATAGGTGCTGATCGATCATTGGTAACAGCCTTCTTCAGCCTAGCGCCCTTGTGAATATCAGAAAGAAGTGCGCCCTATCCATAGGTTAGCTACCGAGTTCCTTGAGCAACAAGCTGCTTGCGGCAATGAAACTGAAGCACCCCATTTACCTACCCGGTCTTTAGCCTGTCCTTTAGGAGGTCTGCCTGGGAGACCACCTGGAGGGGGCGGCGGGGGAGGACCGCCCAAACCTCCCGGCGGCGGCGGCGGCGGCGGCGGGGGAGGAGGTGGCATGGTTGGGGATCAGATAAGGAGATTATCAGGTAGACGGTTGCATATAATTCAGAAAATAATCAGGTCGGGAAGATGTGTTCCTTGGATAGAAGGACCATGAAGTTGTTAGGCAGAGAAGTAAGAAGACGTCAGGGTACGAGTACGGGGAAGTGGACAGCGCCGGGGCGAAGTCTCCGCCTGGACTCTCCCATCGGAAAAAAATACAGCTGCCTTACAACGTCACTCATCACCACAGCCATGAAAAGAGTTGCTCTAACAGCCAATAAAGGCTCCCGGCCACAGGGCTCGATCTGTCAAATATGTCAATTCTCGACTTCGGCGCCCCGTCGTGGTCTCCCTATCGCGCGTCTACCCACCGCTCGCGCAAGTCGAGCAGCGGCCTCCAATCTCCGTTTACAGCCCTCGAAACGAACCGATAAATTGGTATTAGGCTCTCCTCTGCTTATTTCCAGCCGATATGCTTCCGCTGCAACCAAGAAGATAAGCCCAGAGGCTGCAATCAAAGAGATTGCGCAGGATGCATCTGCCGTGCACCAATCGAACGCGGTGGCCTCCAACGCGGTGGTAGTAGAATTGCTACAAAGATGCCAGCGGGTCGCCGAGTCCCTTGTCTCGCGAGAACGGGATCAAAGCGAAGGGTCCTCAAAGGGCAAGGGCAGCGCGATCTCTTCTTTACTGGACCTAGAGGAGAAGCAAACCGCCGCAAAGAGCAAAGGCAAACCACAGTCCTTGCAACACCCGGACCCACAACTGGCAGATGCAGTCTCACAAATTGCTATTGAACTTTTGAAGGACGAGAAGGTCTTCATTTCGCCTGAAGCTCTGTCCTCCTGCACCGAGACCCTGACTATACTGCGACGGGCCGAGCACTTCCCCGAGATCTTCCACCTTTACGCCTACAAGGCTGTCCCAGAGGAGGGCAGCTCTCCAGTGAAGTTCCTGAAGGCCAATCCCAAGAGTATCAACAGCGCCGTTCCGGCGGAGCTAGCTAACAAGGCTCTTGGGGTCGCCATTGCACAGAAAAACCTCTCGCTCGTGCTAGCCATCATCGACAACACTTTCTGTGCCCCCGCCTTCCACCGCGCGAAGATCTTCAAGAAAGCCGGCGTCCCTCTAGCCGGCCTTGCAGCTGCCCCGGCTGCTTGCTATGCTCTCGCATCATGGGCCGCAACATTCCAGAACACAATGGACCCGAACGTAGCGACTGGTATTGCGTTCGCCGCTACACTGGCTTATGTTGGCGGTACATCCTCCATGGGTATCTTGGCTATCACCACGGCTAACGATCAGATGGAGCGTGTGGTCTGGATTCCTGGCATCCCTCTGCGGCAACGGTGGTTGCGCGAGGAAGAGCGTGCTGCCATGGATAGGGTTGCTGTCGCGTGGGGTTTCACGGATCCTTATATGAGAGGTGAGGAGGTTGGCGAAGAGTGGGAAAGTCTTCGTGAGTTCATTGGCATGCGGGGCATGATTCTGGATAAGACCGAATTGATGGAAGGCATGGAGTAACTTGATTCCCTGCATGTGTATCATAAAGAGTCTCTTGTTTCACATATAATGAGCAATGTAAAATACAATTGCAAGATTTATCTACAGCTACGTTATACCAGGGGTAAGATTACGATACGGGGATAAACAAATTGAGACCGATCATGAGCTTCATATTTTTTTTTCAGTCGTGAGACGATGACATAAACCCAGTTCTCAGGCCCAAACTAGAAAACACCGGCGCAGTTAAGCGACAGATAATCTAGTAGACACGGTGGGGGGGAGACATGGAAGCCTTGATGACAAGACTGCCAACGTTCTGCCAGCCCTTCTTGAGGAGGGAGACGAGGTAGTTGATGGCGAGCATGAGGTTGGCAACAAGGGCCTCCTTCTCCATCTCGACGTGACCGATGGCAACACCGAGGCACAGAACCTTCTTAAGCTGGAACTTGATGGTGGACTTGACGTCGGTGACCTTGGCGGCCATGTCCTCAGCGTGGGAGACGGGAGTAGGGAACTTTCCGGCCTTGGAGAGACCGGGACCGAGGAGACGGGGAATCTGCTTGATCAGAGCCTCGGAAGCAAGGAAGGCATCGTACTTGCGAGCAAGCTTCTTGATGAGCTTCTTGTTCTTGTTGAGCTTCTTGAGATCCTCAACGGACATGGCATCGATGCTGTGGTGCTTAGCACGGTCAAGATCGTGCTGGTCACCAAGAATACTAGATTTCGTCTGTTAGCTTCTGTGTTCATTTGACGTGTAGATGTCATTCGCTGCCGATCATCGTAAACCGATGTAAAATTTTGCGCAGCGGGGCGGGTTGCCGAGGGGAAACGCACCAGATGGCCATGTTGGGGCGGGGGACGGTAGGCAGCTTGATGGTGCCAGAGAAACGCTTATCACGCTGGGGATCGTAGTTCTTCAGGCCGATCTGAAGCTCAACGGTCTCGTTGAAGTTACGCTTCTTCTCATTGAGAGAGTAGTTGAGAAGGTTCTCGACATTGGCGCGCACTCCGGCTGTAAAGAGGCAAGGGCAGTTAGTGGCAAGATCATGTATTTGAGGGCATGATATGAAACGAACCGACTGTGATCTTGGACATGATTGCTACAGTCTTCCAAAAGAAGTTGAAATTCTTATGGTATGGCTCTGCGCTGAATGCTTGAGAAAAGAAATTGTCGAGGGCCGTGAATTTCTCCGCTTGTGGGTGTGGACTGGCGCTAGTCTTGATTAGGATTAGCGGTGCCCTAGACGGGATTTCTGCTTGCTGACTCACACTATGGCCTGAGGCATAAACACGAAACGATCCTCCCCAATCTCGGCAAGAGGTACGCTGTATGACTGAGAATGATGTTTATCGTTACTATAAGATTATTCTTAGTTAGATAAATATCATTAAGACTGTCAAAAGAACCCCATAGAGCAACCTTTCGCACCATCATCACGTTGACGAGTCAATACGTCCACGGATACTTCACCCTCACGTCCACTCGCTCATATCACCTTGGAATCTTGGAACTTGTCGCGCATTAGTAACCGTTGACTTGGTTGGATAACAACCTCGGAACATCGGTAACATAACACCTCTTAATGTTGCTCAGCCACGTCAACATCACTGGCTACGACTTCAAGTAACCGCCGAGCCTTGCCTATTACGCTATTCCCTTACTACCTTTCGCAGATCCTTGTCAGAAATGTCGCCCCCAGCTGGAATGATTTCAAGCATTAGATGAATATGGATGATTTCGAGGTAAGGGAACATACTAGATCGTGATTGTCAACCCGTCGGACACGCACGAAACGAAAGGTATACGGAAAGGTCTGGACGGATACCAACTTGGTGATTCCCTCTGGACACAGGATCGGAGCGATAGATACCCAAATAATAAGCATAGACTGCAAAGTTCATATATCTTCAAGTTCACAGCTACCTACGAGTTATGTAGGTACATTCATTATACTCTGTAGGATGTACAACACAAACGCATCGACCAGTTCGCCCCGCCACATGGCCGACCCGCTTATATCGTATTGATCATTACTTTATTATTTATCCTATGTCATTGTTCATGAAAGGAACTTTGTCATTTAATAATGCAAGAATAGCCGGCCGCTTATGCGGCCTTTTTCCTTAACGACCTAAGATTTTAATAGTTTGATCTATTTGGACCAAGATAGTATTAGAGTTGTTATATGTAAGTACCCTCCAAGGTGCTTCTTGTTCTTTTTATATGTCTCAAATGTATACGAAGGCGGTAAAAATAATAAATTGTGTAGACGACTTTTCTACTATGTACCTAGGTATGTATAACCTTTGACTAGTTAGTTATTGTGTGTTTAAATATGTACATTGTTTTCCGCATATCTCCGAAGATCAATCAGCCACAAGCACGAGTCTGTACTAAATGGGTGCATAGTAGTCCAGCTGATTAAATAACATCATTTTCACAAGCTGGCGTACATTTTATTAACTATCGAATACATATATACCAGCGTACAGAGATCTTCAAGACTCCTCATCATTAGCACCTTCTGACCACGGCACAATATATATTGAATATATTGAATAGTCCGGATGACCGACTAACACACAAGCTTTTGCCAAGTAGACGGGTATATAACACAGCAGCTCATAAAATGAACAAATAGGGAGCTAGTTTATCTATTTTAGGAGAAATGTCGACAGGTGAAACAAACTTGACCTGGTCTGCGGGGGCTGCAGATGATCGCAGCGCTTAAACGTGACCGGCGGCAGCGTCAGCCTCAGATGACTGGTCACCCAACCCCCCTTTGGCGTCGGGGGCTATTGCCTAGTATTTTGATTTAATTGAGGCTGTACCCCCAGTGAGATTAGAATATTTAAACCTGACTTTCTGCTTATTCTTTTCGTGATATCCTCCGGGTTTATATTCGACGGTTAAGGTTGTTTATATCTAGGACTCTTCTCTTGACCTCATCCGATACCCCCTCCTGACTTGACAGCTGATCTTTCGACTATTGGCTATTGATTTTTTTCTCTCCGGCCTATTTACAAGACGTTTCTGCAAATTCAGCGTTCGGAAAACCAGTTTGCTTTGCTTCATCATGTCTCATACAACAGATTCGCGCGAGTCAACCGCGCCTCTGGATTATTACTCAAGTCTTGACGATGAGGGCTCGCTTGTGGAAAAGTTCAAGAATATCGACGATAAGACGCAGTTTTATACTGCTATGCGTCGCCTAGAGGATCCTCTTACTCAGAATTTTGTACTCGATTTCGGGAATGAAGAGGCATGGTGTGCATCTGACCTGGGCACCAGCGAACTGAAACTATTGCTGAGTAAACCAGTAAGTATTTTTCCACGACATTCAACTTGATTGATTGTAGGGTCTATCCAATAGTCAAGGTCTAACATGATACAGAGAGACAAGTGTTTCGGTACACGGTGGATGTAAGAGCTAAGTTCTCAGATGTAGTTGAGTGTATATTGACATCGTGATCATAGTAATATATGGGCACCAGAGGAGCAGAAGGAAAGCATAAGGGTAGGATGTTCAATTTCATTGCTATATGAGCAGTAATGACTGACCATGGATTCCCAGGCGATCACTAAACACTATGGAGTATCCGAACGACTACAGGGGATGATGTGCACAGAGCCAGTGTATCCTGCACCCAAAACTACACCTACACCATTACCAACAAAAAGGACTTCGCAATCGCCCAGTGTTGCGCCATCGTTCCAGCACGAAGTGGACGATGCGGAGAATGCACTCAAGCATCTCAACGATCCAGATAAATCCCGCGAGTCGGCGTCATTCAAGAACCTTACCTTTGCACAAGTGACAGACCAAATCTGGCACTTCTCCTCTGTGGACCATGGTCCTCGATGTAAGTATACCATGCCAAAATTGAGTCAGCATAAACGCTAAACAATCCATCAGACACATGTATCGGCTATAATACGTTGTTTGTGATTCCCACACTATCACAACCAAATGGCAAAGATCTCCCGGATGGAAAACGGCTCTGGACCTGGCTAATCCAGTGCGATGATGGTATGAGCCGCACGGCGACACCCCATTTCCCGGGCCTCGAGTGCATCCGTTGACTTGTTTGTAGGCACAATAATCTCGATCCAAGAGAACCCGTTCGCAAGACGAAAGGGAGTGCCAATAGACGAAGCTAAGCCTGTCCTCGACATCGTACGCAGGAACATTCGGTTTATTTTCGCTGGCGTTTCGAGACAGCACTTTGCCATGTCCGAAAGCGAGTCACTAATCACCATACGGGTGCGGCATTTTAGTGACCTCGGACCGGATCAAGCCAATATCAAGCAGGAGGATGGACCGAGCTTGCTTTTCTACTATATCTTCGATGACTGGGTGTCAAGTTATGGACTTATCGCAAAGCGAGAACACAAATATGGCGTTGCTTTGGAGGAATTGGTTAGCATTGTTCCTGCATCACGTTTTGTGAATGTGTTCTGATTATGGCTAACTCCGCGCAGAGAAGCCAAATGCTCGATCGTCCGATAGTGGATTTGGTGAATGAGTTACACTGGCTGGGCCGGCGACTCGCAGTTCTCAAGCGACTGTATCAGAGCTATGAGCTTATCATGCGTCGACTCTTGCAACGGCAGCGCATGCTCCGCGACGAAGCGCGTTCGTCTCCACCAGCCGCAATCTCGTATGGAGCCACCTTTGGCGATATGGAGTTCATGGACATGCGCCAGTCGAGCGTCGTGAGCAATTCTAGTTTCCACAACACAACTGAGAAATCGGTCGGGGTGCAGCTGAGCTCGACAGCTGTGGCGCGCTTCGAACGGTTGGTTGATCGCATCAATCTGTACTGTTTGAGCGAGATTGAGAACTGTCTCAATGAGAAAGAGTCCTTGACGTTCCTGGTGAGTGATTTCCCGGTCTTTATTCCGAGAATTCCTGCTGACGTGGCCTAGAATTTCAACTTGATTGCGCTTAAGGACTCGCAGGCTGTTGAGAAGCTCACTCGAATCACTATTCTGCTGGCTAAGGCGACCATTTTGTTCCTGCCGGTTAGCTTGATGAGTGCATACTTCTCGACGGAACTCATTGGTGTGAAGAAGGGGTACACTAAGACGCAGTACTGGGTCAGTTTCGCAGTGATCTTCGTTACATCCATCTTGCTCTTGACCGTTTTCGGTTATGCCAGCGATACCGTAGAAGGTAAGACGATTTATCGGTCCATGATACGAACATTCTTCCGGACCTCTCGGCAGAAAATGTCGCGACGACGATCAGAAGAACAATAAGAGAAATATGACGCGTGAAGAACCAAAGAGAGAGGTTCCAGAGAAATTACGCAGGCACAGTCGATAAGTGTGGGAAGTCCGGAGCCTATCAGTCCTATCAGAAGACAAGGTGGGACCTCTTTTGAGGGTCTTAGCCCGAAGCCTGGGGCGACTTCCTGTGGTATTTCATTTACGGGACCAACACGGTGTCCTCTTCTAAAAAAACTATATCTTCCCATAGTCCATATAGGCAGAACTATTATGATAGTCATACTATATATATCCGAAAAAGATGTAGAATCATAAGTTGCTTGTTCTGTATCTGTGTCCGCCTCATTTTCTCAACGTGGTTGCGTGCTCTCAAGTAAAACGGGTGACGAAGACTACGCCCACCGCCATCGGTCAGCGTATTTCTGCGTATTCAAAACAAAAACGAAACCCCAAATTTCCCCTTCTAACACCTCTTTCGATAATTCCCCTGAACTTGCATCACTTTACTTCTTAAAAACCAAACTTATACCTTTTTCTGCCGGTAAGTGGTTGATCCGGTTCTAACTGGCTCGTGCTCAGACTTGCCCCCCCCCTGGATCTCTGACCGACAAGTCCACAACACGTTTTCCAACCCCTCCGCTTTTCCCCTTTCAACCACATCCCTCGATATCTCTCTGACCTATCCACTCCTACCAGGATCCGAGGGATTTCTCGTTACCGACAATATGGGTATTACTTTCTCGCGGTTGTTTGACCGGCTATGGGGCCGCAAGGAGATGCGCATTCTGATGGTCGGTCTTGACGCCGCCGGTAAGACCACCATTCTGTACAAGCTCAAGCTCGGTGAAATCGTCACCACCATTCCCACGATTGGTTAGTCCGCTCCCCGACCCATCTACCGGCGACACTGTGATGCGCTCTTGGCAATTCATAAGCCGCACGGGAAGATGTTGAAACCCTTCCCGGAAACTGACGCCTAGTGCAGGATTCAACGTCGAGACGGTCGAATACAAGAACATTCAGTTCACCGTGTGGGATGTCGGTGGTCAGGATAAGATTCGTCCTCTGTGGCGCCACTACTTCCAGAACACCCAGGGTATCATCTTCGTGGTTGACAGCAACGATCGCGATCGTATCGTTGAGGCCCGTGAGGAGTTGCAGCGCATGTTGAACGAGGATGAGCTCCGCGATGCTCTCCTCCTCGTGTTCGCCAACAAGCAGGATTTGCCGGTAAGGATTTGGATCGTTGAAGAACGTTTGTTTATATGAAATTCATGCTGACCTCCCCCGCTTTTGTCTAGAACGCTATGAGCCCCGCCGAGATCACGCAGCAGCTTGGTCTTCAGAGCCTTACCCGTCGTGCTTGGGTAAGTGACATCCTTTGATGCATGTGATGTCTACAGGTTTACTAATGACCGGTCTAGTTCATCCAATCTACCTGCGCCACCACTGGTGACGGTCTGTACGAGGGTCTGGAGTGGCTCGCCGATGCGCTCCGGAAAACCAACCGCGATTAAGGTCTATAATGCGAATTCGAATCGGACGTGTAGCTAGGTGAAGGAGAATACCGGAATCTGCAAATGATGGATTGATGATGACGATGGCGGGGAGTTCTTTGGCCACACATGACATTGATCTCTGCAAGGAAAGGGGTTTTGCAACTGGTTCGCTACTTCTTTTGATGTTCTCTTTTCAACGGCTCTTTTCCCTCTACGCTATGCTATTAGCCTCATTTGTTTTTCTTCTCTCCGGCGTCGCCACTCCAAAATTACTTCTCTGCCTTGGAACCCCCCAGAGATCTGTATAAGTACTCAAAATTGTAAAATCTCAGAATCTCAGATTGGGCAAGGAGAGAGAGGGAGAACAAGAAAGGAACAAATGAGCGGAAACTTCGAACTTTTCATCTGCTTTCCATCTTCTTTCCATCTGCTTTCTATCTGCTTTCCATCTGCTTTCCTATTTCGGCCGCTTTAGGAGGCCTGCAGGGCTGAGTCGGGCAGAGTAAATTTCAGTCCGGGCTCAGGTACACGTGATGGACTATAGCATCTGAGGCTTTGGCAGCCATTGCAAGGATATTTTTAATTTAATTCTTATAGTTAAAGTACAGTAATGAAGCTTCTATTTGCCGCAATATCTAGCCAAGAATTTTGTGATTATGGTGGTACATGTACATTGTAAGGATGATCCACATAAGTAGGGCTAAGCGGACTTCACATGGAGTGCTTTGGATCTATAAGACAAAATGCATTTAACTGCTTGAACGAACGCTGTAAGCATAAGCTCTGACTGCTGAAGAAGTGATACCAAACTTCACTCAGTGTCTGCGGGTTCCTGATATGGCCAAAGTTTCGTGAATAGTTCCTTCTCTTCGTCATCTTTGGCCAATCCGATGAAGATGTCTTTGAATTTCCGGCTATTCTTGAGGGCTGTATCATAGTCTTTGGGTTCGACCATACCGTGCACCGGGAGCACGGCTTGATCCCGGAACAATGTCAGCAACCCCCGACACCATTTATGTTCTCCTCTTCCTTAGAATGAAGCTCGACATCCTCATTGGTGAAACTGATCGGACATGGGACATCTGGGAAAAGTTCTTCCCAGTGAGCGAAGAGCGACATGAGTGATTGGCGAAGGAAAAATAGATTGCGGTGTTCCCATACTCCCTTGACGAGCCAAACTGGTTTCCGGATGATAGGGTTCCTGCTATCTTGGAAGACAGACCAGTAATGAGGCGATCGTTTATACACCTGGGCCTCGTAGTACTTGTGAAGGATCTGACTCTCTAGATCATCGTCAATCTTGCGTTGTTCCTCTGTACTTAGGTTGTCAAAGTCTTCTGGTAGATCGGGCACGGCCCAGCCTTCCTGAGAGGCCCATGGTGGGTACACATCCTAGGAACATCGACATGGCGCAACACATGCGGATTGCCAGTCCACGATACGTGTGATTTGAAGGGTCTCTGGATCAACGAAGATGTTGTCCAGATGAAGATCGGGGTGCATTAGAACGTTGTTGGACACTGCTTCGTTGGACACTGCTTCGTTGGACACTGCTTCGTTGGACACTGCTTCGTTGGTGGATCGAGGAATGAGATAAGGAGGAACTTTCATATAGTTGGTCAAAAGAGCAAGACCATCGTCGGGATGCTCCTGGGTTTTGAGCGATCGATAATAGTGCATCCGAGGAATGCATGTGACTTGGTATACGCAATCTCATTGCGCCCCAATGGGCGAGTGTAGTCACTGGGATCCTTCCCTATATTTAGAAAGATAGTTAGGGACTTTACACTAGCCTGTCGACTCTCTTGACTCAAGGGACCACGGTCCAAATTCACGCCACTCCTTACCCCGTTCCACAATTCGCCGGTAGTAAGAGGTCCTATGGCAAACGTATCAGGGACGCTGGTTGTAGCAGACTGAATGTTGACTTCTTTGGGTTCCTCGCCCAGGGAGCGAAGATCATCTTTGAAATAAATGCAGCCGTGCATATCGAAAGTCACATCGGCTAAATTGTTCTGAATATCAATCACTTGGGTGATTAATTGGAGCTTTGACTGTCGAGGCCATTGATTCCAAACAGAGCCAAGTCGAACACCAGGCGCTTTTTCTTCAATGATATACTCAGCCCCGACAGGATTACTTGCCGCGTCAAAGGACCATGCTAGGACTCGAGGAACAGGGAGCTTCAACACGTCTGAAAGCTGTAGAGTTAAATTATGAGATTGGACATAGTAAAGAGTAATCGGCAATCTTACCAACTTGCGTGTAGCGATCTCGGATGCAATTGTGAAACGAGCAGGCCCGGCGTTGGGATTTGGGAGCTTTGCGAAAACCTCGCAACCGTTATCCATTGTCAAAATAAATGCTTTGTTGTGTAGGCCTTCTGCACACTTTGTGACTCTGGTGTCTAGTGTGAATATTAGCATATTATGTTGCAATTTCCCAAGGACAGCAACGTACATGATTGAGCTCCCTCACAAACACTGACGGCAACCTGAACCAGTTGCTCTAGGTCAAACTCCACGTAACGCTCAGAGAGTTCTTTCTCTTCGTTAAACCTTGGAATTCGAGTCAGGTTACAATCATTGTCCAAACTGAAAATGAAATGCGTAGCTTACAGCCATCGGTGCCTGGTGTATCGGTGCAGATCTTCCTCGGGAATCTTCTCGCCTGGATGAGAAAGAATCACCTATTTCGTGCATTTTCATGGGATCATGGTTCATTTTAAGTATGATTACCTTGACCGTTCTGTGTTTCAGCGTAGAGCTCAGGAGAGTGAGATATGAAGTGTCGTCTGCCTAAGCGAGACATGGAGAAGAAGCTCATATTCTGAGGTCGAGGGCAAGGAAAGGCGTGTGGGTTGCTTTTCCAATTGGCCCAAGTAATTCTACAAATAATTCGCATTGTCATCTTGTAGAATAGCCCCGGAGAGTGTCATACTAAGATGTGATGGGGACTACCAAGGTTGGAAGGGGTTAAGTCTAAGCCCGTGCTGACGTCTACTTAGTGTGCCTGAGCCTAAGCCTCATAAAAGCGGCGGCTGATATATAAGAAAGCCCCAGGGGAAAACCTTGGAAGGTTACGGAGACTCTCAACCTTATTTTGACTGTACAAAGGTACTACATGTAGTACCTGGGTAGCTAGTTACGTAGTTCTTTCCCCTTCTTTCGCGTGCTTTCCAAGGTTCTTTCTAATTCCTACTATGCCTATATAGGCATATTTGGAACATCATAGTTACATGTACATACATGTACATACCTACATACATAGGTACCGGTGGACATATACTTTGGTAAGGTCAAATCTATCTACGGATCTTCTGCTCATCACCATCACCGCCCTTCTTCAAGCCTCGTCAAAACATATTCAACATGGGATTTATACAAGCAACTGTGTTTGCTCGTGCTTTACACGGAGCCGAGACCTGTTCTATCGTGGCTATGGAAGACTCCTATGAGTCCTGGATCAGCAATGAAGATTTCGAGCCCGAGACCGTCTTCCGCGAGATTGTCACCCTCGCAAAAGAGGTGTCCGATTTATTTAAAACCGAACTCACACCTCACCAAGAAGCAGAACTTGAGAACCATGTTCTGCACTCCCTTGCATGGATGGTGTACGGCTCAAATAAAACCGAGAAAGCTGGCAGTAGCTCAGACATTACCCTCAAACTCTGTCTCGCGATCTTCCGTGGTGAAGAAGTCCCCGAGGAGATCGAAGAGCAAGATCCAGAGTACTTGTCCCTTAAGGAGAGTCTGATCCATCAAAACCTTCCTGCAAACACTTCGGCTGTCCTACGTAGTCGACGCGAGGTTGTGCAACATGCCAAGGCCGCAGTGTTTATGATCGACCAGTTGTGCATCCGTGGCCAGGATCTTAGCGAACAAATCCTCCTCGAAGCCCACCGAATTCTAACCTACAAAGTTGACGCCGAGACTACCCCCTGGACGGAATATAGTGGCGTCTATCGATCACATGAGGTTAGTGCGGGCCTACATGCATTCCCACATCCCTCCCTAGTCCCATACAAAATGAAGTCCATGTTCCACGAGCTTAAGTGCGACCTGAAAGAAGCTACAACAAATGGGACAGTCGACCCCGTCGCCTTAGCTTCGAAGTATACGCATATATTCGTGAACATTCATCCGTTTATTGATGGCAACGGCCGAATGTGCCGTTTGATTCTCAACTCGATGCTACTGAAATTCGGGGCCTTCATTGCTTGTATTGGGGTAGATGAGGATGACCGATCAATCTATGAGAAAATCGCCATCAATGGAGGTGCTCTTGAATGCTTGTACGAAGACGCCGAGGAAGAGGAAAGGCCTAAGCTGCACAAAGAACTGGCTAGTTATGTCCTGGCCCACGTGAAGAAGAGTATGACCGGGTTGATTGATGCCGTGGCGTAGGGACTAGTCATGGATTGGCCATGGAGTTTGAAGTATTTTTATGGAAGAGCCCAGCCCTGGAGTATATGTGAAGCTGTGGATATGTTCAATTGCATCAACTACAAGAATAATCGGCCGCTTGTACGGCCTTGTCATGTTTTTTTTTTTGTATTTCTTTTTTATGGACCTTTTAAGTGCCTTCTGAGATGTTGTCTCGAAAATTCTTTTCATTTTTTTTCTTCCCATATGTGGTGTTGTAGCTAGAAGGATAAGAAGAATTAGCCAACTTTTCCATGTACAACATGTGACATAAATGTTAGCCATCCAAATCCAGGGTATATAAGTAAACTTGTATAGAAGATCTATAAAAAAAAGCCCATAAAATATATTTATGAACTAAAATAGATTCAAAGAAAACAAGAAGCAATCTCCAGGGCTGATCCCTAGGGCTTGGACCAGTCCATTTTGAGGATACAACTGCGTAATCCCTCATTTCTGGCCAGCGCCAACCGTCTTGGCACTTTAAACAGAAAATACCGGCTTGGACCCTTCGAGCTGTTTATCTTTTGTTTTGCATTTGAATACTGTCTGGCTTTAGGCAGTCTGGGACTATTTTATACTGTTTCCCACTGTTTTCACCTCCTTTTACCTCGATTTACCTCTTTAAACCGATACAAGCCTAAGTACCCCAATTGCCTGGCCGACGATCAACAACACAGCTCATCGCGTGCCTCTCCCTCCAACACCCATCCCTGATTCGGGCAATATTTGACCTTATTACTCTATCATTACACATTGTTAGATAGATGGGCTGGTGATTGAGTGATTTTGGACAATTACCCCACTCATTCAATGTTGACATCTTGTCTGGCATCATGACCGTCCAGGCGAGGAGGCACTCCGCAGCCTACAAGTCCCCATCACCCTATAATTCACGAGAAACAGACATCGAAAAACAACCCACCACCGGGCGCCACACATATCACCATCACCTGAGCGACGACTGCGATTCCGACGACGAGTCGCTGGACGATAACAATGTCGCGGAATCCTACCCGCCGCCCGTCGTAGCTGGCGGCAGTCTTCGCCGCCCCCAAGCTAACGTTGGCTTTCGCGTGCCCCAGCGGATCATGCGCTGGCTCTGCTTCGCTCTTTTCGCTGCCCTCGTCCTCTTCGTCCTCACCCTCTTCCGCTTTACCATCTCCACCTCCGTTTCACAAGTCGCCGTCGAGCTGCCCAAGGTCGGAGCCCCGAAACCACCAAAATGGGAGAGCTTCCCATTCCTCAATCGCTATGAGGGTGGTATCTCTTCCTTGGTCCCACGCTCTGAAAATGTCCCAGAGTACCCCGGCGATGGCTCCGAGGACCTGGGTATGCGGACGGACCAAAGCGACGAGCAGAAGGAGCAGGAGCAGGAGCAGGAGCAGGACACCAACAAGGTTACCAAGAGGGATTTGACCCCTAACATGTTGAGTAATGCGTTTAATCCTTATCCTGACTACCAGTCGCCGGAATACATAGAGAAACACGGCGAGAAGCGCGAGTGCTTCCTCAATGCAGAAAACTCGCTACGGGTTCCGTCTATCCAAAGCTACCCCGGAGTTCCAAAGGGCTTCCCGGACCCAGCGATAGGCTCGAATACGATTTTGGGTATTCAGGACGACATGTGCTTTGATCGATTTGGTCGATTGGGTCCATACGGGCTGGGATACGGAGTCAAGAAAGGCGGCATCGGCGCGGGCATGGAGGGCCATCGTGAGGGCGCCGACCGCGTGTGGGAGGATATCCCGCCAGTGGATTTCCGACAGGTGGATTGGGCTGCTGCGCAACACCGCTGTCACGCGGCCAACCGGCATCGCTTTAATGAGCTACCGGAGCCGCGTCTCAACCGCTTTGTTTCTATGCCTGTGGGTATTCCCAAGGTGAACATCCCGCCGCCTGTGGAAGATAGCCGCACGGAGCCGCCCAAGGTTGGATCTGAGCGTCTGTCGCGTACTGCAGTGGTTATCCGCACATGGCACGACTTCCACTACACCCCGGAGGACATTATGTATATGCGCTCTGTCATCTCAGAGCTCTCGCTGATGTCCGGTGGCGAGTATACTATTCACTTCCTAGTTCATGTCAAGGATACCAACCTGCAAATCTGGTCCGATGACGAGACATACCAGCGTGTGCTTAATGACGCGCTGCCAGAGGAGTTCCGCGGCATGGGCACTCTCTGGTCCGAGCCGCAGATGGCCTTGATGTATCCCGGATTGGAGGAGACCTTGGCTCGCGGTTTGCCAATCCACGGTGTCTACCGCAGCACGTACATGCCCATGCAGTACTTCGCCTTCCAGCATCCTGAGTACGATTACTTCTGGAACTGGGAGATGGATGCGCGTTACACGGGCCACTGGTACCACCTTTTCGACAAGGTCGGCGAGTGGGCGAAAAAGCAGCCACGAAAGGGTCTCTGGGAACGCAATGCTCGTTTCTATGTTCCGGCCGTCCACGGCTCATGGGAAGACTTCCGCCAGATGGTCCGCGTGCAGACCGAGAGCGGTACCAATTCCGCCAACAACATGTGGAGCGCCGTCAAAGGTTCGGCAGGCAACGCGCGGAGCGCAATACATCAACAGGGCGACAAGTCCATCTGGGGCCCCGAGCGCCCTGACGAACGGGACATCTTCGAGGTCGAGGGTGAGGGCATCCCACCCACAAGCATGGATAAGGACCAGTACCAGTGGGGCGTGGGTGAGGACGCCGACCTAGTCGTTTTCAATCCGCTTTACGACCCCGAGGGCACGACCTGGCTGCTACGCGACGATGTGACAGGCTACAACAGGGAAAATGGTTTCCCACCGCGGCGCACCGCCATCATCACCGCGTCGCGAATCTCCCGCAAACTGCTCACTACCATGCACCGCGAATGCAGCCTCAAGCGCCACAGCATGTTCTCGGAGATGTGGCCCGCGACCACCGCCCTGCACCACGGTTTCAAGGCTGTCTTCGTCCCGCACGCCGTCTACGTCGACCGCCGCTGGCCGACCCGTCACCTGGAATCAGTGTTCAATGCCGGTCGCAATGGAGCTTCCGGTGGCGCTCGCACGTCCATCTTCGGCGATCGTGAACACAACTTCCGTGGTACGACCTGGTTCTACTCGGCGGGCTTCTCGCCGAATATCTGGCGCCGCTGGCTTGGCCTCCGCGTCGACAATGACGGCGGTGAGCAGCAGGAGCTGGCTGGCGAGGGCCGCATGTGTCTTCCTCCTATGCTGTTGCATCCCGTCAAAGAAGTCAATATGGTCATTGACGATGGAGAGAAAGCTGAGGACCGCTGAAGATAGAGGGACTATGTATGATTGCTCTTAAAATTGCTGCTGCAATTCGTGTCTTGGACGTTGTACCCCACACCCTCTTCTCTTCCTGCTGTTTCCAGGATTCATGCACGCTTTGGGGTAGATGCTTATTTGTTTTGCATTGGTTCTCATAATTACTGTATAATGACCCCTTCATTCCCCGGTGGCATAGTGTCCCCACGTTTTGGATTCCCGTTTCTCAATTTCGGTGTGAAAAAGGCGTTCCCATGGCCTGGATGGCCGGGCTATGGCTCACGATGCATTCTGGATTTTCCCTTTGTCCACTTGGTCTAGTCATTAGAGGATCGCTAGATTGTGTTCCTGCATCGGGAGAGATTGGTTTTTTTTTTGGTTTTGACTTGGACTGGATTGAGGAGGACGAGATGGACTTCTTCCAGCCCAGGAGGACTTTTTTAGTTATAAATTGTCCCTTTGCATATACTTCATACTTTTTGTTTCATTATGAATAGTTCTATATCCAAGTAGAAGATGTTAGATGTCGCTAGAAATACAAATATGCCCATATACAATGCAATATACCTCCACCCCCAAGCCCTATATCAGACCCAACCCTCTCATCCCAACTTAACAATCCGCAACCAAAACCTCACCCAATTCCCACTCCCCTTCCCCTTCCCCATCCCCATACTCCTTATCACTATCCCAACCTTTCCCGCCCTTCAAAATCGCAGAAACCTTCCCGTCACAAGCTTTAAGCAATCCCAACGGACTCCTTGCGACAAACTCCGCCGGCACAAAACAAATACTACACTCATAAACCCCATCTTCATCAACCCCATACTTAAGACAAGTCCTACAAACCCGATGTCCACACTTAGTAAGCAGAACCTCAACCCTCTCCCCGTCCTCAACACAAGTATGGCAGAAATGCGTCGGAAACCGGATAGGCGGGTTCTGGACCATGCGTCGCTCGATCTCCGAGGCGAGTTCCTTGCCCTTTTCGACGCGCGCGCGGAGCAGCGCCGCTTTTGTGCGCAGTTTGTTCATTGTGGATGCGTTGAAGGGGTTGTTTGCTGCTTGTTTTGAAGTTGGGCTTGTGTTGGGCTTTTGTAGGGTTGGCACTGGTTCGAGGAAGATCATGGGTCGGAAGCGTTCGCATGGGGGTTTGTCTTGCATGCATTTTTGTTCCAGGCGCCAGCGCCGGCGGATTTGGCCGTTTAGGAGGATTGTGTAGATTATTGTGAAGGTTTGCCAGGCGCGCCATTCGGAGATTGGGTCGAGGGGAGTCGGGATTGGAGTTGGGGTTCGGGTTTTGCTGGGGGACATTTTGCTGAGAGGTTGGGTTTGGATTGGTGATATGTGTGGTTTTGAGGGTTTTGGTCAAAGCATGTATGTTTTATGTAGTAGTTGAGAGGAGGGCGTGGCGAATTGGCCGAAGTATTGGCTTCGCAACCCTAACTTTGGTTCTTTTGATTGGAATTGCAGTTCTTGAGATCTTTGTATTCTTGGACAGATAGGTACTCGAGGATATATAGAAATGTAGAATATGTAGAAATGTAGAAATCTCCCGGCCGAAGATCCAGATACTATCGACAGAAGATATCCACCCCCAACCAAACCCAGCCTCTATTAGATAGCAGTAATTGGCTGAATCATGATTACCTCGGTATGTACTTTGCCTTCTCGACCAAACAGATTCGCCTAGACTCTGGATCTACCCGGGGAACCCACGGAGATTTTCTTCATTTTGACTTGCCAAATCGGGGAAACACCGGTGTAGATTAAGGTGTTCCTTAAATTGTCAAAAGACTTGAGTCTAGATGCCTGTCAGATAAATCTTTGCTGCAATGGCGGAAAAATTCTCCCATTGAAAAGTGACCGTTACATTGGTCTAGAACATCCCAGGTGTGGATATGTATAGAACTTCCCTCGATCTATACTGTATCCTAATTTTACTTCTCATATTTCCCTACTATTAAAGTTCTCTGTTCTAGAGTCTCTAGTTTTTTTATATCCACTCTGCAATGTCTATTATGTTGTCCTTTGGCCGGAAGCTCAGCACCACCTCTCAGTTTCTCACGTAGCAGTAGGAAGTCAGCTCCCTCTTCTCTTCCAAATTGTCCACCTCAATGCACTCCCAGGACAAAATGGAAACCCCCTTGAAATGAAAAGTATACAAATAGTCGACACCAGAACCCGAATCAACACTCTTGGCGGATATCACATACTCCCCAGGAATAGACTCCCCTTCTTTCCTCTCCCGGCAGAGCGGCGTCAACTCCCAAACTTGGACAAGTTGATCAACTGACAGCTTATCCGCCAAACCCGAGGACCAGATCTCAATTCGAGAAGTGGCAATATCATCCCCTACTTCTGCCAATCGCATGATGAACCGCACATTATCTCGCGTAGGCTGTTCCCGTCCGATCGAATCCACATCTGTCTCCACACAGACATACTCCCTATCATACGCCGAGCTGGTCGGGTACCGCGGGTAAAAGACTATAGTCCCAGAAGATGTTTCACGTCTAGTAGCACCTGCTGTCTGCACAGAAGATTTCCAAGTCCCATGTAGAGCCCGAAATATAGCTGACGCTGCGGCCTTCTGTGCTGTCCCATGGCCAGGGACAAGAGCGTCGCGTAAAGCATCCAGTGTCCTCTCCGCCTCGCTCTCTGTACTTGGCATTGGGGTATCGCCATAAAGATATCTCGCAGGAACAGCAGGTCCAGACCGACCATCGTCTGCTTCCAGTGCCGAGCGACTAATACCCAGATCCTTGGCGAACGACTCCATCAATCCGACATAGTCGCCCATGGGGAACTGACCACGGGCTAGATCCGGGTGTGCTAATCTGAGACTGCGAAGGCTTTGCTTCTGGTCCTCTGTTTCACAGAGCACACCGTTGTTCTCCTCACTCCATAGTTTCCCAAGGAAACGCGCTTGCATCTCCATCACGCCCCAGTACGGGCCGCGGTAGAATCCGACGAAGCCGACATCGGGGATTTCAGAGCGAACGGTGCCTCCCTTGTCGAGAATCAAGGGTGAGAAGGGATCCGTCTTGGAGTATTCAAGTGTCGTCAACACTTCGTCTGGTAGCAATGACAGGGACTTGTACGGCGTGAATCCGGTGGCCATGGCTATCGTCGCAACATTGTCGATTGTCTTGGTGGTCCCGTCGGGCCCTTCGTATTGAACTGAAGCTTGTTTAGTGTCCGGATCACAATGTACAGAAGTCACCCGGCCCATCGAGGTCTGAATCGCTCCACATCGGACGAACTCGGCGTACTCATTGCCTATGGCGACCCATGGTGGCTGGGTTCTGGATTCTTCGGCGGTATGTGGTGAATCCATGTGCGCGTATTTCTCGTAGTCACTCCCAAGCAAGGAGTGGAAGTAACTGTTCGTTTTGACTGCTTTTTCTTCTGGGATCGGGCCCAAAGCGTAGTCTATTGGGCCTGGGGGTCGGCGGCCTAGGTCGTACATGGCCAAGTCCAACGGTAGAAACGATGGACTTCCGTCGGGAGACTCGTGGGGTAGATAAGTCGGTAAAGCCCAGAAGGGTCTTGAATGTATATGATGCACTTTTGTCTCTTGGGTATGTGGGATTCTGTTTGTAGAAAGTGTAGATGAGGATTGGCGGAGAGCCACAGCAGATGCGGATTCGACGCCTGACATGCTGCCGCCGATGACGACAATCTGGCCATTCACGTCTTTGGTTCCATTAGAAACCAGCTGTTCTCGCTCATAATGAAGCGAAGAGCTATGGATGATTTGGCCTTGGAATTGCTGTAGACCTGGTATATCTGGAATATACTGCTGGGCAAAGTATCCGGAGGCGATGACAATCAGGTCGAAATCTTCTGAAGACACTCCAGCGTTAAATAATCCATATTCTGGCTGAGTCTTCTCCGCACTATATATATGGCCGTGAGTCAAGGTCCAGCTCGAGTGCAGCCATACAGGAGTAAGTTCTAACATACCTCTGTTGAACCCACTTAACATTCCACTTCGGATCACCTCCATCCTCAATCTTCCGTATAGTTCTCACTACTTTACACCCTAGCCTGAGCACATGGGCTGGAATATACCGCTCTGAATAACAGGCCAAGTACTCTCCAACCTGTCTCGCCTGAGGAAAATCCGGAACATCCGCGTCGGGAATCACCGACTCCCAGTCAAGATCCGAAAAAGCAACAGTGAAGCGGCTGAGATTTGTCTGCATTCGAGGATCTAGTGTAACCGGGGGGCTATTGACCTGATTGGGAGAATGATGGTGACTTGACCACAGACCTCCGACTCTGTTCTGGCTGTCGAAGATGATTGGAGAGAACGTCCCACACGGGAAATTATGAAGGAGGGTTTTGGCTGTGACTAGGCCTGAGGGGCCGGCGCCTGTGCGATGCGATATTAATGTAAGGTCGGATATACCCCCTGGGTATATAGAATTGTGTTCGCGGGGTCTCTAGACTCACCGATTATTGCTACTTTCTTCGGTGACATATTGGGGTTGGAGATGAGATTTCCAATGTACTAAGGGCTCTATGGCGTCTCTTTGTGTCTGACGTGTAGTGTATCTTTCAATATACTAACATTGGAGGCAATATAACTCCAAGGCAGACTCGAGCTGTTGTCGCTAGACTTACCCCGCTTATATCCACTTGGGATACACCTCGGGTCTCCTTCTATTTTTATACGAAATATTTGAATGGAGGTAAAAGATCTTTTGAATACGATGTAGTACATTGGATATCAGGAACAATTAGTTACAAGTCAATAATAACCTTTGAAACCAAGTACAATATGGAGTCGCGTAAACATCATCTTCCATAACCCACACATTACACATTATTTAGATATGTATACACCATGCACGTTGTACTTTGTACAACTTTTCCCAATTCCAATTCCCAAAAAAAAAAGGCGGAGCATAACGCTCGAGGTCGGCATGCATACCCAGCAAATCATGACGCTAACGCCAAGCATAACCTCAGTAACCAGGGGTTGGTGAATTTCCCCAAGGAGCAACCGATGACGGGTCAGTTTTCTGCCCCCCCCAAAAAAAGGTTACTTTAGTGTCAGGATTGAGTTTCCTGGTATCCAACGAGTGCACTGGAGTGCGGGAGGGTGAGGGGGAAAGAGTGTCGAGGAAAGTTCGAGAAAAGGCCTAGCGGAACTCTATCGTATGCGCATTGACGGTTCACATCCTCATGCTTGTGCACGTTCCCATATTGGTTTCGTGTGAAAAGGTACTTTCAGAGACTCAGGAGACTCGCTGTAGCCATTCAGTGACCTGGATCTCGGGCGAGTGTAGATTGGGCTTGTATGCCTCGTTGCATTCTTGCGCGGTGACCAAGGTGTCGACGTTTCTCTCTGTCAGGGGGGTTTTGTACTGGTTCTTCGTTTTTAGGAGTTCCTTTTCCGCGAGGGCGGATGGCGATAGTTTTGATAGTGTGTTTCGCAATCGTTTGATGCCACTGGGGACGGATACGGATCGTGGTATTTGAGGTGGACCGAATGGGTTGTCGGATCTCCATGGATAGTCGGAAGTCACAGATTGGACGTGCTTATTATGCGGAGATTGTGTTCTCGACATTGTTCTGGATGTCGATGCATCCGAGATTATTTGAGATGGGAGGATTAAGGGGGTGTGGAGAGGGATTGATTTTGATTAAATATGTTCCAACATATCAGTAACTAATTATTATTTTGGCTGGGCATATACCACCTAACTCCGCGGGACTCGTGGAGACATGCCTGTTGTAGTATCATTGGATCCCTACATATGTAGTGATCCATGGTCATTTAACACGTAGTAGTCGCTAGTCGCTATACTTCCCCCACAAGTTTTTCGTGGGTCATGATCGGCGGATGCATATGAACCTACAACATAGGCTGATCTACTATTGGAGCTCACCGGTTGGAATTTGAGGATTTCACAAATAATAAGAATAAGGTTAATGGCGGTACAAAAATCCGGTGAAACGTACTACGTCATATCGGGAGGGCGACGCTGATCATGGCATATCCATGGATGCTCTTGGCAACTATCCCAGGGAAGAGGGTTCATCTTGACGAATAGGAAAGGAAATCGAAGAAATTGAATTAACCTTGGAATAAACCATCCAAGGTTGGCCATAAGGCGTGGAAAGTATAAACGTGCTGTGAAAACCCAACTTTAGCAGGTGACAAGTCAGAGCTAATATCCATGGATCTATACATCTATTCATCTATACATCTTTACTGGTATATAGGCGTACAGCTCTTTCGGAATATGTTTCAATTCTCTATTTCACTTAATAAGTAAACCGGAAACTGGGATGATCATCCCCAGCATTCTCCAGCTCCTCCCTGGGCCAATGGTACCGATGATCCCTCTTACCCTGCTCACGCAGCCGATTTTCACGGTATAAATAACTGAAGAAAACAATACATGCCACACCACCGATCCATATCATCCCTAGACTGACACCGAACCCGGTCCTGTAGGTTGGGGCCTCCGAGTCGAAGAAAACATTGCTAGCGACCAGACCGCCACAGTTACCAAAGCCGATCTGCATGGCGGAGGCGATAGATTGCTTGTAGTGCCCAGCCATGTTGTTACTCACCCAGCCCAACAAGATCGGCTGCGTCATGTATCCACCGCCCGTGACCGCGAACAGGGCGAAGTATCGGGCAGCGACTGGCACCGACTCCTGACAGATGAGAATAACGTACCCAATTGTGGCGATGACACATCCCAGCAATGTGAAGGTGAATCGATGGCGGAGTCGGTCGCTGACGAAGGCTGTAGCTAGTGCGATTACTGTCGCGACGATGTAGATGGGGATACTCATCACTTGGGCTCGGACAGATGTCCAGCCGAGCTGTCGCAGGATGGTGGGGGTGAAGAATGATGTTGCATAGCCCGTATTGACAATTCCAAAGTACATAATAGCACTAAAGGGGACTCATTGTTAGTGGGGAGCTTTCTTGGAATAAAGCCACTCAATCTTACCCAAGATAGATCTTGATATCTGAGAATGTGCGCTTGATTGCCGGCTTGTCAAAGCGATTCATTTGCGCTTCACCGCGGTCTTCCGATAGACGTCGAAGCAGCAAAGCACGCTCCTCCTCATTTAGGAATGTAGCCGTTTCAGGCCAATCGACGATGAGGAATTTGGCGGCAATTCCAGTGAGTACTGTAAGTAGACCTTCGATGATGAAGATCCAGCGCCAGCCGCTGTATCCTCCGACGCCATCCATCTGGGCTATTCCATAGGCAAGAAGCTATGAACAAGTTAGTATAGAATAAGCAACTCATCATGCAGGCAATACACACTCCACTGACTGCACCAGCCAGAATACTAGCGCTGAAGAAAATATTAAATCGCCATTGCAACTCGTGGCGCTTATAGTACATAGCAATCAAGTAGATGCAGCCTGCATTGTAACATTAGCACTTGTGCAATCAAGGGACCAAAGGCTATCCAACCTGGCATCAACCCAGCTTCAAACAAACCCAGCAAGAATCGACATGCAACGAGGCCACCAAAGCTTTTTACGACACCTTGGCATGTTGTAACAACACCTAATACCATCGAGGTCAGTCCTAGTCCCTTCATCTATATCGGTTCAAACGTACCCCAACAAAGCATGATCCCGCTCAACCACCAAGACGGTGACACCTTTTTCAAAAAAAGATTACTAGGAACCTCGAAAAGGATATAGGGAACGAAGAAGATAAACAGGGCGATATTGTAATCATGTCCCTTCATCCCCAAATCCTTTTCAAGACCCTGAATTCGCGCGTTGCCAATATTGATACGATCAAGAAAGGCGAGTAGGAACAAAAACATGAGAATAGGAACGACATGGATATCGAGTTTCCGTAGGAGTCGTTTCTCTGCCGCTGGATCTATGCCTGGCACGGAATCCGTGGACTTGACATCCTCGACTGTCTCATCGTATACTTTTTCCTGGTCCATTTTGGATAGTTCAGAGAGGCCTCAAATTGATACAAGCGGCCACCAGGATGATGCAAAGATATGGTGGAACAAAGGCTCTTTTTAAATATATTTGGCTGGTAAGTCGCCGTCGTATAGTCGCGTCTGGGGGAATCCGGGGCCCCGCACTACGAGCCCACACGTTGTTGTGTTGATTCATTCCGCATTCTTTGATCCCAGTCGGCATTTGATTCCGCGCCCAGGAATGCCAAGAATGCACGGCTTGGTGCCTAACTTAGTGCCCGTCCTGGTATCTAGGCCTGGGTTGGTCTATACCAAGTATTTTGGTCGCAAGGTTTGTTGAGGGCTATGGTGGCTTGCGAACCTATTCACCGAGTTAGAGGGATCTAGATCGAGGTATTGATATTGCATATACCCGACGCCCTAGTCCGAGAGCGGGGTATTCTCTTGCATTTTAGGATTTGACGTGGCGTTGAAATGTTAAGTTTATGGCCAGTGAAGCCGATCCTATTTAAGATGACGGAACGGTACCCCGGAATGATACCGCGTATTGCCGCGCAGGAGGCTCGAATACGATCAGCTCGATGGTTGTAATAACCGGTGTAAATATAGCCGAATATTGAATTCAAATGCTAAGCTAAAGCTGACTAGAACTTGACCTTATCATGCTATTACTCTCACGATCAGACATTCTTGCGAATAGTCGGCTCCAATGGGAAAAATTGCTCATCCTCTACAACATCTTTGTAGACTATATCCCAGCGTTCTTGGAGTTCCCGAGGTGTTTCCCATGCATTTTCAGGGTCTCGTAGCCAGAGTCTCAGCAAATGACGCCTAATATAGCCATACCGTCAGCATCTTCGTAAAACAAAAGCACACGTGAAAGAAAAAGAACTCACTCTTTACCAGGCTCATCTTTGAACCCATTCCGCGCATGGAAAACGCTAAGGTTATTCACATATTGCACATCGCCTTTCTGGAAATCCAGCGCGGCACTGTGCTCTTCCGCCAAGAAGTGCAAAGCATCGAGTGCCTCGGCTTGCGCTTCCGTGATGGGGGGAATATCCTTTGATCGGGGCTGAGCCAGGAATCCGGTGAAGTATCGTCTTGCGTACTGAATTAGGACCCTCTCAGGGGTCGTGGCAGTGGCTGGTTGGTGGTATAGAAGTGGGCGGAGGGTGTAGGGCCTGGCCGGGTTATTGAAGCTGAACAGTGTTAATTTTCAAATACGCTTCCATGGCACTTGGTGATTCTTACCCATCGACTGGCCAATCCTGGGACAAAGTGTGAATAAGATCGGGTCTTTCCTTGGCCAGGATGTTATACACATGCCAGCTGCTAGAAAGATAACTTTCTCCTCCCTCTGCGGCCCGATTCAGGCAGAGGAGTGAGACGATATCGCCAGCGTCGGTGTGGAAAACCTGCTTTTCAGGGGTGTTTGAAGGGGCCCCAATGAGATTCTTATCTGTTGTGCTAGTGAGGTCTTTGATATGGGACAGCACGGGTGAATTGCCATTTTCCAGTCGAGCTACTTGCTGACGTCCTCGAATATTGCCGATGTGGGAAGATAAACCGGTGTAGATAATGATATTGTCTTCTCGGGAGTAATCATCGATGCGCAAACCTCGGAGAACGACGAATCCTCGACCCGTGTGGATCTCCTTCGAAATGTCTCGAAGAACAGGCCGGAGGGTAGGTAGGGGGAAAGTCGACTGATAGATATGTCCCAAAGGAAGATTGAGAGCTGTTAAATCAGCAATGATATCTTAATATTGTGGTAATAATTACCCACCTTTGAAGCTCTTCAAAGCCGCGTCAAGTTCATCCAGCTGATCATTACTCAACTGATAAACCCAGTCATCCCGCTTCTCAACATCTTTTCCTTCCCAGACCAGTGACGATACTAACTTCTGCGGGAAGCCTGCTGGCAAAGTGGACTGCAGGGTCTCAGTCTCCTTTCGACGACGAGTACGCTCCTTGTACTTTTCATATTCAGGTTGATACTGAATATCGGGCTGGGTGGGCACAGTGATAGTCTGAACAGCGGACATATTGGTTATGCAGAAAGCAAGTATAGAAACAACAGATGTCAGACGTGCAAGGCCATTTAAATAGCGCTGATTTATTAGCTTTGCGTCTTTAAACCCTGTGATCGCGCCATGGCGTACATATGTAGGTACTGTTCCTCAGAATGTGGTTGTCACGACATCAACCCCGCAAAGCGCGAAATCAACAGCGAACAGCACCCAGCAATAAGAAAAGTCGTGCACAAAGTATGCTTTTTACCCCCTTCGTATACACCCAAAAAGAACATCCTTAATACCATCTTGGTCCAAATAGATCAGATCAATAAAGTCTTAGGTCGTCAAGGACAGAGGCCGCATAGGCGAACGACTATTCTTGTCCTATATCACTATGGAAAGTCTATACACTACATCCATGGATGCGCAGGAAAAGTCCAGATACAAAGGATCCGTATATAAATCATAACACGGGACACACGAGTATCCTCAGCCGAGGAATTCCCGGTGTCTGATACCATGAAGAATCATTCCACCTCTGACTTTCACCCGATACGTGAACAATACACGCAAGAGCCTTAACATCCATTTTCAGGCTGGCTGTATGCCACGCCATCAACGGTGGTAGTTAAAGTGCCATTCGCGTAAAACTTGTTCAGTTGAACGTCGATGTCGAAGTGAAACCCACCGGGGCCTGTGACCTTTGTACTGTTGCTAATTCCGGTGGAGGACAGGTCCGAGAACCAATCCACATGAATCAGGGTAGCATTGGGATAGAGCGCTGTCACCTTCTCCTTGCCTGCGATGAAGTTGCGGCCATCGTCGGAGTAGTTGTGATAGGTGGCCTCAACTGTTTCAAGTGCAGTGCCATCACTGTCGGCCGTGAAGGAAACATCGGCATGGCCGCTCACTTGACCACTCAAAGTATAATTGCCGAATGGCACACTGGGCGCTTCGGGTCCTGCGCTCCCTGCGGTATATGGTTGACCCCAGGGTACATTATCAGAGACTGGATTCACGGCGACTCTTGGGAGGGGCTTGCGGCTGGTGAGAGTTGCCATCATGAGCCGCGCATTTCGCCCACCGGGAGCAGTGGACGTGGGACATGGTACGGAATTGACTCCGCCACAATCCGGAGCTTGGGTCAGGAGTTGGAAGTATGCAATCTTCGTACCATCTAGGGACCATCGGGGGTCGGCACCTCCATTCCAGAAAGGGTCATTCACGCTTCCCGGACTGCCATCACCAGCGGCATTTATCTGCTGGCCTTCATAGTAACCGCCGTCCTCTGAATATGGCGCAACTTCTCGATCCAAAAGCCACGGCGCAAAGAATCGCCGTTGTCCATTGTTTCGGATGGATGAGATGGCACCGGTGATAAGTGTATCGATGAGAGGTGGTACGCCCCGCATCCCCGCCACAAACATCATTCGATCGGTAGTTGTGCTGTCCATTATGACTACCCATCGACCATCTGAGGAGGTGTCAATGGGATCGACGTACTCTGGACTGTATGTCACCCGGTCAACTTTTCCGGTTTGCAGTTTGACCCCAAAAATATCAATGTTGCAGGATTCAGCAGGGAATCCCACGTAGTCGACCTGATCACCTAGTCCTCCCAGGCTGCGTGCTTCTCCAACTGAGATGGAACTCGAGTTGATGGTCAAGTCGCTCCCGTTTATCGAAAAGAAAGACGTGCCTATCGGTTCATACAGCCCAGTCACATTGACCAGATCGTATCGCGGCGTGAGAGGTGTTCCGGTGGTGGGCGCGGGGTTGAATTCCAACCTTGCAAAATAGGCATACTGCGATATCATCTTTCCTGAGAGAGACATGGCATTGAAGAGCAGATGAACGTCATCGGGGTGTTTTCGCAGCTCACGGATGTCCCCTCCAGGCCCGGAATCATCTGGGGAAGTGTTCCACCGGATCGGATAGATATGGATCTTGTCCGGTGTACACTCAGTACTGGCGAGCTGTGCGGTGCCACAATCGACGATATGACTTCCCACAAGAACGCGAGTACCGTCGGTAAATGCCTGGGGATACTGGTAGTCCATAGTCGAGGTGAGACCGTATTGCTGGTCCACTGGGACCCCACAGGTGATACACTTCCATGCATCACCGTTGGGGAACAATGTTCCATCCACGCGAACAATAATCAAATTGAGGCCGGTATAGATGCTGGACGGATCTGGAGCAGCTGGGGCTCCAGTGAACACCAAGGAAGCCGTGACATGATCACCGTCTGGAAGAAAGTTCCCGCTCAGAAGATTAGAAGAGGTTGCACCTATACAACCAGTCCCGTGCGGATTGACCAAACGTGTGCAGCCACCCTCGGTCTCATTGGAAGTGACTGGAGGTAGTGGAAGCTCGATTACCTCGATGGCCTCATGCTCTGGGTGTGATGACAATTGGTTGTTCCCACGTTTCATCGGCTCGGATGGTACTGTATTGGCGGCAACAGTGAGCAATACTCCAAAAATAACTGGTGCTGTGAAATGCATGTTGAGGTTGCCTGTGAGAAAGTCAAGAAACCGCAAGATAATTAGCCTGTCGATTACCATGCTGCTTTATACATTCCCAGTTTAGGCAACTGGTTCAACATCATGCTATATGATAATTAAGATCGACCGTCCCCACAGAAAACCAGATTCAGGAGTGGCCTCAAGTTGATTATGGACAGTCACAGGTTCGTATTCGTATCTAGCCCTCTTGCGTCTCCTGCTTTCCTTTCCTTCCCTGAACAAGATGTTTTTGTTTCTATAGGACCTAATCAAAGCCTTTTCCTCTTCTTAGATCGCCTTCCGTAACAAATTGCATAAAGATGCTTGGTTGATATTGCCTTACTATGTAGATGGGTAGATAACGGCTAGGTTAAGTAGATTCGAATCATATATAAATCTCTAACTAGCCTTCACAGTGACACAACAATCTTCTTTGCTGAAACTCCCTGCATGTGGATCCCAAAAGCCTCCTGGATCTTTTCCAGTCCCTTGCCTACAACGACCGCCTCAGGTGCTGGCACAAACTGCCTGTTGGCGAGTGCCCCCGGGAGGTAGCTCGTGTAGACTTTGCTCACGACAGAGTCAGAGCCGGCCGCGTCCGGGCCGAGCAGGATGAACTTGACCTGGATACTCGGGTCAATACTGGCGCCCCCAGGCTGGCCGCCAGCGAGAGCAATGACTTTATTGACAGAAGGGCCCTCGTACTTAGCCAGGACGCCGGCCAGCAGGTCGATAGAGCCATCGCCGATAGAGTAGCCACCGGCAAGGTGGATTCCCTTGACAGCGGCACTGATGTCATCGATCACGGTGTCACTCTTGTAGTCAAACACGTGGGTAGCACCGAGCTTCTTGACGTAGTCGAAGTTCTTGGGCGACGCCGTCGACACAACCTCGTAGCCGGCGGACACTGCCAGCTGGATGGCGGTGCTTCCAACAGCGGATGAGCCACCGGTGATGATGACAGCACGCTTGCCGCTGCTGGATTGATGTGCGGGCACGGTGGGTAAGTTAAGGCCCAGATATCCGGCGTCAAAAAGGCCATGAGCGGCTGTGAAGAGGGCCAGCGGGAGCACGCTGGCCTGCTCGAAGGTAATACTATCTGGCAGCGGTGCGGCCAGCCACTCGCGGATGACTGTGTATAGCTGGAAACCGCCCTCGAGGGAGCTGTTGACGGATATGGCAGCAGCCGCAGCTACAACACGGTCGCCGACACGGAAGCGCTCTACGCCTTCGCCAACCTCGACAACGGTGCCGGCCACGTCCTCGCCAAGAATGAAGGGATAGCTGATGTGGCCTAGCAAGGCTTCGCCGAGCATCTGCTTAGCCCAGTCGACCGAATTGATGCCCAGTGCACTGTTCTTCACCACAATCTGGTGAGGCCCGGGTGATGTGTACGGCGCTGGGTTGATTTGAAGCGGCGCTACTTTGGAGCCAGGCAGCCAGGCGGCCTTGTTCTTTGGTGTTTGGGCCATTGTTAAAGTTCCTGCTATAGAGGGTGACTGCGGTCGTGTAGTGTGAGCAAACGGGGTAGCAGCCGGGTTTTATACGGAAACTGATAAATCCATAGATAGGCACCATCCGGGGCGCCTTGCGGCGTAGCATGCGGAGTTAGGATAGTCATTTGCAAATCATCGATGATAGCGTCACAATGCCTGGCGATAGCAGAATAGAAAACGGAGTTAATGGCTTTGGTTTAAGATAACGCCGTGTCACCCGGCGACAGGAATCTGAATACCGGTCGATTCCCTCTTTTGTCGAGTTGGACCGGATTCTGAGAGTCCGGTTGTTCTGTAGCTCAGACGATCCACGAATTTTGCTAAAGCATAAAGGTAATAGTATCTATTTCTCAGTTTGTTCTCGTAGATGGTTCATTCGCCAAAAATAAAAGTGTTAGTGTCTTTGGGGCTACGGAAGTCAGTCAAGGTAGTGTTCAACATAGATCAGCTAAACATTTCTACTTTTTACTTACTCAAACATGAGATATTAAGTAGTAAACTAACGAGTAAATAGGCTTCATAAATCGCGCTCGGGGCACTTGCATTAAAGACTGCTTGCTAAACACAAGTCTGTATCGCTTATAACATTTTCAGACACGGACACCTCAATTGGTATACCAAAATCATAACATAGACACAAATCACCTAGTTCCGGGCATGCTCCACAGTAACAGAACCTGGCTTCTCGTTTTCTTCGTGGCTCATCTGAATTCCCTTCTGGTGTGCCAGCACCTCCTCTCCCTGCGCAACGTGGTTGGCACCGCCAAACAGAATATCGATCTCCTCAAGGGGAACCTGCTTGGTCTCCGGAACAAGGAACCAAACGAAGAGTGCAAGTAGGAAGTTGATACCAGCAAACATGTAGAAGGCATAGAAGCCCTCGTTGTCGAGGAAAATTGGGAAGAATTGCTGGACGATGGCGTTGGCGATATTCTGAGTCTGTGATGCCATACCCACGGCTTGGGCGCGGACGTTCATTGAGAAAATCTCGGACGTCCAGATCCATACTGTTGCGCCCCAAGATGGTTTGTCTGGGAGATGAAGTTAGTGGAGTTCCGTTTGCGGGGAAATAGTGAGTAGAGGGAACTTACAGAAGAAGATGAACAAGAACAGAAGGAACACAATCGATATACCGACAGGTTCTGACTTGGCTCCGTTGGCGAGTTGTGGTGTTTCTGTTTCGACGGCAGAGACAATGATCATGCAGAGACCCATGCCGATACCACCGACAATCAAAAGGAACTTTCTTCCGAAACGATCGATAATCCAGACGGCGTTCAGGGTGAAGAAAATTCCAAAGGTGGCGTTCAGAGCGTTGATTAGAGCAATCTGACTGCCGCTGGTGAACACCTTCTGGTAGATCTTGGTAGAGTATGAGTTAAGCGAGCCTTGTCCGGTGATCTGTTGGCCGGCATTGAGGACCAGAGCCAGACCCATGCGCTTGCGGAGAGACTTGTCCTTCCAGAGAGCAGAGTAGTTGCCAGAGATGGCTTCCTTCTCGTATTCGATGGCCTCGCGAATCTCCAGCAGCTCTTGCTCGACTTCCTCCTCAGTATCACGAACTCTTTGCAGGGCTTCGCGAGCCTTCTCGATGTTGTTGCCTCTCTGAATATACCTAGTGATGGTCAGAATTACTCAGAATCAATGTAAATTACAAAAAGGGACTTACCAACGAGGACTGCCTGGGATAGTCGGCAGGAGGGCAAGGATCATAACAGGGACCAAAAGCTGGAAAATAACAACCAATCTCCAGTCCCACTCGCCCAGCTGGGGAACATTCTTGGTGCAGGCAAAGTTGATCCAGAAGCAGATGAACGATCCAACAGAGTAGAACATCTGCCAGAAAGTCATGATCTTACCACGGATCTCTGACGGAGCCAGTTCACCAATGTAGATAGGGCCAGCAGCTGCAAAGTAACCCTGTCAGTTCATGTGTTTGAAACGACGAGATCAACAAAAACTTACTCAATGCAATACCCTGGCCAATACCAATGATACATCTACCTGCAAGGAAGCAAGCAAGATTGTGGCGAGGAGCGAATGTTTGCATGAAGGTTGCGATGATGACCAAAATGCAACCAATGCCCATTCCAAGCTTGCGGCCCAGGAAGTCTGCACATGGTCCTCCCAGGAAGAAACCACCAAAGATAGCGCCGACCGTGTATGCTGTATTAATTGAGCCGATTGTCTGCGCATTTGGGTGGTTCATCCAAGCCAGCCAGTTCTTGGAGCCCTGGACGGAGTTGAACACAGATGCATCGTAGCCGTAAAGCACCATGCATGATGCTGCAACACAAGAGATGTACCTAGAAAGTCGGATTAGAGTATGTTCTTCGGAGTAGACGGTTGTGCGCACTAACCAATTGTACGCTCTCTTGCGGCTCATTAAGAGACCCATTCTGATGGGGTGGGGTGGGAGTGGTTTAACAGTGACGTTGGAGACCTTTACCAGATAGCACCACCACTAATATATTTAAGAAAGGCAGTGGCAGATGAGCAACTGTAACCCTTAGTGTGAGAGAACAGTTAAAGATGAGCTACACTCCAGGAGGGCACCCGAGTGGGCGGAGACTGCAGCTATATAAGAACAAGATACGATAAGGGCATTCCGGGGCAAAACTGAGACCCCCATGTGAGCAAAGAAACGCCATGTGGATCAGACCATCCCCAGAATCAATAAACCCCGGATGCGCTAAAAGTATTTTGGCATCTGGATAATGGGGAGCCCTTGTCTCCAGGATCGCTGAGTGGTGGGGTATCTGGAGTCAATGGGACATGGGGAGAGTGTACCTCTCGCTTATTCAAATTCCCATTGGGTTGGAGCTTTCTCACATGGGCGGGCCGCACCTGGGGTAATAGCGAACTGGGGTTCGAGGATATTTTTCAAGCTTTGGTTCCGGCGAGATGAAGTGGGTGACTTTTCCACGAATCGGCGGGCTGGATGACAGTGGCTTGGGAGAAATCAAGTCCACCAATAGGGGAAATGGGGAAGGCTGATAGTATGTAGATTTTAAGACATTTGTGAAGGGCGCTAAACTAACCAAGCAAGAAATAATAAGCGACTGGACTTCTATGATTCTTTTAGCCTGGGGATAGGGCTGACGTTATCCTTATAGAGATGTAGAGTTACAATAGTAACCTTTTATTACTTCTTATATCCTGTTGATATTACATTTCTTGGGCATCTTGGCTATTTAATTAGACGTACCTGTCTACTACAATATGTTCTTTTATAGATACCGAGTTTGAATAAGAAACAGAAGGCAATAGGAAGTGGTACATGCTACATAGTCTTCAAATTAGAGAATAGGCTAAAAACGTAAATTCAAGGGAGAGCCAATAAGACTCCAAGTTTTTGTCAATAATAGGCTAAAATAAAAACGCTGTAGCAAAGGGAACATGATTTGGGCAGAAAGATCCATTCTAGAGCTTTATATATCTTGGGGAAGCTCCAATATCTTCTGAATGGCTTTGATGCTCATTTTTATGTTTCTATAAAAACAGGCCTGTCTTCTATGGATAATCACATAGGAGCTTTGTTCAAATAATGTGCGTAACTGCATGTGAAACTGAAACCCTGATGGAATTATCAATGTAATATATTAAAAGATATTTCTGTTCAATCGGTTGGAGCATTTGTACATGTAGTTATACCACGTGCTTCTCTCACTTGCGCCTCCAGTTATGCTCCTTCAAGACAACGACCCCTTTTTCAACAAAAGCACACCTCTGGCAGATATCTTTCTATGCTGAGAATATATTTCACAAAGATTTCTTTCAAAGCTCCCCAAGATGATTTGATCTTCTAAGTATACAAATCACGTGCTCTCGTGATCTTCCCAACGCGCGATTCGCGACGGCGAAGGTCCCACTTTGATCTCACAGACTTAAGCTTTACTCTTCTTTGAACGTATTTTTTTCTTTGTCTTTGCTATGACCTACCTAGCTATATTAACCCGACACTCTGACTTCTAACCCAGCTTGTTGTGTTATTTTGACCACTCGCAATGCCACCCCGCAAATCGAAGAAAAAGCAGACGCGACTTACCTTTGCTGCAACAGCCGCTTCGCCTTCGGCTGATGCAAGTCCGGAGCAAAGCAGCCGATATGCGACACTCACATACGATAACCCAAGCTTGGGCACATACCGTCCTCCAAAGTCTCTCAAAAGCGAGTCGGGCACTTCACCCGAGAAGAAACGGCCGAAGCTCCCCACCAAGATGAGGTCTAATGACAAACCCGCGAGTACGGTGATGCCCCCCCCCCAATGCAACCAGAAAGCTAAAATCCAAAAGACGAACTGTTTACAGAAGATCAATCGGGCAATGAATCCTTAGACGAACCTATCATTCCCGCCTCCCAGAAGAGAAAGCAAGCCGCGCCACCCGACAACCTCGACGTGGTAATCCACAGCCCAAAAAAGCTCGATGACCCCCAAGATGCGAAGAAACCCCGCTCGCGAAAATCACAGCGATCCTTACAATTCTCAAAGAAACTAACTGAGAACACAAATGGTTCTGGTTCGGAGGAGCTATCCCGGCCACGCCGAACACTCAAGCGCAAGGCCGCAAGCCCACCGATTGACCCCAGCGACTCAGATGAGCCGGTGGCCTCTTCGGTCGCCAAACGGCGCAGATCTACCCGAGGTGGCCATTCTTCAAGCTCACCTGTTCTACTCAGCGACGATTCAAACGAGTCAGTGGCCCCGTCGACCGCCAAAAGGCGCAGGGTGGCAAGGCCAGCCGTAGTGCCCAAAAGTGAAGATGATGACTCGGACAAACCATTAGCCTCCTCGCCAGTGAAGAGGCTCCGACGTGGACAGGAGAAAGAACCCCTCCAGGCTCCCCACACGCCTCGCCACATCTCGAAACAGGCCAGACTTGATATCGAGGAGGATTTGGAGGACCTCCAAGATTCAGGTAGGAACCAATTCGCATACGAGGCGTTTATTTAAGCTGATACCAATATTGCGTAGTTGTTAAGAAAAGTCGAACTCGCGGCCGGAATGTCGAATCTGCCCGAGACAAGAGAATGAAGCACCTTGAAGCCCTCCGCCGCAGACGAGCTGGTGTGAAAGATGAGGAAGAAGAAGAAGACGAGGAGGAAGATGATGATGAAGACGAAGAGATTTCAGATGTGCAGGAGATTAAACGACCTGGCAGCGACGCCAGTCCCTCTACTCGTGGTCTCTGGCGGCATCACGACGATGACAGCGACGTAGAATCAACCATCGACCCCAACGAGAATCTTGATCGGTACGAAGATGACTTTGTCCTGGAAGACGAGGTGAACGATCTCGGCGTGCCCACCGAGGAGATCCCCTTCGAGTTCACCCGACATGCATACAAGCAGCCGAAGGAATACTTCCGCGACGTCATCGGCTGGATGGTGCAAAATAAACTGAACCCGGCCTTCCCTCGTTCTGACGACATGTACAAGATGGCATTCATGAAACTGGAAGATGAAGTCAAAGGTCGGGCTGGTTCACAGCTGATCTCCTCCGTTTGGAACCCCAGTTTCGTCTATGCCCTCCAGGCCCGGCCACATATAGAAATCGCTGCCTTCCCCACGGAGGAGAACCATCCCTGCGATGCTTGCAGGCGCTCTGGACATCCCGCTTCTAGTGATATCAAGCTCTACGGGAAAGCGTATTCCCTACAGACTCTGGAGCCACTGGAAGACGAAAATGAGGACAGCGACAACAGTGATGAGGATTCTAATAACAACGACGATGGAAAGGAGCGGGACCGGGATGGCCATGTCATTCCTCCGGAGAATGTCCGATATTTCCTAGGAAAGTAAGTCTTGTTTGGACAGTCATTTCGATCCAGCCCATCCTCTAACCGCTTCCTTTTGTTTCAATAGACAATGCAAGGCGAGGGCCCAGCTCGCCCACACTCTCACCCATTGGCGCTACCATCTGAATGAATGGGTAATCGACTTCCTCGACCGTACGGGCCACATGGATGACGACGAGATCCTCCGACGAAATGATATGAGCGTCAAGCGGAGGACGCGAAATGCAAATGATGTCCTTGACAGCATGACTGGAAGTGGTGAAGTCGATAAGCTTTGGCGTGACTTCCACATTAATCTCAAGTCTGCTCGCGAGAAAGAGGTATGTTCTTGTTTTATGCTTTGTTTCTGGACTTTTATGATGCTAATCAGGTTCGTCCTTGTATTTAGTCTATCTACGGATGATGAGATTGCCATATCCAAGAGCCAGATCACCCGATGGCCAGTATTTGTCCTCAAATGGCTTTATCATGAACTCCCACGAAGACTACGACCCTTGTAACTAGTTATGCGACATCGCTTTCCTTCTGCGAACTTTCTCCGGTCCTTAACCTCTCGCAATGATACCCATTTTTTTCTTTCGTGCACATTCCCAGTCATACCCAGCTAGCCTACCAAGACAAGGAGGGACCTATGGGCTCAGCATAGCAATGGCAAGCTGGCTATCTTAGAAAACTATCTTTGATGTCTCTTTTCTAGATATTCTCCCCCTTATTGGTGTTGTAGCTAGAATATAGGTGAGAAACGGCCTAGAATGTGCAAGACGATTTTTCTATGTATAACCTTTGATATAGTTGTAGGTATTCGTAGGTCTTCTATCTTTAGCGCCTGTAAGAAGGCAAGGACTACAAAATGCGAAGAAGATAACCAAACCCATCCGTTTTCATTACCTGGACATGCACATAGGGAGAGAAGAAAAAAAGGTGTATAGAGAAACAGGAAGAAAGATGATTGGGGTTGTACAAATACATGCATGCATAAGCTGCCGGAGCCAAAATGTCAGAAAGCATGAGAGATGCGAGATAAAAAAAGGAAGTAAAAAAACAAGAAGTATAACAAAGACCCGAACAAGTCAAGACAAGAAGAGAATCGAGAAACCAACTTCTTCCGAGTGCTTGTAGTCCTGTATTTTGAGATCTGGCCAAAATAGGGTGATTGGAAATCCCAGGACATCACAGAATTATGCCGATATGCGCTTGGGTATGCTGTTTGCATGATATCAAGTCTCGCTGTCGATAATCGTGTCGCTGGATCCTTTGCCAATCTCTCTGCTTGCCGAAGTGGTATTAATTTACAGAGTGGGTTGAGCCACCTTCTCGGTTTCGGTGCCGGGGGTGAGCATCTGTGAGTAGAAATCATAATTAGTATAACGTTTCGAAGACTAGGAGTCCGGTGAAGAGCGCGAAAATGGCATGTGATGATAGTGCTGAGAAAAAGAAGAATTTTGAAGATTGCCGAGATGCGAATACCCGAGGCAATGTACACGGTGTCAATTGTGCCAATGACAGCACGAATGGGGGATTCAAGATAGATGTTGCAATTTCGATAAAACCAAGGAAATAAAAACAAAAGAAAACACAAGACACATACCTCGTTAGCTCCCTTGATCATTCCCTGCTCGCGCTCCATCTGGATGTACTGCTCCTCCTCGGCGTAGGCCAAGGCGAATGGTACACCGAGCAGGAAAGCACTGGTGCTGATAACCCAGAGGGCCTTGCCGCTGAACGAAAAGCTGGCCTTGGTGAGGTCTGTGATGGAAGAGACGGTGCTGGTGACGGTGCGGCGGGCGGAGGGGGGAATCATGTCTTTCAGAGCGGCGACACGCTCGTAGAGCGACTCGGCCTCGAGCTCGACATCCTCGTCATCGGAGATCTCGGAGTCTGTTGTTCATTAATGTCGATGTCAGAAAAGGGTCTTGATGTTTATTTGCGACTATTGTGTTCATTTCTGGGGTTTGGAGGTCGTGTTGTTGGGGGTTTTGGTTTGGGCACTGGGAAGATAGGAGGGTATTCAGGGAACAGAGTATCCCCCTATCGAAGCAATTTCCCATGCAAATGAAAATGGCGCGATGCGAGTTCCGTCTGGGTATGGGCGTTCGGGATTCTGTACTAACCAGTGTCTGAGTAGTCATCCTCATCATCGGAGGCCAGGAGAGCGTCGTGCTTGGTGGCAGTGGGCTTATCGGTGAAGTGCTCGTCTTCGACTTCAGTGAGCTTGACCATTTTGGGCGGTTTGGATGGGAATGACGAAGGGGGTCTAGTTAAAGGTGATGGTTGAATGATGGGAGGACGCTCTGGTTTCGCTCCGACTTTTTTGCCGAAAAGCGGCGAGGAGCTTGGACCCACCGACAACGATGTCATTTGTTTGTGATCTTATGAACTTGAATGGGTGAATGGATAGAAAAGGTAAAAGAATATGTAGAAAGATAACTTGAGAAAGGCTAGGTGTTCATAGAAAGTCTGTTTTAAAAGAGAGGTGTATTCTACAGAGTCGAAATGCTGGCCATAGTCTATAATTACAGATTATCCTCTAGATGCGACCACTTCGCACATGACCCTTTATGTTTGGCATATCCACGCGAGTCCAGAGCATAGAATCATCTATTTACCGTCGGCCAAGCTTCCACCGGGAAATCCGTTCTTGGATCTCCTCCCAGGGGAAGGACCGGAGCTTGTAACCTTCCAACTCGCCCTCCTGCAGCACAACAGTAGGCTTACCAGTGCCCTTACCCTCGTTGTCGACCTGGCCACCGAAGACCTTGCGAGCCACACGGCGGAGGTCCTCAACAGTGAGGGCCTCGATTTGCTCACACATCTCCCGGACACTGACCTTGCGGCCGTGGACCTGCACCTGGCGTCCAAGATCCTCAAGCTCGACCATGCGAGACTCTAGGTTCATGAGCAGCGAGGAACGGAGCTGATTCTTCGCACGGTTGACTTCCTGCGCTTGCAGCGAGCTGTAGCCAGTGTCCAAAGTCAGGGACTGCAGCTCACGGCACATGACCTCGACCATCTCCGTGATCCGGGTAGGGCTGCAGGATGCGGAAATTCCGAAAATTCCACTATCTGTGTAGCTGTGGTTGAAAGCAATGCAGCTCTCGACCCAACCGTGCTGGTTCAGCACGTTAGTGTAGAGTCGCGAGTACATACCCTTTCCAGGGCCACCAGCCGAGAATGAGCCACCACCACCAAGGAGGGTCTGGAGGGTAGCGAGAGCATAGATATCCGGCGAGGAGATTGGGAGAGCCTCGAATGCAAGGTGGATGTGACTCAGGCGAGGAAGCATGGGGCTCGCGGGCGGAGGAATCGAAGGGAGGGCAATAAAGCCACCCGTGTAGTGAGCAGGTTGCCGGAGGTTTAGCGCAGATGGCTTAACCAGGGATGAGTGGAGAGGCTCGACTATAGAGTTCTTGGAGGAAGTGAGGTTCTTGAGGAATGGAAGCTTCGACAGGAGCGAAGTTTGTGTTTTTTGGGAAGCAGCTGGGCTGCTGATTGTCGATGAGGGCGTGAAGGAAGGAACGGTCGGCACCTGGCCTTCGTGGGCGGCCGCTTGGGAATCAGACAGTGTGGTTTCGATTCCGCTGCCTGACAGTACAGGACCCTTGGTCTTGCTGATATCCCTCGGCTTCATGTCGCCAAAGTACTGCTCTGTGAGCTTAACCGCCTCTCCATGTGGCACTCCGGCAAACGCAACCACCATCCGATCCGGGTTGAAGAAAAGTTCCCTATACCGCTCCACCACTGCCTTGTTGATTTCGCCTAACCGTTCTTCCGGGCACAATAGCGGATTTCCAAGAGTGTTGTCGGCGTATGCAGTCATGTGCACTAATTCCGGAAGGATGAGTTCCGGCTTCGCCCAAATCTCGCCGATCTCGTACTCCGCTGTTGCGAGTTGTTGGATAACCTCCTCTTCGGTGATGAGGGGATCGCGGATGGTCTCTGCAAGCAAACCGAGCGTGGTAGGAACTGCCGAGTTGAAACTGGCAGACTGGTACATCAACGATTCCCGAGATGAGGCACACTGGATGTTACCGCCTAGGGACTCAAGAATCTCAAGCATTTCATCTCCGGTGCGCGCCTTGGTAGACTTGAAGGCTAGACGGTCCATAATGTGGCTGACTCCGCGCAGGCTCTCATCTTCGTAACGAGATCCGGCATCGACATAGACTCCGACACCAGCGAAGGGACCCGGTAATGATTCCGTGGCGACGCGAACTCCATTTGGAAGTGTGGTGATTTGTTCTAGCTCGGCGGGATCCTGCGGATAAAGAAACAATTTGTCAGTTACAAATAACGCTATGTTGCAGGACCTAACGAGGCTCTCGTACCTTGGCCGAGTCATTGATGGTAGAGAGGCTTCTTGACACGGCGCGAGGAGCTCGTGTCAATGGCTTCGCAGACTCAATGGCCCGCAATGCTGTGCGGCGCATGATGGTTAATTCTGTACAAATCCAACAGCGTAGTCAATTCGGAATTTCTTAGTACACCGAATATATCCGGAAGAGGTGATGTAGCTCGGACGGATTGTCGGCGAAGAATCGTAATGGAGCCTCGATCCGAAATGCTTAGCTAATCCGTTGCATGATGGCCAGATGTTCTTCGGTGACATAGCAGATTGAAGTAGATCAATCTTTTACGATCGAATTATTAATGTTTCTGAGAAGAAGCCGGGTTCTATTAATTTTTTGTCATCATTCGTGTCTGGACGCAACAGGGCTGCCCAGGTGTTACGAAGTCTTTGGTCTTTGCTGGATGCTTCGGAGGACTTATACATGTATCCTGCCGTGGTCTTTTCATGGCGGGCTTCCGCTGCGAGATGTAGCCGTGATTTTCTGCGATGGCTGGGTCCTCTAGGTCTGGCCTAGCAAAGGCAGGGAGTCCGCTACACCTTGCCCGCTCTAGCGTGTTGGCGAGGAAGGTGGGCCATTTCAGAAATAAAGGATCGCTAACAAGGCTGCACTAAAGGAGAGCAGCGGTGCTTATTTTATGTGGCGCTATGGGATAGGGTAGGTGAATATGTGTCCTCTGTCTCGTCGAACATAGTACCTGCGTCCAATATTAAGGACTTTCGTAGCTAGGGCAATTACTCCCCGTGGTTTACATTGCAATTGCTTGGACCAGGCCTGTTTTCAGTATAGAACGAAACACAGCATATCGTACCGCCAGAGCAAAACATGTCTCTGAATCGAAGCATTGCTTTCCTACCTTTTTCAAGATATGGCTCTGGGACTTACTGAGTTTGCGAGGAGTTGATAAAAGTGATCTCATTTCCAGCTGACGCGTTCCCACACTCGATTACAACGACTCCAACGTCCTTTCCCAACACCTATCGGACAACCATCTCAATCGTCAAAATAATTTGCTCATTGTTCTTCGGAGTGATTCCTTCAAGTTCCTGCACCGACCGCTAAAAGTGAACTCATCATTGATTTCTTTTTGTTACTTCACCAGTCTATAAAAAAGATTATGTTGACATTTCCTTCTGTTGATTCTTTCAACGCACTGTAAAATGAATTCTAACACGAGTCCTTCAACGGTGAGCTTCAACGACTTTTAATGCAAATTCCTTCAATCACTTTCAGCAATTCCTTTCAACGATTCCCTCCAACGCTTCCTTCAACGACTATCTGAGATCTTTTGTGTTCCCTTCCACTGTCTTTTTTCAACAAGTCCTTTGATGTTTTCAATGACTACTTGTTTTTAACGTCTACTCAAGAAACAAACAAGGCGGAGCCAAGCAGTCCAGACTGATATACAGATCGAACTTGTATATGGCCCCAGATTTGGCCCCAGTTTCAGCTTTGGCCCCAGTTTCGGCCCCAGTCTTGCCTGCTATATTTATGTTCATATGAATCAGCAAGGCTGACACTACGAGACTCGAACCAGGACCAACCCGAGCTCAGCTCATGCTCGTCATGCAAGCAGTTGTGGCTCTTCCATCCTGACGCGTCATCATGTAGAATAATTACTTAATTACAATGTATCATTCAGATTCTCTACTGACATAATTATGTTTTCAAAAACCCTGTAGCTTGCCATATTTCTCAATCTTCTCTATACATACCATCCTAATATCCATCATCTTAAGCCTGTACATAGCTGCAAGCAAATATAGTTCTGGCCAGTCAACTTCCGACCACGGCAAGATACAAGGCCGGGGCAGAGGCAGAGGCCGTGTAATGTATTAACTTGGAGGATCCTGCATAGTATTGGGCTTGAGGTCTTTTCTTTTATGTGGGTTCCAATATAATCTCTTTCTAAGCTAAGCTACGACTGTGAGCTATAGTCGATGGTATCTATTCGAGCAGTCCTCGTAGATGATCCAAATCAATAAACATTAAATAATTCTGAGTCCAATCATCCCATCGGCCCCAAAATAAGATTAATGCCTCAGCCGATCCCTCTGGCTCTGCCACAATCCCCCTGCAGCTAGGACATAGGGTCTTGGCTAAATCGGGGCCGTTTCAAGTATGTTGTACATTCACCAAGTTAGCAAAGACTAGACTCGGGGGCTGAATTAGCCCAGTCGATTCTATACAGATTATAAAGTGTAGGATAGATGCTCGAGCTGAAAATGAGAACTAATTCGAAAACACAACCACTACAAGACAAAATAATATCATCCTGCACATCACTTCTTTGCAGGCGTAACTAAGTATGTGGGTCGCGCGTAGCGCTTTACTTTTAGCCGCCATCGGGGTAACCCCTCTCCTTGCTTCTCCGGATTTATTCAATCGAGCTGGTGAGTGCAGTGCAACTCTACATAAACTGAAGTGCTATTGCTATTGCTATTGCCTTTGCATTTACCGGTGATGGAGTGTAATTGCTAATGACGATGCTGGTTCTATAGAAACGTGTGAACCGAGTGTTTCGACTGTAACCATCGAGCCGAGTGTTCGAACTGTTACTGTGACTGTTGGAGAAACATCTGCTAGTGCTAGTGCTAGTGCATCTTCATCTGTTACTACGACGGCGACTGCTTCTACGCCCTCCGTTCCAATCCAGTCTGGAAATCCGGGGACGTTTACACCGGGACGTTCTTCGCGCAGTAAAACTGGAAGTGCTGCGTCGGAGACTCCTAAAGTTTCCCCTGGTACTTCATCGGAGGTTTCATCTGAGACTTCGTCTGATACTCCCTCTGATACTCCCTCTAATACTCTGTCTTCTGGTATCCCATCTTCTGGTACTCCCTCTAAATCTCCATCTAACGCCCCATCTACACGTACCGGCCCATCTTCTTTAATCCCCTCGGCCAATCCATCTTCAGGCACAGGATATCAATCCCACGCCCCGAACGTAATAATCGGAAGCTTGACAGTCCCCATTCAAAGCACCCCAACCACGATCTCCCAGTCCGGCCATTCCCCCATCGTGGTAGGCCCATCTGGGATCCAAATCGGGTCACAAACACTGAAAAGCGCAACCACAATGACCGCTGACGGTGTGACTGTGACTTATGACGGAGCCCAAGAATCAAACCCACCCGAGTCCGAGTCTAAGTCCGGGGATTCGACTTCGACGGCAGCTCAACAAGAGACAGCGACAACCTCAGGAGCAGCCACGACAGCGACTTCGTCATCCTCGTCAATGGCCTCGGCCTGGGATAGTTATGTAACTATCAATAATGAAACCTACCGCATTCCCTCTGGTGATTCGTCGTTGGATATAGTCCTAGATGATGGGTCGCTGCTTACGCTGTCTTCGGGACAGGTGTCTATTAATGGCGATAAGGCTGATATTCCTGATGATGTCTCCGATTCACCTACGCTCACTGCTGATGGGCAGTCATTCACTGTGGGCGAAGGGTCTGGTAGTGGCAGTGGTGATGGCGGTAACGGTGGTGATGGAGGAAGTGGTGGTGGTAGTGGCTCAAGCATATCTAGTTTGATTGATACAATCTCTGGACTAGGCGATGCTGAGAGCTCTATTTCTTCTGGTCTGGACAAAATCACCAGTGGCATCAAGTCCTGGGCCTCCGGGGGCGCAGAGAGCGAAGTGACTTCACTTTCAGGGTCTATTGATTCAGCACTCGAAAGTCTGGACCAGTTGCTAGGCCCCATGAGAAGTATCTCACAAAGCTCTAGCATCGAGCTGCAGGAATTAACCACAGATGGTCTCCGGGTGGTATCCAATGCTTATCCTGATCTGGAAAGAGGCCGTGATATTCTGAGCTCGATGCAGAAGTTATTGAAAGGTCTTCCCACACTTCGAGACGCTGCTACGCAGAATGTCAAGAAATACTGGCTTCGCTATGTAGCCACAGGTGGTGGACTCTTGGCTTTGGACCAGACTATCCAGAAGCTGAAAGAATATTCATGGGACGATGCCTTGACAGTAACGGCCACCTCCACAACCGCTGCAGAAACCCAAGCCACATCTGCGACATCTACAACTTCAACAACCGAATCGCCGACGGCTTCCTCTTCATACCTTATTACGACCAAGCGCGGCACATCTCTCACTATGTTCAAGACTTTTGTTCATGGCCTTGACGGCGGCGCGGGATATCAAATGGCTTATTCGGAGGTTGATCACCAAGCCTACGTGACAGACCTCACAGCGACCCAGGTTGCTACTATCAAAGCTCTTCCTTTCATCAGGACAGTCTCCTATAACATTCCTGTGACCGAGCTGGATGACGACGAGGACTTCCGCGCTGTTCCCAACCGAGACTTTTCACCTGAAGTTGATGAGCTACACAACTTGACCAACCACAAGTCGAGCAAATGGCTTTCGTCGCGGGCTATAGCTCAATCACCTCGGGGCCAAAGTGGTTCACACCTCAAAATGATTTCTTCTGACAAGATGGGTACACCTACCGAGGACTATCTGTTTGACGATACCCTTGGCAAAGGAACAACTATCTATGTCATTGATACAGGTTTCGATACATCAAAGCCGGTAAGTATTCTCACGCAGAAAAAAAGAGATATCGCTATGGAATGCTAATTTTGAACTTTCCATAGGACTTAGCAAGCACGGACCGAAAGGTCGAGACTTACGTTGTCCCTAATGATCTGACGCTTTTGGGTGTCCCAAAAAATCAGCGAAAGCCGGAAGACCTCACCGATTGGGGTCGCCATGGAACCTCAGTCGCCTCCGTTGCTGGAGGCGTAATCCGAGGAGTGGCCTCAAAAGCGGATTTGTACCTGGTAAAATACAAGAGTGCATACGACAAGCCAGACGCGAATGGCAATATTAAAGAGGAACGCAAAAATGCACCGCTCGCTGCGATGGAAGATGCCTTTATTAATGTTATACGGCACATCAGAAAAAATTCGAATCAAGGAAAGGCGGTTGTCAATATGTCATGGGGTTCGTTATTGATCAAGTCCCCAATCCAAAAATAACTTTGAAAGAAATTACTAATTAATGCTTCGATACTACAGGCTCAAAGGTTTCAGCCAAGGACGTCGCCGCTCGCAAGAAAAGTCTCGAAGACTTTATTTCAGAACTAGAGCAGCTTGATGTGGTAGTGGTTATTGCAGCGGGAAATTCAAATACAGAAAAGCTTGAAGAGCGCATTCCACAGAGCATGGGTACAGATTCCAACAGTATTATCACTGTGGGAGGTGTGAATGAAGAAGGCCAAATTTGGGAACACTCTACATCCCAGGGATCCGGTGGTGGATCTCTGACTATATTTGCGCAGTCGGAAAACCTCGAAATGGACGTTCCTTTTGTAGGGGTGAGAAAGGTTCACGGGACCAGCTACTCTGCTCCAGCTGTCGTAAGTTTTCGAGTGGCCTATCTCAAGCTGTACCGTTTGGAAGTTAACTTTTTTCTTTTCCTTTAGGCTGGTCTTGCAGCATATTACCTTGGTATTCCTGATACAAAGAAACTGTTCACAAGTGGGAGTGTGTCGACGATGGTGAAGAGTTATATCAAGAAGACTGCTTTCCAGCGAGTTCAGAGTATATCAAACTCAAAAACTCCAGCAGGCTACAATTTCCCCAGTGAACTCAAGGTTGCATATAACTTGGCCAGAGGAAATCCCCCCAGTATGTTGTGTTATTCGATCTGACCAATTTCATCAGAAACCTCATTAACAATTGAATCCAGACTGTGGAAGTGGAAAAATTCTCCCGCGCGGAGAATCGGATAACGCCTGTCCTATGCCATCGTCCTCCACGTAAGTTGACGAATATGAGAGACTTCCATGCACAAACTAATCACTTTCAAAGAAGGGAAACCTCCAGCCCATCTAGTTATAAGTCTACAAGCCTGGCTTCTTCCAAAACCAGTGCCTCTACATACTCCCCAACCCCGACACCGGTGACCACAACGACGGCTACTCGCACCACCAACGGGGAAACCACCGGCACTGGCACTGGCACCACATCAACCGGAATTCCCTCATCCACAGGCAAACTGACATGCAAAGGTGGAGATGGCCCGACCATCTCCCTCGAATCATTGAATAACCATACAGAGTATAATGTTCAAACAGAAGGAGGCATTGCCCACTGGTGTGATAATTTCCTAACTCAATTACACTCACACATTCCAGACACCTACAATGAGCCTTGGGATACTGCTGAGATGACCGTTACTCTTGCCGAATGCCCAGCTACACTAGAGGTCCCATATAATGATTGTCTGGATTGGTGGGGGGAAATCGCAAATGGCTGTGATACCGACAGTGGTGATAAACATGGCGGAACGTACGAAATTGGATGTATGTCATTTGAGATGGAGATTGGTGATGATAGCTAAGCTATTTTGATGTTGCTTTGAGTTTTCGATAAATTTATCGAGGGTGGTTTTACGAGTACTTTCCACGTGGATTGTCTTATACTTGAATACATACGTATCAGCTCAGATTCCCGGAGTCATGGCCATTGCCTGGCAATATCACCTAGACAGAAATTTGTCAAACCGGGCTATTGCAAACTTCTCGAGTATCAAGGATGTCGACGATTGCTAACGGAGACCTGCTGGTAGAGGATGCTACTACTGGTAGCATGAAGAGAGAGAGAGAGAGATGAAGATGGATGAAGAATGTGATGTCTTGAGCTATAAAGACAGGTGAATTGGAGGAATATAGTATAATACCAGACAAGATGACTCGGGGCGGTCAACCCAGAGTCATACCTAGGTCCACGGGTATGAGTTATGTCCTGTCTGTTATCGGCCCCCGTACGCTCGCTTGTGGACTACGTTATAAAATCGATTGTTTACCTAACCTAACAGGCACCCATTTTCCGACTGCCAATACCCCGACCTAACCTATGGACAACGGTAATGGGCAAAGTGTGAGTCGTATAATAAAATACTCGTGTCTCCTGATCTACACCTCCCTTTCCTAATTAACTATATAATGGTGGGGCCTTGAAAAATTCTTTGAGAGCGGCTGAACTTGCGATGGCGGCACATTCTTCAGGTGAGTCCCACTATGAGTCGTCCATATTACTCGTATTCTACTTACTAGTACTATGTTGTAGGTACTTGCAGATCCGAATATGAAAACAGGAGTTACGTAATGATATTGCAGAGTAGAGGGGAAAGAATCTACAGACTAGAAGCCTGAATAGGAAAGTGACGAACCACCGCCCGATCATAGATTCAAACTAGTTGGAACTAGTTCTCGTTCACTCTGTAGATCGAGTAAATATCTGAACTATAAACTACAGTGGACCCTTCAGATCGACTAGACGCAAATTAATGTATAAATATTCCCATCTCGCACCTGTTATTTCGTTAAAAACACCCATCCACGTTCTAATAACAACAATAATTTCAAAATGAAGGCATCTTCTATTCTTATTGCCGCCTCTGCTGGCGTTGCCCTGGCCCAGCCTACTTCCCTCGTCGAGCGCGCTAGCTCTGTCTGTCCTATTCCATTTACCGATATCCCCGCATGCTGCCAATTGCTCAAGTTCGATGGAAACCTGCCTTACTTGGCCTGCTTTAAAGGTAAGATTCTCCCCTAGTCAATACAAAGACATTCGACAGGGACCAACTCTTGCTGACATGTATTGAAAATACAGCTGAGAGCGCAAATACTGAGCAAGACTTCATCCAAAGCTGCCAAGCTCGCGCCCAATCCAGCAACCTAGAAACCCGCCCTCAGTGCTGCAGCGAACCTGGTATTTCTCAAAATGATCACGCGCCTTCCCTGGGTCCCTGTATCCGCCCGCCCTTCGCTGAAAGTCGGTAGATACCACCCTTGATCCACGTGGTTCTAGGCCAAATATCGATATGCAGAATGGATGAAGTTGTATGTGTACATAATAAACAATCTATTTTTTTCCACCATTTAGCCACTCTTGGTCGTCCCCTGTGGCGGTCCAGAGGACGGGACCATCTGGGACAATGTTATAGGCGTCAGAGATGATGTCCTAGGAAGGTATTAGAGGGGCACTTTCCCAGGTTGTTCCTTGTGATTAAGATGGATCAATCCGGTTCAATTCTTGACATAAAAGGGGGGGGGGGACCTTGCAGTCCCCGCTCTGACTGAGAGCGATGGAGAACTTACCTTGAAGTAGATAACCTGAAGGTATTGTAGTAGAGTTTTCGTTCTGCTTTCCGGAGAAAGACCCTTTATTTAAAATGTTATGCCGGAGCCTTCAGGACTTGTCATGGAATTAGATCCCCAATATTGGAACTAGAATTGGTGCAGAATGTATATAAAGTGCGGCGTGTATGTGTAGGTTTTTCAGCCAGCCACCCACTTATTTGCCCGATATAGACTAGCTCAGAACATAGATCATCTCACTTGCGCTAAATATCAGTGGATCCACTTATACATAGTCTTCATGAATGGCGTCGAGATATTTCAGGATTCAGTCGGCCCCAAGAAACTTGATGCAGCCATCGCCCTCGCGACGAGCTCCTCTTTGGCTAGGATGCTGGCATACTCGTCATAAGCGACCTGTCTTGAAACACAACATCAGGAAATAACGCATTGGCCTCTTGATAAGGGCCCAGGGGTGTGGGGGGTCAAACAAATCGTTGGCAGCAAAGGCAACGTCTGCATGAGGGGCAGCATGAGGGGTGATTGCTTTCGCGGGCTTTTGTCAAAGGAATGTTTAGATATGCACTAATACTTCATATACATATGCTTCGACATCACCGAATCATGATACGAGCCGGGCTTCCGACCTTGAGGCTTTCCCTAATAATATACCATTATGAAAGCATCGCAAAGGCTCATTTACTTCTAATACCTAGCTAAGTCTGTCGTGTATAAACCGAAAATATCGCGGTAAAGGTCCCGGGTTGCTGAAAACCCTGACAGCAGAATTATCCGCTCAAGTTTGCCATGCATGTCGTTAGATATACATTCCGCCAACAGAACACTGCCTGCCAAACTCATTGGAAATTTCTTGTTCGATTTCGCGGCTAATTGCAAGTATTTATAGCTGAATTGCGTTGGCGATGAGACTAAAGACTTAAATCCCGAGCGATTGTGGTGGTTTTCCTAGAAAAGGAGACGCCGTTTGGTGGATCAATTCAACGACAAATGCAAGCCAGACATTTCTCCACAATTTTGGTCTCTTGTGTTTCGCCATAAACGAATGCCCGTCACTGTCCCTACTCAACCCGTTCGATGAAATGGTGTTCCGCTCCTGGTACTTTCACCAGAGGCAATACAAGATTGAGGACATGGTTGCAGAATCCAGCGGTATTAATCCACACGCCCTTATAAACACCTTTCTGTTCTTGGTATTCTTTCAAAGTATCAATGATAGAGTGATGTCTGCAATAGTGAAGTTGATCAGGCCAGGCACCTCGATTCAGCATCGTGTTGCACTGTATAAGCCACTTGTTTCGACTACCGTCTGAGTTGGTCGTCTCAAAGGTTTTGCCGTTATAGCTGGGACATAGCTGGTTGCGGCCAACCTTTGCCAGTTCTTGAGATAGATCGTCTGGCTTCTCGACCGTGGATGGAGTCTTCTGTTGTTGAAGTTGGGCCTTTTCTTTGTCGCATTTCTCTTGGGCGTCCTTCTCACACCGAGATTTGACCTTTTGTTCGAGTTCGCTCATCTCTTTGTTGCATTTCTCTTGAGCACCCTTATCGCACTGGGACTCGAGCTTCTGCTTGAGCTCGGCCTTCTCTTTGCCGCAATTCTCCAGGGAGCTCTTCTCTAGATCCGCTTTTTCCTTGTCGCATTTCAGCTGCTCATCATTCTTGCATTGCGTGGCAGCCTCATCGACCCTCTCCTGACAGTCTACTGATGGCGGACTGACCACCTCGACCGTCTCACTAGTCTTTTCAAGGGCCAAATACCCAGAAGTGGACCCCAAACTGAAGTCCTTGACAGTCGTCAAGAAGCACTTTCGTCGGCTACTCCAAAATGTACTAGCCGAACAGATAGAGTCCTTGATACAGAGCTGCGCACATTCTCTCGCGCTGGCCGCAGGCAGTGCGGATGCTCCGCTAGGGTTCGCCCATTTTGCGCAGGTGTATTTAAACTTCACGCCATCGACAAAATCCTCCCCCATCGATGACGATGACAGGCCAGAGCAGCATGCCTTGTAGCTCTCTGCTCCGGAGGTACCAGAGGACAAGCAGCCGGCATTGGCAGAGAGAGGGATCTGGGCGGCGTACGCGCCAGTTATTCCCAGGAAAGGGAGAAGCAGGTGTGGCTGGAGGATCATGACCGTTTATTGAAAGTAGACAAAAGTGAACCAGAAAGGAAAGGAAGTAAAGAGATGGGCGTTGTGACTACCCTGATAGATGCCTTGAAGAACCTTGAGCTGATGGGATGGACTGAATTTATAGATCAATCTGTCTCCTATAGTGAATTTACCGTTTACGGCTAGGAGACAGGCAACCTTGGGTCTGTACAGTTGCAGTGCATATGGCTATGGCAGTCAGAGCTGAATGGACAGCAGAGATCTGCGTCGAATGTCAATTATGACGCATGCCTATAGATCAGAGCTGAGTTCATGGAGTACAAGGGAAGAGATATCCGTCGAATGACAATCATGATGCATCACTATAGATCAGAGCTGAGTCGACAACAAGGGATCTGCGTCGAATGACAAATATGATGCATCATTATGGATCAGAGCTGAGTCTAGGGAGTACAAGGGAAGAGATCTGCGGTGAAGGACCAATGTATACATCACCACGGCTAAGAGATCTGTGCTTAAAGACATAATCAACACGATTGGCACATGTAGGGATCGGCGGGATGCATGGACGGACATAATCAACACGATTGGCACATATAGGGATCGGCGGGGTGCATGAACGGAGGTCCGAACGATGCCCCGCTGCGTAATGGCAGTCTACACTAGCAATAAGTTCGTGTCATGAACATGTCAATGCACCCCACCTAGCGTCCACCTAGCGTTCAGTCTGCAGAGTATCATAGATCTTTGTCATGTCTTTTTGCTTTCCAAACTGGATGCCCAGCGCTGTTCCAGAGTGATTGCCTCCAATTCCTAGCCTCACTGAACTCATCACCTCCAGTGCAATTCATTCATTCTTTTTTTTTCTAGAGAGGAGCCAGCACATAATTTGTTAAATGATCGAGCATCTCAATCATAGCTTTGATCATGGCTGGCTGAGGCTTTTCTCCAGTCCTCCTCCATTGGCTAAATCAAGTATTGATCTCATGAAGCTGAACTGCGGAGCAATGCTTTGGCCTCGTTACCCTGCAAGTTTCACTTAGTTAGGAAATCATCGCCTGAACAAGGGTTGCATTCTTTAGATCTCCAGCTCCGCAACTGATCAACCGCCAAGTCTCTTGCTTGCATGATTACAATCGATAGGTAGGATTTTCCACGGAGCGCGCTATTGACTGGATGTGTTAATGATAATCATTTGAGTTACGTTGCATCCATCTATTTATGAGAAATTTCTGGTGGTCTCAGCTGTAGCAATACCTTACGGGTAAGTATAAGTACATGCCTCTCGCTGGTCTTTGCAGAGAACAAGCTCCTTTGACATTTTCTCTGGATATCATCAATTGATGGTGATTCCACAATGACTATCATGAAATATCCAAAGATATGGTCGTCCCTGGCCGTGCTCCTGGCTGTCCAGGGCACCCACGCAGACCAGCAAGCTTTCCGCACCCCCAACAACCGATTTCCTCTCGACGAGCTTGTGGTTGTTACACATCAACCCTCAGGACAAGTCAAGTGTTGTCCCCCGGGCTTCGACTTTGACGGCAGCAATTGTGTTCCTGGCGCTCCAATCTGCCCGGAGAATGCCGTCCTAAAAGGAGACAAGTGCATCTCAACTTCCAAGCCAGTCTGCAGCGAAGGCAAGTGGAATGGCTGGGCCTGCGTCACCATTGAGTGTCCTACTTGTCCAGCAGATTTCGTGCTCAAGGGCAGCACCTGCGTCACCACCACTGGGCCCTCTTGCTCAGGCACTGAAGAGGTCCGTGGCAATGTCTGTGTCTCCAAGAAGCGGCCAAGCTGCCGCCACAGTGGCGCAACCTTTCATGAGTCGAAGGGTTGTATCAGCACCGCTAGCCCTGTGTGTCCCGACGGTTTCCGGTTCAAGGACAGTCAGTGTATCTCAACCACTCCGCCCACATGTGGAGAAGGGGCTCGCTTTGACACCGTCATCAACCGATGTGTTTCCGAGGAACCTCCCTCCTGTCCCGTGGCAGGAACCAAACCCAAGGGAAAGCTCTGCGTGTCCGAACTCAGTCCTGTCTGCCCGGATGATAGTTCATTGAGCAAGGAGGGATCCTGTATTTCCAAAGGGAAGCCCCAGTGCCCAGACGATGCCAAACTCGACGGTGGTAAATGCTTCTCCACGGGATCGCCTTCTTGCCCAACAGGCACCGACCTCTCCATCGATTCCTCATCCAAGAGCGCGCTGCTGCCCCAAAGCGATGACCTGGGATGGCAAGGTATGCAGCTTCGCCAAGGGACCAGATGAGAAATGTCCCCCTGGCACTACATTGGTGGACGGTCGTTGCCGTAAGCAGGCTATCCAATTGCCAGAGTGTGCTCCGGGATACAAGCTCGAGGGAAGCCGCTGCGTGTCACGTACGCCTCCGAGCTGCGCGCCGGGTCATGTACGCAAGGATGATCAGTGTATCGTCACCGAGAAGCCCTTGTGCGCCGAGGGCTTTGTCCTGACCGGCGCAGAGTGCGTTTCCACCAGGCCATCAACATGCCCAGATGGCACTCAGCACGATCATGGTATGTGTGTGGATACTCGAGACCCGATTTGCTTGGATGGAACCACCTTGCAGGGCAAGGACTGTGTGCGTGGTGGTGTACAGGAGTGCGAAGATGGAGTCTGGGATGGTCAGGACTGCATCACATCCGACCGGCCCACTTGCGACGACGACTTCAGATTTGACGGGAAGGATTGTGTCTCGGAGGGTTTCCCCAAGTGCCCACCAGGAACCGTCCCTAATGCCCATGGAGATTGCATCTCCACTCAAGCCCCAGAATGCCCTCCAGAGACCATGCTTCTTGATGGGGAATGCGTCAGCGACGGCACCCCTGAATGTCCCCCCGGCCAAACCTTCTCCGGTCAACAGTGTGTTCACAATGGAACCCCGGGTTGTGCCGCGGGTTACAAGTTAGTCGGAGGCCAATGTCTAGACACGAAGGTCGCCGGCTGCCCACCAGGCTACGCAGACCAGAAAGGCACATGTATATCAACAGAATTACCCGAATGTGACGAGGGTACGACCTTCGACGGCAAAGCATGCGTTGGAGAAAAGCCAATCTGCCCACCAGGAACCAAGTTTGACGATCAAGACTGCGCATCAATCAACGACCCCGAATGCCCACCAGGCCTCAAGTTCAACGGACACAAGTGCATAACAGAAGAAGATCCCAGTTGTCCCCCTGAACAGAAACTCAACAAACAGACAAAGGAATGCGAGCTCGAGGAAGGTCCCAGATGTCCTCCCGGCCAGAAATACAACGGCCAGCACTGCATCCTAGGCTCGCACGACTGCCTAGAGTACGAATTCTGCCCACCCAAAGCCCCCGGCCTTCCTCTCCCAGAATTACCCTTCTGTCCCATGAACGACGGCACAATCCTGCAGTCCGGATCTCGTGATCAGACATCCTTCAAGGTCCATTGTGACACCTGTTACTTCTCCCAACCAGATCTGGTCAAGTCTTTCGCAAACCTTGACAGCATTGATGCATGTGTTCAGGTCTGCGCTGACACATCGGAGACTGTTGGCTGTAACTGGTTCCCTGAGACAGGCACGTGCAGGATTCATCCATACTCGACTACAGGACTTGATCAGCTGAAGGAGTGCACTGCTCTCGAGCGTATTCGCATGCAGTGAACATAGCGAATGCTTTCTGGTCTATCTCAATGTCACTGGTTCATGTGGATGATTGGAATCAGTCAGGAGTGCGGTCAGAACAGATGCAGGGATAAGTTGTATGTTAGCAATGCAGAGCTCTTTTCACCGCTGGAATATCACGCACTACAGCACCTACCTGAGGCATCCATACATAAACTCGAATGTACGTTTTCTTATTGTGTCTGGTGGATGTTGTCTGCTCTGAGTGGAAACTGAACTCGTCCCACATTACATGGCGCCTCTTCTGATTCCTCTTCCTCCACCTCCACCTCTTCTTCCGGCTCACCAAAATGCTACAACACTTACATTCTCTTCTTTCCTTTCATTCGTTTACGTTACTTTTTATATTCGGACATCTATGTTGATTTATTCAAGACAGACAGAACCAATGATAGAAACTCAGTCGTCATCATTCTCCGTCTAATGATTCAATCTGATGAACTACGGTAGTAGTGCAGGATCAGAAGCAGAGAAATCGGTATTCTGTCTAAACTGGGCATCATGATGTCTATATAGACCATCATGAGAGAGGACGTCTACGAAAGAACTGGCTGCTGTGAAACCTGTCTGCGGACACGCTGGCTGTGAAACATGCGCTGTGTTCATCACAATTTCAACAAGATCGCCATGTATGATACCTTTCCTGAAAGGCTATTCCAGCCCACGCTCCTCCCACGCCTTCTTCGACACTTTGTATAATCCAGCGACTTTAGGCTCAAATTTAGTACTCTAAAAATAGCTAAGAGAATTCGAAGAATTAGCTATCGTCTTAAGTAGTACGATCCTACCACTCAGCGTTTTAAGAAGGGCTAGTAATGCTTATAAAGGGTGCTAAATCGTAGGCTACGTTAGCTCTCTAGCTATAGCGGGAATTCGATGCTACCTAGGCTATTATAGAGGCACGCCATACTAGATATGACAATTCTCGCCATCATATACAGATCACCGGTATTATTAATTCCACCTAGGTCAAAAATATGAAGTATAAAGAATATAAATTGAGTGAAAGGCCTATCAAGAAAAAACGAGGCGGAAGTGGAAGAAGGTGTTAATCGAAATCAGGAAGCATAGAAGAGCCAAAAGACGCCGGGGAGATTAAATTGTTTTCGTATTATAGTAGTAAAAAGGCTGATTGATTTCTTTACTATTTTTAATTAATTAAATTGCTACGTTGTAGGGTAGTAAATGGTGGTTGAAGAAAAATGTATAAAAAACGTTGCATTTGGGTAGAGTATTGCATAACTATAGCTGGCGGACCCTCGCAAGCGAGGGTCGGTAATTATGGTAAAAAATGTAAGGGCCGGTTAATAAAGAATTGAATAACTAAGGGTTTTCTGAAGCCCAGTTTCTATACCAATCAAGACATGAAGCATTCGCAACACTCGCACCAATCTTGATGTTAAGCCCACATAAGATCTGCTTGACAGCATTCTCGACCTTCTTGCCATTAGAAGTCACCGGAATCTCGGGACATGCGTCAATAATGCCAGGGACATGGCGGGGGCTAAGTTCCTTCCGAATAGTGGACTGAATGCGTGCCGCAAGATCCGACGGCATACCAGACTCGTTGCCAGAAGCAAGCCGGACAAACAGAACGACGGTCTCATCGGTGTCGATGCCATCTCGCCTCCGACCAATGCAAAGAGAATCTTCCACTTCGTCGGCGAAATGCTTGAGAAGAATGTTGTAAATCTCGGCACTTCCAAATCGCACTCCGGATGGCTTTAGTACGCCGTCACTGCGGCCTAGCATGACCACACCTCCAGTTTGTGGGTTCAAACGCACGTAGTCTCCATGGTGCCAGACTGAGGGCCCGAATACGTCGAAGTAGCTCTTTCGATACTTCTCCAAGCCTGTTGGTCCTGGGGGCCAGAACATGACTGGTTGGGCCGGGAAAGGTGTGACGCAGACAAGGTCACCGGCTTCGCCTGTTGCACTGATATCATTGCCAGCATAGTCGAACACGGAGATGTCCATCCCCAAAGAACGACATTGAATTTCTCCTTTGTAAACCGGGAGAATAGGGCAGCCGGAAGCGAACAAAGAGAGGATGTCTGTGCCACCAGTGATGGAACCAAGCATGATATCGTGGTGGAAAGAGGAATAAATGTATTCGAATGTTGATGGTGCCAATGGAGATCCAGTACTGAAAATGGCCCTCAGTGTTTTCAACGACACTGGCCTATGGGCATGCTTGCGCGGGTTCAAAGCGGCTTGTTCGAGGAGTGAGAGGTATTTAGCTGATGTACCGAAATGGGTAATTTGAAGCTCTTCGATCAGTCGCGGCATGGCCATTTCTCCCTTTCCGCATTCAGTATCAAAGGGTCGGAAGGGTGAACCATCGTACAAGACGATTGTTGCTCCACTGGCCAAGCCCGATACCAGCCAGTGCCACATCATCCAGGTTGTCGTTGTGAAGTAGAACAAGCGATCACCCGGTCGAATATCACAGTGAAGAAGATGCTCTTTCTTGTGTTGCAACAATGTGCCCAGAGACCCATGAACGATGGGTTTGGGAGCCCCTGTTGTACCGGACGAATACAAGATATAGACAGGATGATCCGGTCTCAAGCTTGCAAACTCTAATGGCGCCTGAGGATTCTTGACCTCAGACACGAAATCACCGTAAACCTTTGCTTTTCCATTTGCAGGTCGAAGGTCATCTAGGTTAACGTCAAGTTCCGGAGTAGTGATAAGAAGCACCAAAAGCTCAAGGTCTGGCAATTCAGAGACAATCTCCCATACCTTGGCCTGTGAGCTATGCACCTTGCCATTGTAGAAGGAACCATTGTCGGCAAAGAGAATCTTAGGTTGGATCTGCTTCAAGCGCTCCAAGACAGCATGTACACCAGTGTCAGGTGACACGCCAGTCCAAAAGGCGCCGATTGAGGCTGTGGCCAACATTGCCACAACGGTATTAGCATGATTGCCTACGAAGCCAGCGACACGATCGCCGGTCTCCAGACCTGCTTCTTTCAAAGCGTTTGCGCACAGCCGAACTCGCTCTCGCAGCTCCTTCCATGAAATGAATTCGCGGGCTGCTTCAGTGGCGCCAATCACTGCTATGGAATCTTCATCCGGCGAGGTGGCGGGATATAGAAGATTCTCGGCGAAGTTCAAAGTGCTGCCTTCGAAGAATGAAGGTCTAGGAAATAGCACATCTTCTGAATCAAGGACCTACGCGGATCGGGTTAGGATCGAATATCTCATGATGTCCAAGATAATGCATCTCGGTCTGAATGGGAATTACTCACCTGTTGGTATGGATCGTGCGCGTTGATTTTCGTGTAGTGCCAGATTTCCTCCCAGAATTGGGCTGGTTCAGAGACACTCCATTTCCAGAGAGCGTTGTAGTCATTCAGTGACAAGCCATACTTCTTGTTCACTTTAGTCATGAAATCATAGATCTGGGTTGTTTCAGGAGAGGAGGGTCGCCAGAGCTCCTTGGCCTCCGGCTCAACGCCTTCGTCGATATGAGGCATGGTTAATGATGTCTGTAGTAATAGCGCACACAATAAGGTCAGGGATTGAAGTTCGAAGTGTTGAGTATGTATGTAGACTGTTGAATCTAGATCGAGATTGAACAAATCTATTCAATCTATTGTCACACTAGAACCCCAAAACAATGTGGCAATAGACTTCCCAACAGATTTGAAGGATTTGATAGGGCTTCGTAGGGGTGAACAGGGTCAAAGCTTGAAAAAGTCAAGAGCGAGTCACACAACGCAAATACCCCAGGGGAATGGCGGGGCGGGAGTGATCGGGTACTGAGTTGCCGATCTCCGCGGCTACGGGGAAGATAATTTCTCATATAAAAGCCCAGTAGACGTAAATCGGGGGTGAATTGGGCCGAGGTTTCTGTATGCATCTATTATTGGATAGAGTTACTCCAGTGGATGTCACATTGGATAAAAGTGACATTTGCTGCCTCAGGCACCCAGCCGTTTTCATAACCTTGGAAACCCTAGAAACCTTAGAAACCTTGGATACTTCATGTCACATATCGTGATGTAGGTGTCACAGACCTCGAAAATCGACATGTGACTATTTGGTCCAAAGGTTTTTTTTTTTTTTGAAATCGGATATACCGGATGAGCACAACATGCCCCTTTTTGGCCTTTTTTTTTGAGGGTGTTACTAGTACAAGACTATGTGGTTATAGATAAATTCTACAAATTCAGACGGAGTACTCCGTACATAATTCGAAGTAAGTTTGTGCATGGAGTATGAATACGATTCGTCTCGGTCTTCCATGGATTTGGGTCTTTTCGGGCCCGAAATTTCCAAGGTTTAGTGCGGAAAAAAAAAACCTTTAGTATTGATATGGTAATAATACCTCCTTTTCAGACAATATCAGCCAATCACACGTAATTATCACTGTACTGCATGTGTTTTTAATTAATACCAGGAGGTTAATGGGTTCTACGCAGCTTAGGAAAACACGGAGGTCTCTTATTTACCTTCTCAGACTCTCCTTCTTCTTCATCCCTATATTTGTTTCCGTGCTTCGTTATTTCTGTTCGTAGTGCAACGGAGATTGGTCCCTTCGTCATCTAAACGTAGGGCCCTTTGCCCCTTCGTGTTTCTTGCCCCCCCATTCCACGTGCACGCAATTTTTTAAGCCCTTTCGGAGTATTCGGCTCCCGCTTACCTCGAATCAACCTTGCGGTACGTCTCAATCTGTGAAACTTGTGTGGCAGTTCTTGATGGTTTATTTGGGAACGGAGCATGGTTCAGGGGTGTCGCATTGATGCCTAGTCCAGAACGATCAACTAATTGGCTGCGGTTTCCAGATTGAACACATTGCCTGAGGTTGCAATCGACTCCGAAGACCGCTGAAGTCCCGAAGAACACAGCCCACTCAAACACGTCAACTCTCAACTACCTCCGGTAGTCCCTGCCTTAAATCGTCAATTCAGACGCGCCCAATTCAAAGCGCCCCTCGATCCTGACGTGAAAAAAAAAAGACCCGTGCCGAA